TCATCCGACAAATCTGTTTGGATATAGCTTTCCTCGTCTCCCCGTTGCAAACATTATTCTTAATGCAAAGTGTCTCTCTGTGCTATTTTCTCTCTCTCCTGAGAGGCATAGGACAGCAGCACTCATTCTTAAAATATTCATGTTGAAAATCAGCACAAGTAAAAATGCATCCTTAGTTTCTGGTGGTGGGGTATGTGGCAGAGAGGATATGGTCTAGTGAAGCAGTCTTCAATGCATTCAGATTCAGACTCACCTTTAACTCAAACATGTAATTGGGGACTCTATTAATTTTGTTTATCATATATTCATATGGTGGTAGTGCTAAGATGTAACCCACCTTAGATCAGGCAAGTGACCTGGTAGTGGCTGCTTTATTCACTTTTATATGCATTGTGTCTTTTGGTTGATGTTTCACTGGCTTTAAGTTGCTTTTGTTTTAATACTATAAAGGGGGGAAATAGGCTGTACACCGCTTAGAGATTTTTGAAATATTAAGTGGTATATAAATGTTTTTTAAGGGACACGGGTGGTGCTGTGGTGTAAACCACTGAGCCTTGGGCTTGCTGACCATAAGTTTGGTGGTTTGAATCCCCGTGACGGGGTGAGCTCCCATTGTTCAATCCCAGCTCCTGCCAACCTAGCAGTTCGAAAGCACATCAAAATGCAAGTAGATAAATAGGTACCACTCCGGTGGGAAGGTAAACGGCGTTTCCGTGCACTGCTCTGGTTTCGCCAGAAGCGGCTTAGTCATGCTGGCCACATGACCCGGAAAAAACTGTCTGCGGACAAACGTCAGCTCCCTCGGCCAGTAAAGTGAGATGAGCGCTGCAACCCCAGAGTCATTTGCGACTGGACTTAACTGTCAGGGGTCCTTTACCATTACCTTTTTAAAATGCTTTTAAATATATAAATAAAATGTTGGTGGATTTTCATGAAAACTTTTCAAACCGTTTCTAACCGGTGGCAAGAAAAGTGGCAAGATTGGAAAATTTCAAAAACTGAGTGAAACCAAAATTGCCAGACATGCCTACGTCTACAGATAGGCTGGCCATTGGCCACCCAGCTTGAAACTGAGTCAGCATTCAGGAATGGGAGTTATGTCCTAACCATTTGGTCACTGCACACACATTTCCAAACCCCCGCCCCTCCAATGTCTTGCAAAGTATTTTGTGCAGTACGGAAGACCGTAGTGATCCAAGAGCTGTGAGTCAAGGATTTCTAGCTCTCAAAATTCATGAGTTAAAAACCATGACTACAGCAGTAAAGATGAAGTATAATTTAATATGGCATGGAGCAACTGTAGAAACGGTGCTGGAACATTTGCTGCTTGAAGAAAAAAAAAGAATTTAACAAAGCATCAATTAAAATAAGTCAGAATGCTGAAGTCCAGCAAGTTGAGCCAGAGCTGAAAAAGTGGTTATGTTATCAGTCCTTAACCCCATTTGCGTATCAATGTGAAGTAAGACATGTTTCTCAAGGGGTTCTTCAGGCTGAAAATATTTACAGCCACAGCTGGAATGCATCATAACTGGTCATCCTGTTTTGCATGACTTGTCCATTAGCGACTCTCACTCTGTGTTGCCCTTTAAACAATAAAAATATTATGTAAATGCCTTCTCCCTTCTCTGGATATTTTGGAGGGCAATTCAGGATAAAGGCTGTTAGGTGAAAATGCCAAAGTACATTCTTCTCATTTATTTGACATACAACAACTAGTGTGTATGTTACATTTTCTCCAGTGTCATATTCATCCTGGCCTGAAAGAGAAGCACAAGTAAAACCTGTGCCACAGTAATGAGTGTTGTGAAAGTATTCTCACCCACTGTATAATTTTTTTTACAGGTGTACATTGTAGTGTAGTGACAATCCAGAGTCTTTGCATGCACCTCACAAAAGCATATGCAAGAGAGAGGAGGTGGAGGTTAGACTAACTCTGTAAAGCTTCTGCCAGTCTTCCAAATAGTGTCTTATTCAGATACTGTGGCTTAGCTGTGATCTCTTTGAGCACAGCCTAGCCTCCATCTCTTCTCTCTGCTTGTAATAAAGCCTGCTGCAGGCCTGCATTGAGATCCCTGCCACTGAGCTGTATGCAGCCCTGTTAATATTGGAGTTACCTCACCAATACCTGTGTGAAGCCTGAAGTTTCAACAGGCAGGAGAGAGATCTGTCCTGATGTTGCGGCTTTACGAAAAGGGATTCTGTTCCTGAGTTGGAATAGGAATAGGAATTGAAAGGAGACGTGGAGACCTCCATCTTTGTGTTGTAGCAACTGCCAGTGCTTCCTTCCATAACCTGCTGCGGCTCCAAAGGTGGGTGTGGTGTTGATTAGTTGATGTTTTGCCCATAGGAATAAGCTGTGTGCCACCTGGTTCAGCAGGAGGTGAGATTATGCCTATGACTTTGAACACAGGCAAGAAGGCTTAGCTTCTGAGGCACCGAGACTGAGGAATAACTTGTAGAGCACATCTAATATTCTTTTTCTGCTTCCACGAACATCTGTGCCTTCGCTTTGTTTTTTCAGGCAGGGCAAATCTTTGAAAAGGGAGGTTCTGCCTAGAGTTAGTGAGGCATTAAAGCAAGAATGGCAACCCATAAAGCAAATGCACAATGCGATGGAGCCAGAAAGATGCTATCTTCCTTAATACAGTGGAACCTCTGGTTATGTACCGTCCTCCTTGCAAACACTTTGGGTAACAAGCTCCGCTAACCCGGAAATAGGTCTCCTGGAAGCGAACTTTGCCCTGGGTTGTAAGCAGAAGTTGCGCACCAGAGGCATGCGCGCAGCAGGAGGCCCCATTAGCAAAAGCATGCCTCAGGTTAAGAACGATTTCGACTTAAGAACGGACCTTCAGAACGAATTAAGTTCATAACCGGAGGTACCACTGTATAGTACATTTTTGTATATTACTCTCAATAATATATGCAGGCAAACACCCGCCAGACAACTGAAAGATCTCTCCCATTCCTTTGGTCTATGTTCAGCAAGGGCTGATCCTCAAGAAAGTTGAGGAGCAAAGATGGAGTCCTATTGGAGTTTGTGAGCTACCCAACTATTGAAAATCTGGAGTTTGGGGGTCAATTATTCTCTATGGAGGGGGAACGGGTCTTTCTGGATGTTTGAGTCTTATTAGAGTTTTATTCCTTTGTACTATTATTTATTTCCTACAAGTTCCTGTCTTTTATTCCATTTACTTTGCTAAGTTTGAAGTTGAAGGGACATGACCTTAGTTAAAGATGACTAACTGGTTTCCTGAATCATTTACCTTACCTTAGGAGGAAGATGTCATTGTCTATGCAGAGCCCAATTCTTTCTTGTAGGAGGTGATAATTAATCTTTGCTGGCAACACAGGATTAATGTGCTGGTCTTTACAGTAAGTACTGGGAAGTCAGAATATTTACTCATACCTCCCAGGTCACGTTTGAAGTAAGGACTAAGTACCAGGGTAAGGATAGTTCATAACAGGGATCTCCTTTTATATCAAGTTATGCCAACTGCTCTGATGTCATGATCTACAGGAATTAACCATGTAAAAAGTCCAGATTGTCACATATTGTTACATCATGGAAAAGCTCCCATTCCCAGACTCTCTAATAGCCTAAGTTGTTAGATGCTTTCATACCCCATTAAGAATGTGTTTAAATCTCTTCCATTGAAAAAAATCCATTTAAATTTGGATGAATTGTGCCTTTTATACCCAGAGCGTTCCTACTGGCTCACTCCCAGTACTTTGTATAGTATCTTCACACAGAGACACACACACACACACACACACACACACACACACACTTCTCAGCTGTAAGTCTTTTCTTTCTTTTGACAACCAGACTGAAAGGCATGTTTGATCACATACTAAACAGTTCGGCCAAGAAAATAAACATTAGGTGCCCATGTGACTCTGGTCATACATTGCTGGTTGCTATATGCATTCAAAATAACACAGAAAAGCCTGTTGAGAAAGGAATCATGGAATAAATAAGAAGTACGGTATTATTTTTTTGTGTGTGCACTGCCTGACATAAGGAAGAACAAAGCAGATAAGAGAGTGTCAATATTTATGGAAATACCAAAGCTAAGGAGGGGACCTCCTAACGCAGCTTTGTAATGCTGTAGAAAGAATAGACCAATTCTGAAAAAGTCTTGTATCACTAATAAACCAACCAAACAAAAAAAAATAGTTGAATCCAACCATTCGGAGTAGACCTACTGAAATAAACCTTGCTGAGAATTTTAGTGGGAGAATATTGTTGTGGGAGAATATTATTGTGCTCATGTCTTATTTGTGGTTAAGGATCTGCCAGTTTTGGTTTTCATTTCTCATTTTTCCATTCTTGATTTCAGTTCTCCACATTTTGCAGCCATTTGTACTAAACACACACACACACACCATGAAAATTCACCAGCATTTTTGCTCAAATTTCTCCTAATAAATAAATTTTATGTGCAACTTTTCCTAATGTACACATTTTTGCAAGCAACCTTTCCTAATATAAAGCATGTCTGTAAGTTATTTTTTTACAAATGTATTCATTTTTATGCACACTTTCCTCTAATATCTGCATTTTGTGAACATTGCTTGGTTGGAAAAACTGCATTGCCAAATTTACAGAAGTGCAAATTTTGAAACAAGATAGATTCAGCTTTAAATGGCTACTGAATTGAATTTATCCTCCCTCCCTGCTTGTGGGTTTTCCAAAGGCATCTGGTTGGCCACTGTGGTAACAGAACACAGCATTAAATAGGCCTTTAACCTGATCCAGCAGAGCATTTATATTTTTACTATAGCACTCTTTGCCTGCCTACCATCCATACCTATGTCCTTGCCCGCACCTTGTCCCTATTTACATGATGATATTTGAAGCTGAAAACACACACCTTTGCTATATTGCCTTTTAGCTCATGATAGCCAGAGTTCACCCATAGCATCGATGTCTGAACAACTTCTCTCGTGATCTTCATTTCAGAACTTTCCCACAGCCATTGGACCTACCAGCTTCTGTGATGTCCTGTCCAGATGTACAAAGCATCCTGGGCAGTAGCAGGTAAGGGCACACAATAATGCTTGATGGCAAGTCTTCGTATTTGTGTGAAGGAACATCTGAACTACTTTTGCAAACTATTGCAGTACCACTGGGGTTCTTTGCGGCTAGCTAGAATGACATTCAAAGGTACTCTGCTGCTGATGCCATCACCACTTCAGGCAGGTTCAGTCTCTACCTGAAGTTTTGCTGGCATACTTTCTTGTGATCCTGATGCTTCCACATCATGCCATGCCTGCCAGCCATCAAAAGACTTCTCCACTGTCCTATCCCAGCTACAAACATTTCTTGATCTTTGCCTGAGAGAAATAAAAACAAGCAATGAGCCACCAAGAATTCTGGAATTCTTTCACCCTTCTCTCTGTACCTTTCACTGTTGTACTCAGTGGATGCCCTAGAGGGTTTATTTGTAGCACCCCGAGACTTATTTTAGCTCAGGTCCTGCCAAACCAGTACTGTTTACAACGGTTTCTGCCCAGTGTGCATAGAAAGTTACTGACATTGCAGCTGAGCCAGTTCAACTAGTCGTCATGACTCTGTCTTCAGAATACCTGCCTTGCCTTTGAAAATAACCTTTAAAGGGTGCTATGTGGTGGGGACTTTCTGAGTCCCAGAATGCACTGGAATAAAAGGAATGAATGGGTCATTTATTAGTTATCATGTTGCTTCTTGTGTGCTTTTTGCAGAAGCATCTGTTAGACTTCCAGTGAAAAGAGGCTGAATGAATTGTTAGGGTCAAGCTCATTCACCTACTGTTGCGTATCTATTTCATTTTCATTTTATATTCTGGCTCTCAGGAATATGTTATTGCATGACAGCAAGCACTAATTAAGCTATCATGCAATGACAATATGAAAGTGCATAATTCAAACTTTGAAAGCAACTGATAACATTAGACTAGTCAGTGCATTAAGGCAACAACCACAATATAATCAGAATGGAAACAACATCACAAATTTGAGTAGGCCAGTTAAAATTGCTCTGAAAAATCAGGGGCGGGGGGAACCATGGATATGTTACACAACATGACACAATCAAGCCTGGCTTTGATCTTGCTCTACCCTACGCCATATTGATATGAGAATTGGAATGATTATGCTATAAACCTCAAGGGGTGCTGCATATAATTTCATTCCCTCATGCCACCAAACACTCTGTCCTTATATTGTCAGACCCAGATGATAAAGAGAAGAGTGAGGACAGAGGGCATGATGACACAGAACTTCGTTCCCTTTCTTAATGAGTTTCCAGCACATTGAAGTTTTAGAAAACCCAAACCATCCCACTACTATCTTAGATTGAACCCCTTACTCTTTGAGGCTGTGCTAATGCGAAAGGTTTTAAACCCATGCCTGAGACACTGAGCACAAATGGCTTTTGAGCGTCTCGCCTTGCTTAAAGCAATTTGTGCCTGACTAATAATACAAGGAAGGGCCCAAAACAGTCCAGCACCATCTCCCGCCTGGATTATTTCCAAGCACATGAAGACAGTCACTAAAGAAGTGCTGAATGCATCAGGGCGGTCCTCTTTCACAGCTAGAAGTCAGCAGGATGCTCAAATTTCTTTCTCTAAGCAATAAAATGTTTTTGTTTTTAAATTTTTAATTTGGCACTTAGATCAAAGCCAGCACACTAGTGCTACTTCAGCCTATTCTCAGCCCTCTAGTCTTGAGCCAGAAAATGGTTTCTTGCAACTTCACAAAGAAATCATTGCTCTTCAATGAAAGCCACACCTTCGTGTGTGTTTTGGTTTTTGGCAAGCAGGGCACCTTTCAACTCAGATGCTTGGCATGTTTTGAATTCATGATCTGAGATGAGTTGCAATTTTCCTGCACGCCCACATCAGCCATATCACAGGCATATTTGACGGCCAAAGCTGAAAAGGTGCTTAAAAAAATACTTCTTGTGCCAATCTTGGCTGGACATGATCCAGCTGGAAGGAGGAAACAAATAACCACAGGGGGTTTGCTCACATACCTTGCAGAGAGGAACCTGAGGTAAGCTCTAACATGGAACTACTTCGCCCTTCAGTATATACAACATTGTATGTAAAGTGCCAACAAACGTTTATTTCGGTGCAACTATGCGGGGGGGGGGGGGAGGAAGTTGAGTGCCGATCAAGAGATTTACGGCAAAAGCAACATGGCGGTGTAGTGATTGTTCTAGTTATCTATGGGAAAGGACTGGAAAGTGTAATTGAATATTTATTTCATTCATTCATTCCTTCTTAAGTGTGTATCCTGCCCTTCCTCACAAAGAGGCCCAGGGTGGCAAAGTACAGGTGACAAAGCAATAAAAACATATTAAAAACAATTCCAATACGGATGTGGACTGGTAAGGATCTCAATTTAAAAGGCATTTTGAAAGAGGAAGGTTTTCAGTAGACATCCAAAAGACAACAGACACGCCACCTTTCTAATATTGAAGGGGGATTCGAAAAGTAGGTGGCAAAACCCTAAAGACGCAGTTCCTGCACTGCCTATTGACATCACGGCACCCTTTCGGCACCTGCTAAAAGCATTTTTATTTGGCAAACCCATCAAGACATGTAGAAGTCGACATGTATTTTACATCTGGTTTTAGCTTACCGTATTTTTCACTCTATAGGACGCACTTTTTCCCCTCCAAAAATGAAGGGGAAATGTGTGTGCGTCCTATGGAGCGAATGCAGGTTCCTTGGCTTCGCGGCGACGCGCCTGTCCTGGAAGCCGGAGGAGGAACAGAAGAGTCTCCTTCTGTTCCGTCTCCAGCTTCGCTGAAGGGGCGCTGCACCTTCTCCCTCTCTGCACAGCACCTCTCCTGTGAAGGAGAGGCACTGCGCAGAGAGAGAGAAGGCGTAGCGCCCCTTGAGTGACGCGCCTGTCATGCGAAGCCGGAGGAGGAACAGAAGGGACTCCTTCTGTTCCTCCTCCCGCTTCGCAGCGACGCGCCTGTCCAGCGAAGCCCGAGGAGGAACAGAAGGGTCTCCTTCTGTTCCTTCTCCAGCTTCGCTGAAGGGGCGCTGCGCCTTCTCCCTCTCTGCGCAGCGCCTCTCCTGTGAAGGAGAGGCGCTGCGCAGAGAGAGAGAGAAGGCGCAGCGCCCCTTGAGCAACGCGCCTATCAAGCGAAGCCGGAGGAGGAACAGAAGGGTCTCCTGTTCCTCCTCCCGCTTGGCAGCGACGCGCCTGTCCTGGAAGCCGGAGAAGGAACAGAAGGGTCTCCTTCTGTTCCTTCTCCAGCTTCGCTGAAGGGTGCTGCGCCTTCTCCCTCTCTGCGCAGCACGTCTCCTGGGAAGGAGAGGCGCTGCGCAGAGAGAGAGAAGGCGTAGCGCCCCTTGAGCGACGCGCCTGTCCTGGCTTCTGCTTTAGCCCTGCGCAGCCTCTTTGGGCAGGGGGAGCCTTCATCCCACTGCCCTGAGGAGGCTTGGCGCGGTTACCCCAGAAGCCGGAACAGCCACACGGTATCCCAGAAGCCAGATCCCTCTTGCTGTTCTGGCTTCTGGGGTTCAGAATAATTTTTTCTTGTTTTCCGCCTCCCATAACTAGGTGCGCCCTATGGTCCGGTGCGCCCTATGGTGCGAAAAATACGGTAACTGTTGATATTAATTATATGTTGAATTTTTATTATGTTTAATTTTGCCTTTTGTTGACAATTTTAACGTTTGTTGGTTTTGTTGGAGGTTTTGAGTCATGGCTGGCCAAGTTTTATTCAGAGTAGACCCACTGAAATTAATGGACCAAACCCTTAATTTAGCTGGGTCTGCTCTGAACTGGGTCTGCTATGATTAAATCTTAGTGGAATACCACTCTTTATTACCCACAGGCAAGTGGGACATGTGTTCTGTTGAATAATGAATGATTTAAATAGATAATTTCCCACAATAACCTGGTAAAGTAGGCCAGGCTGAGAGACAGTGACTTGTCCAGGATCACCCAACAAGTTCCATGGGCGGGTGGAGGGGATTTGAACTTAACCTGGTGCAAATGGAAATCATTTTTCTTTAGGAATTAATTGGGAAATTTTCCTTTTGTCGAAAGGAATCAGTGGTAGATCTAAATAGCGAGGGTGCAGCATGGATTGGACAGCAGCCACACAGATGGACCGCCTGATCCTGTGTGCTAGCAATGAGCAAAGCTACTTTTGATGTAGTAACTACAGGCACACATGTTATTTCCCAGATGTAGATTGTATTTGGGGTAGGGAATTGCAGTGTACGAAATGTCTGTCAGAAATGGTGTGAATAGAACTGGGTCTGCCTCTGCTTGTTCAGAAGCACATTCTTCAGAGTACCAGGGTGGGGTCTCCCACTCCTTCCCTCTGGGCTTTTTTTTTTACTCATTCAGTCCTAAACTGGTTTTTCTAGTCCTTTTTTTTTTTTTAGGCAAGTTTCCATCTCGGCTCTTAATCACCTGCAGCTCAGGGAGGAGCCACCCAGGTTCTGCTTTTAACAATCTGCAGACTTTCTCATCCTCTCCTGTCATACCATCTCCACAGACAACCTCAGGCAGAGGCAGCTGCTGGAACGCACCCACCCCTTTCTTCAACAGCCTTCCAGACAGCGAGAGAGAGGGGAGCTTCAGCCGCCGCCGAGATGTTCAAAGGGGTGGGCAAAGGCTCGCCAAGCAGAAGCTCCCCGAGCAAAGGGTCCCCGATCAAGCAGCCCAAGTAAGTAGTTCAAAAGTCTGTGGTTTTGGCAGAAGTGGGGAGAGTGCCATGGACACCAGGAGGCCACCTCTGAACAAGCAAGGTGTCTTACAAGTAAAGGGGGGGAAATGAACATTGTTTGCCTAAGGGAAGGTCCAAAAGAATAAGTGGCCTGTGGGCAGCTGCCTCTATCCATTCACTTGGTTGGGAGTAAACATTGAACTCTGAGGTACTTTTCTTTTGAGCAGACACACCAAGTGTTCTGCTGCAAAAGCTATACTGGCTTCTCTTCTCCACAGGAGGCTTCCTCCTCCTCAGCCTGGCAAATGCTTCTGAATATCTGTGTACAAGTGAGAAGGTGAAAATCCCTATTTATTGAGACTAGTTACGAAAAATATGGTTTGGCTTGGGAGCATACCTAAAAGCTCAACATCTGGTGGTATTCCCAGCACAAGTGACCCACAGTTTTTTGAGACATCTCTGTCTCCTATTGCGACAATTGGGAATTGTCTCAATAGGAGACCAAGATGTCTCAAAGTGTCTGAAAGTGCCACAAGACTTTTCGTTGCCCTAGCTCTGTTTCCCTGCTTGATCTTTTTCTTCCTGTAGTGGGATGGAAATTGTGGTGCTCTCTTGCATCCCACTGCCATTGGGATTCTTAAAAGACAAGGTAGCCTTCAAAGGGGCACAGCTGCCCTTGCTCCGTGGTGGCCAAGCGTGGGAGGCTGACAGCTAAACATTTTCCATTGGCTGCCAGATTTCCCTTCTCCCTCTTGGAAGGGTGTGATTCCTCTTGCAGGTATAATGCATACAAGGCACCGTTCAAGGCAGTGAAACACCTAACTGGCCAAAGCAGGAGAGCCCAATAAGTCAAGTTAGCAGAGGGTAGAATAATACTGGAGAAGGAGAAGTTCATACAACCCAATTATCCTTGCTTGTTAAGGGCAGTGCTTTTTTTCAGGTGCTTCTCAAGGGTCCGCAGTTCTGACACCTCTAGAGGTTGCTGTTGTTGTTAAAAAATTACCCTAGTTAAAGGTAATCTGTTTTCTTGTCCATGTCCATGGCTAATCACTTCCTCTATTTTGATAAATTTTTACCTTTTGCAGATGCCTTTTTTGAATGTTTATGTGAGTTGCTAGAACAGTAATTATTTAGGGTTCAGAGTGGGGAAGGGATGCATCTTTTCTATCAGGGCAACCTGTGGTAAATGCCTGTGCAACAGACATTAAGGTATGCAGGCTGCCATTTTGCACCCGCTGCAAAATGGTCCATTCCCTCCTGTTTCACTTTCTACTCCAATGTGGTGCCCTCCAGATGTTATGGCTTCATGCAATTCCCTTTCCTTCAGAGGCAGATGGAGTCCTTAGGCTCCATGCAAAGCTTCTTTAACTTAAGAACAATCTTCTCTGTCGGCTGCTTACTCTCTTCTCCTTATATGCCCAACCGGGATTTTGTTGTTGAGCAGCTGCTGCCATTTGAAAGGTTTGTACATGCTGCAGGTTAGTAGCATGAGTGTGATGATTTTTCCAGGGAGGTATCCGCTGATAATGTTGTCTTAGGGATTGATTCATGTCCTTTTTTAGTTTGTGTTCCTCCTGATTGGATTGCGCACATGGTGTAAGCCAGAGAATGGTCTGAGGGCACACAATGTTGTCACACTGTTAAAGCAAAGTGGGCCTCAGACTGATCTGCTAACTCTCTGTCTTGGCTTTCCAAAAGAGAATATACATGAAAGAAATCTGAAACCATCATAGTATTTCTGTGCATCCCACAATCAAGCTGCACTAAGAGTGTTTGAGGTAGCATAACGCAATAATTCAGATTATGCATAGTTTGCCTTATGGAGAGCTTCAGCCACATGGCTAGCAGTGGGGGATGCCTGAATGTTTGGAGGAGTCCTGTGAATAGCTGCAGTAGGGAATAAATACGCCTCATTGATAGAAGGCCATGGGAAGCTGCCTGATAATGAGTCAAACCGTTGTTCCATCTATTCCAATAGTGTCTGCTACAACTGGCAGTAGCTCTTCAGGGTCTTCTTCATCTCCTGGAACTTGGTCATTTCTTACAAAATGGAAATGCCAGAGATTGAACCCGGAACATTCTGCGTGCAAAACTAGGGATGTAAGGAGGCAGCAATTTCCATCCCATCCTCAGTTTGGCTTCATATATTCTTCTATGCTCAAAACATAGGCAATGAAATAAACAGTCAATTTCTGTACATTTCAATGGAAGGGAATCATTAAAAAAAAATATGCAGAGAATAATGTAACCATTAAGGTAACATTTGCAGACTTGGGAGTGGGGAGGGAATCACTGATGAAGAATGTTGCTTGCATTCATTTGTGTGATTTCTGATCCTAACCATTGATGAACATTCACAATGAGAGAATTTCCAATCCTGCTTCTCTTTCTGATGAAATTTTGCATCCCTATGCAAAACCCATGGTCCGCTGTTGAATTATCTAACCACTCCTCAAAAGAAGCCATGGAAATATTATCAGTTTGCATCATTTATAGATGTCATGATCAGTATTTCTGAATATGGTGCTTTTACCCTAGTAGGCGTCACTCATACTTATTCTAGCAGTTGAGGCACAGACCCATGGTGTTCCACTGAGTTGTGATGTCACCCTTTAAAGACAAATGCTGTCCCTTGAAAAAAATCTATATACTCCAGGCTTGACTCTATTTGAACTGATAGGGAGACAGATATTGCTGATGGCTAGAGTTTTTCTATCAACTCAGTGCACACTGGAATCATTGTTCATTCATTTGTAAAGTCTTAATTTTCTCCATAGATGATTGCTAAGAATACAATAAAATCTTCTTGGCTTTGGTTTTGTCATCAGCTTGACTTTTAAAATTAGCTTTGGTTGCCCAAAGCAAAAAATAAATAGCCAAGACAGGTTGATATTTTAGACGGCAGGTGTTCGATAGGAATCCAAAACGAAATGATTTTGCTGGTTCAAAAAGTCAGGGCAGTATGTCCAAGATCTGTCTAATGCTTAGTGACTTCCAAATGCCTCATAAATATTAACTCAATTAAGCCTGCCCTTATTCTTCCCTATTTGACAGTCTATTCATGATGATACCCAGTGTCAGTCATATTCTTGAGTATGACTTAATTGGACATCACCCATAGCTGAGACAAGCTGAATCATTGTGCCCTGTCATGGCTCCTAGATTGCTTGATCTTTTCACCTAAGAATAAGGAAGAAATGAATGCTGTCATTTATAGGAACTGAGGCTTCTAATAATCTTCCAGCTCCTGACACAATCACTACAACATTCAGTTTGTGGAGCTTGTATTTTATTAATGTCACCAAGCCTGTATTCACATCCGTAGCCCATGCAACTTTTCTGCCTAATAACCTTTTGGTGCATTGCAAATTTGCACCGTCACCTGAATGCAAAAGTGATTGCATTGGTAGCTAGCATGGAAGAGCTTGTTTGTGATTCTTAAAGCTGTTGTGAGGTGGAGTTGAGAATAAACACATGAACAATTATTGTGCAGGTGACCTGTTGTGGGCTGGGGTGTGATGCTGGCAGATTATGGCTATTGTTGTTTCCAGTGGTTTGACATCACCCCTGGAGGCATACTCCATTGTCTCTCGAGACAGTTGTATGCCAACATTTATTGTGGCATGGAAAGGTGAAGTCACACATACAAATTCTAATGAGGTGTCATCATTTCTGAAAACAGTTGACAGCTATTTCTGGATTTCTTCCCTTTTTTGGTACAGATTAAACTTGAATGAGTTAGAGCAAGAAAGTTAGGAGGCTCATGGGTGTGCAGAAGTTGTTAGTAAGTTGTATTGATTTAGAAGCTAATTGATTTTTATTTTTAAAGGGGGGATTTCTAGGTTCATTTCTGAGCCAATCCAGTGAAGACAGCATCAGGGCTGCTTGCACATTTCTAGACTTGAAAGCCCTAAATTTATGGTCATGGAAGAAACCACTTGGTTCACATTATTACAGAGGAATATATACATATGGATGGCATGGTCTAACAGAATTTGTTCAACCCAACCATTTTTTTTCCTGGGGAGAGTATCAGAATAACAAAATATTTCAGGTCAAGGAATCTAGGTGAAATATACACCTAGTTCTTAAACTCAGTTCTTAACTCAGAAAATGAAATTGATGTTCTTTTGAAAAATCGAGTAGTTCCAGGTGTCAGCTAGCTCCTCTTTCATTGGATGTCACCAGTGTGGCAAGCCATTCCGCACTCTGAAGTCCCTTCCACTAGGGACTTCAGAGTACATTTTATCTTTTTATTTTAATAGCTGCCTTATGTTTTCCTGTTGGGGAAAAAAGGACAGTAGAGAAACTATTAATAAAGCAGAATGACAAGCCTAGAATTAGGCATAGAAAACAACATAGTATAAATGGATGTCATCTAGGCCTTGAATTTTGGTCTGTATCAGAGAGTATTTATGAAGCGTCTTTACCTTTATAAAAGAGTATCACATACTTAATTTTAAAAATCCTGCTCAGAAGTATAATGTTATTTGAGAGAGAGGGTGCATAGGTAGCATTTGGTTAACTAAAGATACCATATTTTTCTGTGTATAAGACAACCACTATTTTTTTGAACCCTAAATTAAGAAATCAGTATTTTTTGGTTGCCAAAGTTGTTGAGCTTTTCTGGGGCAATCTTGGAGTTGTTGATCACCCTGCCGAAAACCGTGTATAAGACGACCCCCCGTTTTTTACTCAAAAAATTAAGGGGGGAAAAACCATTGTCTTTCATACACAGAAAAATACGGCAAGAAAAGCCAAGATACTTCTTATATTAAACACAAAAAGCTGTGGGGTGGTAGTTTCAGAAATGAAGGTAACTGCTGACCTAACCTGGATGATCACCAAGCACGCTTAATAAAGCCAATTAGAGAGAATCATCAGTGAATTACCATGAAGACAGTTACACAGAGGCAAGCACAGAATATGTATTTGTTCTGGAGAAAGTTGTTACCAGACTTAGGATTTAATAATCACATTGCGCTCATGCCTCTTAAGAGGTCAAGGCAATGAACACGATTAAAAGGTTCACTTTGAAGGAAACCCTTTGATATAAGTTTGGTGATGGATCAATTTGCTACATGGGTTTTGCTAAGGCTGTGAATCTAGGAAGGTAGATGGTTGTTGGGATAACTTTAGTATGCGTGGGAACATCTTTTGTGGTGTACTCTCACACGCAGAGGGCAACATGAAGTTTGAGCAGCCACCCCTACCCACAGCAGAGTGACTTTCATGAACCTCCCCTAGCATGAGTCTGGGTCAAGCCTGCCATGTTAAATCTCCCACAGTGCCCCAGAGCATTTGACATAGCATTGATGAATGACATTCTCTGGGGCACTGTGGGAAATGTTGGGCAGGAAGCCCAAAACAGGAGGCAGAGTCAAAAACAGTGCGCCGTGAAAAGGTGCTAGATGCTATCGCCAGTCCTGAGAATTTCTAAACAAGCATCACATGGCAAAATGCAAATAGACAACAAGGAAGAGTTCCATGAGCCACAAGCTTCTCGTTCCAGCTGATCTTTGGTTCTTGGATTAGTCTGTTTTATCAGAAAGGTGGGTCACCAAAACACCTTGAGTTTCAATACTTTGTGGTTTCTTGCCATACATATCATACCATAAATTGCAAAGTATGAGCAAAGCTGTCTGATACGTTGAGTTTCCCTTGACTAGGCCTGTTGGCCAAGGTGCAGAAAGAGAACTCAGAAAAGCAAATACCTTTCTAGGGCTGTCTCAACATGTCAGGGAGGCCACATGGGTAATGACTAATATTCCTTCTCGTTTGGCAGAAAGCAACAGTTGAAGTTCTGGGTGGTGTCCAAGTGTTTGCCGTCAACGGCTCCTCCTCATTCCAGGGATGGGGAGCCAGTGGGGCATCAGCAAGAGGCAAGCGACTTGTGCAATTGACATGAGAAAGGTTAAACCAGTTTCTGCATTCAAACTGGTAGGACTAGTGATCCCTGAGGAAAACGGGAGCCTGGTTGTGTGTGTGCCCTCTCTCACCAAACATTACCACCCACCTTCTTTGACAGTGACAGAGAATAAAGTTTCGCACAGGAACAATTGGTTGCATCCAGTTGTGTGTGCGGAACAACTTCTGCTCGTGTAACAAAATGTCTCCTCCCTCTCCTCTCCCCACACTCCACATCTGCTCTAGGGGTTTTCACAACCCTCCACAGCAGATCTGGAGGCAGAGCAAAGAGGAGGAGAGGGAGTGGAAGTTCTGTTGGGCTCATGGAAGCCATTGCATGTGCTCAGTGACTTAGCTTAGATTCAATCTGACATATATTGCTGTTTCGAGTGCTAAGAAAATGTGACATTCCTGAAACAGAAAAACCCCCTTGAAAGGATCTAGATCTATCTATATCTATCTATCTATCTATCTATCTATCTATCATCTATCTATCTATCTATCTATCTATCATCTATCATCTATCCATATAATAATTAAATATTTCTATAGCAGTCCATCAATAAAAATTCCCTGTGCATCCTACAAACAAAACAAGATTATGATTACAGCATGTAATAGTTTTTAAAATCCCACAATAAAACAACACCTCGCTTTCTTTACAGTAACTGTTTGCAATAATACCACAAACAGTTTACAGCCTACACTAAATTACACTAGGCCACAATTGTCCAAGCTTAATTTAAAAGGAAAATTACTAAGGTGGAACAGAGAGAGAGAGAGAGTGATGATCCACCATAAGAAGTGAGGATGACTCAACATGCATAATCACTTTTTCACTCCATTTCACTTCACTAATTTATTCTAGCCTTTGTTGCTGCTCTAGAAAAGCAGGATTAACAGATCACAGAGCCTAAATTGAAACTAAACTTGGAAACCACTCAACATTTTAACTGAAGTGGTATAGAGCCCTTCATGGACTTCTCCAAGGCATCTAAAGTTTTAGCACTCTAATTTCTTCTTTCGCCATTGATTTATGCTAGCAGTAATGATAGGGTGTGTCTGAAGACATAGGGTTTGTGAAAACTGAATACTTCTGATGGTATATACCTCTGTCATTTTTCTGCAACAAAGGACAGCTGTTTCTCAGACATTCATTACATCAGCTCATTTTTATTGCTACGCTTTCCTGCATGGACACACTTATTTTCTGTTGATTAATCTGAAATAAACCAGTTTATTTTGATTTTGGCTTACAATCCCACAGTACAGGAGACAAAAAGCATGTGCTTAAATGCATATACATGTGTCACAGAGCCTTGACCAATTGCTAGCTTCTGGGTGAATTAATACAATCCTTAGCTTCAGATACTTCTTTTCAGAGTTTATGCTGCCATTTTTAATCTGTGCATGCTAAAGACATAGCATTGTGTGTTAGCAGGGATGGAGGAGAATTTTGTTCAAGCTTGCATTTTAAGGAGAAACTGCTTAATTCATACTACTTGAACAAATACGCGAACCAAAACACAGCTAACCTTTGAAAAGTTGCACTTGTATGAATTTTACAATGCCATTCTCCAGCAAAAATTTGTAGAGAAATGCATATACACAAAAATGTGTATATTAGTGAAGATCACATACAAGAAATATATAATATTTGGGGAAATCGCTTACAAAAAAATGTATATTGGATGCATTTATATACAAATATATTATATGCTGGTGGAAATGTATAAAATGCATACAAATATTTGTGTGTGTGTGTGTAAAATTATGTCAACTGTATTTAAGGTTGGGAAAATGAGTTTTCCTTTCCAGTTTTTTAAAAAAAAGAAAAACACAAAATACCCTCCAGATATTCACTGAATAATATTTACCAAATATACTTGTAACCAGCATTCAGTTGTAACCAGCCGTTATATTTTGCAGCGTCGATATGCAACACAGTACAGTGTTAGTTACCAGCATGGGCAACTGATATGTAATGGTACAGTGGCTATCAAGCGTCCTACCTTCAAGGAACACTTTCTACTTTGGCACCTGCCAAGGAATCTCTGTGTGCCACAACATTCTTGTGGAGGAACCCTGAAAATGATTCTGAAAATGATTCTGGTTATCAGGTTCATACACACTCAGTTCACTCACAAGGGCAATGTTGAGTCCCACAAGAACACACTGTGCGCCCATATAACATACTCATTCTCTTGTGGTTGTTCTTCTCACAGAAGAGTATTGCTAAACTCTCTGTCCATGACACAATGTGGAGACTAGAGACAGGAAGAGCTGACGGTTAATGATATCAAAGGGGAGCTGTTCTCCCTTTTGATTTCAATCATGGGGTGGTAAAAAGTCAGGTTTGAAATCACCTTCAATGCCAATATTCAGGGGCTGATGGAGAATCAGGCATCAAGGCATGGCTCAGGAATGGGGTTTAAAGTGAAGGAATAGGAGACAGTTGAAGTGAGCTCCCCAGAAGAGAGTTTGAAAACCACTGGTTGTTTGTGATATTTGACAGCATTTGATAGTTGGCATGCAATAGTATTTATTATTCAAAAGCTGTCATGTAATGGTATTTTTATCTTGTAACATTTGAATGATAGGTATATAGTATATTTGTGAATAATGATTTCCATTCAAAGTGTGAATACAAAGCTTTGGTAACCAAAAAGTATATTTAGTAGGTTCTTTTAAAAAAACCACATAGGATGATAGATGCTTCTGATAGATAACAAGTATCTCTTCTCAGAGACAAATAGTTTTATTTTCCATTAGAATGACTCCCTATAATATTATAGTCTGCAATGTCATTCACTGCAGTTTTTATACTTTACTTATTACTGAGGGGAGAAAGAAATCAACTATTGCTCTTTTCAACATATAACGTAACACACCCTAGGTGGTTCTCAAGAAGTCACTAGGAAGTCATCAATGGGTCAAGCAAACATTGTGTCTGGATTGTCAGGCTGTTGACAATCCACAGTATTAATTTGTGGTTATAGGAGTGTATGAAGAAGGCAATTTCTTAGTCTGGGCTGGTGGAGAATTGTGGAGAAGGATTGTTGGACAGAACTGGAAAGACTTGTGAAGAAGAAACAGTCGACTGAAGTTGCAGGACATTAGCAACTTTGGACTTTGGATGTGCAATGACTTTGAAAGCTAAAAACCCTCTCTAGGCTCAGAGAAAGACGCCTTCTTGTAGCAGCTGTGTATAATATGTATATAGTGTGTTTTGTGTTTACCAAGTAAAACAACCTCTGCTACATTTTGTCTGCTATGGGAAGCTAAATCGCTTTGCTGAACTTCTGACTACGCGCAGTCACCCAGAAGATTACTGGGCACAAACACTCCAAAATGCATCTCACTTCTACATTACATCAGCAATAAAGTTAGGCACTCTTTCTCAACAGCAGACTTGGATCTGTTTCATTCCTATTGGCCTGGGAGGGCCTCCTTGTGAGCTGGAGGCGCAGCAAGGCTTTGTTGAGGCTGCTCAGCTGATACACAGAAAAGCCACTAGGACTCCCCATTTATGTGCATTTCATTTATGGGGGGGGCGGTCCAGAAGGTAAGTGGAGAGTCACCTGTATTTGGCAATTACATAATGATTAATCGGGCCATGACTCAAATGAAAACTTTGAGCAAACTACTGTAATTTGTATGCACCTGATTTCTCTGTTCTTGTCCTCAGATCCTCAAGCACAAATGACTTGGCTGTGCTCATCTCTCGCATGCAAAAAAATGCTGACCAGGTGGAAAAGGACATCCTTGAAACACAAAACAAACTTAAGCAGGTAAATTTGGGGGCTTGATATGAGACCCACACTATGTGCTAGAGATGAAGGGGTATTGGAGAAAGCCCTGAATAGAGCATTAAAACCCTGAAGATTCAGCTGCACACCCAATGTCTAGGTGGTGTGCAAGAGCTTAATACATCATTTTGTCTCCAACCCAATGCCTTCGGGAAGTATCATCTGCTATTGTTCCCTCAGCATGCTAAGTCTATCCTTCACGAATTTGTCTCACCTATTTTTCGAATCCTCTAAGCTAGAGGCTACCAGTGTATATTTTGGCAGTGATTTCTGTAAATTAATGATTATGCACTGCCTGATGAAAAACACTTTCCTCAAGTTTGTGAAAATACCGAGAGCTGCCTGTTTGTACTCAAGAGTAAGATTTGGCTTCATGATTCACAGCCACTTCCTACCATCTCTGATGGATAATGGCATTTATGCACCAACACTTTTTTTGATTACAGGACAGCAGTTACCGCCAGCAGAACAAGCCTTTTGAGTTCCAGCAGGAGAATGCCAAAAACCTGAAAGAGGCCGAGGTGCTACTGAAGGACCTCTTCCTAGATGTGGACAAAGTCAAACGTCTGAAGCACCCTCAGGCCTTGGAAATTGAAAAAGAGTGAGTTTGTAATGCTTCTATTTGTTTGCAACCCTTCTGAACTAAATTTTAATAATAATAATAATAATAATAATAATTTTTTATATATATACCCCACCCTCCCCTGCCAGAGCCGGGCTCAGGGCGGCTAACACCAGTAAAATTACAATAAAAACATAATGGGGGGGGACCAATTTAAAATATGGGTCAAAATACAATTTAAAATGCAGCCTCATTTTAATAGTAGCTCACAGATCAAAACCATAAGGGGAGGGAAACATAGGGGTCAGACTGAGTCCAAACCAAAGGCCAGGCGGAACGGCTCTGTCTTGCAGGCCCTGTGGAAAGATGTCAAGTCCCGCAGGGCCCTAGTCTCTTGTGACAGAGCGTTCCAACAAGTCGGGGCCAGTACTGAAAAGGCCCTGGCCCTAGTTGCATGGTGACTAGGGATGAGGCACAAATTAGATTCAGTTTGCATTTTAAGGTGAATCTTCCAAATCTGCACCTTCCAAAACAATGTACAGACTGAAATTCAACCATGCCTGGATAGCTCAGTTGGCAAGAACATGGTGCTGATAATCCCAAGGTTGCAGGTTTGATACCCATTTGGGACACCTGTATATTCCTGTATTGCAGGGGGTTGGAAATGATGATCCTCAGGCTCCCTTCCAACTTTACAATTCTATTATTCAAAATTTGTACTTCTCTGAATTTTGCAGTGTGGTTCCCCAACCCAAGATATGTGTACAAAAATGCATGTACTAGGGTAAAGTTGCTCAGAAATGCATAAAGCAGCAGAGAAATTAATTAGGGTAAATGTAAATATATGGGGAAATATGCTTTAGAAAGATATATGTACAGTGGTACCTCAGGTTAAGTACTTAATTTGTTCTTAACCTGAAACTGTTCTTAACCTGGAGCACCACTTTAGCTAATGGGGCCTCCTGCTGCTGCTGCGCCGCCGGAGCACGATTTCTGTTCTCATCCTGAAGCAAAGTTCTTAACCCGAGGTACTATTTCTGGATTAGTGGAGTCTGTAACCTGAAGCGTATGTAACCCGAGGTATCACTGTATATTAGGCAAATGTGTATACAAAAATGTGTATATTAGGAGGAGTCTACACTAAAATGGAAGTCTGATAAACTTAAATTGACAGATTCTCCCATCCCTAATGGTAACCCATGTGGCTGACTGACATCAATAGGTGATAAACTCCAGACCAAACCTTTCATTGTGGTCCTGGTCAAATCTTCCTTAGGTTGGGAGACCTAATTTCTAACAGAGAAACTTCCTTCTTTCTTGCAAAGCATCAAGCAGCTGCACGGCCGAGTGACACACCAATGTGCCGAATATCGAGATCTGTATGAAAAGTTTACACTTCCTGAAGCTGGTTCCAAAGTGGACTGGGGGAAAATTCTAGAACAAAAGCAGGTAAAGGTTGCTAACTGGATACAGTGGTATTTGATTTGAGCAAGCAGATTTGCTAATAAAGGTGAACATTAATTCCACTAAGGAAAACAAAAGGCATGATTCAAGAAGTTATGTTCATGAGGATTTTATTTTTATTTATTAAATGTCTATACCGCCTTTCATCCAAAGATTCATGGGGCAGTTAACTATATAAAAACACAAAAATACATAACATAGTAACAAACAAAAGCAATAACCTCCCCTGGCTCAATCATTGATAGCAGATGAGACCATCTTCAGATATGGCCCAGTATACAACTTGATGGGAATTCAACCTGGTCATCATGATAATCATAGTAGCTATGGTTTGGATCGCAACCTTAGGCCCTCTTGTCACTGCCATCATTGAAGGAACTATAGCAGAAGGGGGTTTGTTTGGATTGTTAAATGCAGTTTCTTTGCAGTAAACCTGAGAAAGTTTTTTTAATGTTGCAAATATCTTAAAGCAACCCGGAAGATGCAGCTGCTTTAATAGTGCCTTTGAAATAAATACCCCAGGCTTGTAGTCAAGATGAACTGGCAGCTGTTTTGCTACTGAACATACCCTTTGCCACAGACCTGCTTTCAACTACTGGCACTAGACCTGAGCTTTTAGAATGGAGGGTTGCCTTGTCATCACTATAGCTCTTTGGTGTCCAGCTGGGCAGGGCATAAATAATAATACTTTGTTGATAATGTTGTTGTTGATGATTATGATGATCTACCAGCAGGTGAAACAGGGTTCCTTAGTGCACAACCGACTTCTTCCTCCCCTGACTCAGGGGGAGTCAAATTCCCTGTTTGGATAATGATCCAGTCTATGCTTCCCTCCACATCTCCTATTTACTCTATGGGCCCCTAATAAAGTCTGTGAGGAAGACAACACACACACACACACACACACTTCTCTTCTCTGGTGTCCTAGCTATGGGCAGAGTAATGGCTGGAGGCATTTGCATTGCAGAGCTAGAAGATATTTTGGCTGCTGCCAGCCACACTGTTGTCTTGGATGTAAGCCTACTCAGCTGTTTCTTCTCTGCATGAACCTTAACTCTCCTCCTGCCCTGCTTCCTTGTAAAATCAACAGCTAAGGCTGTGTACACACTATACCTTTAAAGCACATTCAAAGCATGTTTCTCCCATAAAGGAATTCTATGCACTGTATTTTACCCCTCAGAGTTACAATTCCCAGTATGCCTTAACAAACTACAGTGCCCAGAATTCTTTGAGGGGGGAAATGTGCTTTAAATGTGTTTTAAAGGTATATTGTGTACACAGCCTAAGGTCCTCCTGAATCAAAGGATTCTCCTCTGTCTGAAAAGCTTCATGGCAGAAAAAAGTTTATCGGGGGGGGGCAGTTTTACCAATAATGGTTTTGTGCTGGTAAAACCACCAGGCCTTTTGAACCTGTCCTGAGAACCTCTGCCTCCCCTCTTCTGTTTTCTCCTGCTCTGTTGTTCTGGTGCTCAGTAACCTCCAACATCACAAGGTAAGGGGGTCCTTATTGCTGGCAGCTACCATGAGGAACAGATCTTGGCGTAGGAGGTTAGAGGAATGGACTGGTCTTTCTCAGTTGGGTAACCCTTAAAGTGCTCTTACTGGCTTTGTTGCAGAAAGAAATCGATGCAGGGAAATATGGACCTACTATGCCAGAGCTGGAGAAACAGGTAGCAGAACACAACATCCTTCAGAAGGAAATTGAAGCATATGGACTCCAGATCAAGAACCTTCATAGTCCGGTAAAATTGCATATTTCATCTACCTTTCCAACTCTGTTGATAGACCCCATTGTGTGCCCCCAGAATGTCTTCAGTAGGGTTCCCTCAACCCTGCAATACAGATTCCGAGGTTGTATAGAGTTTTGCAGATATTACTATTGTGCAGCTGGAAGCAACTGGGTGCATAAAAACTGACTCCTTTTGAAATGAAACATGGTCCAGACCCATTAGATATTATTCAAAACTTTACTTGCAGAACTTTCTTCAAAACAGAACAAAAACATCAGTGATACATCCAAGTAATTCCATACAATATCTTGCGCTGTCCAGCACAGGCTCAGCATCTTATAAATAAAAGGTCTATAAAATCTCAACAGTTAAAAACTTGAGAAAATAATGAAGTTTTGAGCTGATGCTGAAAAGATAACACATGAAAGATGCATAAATAAACATAGCTTTGGTTCTTCAAAAATTTTTGGCATTTGTTTTTGTTTTTAAGGCATTTTACTGTTTTATTATGCAAACCACATTTTTATTTTTATATGAAAGCCAGTCAATAAATGCTTAATTGATTAATTAAGTAATTAACACTGTAGGTGTCAAATGGACTTCTGGGGGGAGAGTATTACACATTTGGGACATTATGTGATTATGTGGCCTTTTTTAGGACATTGTACCTCAGCTGCCCTATTACTGAACTGTGTGATAATAACAGCCTACAGAAACAGACTGAGCCTTAATTACCTTAGTAAAGTAAAATTGCTAATTGATAGTGATGACTAATTGGTAGCCAAAAGTAAAGGCCAATTTAGCTAATTGATAGCTTTCTGCTGCCATTCTTTAAACAGAAAGCTATGAGTAGTCTGCTTTGAAAGGATGAAACAAAGCCAGAATTTTGCACTCAATGTTCAAAATTCAATGTTCCCAGCATCACTTTCCTGAATCTGATTCAAATTAAAATGATAAACACTGAATTAGTACACACAGAATACCAGCATTTTGAAATAAACTTGTTAGCATTAATTTATTTAAAAAGCCAGAAGACTCTACTTGAATCCAAATTGTATAAAATAAGTCTTCGCTGACTTTCCTACAGTACATATATTGGACCCTGACAATTGCCTGCAATAAGACAAGGTCTGCTTTTTAAATAAAACTTTCTATAGTCTGTGAAATTCTTTTTTAAAACTTATAATCAATTACTTTGTGACTGTTCTCTCTCTCCCTCTCTCCCTTCCCTCCTTACCAAACAAATAGGAAGCAGAAGATTTAAGGAGCCGGCACAAGAAATTGCTGGTAAGAATTTTTTCCAATATGTCTAGAATAGAATTTACTGCGTTAATCCATAGACCACAACATCACTTTTTCTCTATGAGGTAACTTATTTTTCCTTTTAAAAAACACCAAATGGATTATTAAAGAGGCTTTTATATTTTAAAGAAAACTGTCAGGTTCAGGCAGGGCGTTGTTTGGAAAATGAGGCATGTTTAGCTGCACCCCAACCTGGACTAGTCGATTCCTGAAGCACTTACAAAGCTGCTGAGGCATACCCAGGGGAAGAGGAAGGTGGGTGCAGGCCACCCCCAGTGCCACCACTGAGGGAGGTGACAAAATGCCAGGCGGCACTCACCGCGGGGCCTGTAGCGCGCCCGAGCCACGCACCTCTCCTGGGAGAGACACGGTGGCTTGGGCGTGTGCAGGCTCTGCGCTGCCCAAACGGTCCGCTCGCTGCCTCCCCCCCCCCCCCAGCTGTAGGGTGGCTGAGTGGGAGGAGGCAGGCAGACTCTGGAGGCTCTGCGGTGCGCCCCACCCCTATGGGTGCCCTGCCCTCGCCCCACCCCTGGGTGCGCAGCCCCAGGCACCCAAGCAGCTTCCTCCACTGCTAGGCATACCTCTGCACCCTTGGCAAGAAGCTATATTGGGACCTTCAAAGTTGGGAGGGACCATGGACCAGACACTCAAAAAGTTTGCTATTTGTTGCCTTTCACACTGTGCCAGTGACTTCCTCTGCAGCCATCAGGATTGGGTCTGCTCTACTCTGCCTCCCTTCTCCTTCTTCTTCTTCTTCTCCTCCTCCTCCTCCTCAATCATCTGTCTGTCTGCTTCCTGTCTCCCTTCCTCCGCTTGCTGCTTTCCCTTCTACTTCCTCCCTATCCCTTCCTTTTCCCTCTTCCTGCAACTCTCACCCACTGTCTCCATATTTATTCCCTCTGAGCCATGCTGGGTGCTCCGCTCACACTTCTAATAGTGCTGCTGGCCACCTGGGGAGGGGTCCCCACAGGACTGCTGTGAAGGCCCACACCAGCAACTGGATTCCTCCTCTGAGACCCCAGAGGAGCCTTCGCCCCTCATCCAGCCACCCCAGAGCTGCGGAGGAATGGGCTGGGGAATGGGCAGGTGGCCTCCTAGCCACTCCAAGGCAGAGTGGAGAGGTGCAATTTTCGCACACATACTTGGGCCTGCAGCCTTGGAGGTGCCAACCTGGTCAACCCCTAGGTACACTCCTACAAAGCTGAAGTTGGTTACTAGTTCCCAGTACCTTATTTACAGTTCCTGGTTCCTTGCATAAAGGAAGCACTGAATGTGTAATTGGAAGCGTGAGGAAAAGAAAAGCATTTGAATGCCCTGGGTGCAGTATTTAAATTCTGCCCCTTCCACACAATGGTTTCCAGAACCTGAGGGCCCACTTCAAGCAACCAAACAAGCCACATGACTCACTGAGCACAAACACCTTCATTTCAGTCACCCATCCCCACACTAGCCAGCGTCTCTACGGGGAAGTTTTTGGACTGAGGTTTTGAGGCTGGATGTAGAGGGAGATCCAGGTTCATATGATAAACATTCAGCGGTGGCCTTTGTCTTTCATTCTAAACTACTTCATGGAGTTGTTGTGGTGTCAAATTATATTATGAGGGAGAATTGAAACGAACCACGTTCCCTAAAACGGGCTATAGGCATTCTAAGTTAAAATTGCTGCCAAGGCATTGAAATCTCTCTCTCTCTCCAAATGGATAGAAAGCCTCTATCTGGAGGGGCCAGAGCTTGGGCAGCCTCTATACACACCTCCAGGGTTGCACTAAGGAGCTGGGTTACCTCACAGAGCAGCAGAACAAGATATTGAGGCAGGACTGGAGTGACCAGATGGCTGACCCCCAGTCTGCGCGGCGTGCGTACGAGGTAAGTGACGGCATTGCAAAACAAAAGCACCTGGTAGGGAAAAACAGGAGATTTGGGGAAGACTTCAACATAGTGCTTTGGCAAGGGTTCCATAAGCACAATAATTTTGACTTGCCAGACAGAAGAATTCCCTTACATGGTGTCCTGGGGGTTCCCTCAACATCCGCAGAACCAATTTTGGGAGCCACATCCTGCATGCAGTGGACGTTATTGTGTGGGCTTTGCCTAGCAAGGCTTGTTTGTAGAATCCTGCCCAAAGGGTGGTATTCAACTAAGTTTTACTCACAGTATACCCATTGAAATCAATGAACATTCCTAATTTTAGTTGATCTGCTCTGAATAAAACTGTTGAATGCCACCCATGGTAACCTTTTGGATAAGACTTTGGTCAGGGAATGCGGGTTTCTTTTATTTACTCTCCAAAGTGGTTTTTAGTTCACAATGATTCATATGTATAACAGCACCAACATGTAGCATAGTTGCATTTGATAGGAGTCCTTTTAATTATCAGTGTTGAACATCACTTTACTAAACAGATAACTGGGCCTGTTGCTGCTGTTGTTGCCCTTTACCTCAGTCCCACAGATTCCACACACTCAGAGGAGAGTCCCAACGTATATTCAATATGTTCTGGTTAGTCAAAGCTCTCTGAACTTGGGCATGTTTGTAGTTACTCTGACTTGGTCAACAGAACAAGGGTGGACCCCAGAGGAAACCATCTTTTAGGCTTCTTCTGAGCATGCATGCTCTCTAGTGCTCCTTTTATGGAGCTACGAAGTGCCGCACAAGCATGGAAACATTGAGGAGAGAAAATGCAAATGGGGAGGATGGAGGAAGCTACCTACCATGTTATGAAACTTTTATATAAATGGTTGGGGAACCTGTTCCAGGCTGCTTTGTGGCATGGGTATCTGTGTACATGAGAGAGCCAGCAATGAGGAAAGGGAAAACGGATACTTTTGCATCTAGATGCTTCTTTCTTTGCATGCAAACCATTTGTGAATGGGGATTTGGGAACAGAAGTCCTACCACTTTCAGCTGACATAAGCTATCACTATAATCTATGCCCTGGTTTCCTTAGCCAATTGGGTCTGGGGCACATCTGGAAAGTTCTAGCTACATGTACTTCACATTTTTCCAGTTGTTTTATTGGGAGAAGAGATTGTATAAATGTGCTCTTTGTCTTCTAATGCATCATTTATCTCTCTCTCACACTTTTATATGAAAATCTGAGCAGCAGGAGTTTTCTCTGCCCCACTGACGTCAGTAAAGGCATCTAATAACTAAGCTTAGCGGTAGATTTGGCAGTTTCCAGGACACGTGGGGCTACTGCTTCTCCTAAAATGCAAAGGACCTCTTAGCATTCAAAGTGCTTATATAGTGAGCTCCTTCTGATCCCCCTGCAGGATTTCAAAAATAATGAACTCCTTAACCAAGAAGAGCAGGTGAATACCCTCCAAGATGATGGAGAGAGGATGGTCGAATTGAAGCATCCAGCTGTGAGCCCAATTCAGGTAGGTGCAGAATCTGGAACTCTCTCTGTGCCCAGATCTTCAAACAGTTATGCACTGATTCTCCCATAATCCCTGACCATTGGTCATGCTGGCTGGGGCTGATGGGAGTCCAACTACATCTGGAGGACCAATTCCCCACCCCTCCGCTTAACAAAGAATTGTTCTAGATTTCTCTTGCTTCAAGCTGTGTCTAAATGTTTGTGATATTATATGGCCCTCCAGAGCGAGTTCAGGAGAACAGCAAAATAAAAGAGCACCGTATTTCTCGCTCTATAAGACGCACCAGACCACAAGACGCACCTAGTTTTTGGAGGAGCAAAACAATAAAAAAAATATTCTGAATCTCAGAAGCCAGAACAGCAAGAGGGATCGCTGCGCAGTGAAAGCAGCAATCCCTCTTGCTGTTCCGGCTTCTGGGATAGCTGCGCAGCCTGCATTCACTCCATAAGACGCACACACATTTCCCCTTACTTTTTAGGAGGGAAAAAGTGAGTCTTATAGAGCAAAAAATACGGTATTTATTGAGATACTGTTTCACCATTAAAACCTACCGCATCCTGAGAGCTGAGAACAGGCAACTCTAGTGTGCCACTTAAAAAAAACGTATCTTTTCCCCCAAAGTTTTGCAATCTGCATTAGATGAAGGATCTTCTCTGAATAATTACGCTAACCTTACATTCTGTGTTTTGTTGGACAAATCCACACTACAAAAATAGCTTAGCAGACATCCCCTTCTTCCCAAGGAAACCTGGGAATTGTAGCAGGGGTGTGGGTGGACTCAGAGAAATTTCTGCAACTTGGCAAACTACAATTCCTAGGATTCTTTGAGGAGGCAGCCATGACAGCCAAAGTGGTATAAAAAGACAAACCTAAGTTTGACAATACCATACTAATTGGGCTGTGCTATGTGCTGCTGGATCTGCTGGGTTCTCTGCCCTCTGGTTCTCTGGTTCTTCAGGGCAAATGGATCATGATGCATGTTCAATAAACAGGTTGTCAGGTGACCTGATTCAGAAGCTCCCATTCCGAAAGGCCTTTTCTTGTGTACCAAAAGATAAAATTCTTCGGGATATGTGGTATGTTGGAATAGCTGGGTCAAAGTTCTGGCCCGTTATATGTACAAGCAGACAAATGCCCTGGAAATGGTCAGTTATGAAAGGAAACAGAAATTGCAGAGCAAATGTCATCTGGGGAGTTTTTGCTTTGTGCTACATTGAAGTTTGGCATTATATTCTCAACTGAGAATATAATCATGGAGAGCTTGGGCTAGAGTCCAACAATGCAGCTTTCTCAGGGAGTGGTAATATTTTGCAATCTGATGGCATTAGTATTCGGGGAATGAGATGTTGCACAAGAATAAACTATACCGCTGTCCATCCTCTAGCTGTGCAACGAGCTTACAAGTGTGTTTTGAATGTTAATATTTTTCAAAAATGTTTTACGACACACCTCTGATCCAGACCTTATAGAAACTGATACGTTCACATGATACAAAGCAAATGTGTTGATTTCCCTCTCTCAGATTTTGAACAGCATATTATCTTTCCCCTGTAATATTATTTCCTTTGTTGTGTGGATTCAGCAGCCTACAGCTACATACTTCTGTCAGTTTGGGGGTTAACAGAAAAGAAACTCAGCGGAAAACCATGAAGCTAGATGGAGAATGACATGAGAACTATTTCTTTTCCACTGCAGGCTCATCAGGAAGCGCTTAAGAATGAGTGGCAGAATCTTCTCTACTTGTGCATCTGCCAAGAGAACCATCTGAAGAACATAGAGAACTACAGAAAGGTAGATTGTGGGAGGGTACTAGAAGGTGGTATATGAGGGACCCCAGGGATCTCAAATCTTCATGATCATGTGTAGAAACTTTTAAAATATTTAGGCAGTTTCCTAAGGGCAGGCAGGCAAAGTTCACATGACACTCAGTGATCAGAAGGTACACCTTCAGCACTTTGAACTCCTTGCGCCTTGGTCATCTCATGGATCCCTCCTCACCCATAACTTAGAAAGATTCCATGTTCAGAGTCTGAAAGCATTTGTTTGTCTAGTATGCCCATAGAATTGTAGCGCTGTAGAGTTGGAAGGGACCTAAAGGTCATCTCATCCAACTCCCTGCAATACATGTTGCATTTGTTTTTGCAGAAAATCTCTTAATTTCATAGGACTCGATTCAGATTTTTTGTGAGCAGTCCTTCTCCCTGTGCCCCATCAAAGCTGCTCTAGAACTGCCTCCAAAGCAGCAGTGCAAGGGGCTCTGGGGTGGGGGAGCAAAGGTTAACAAAAATCACCCTTGCCCACTCTCTTCCTCCTGTCAGAGCCACTGCTAGATCTGAGTCCATTCCACAAACAGAAGCGGACCTTCCATTTGTGGAAAGGCAGGTCTAAATCTAACGTAGTCCTTTTAACACTCTTTGAATCCCTTTTTTGGGGGGGGTTAAAAAAGAGATTTCCTACTGCATTGCTATTGAAATTTCTATCTCATCCTTTGGACACATTCCTAGGGCAGCTTACAAAGAATCAAAATGCAATACCATGCAAGTGATTAAAGCCATTGCCACTTGCAAACAACGTATTAAAAGCAGCAAAATCTCAAACAGCAGCATGCATTCGCCCTTAGAAAATATAGAGCTCTTCACCTGGTGCTGGAAGGTCATCAAAGTAAGTGGCGGGCAAGCTTTCCTGGGAAGAGCATTACAGAATATGGGAGGCACCATGGCAGCGACTATTGCCCAATGTTCATCTGCCACTCCTGATATGGAGGAAAACCTGGTAGAAGAGTCTCTGTGCAAGATCTTGGTATTGATAGAATTAGGGCATGTTTCCAACATTTTTAATGCTTTAGCACTAAACCAAATGCATAGAGGCAAAAGTCATGGCCACATAGTACTGGGTCACATGACTGTTGAGGTCTTAATGCAGGTCCCAATCACACCAGTGGGCAGCACACGGAAAACTAGTGGAAGCAGCCAAACTCTGGAGCCCTGAAGCTTGCACTGTCCTGATAGGATGAGGCTATATAGTTAAAGTTTGGCAAAAACAGCAACATGAACATTCTGCTATAGGAGCACAGCAGCAGAAGTTAGCAGGGTCTGAATTTCATGGTCAAAGTACATTTCTCTGACTGTTTTGCTACTGCTCTTCTCTCTTTTTTGTATTTAGTTCTATGACGATGCTGATGCTGTGAGCCATTCGCTAAACAAGCTGAACAATGACCTTGATACGAAATACAGCACATTCAACAAGGACAGCCCGGGAGTGGTGTCTGATTTATTCCTTCAGCTGGAAGTGAGAACCACAAGGGGGAATGGGGACGTGATTTCAACAAGTTCTTACGTTTTAATTACTGGCCTGGAGCAACTGTGCCTCTCCAGGATTATTGCAGCAACCAAATCTAATTATTTTTATGGCTTCATCTAAATTCAGTTAGGTGCCAGAGCCTGGGAGTTATAAATTGGACAAGTGGACTTGATTCACTTCATTAAATTGAGTGAAGAGAAGCTAAGATAAGAGGGGAAAGGAGGAGGTGAGGGAAGATGAGTTGCTGGGGGGGAACTGCACCCAGTCCCTGTGCCTTGTGACTGGGTTCTCTCCCAGAAGGCTTTGCTCCCCGGATAATAATTAATAAAACACAGAAGTTCTGTTCAGATGAAGATTATGGATGAAGGGCTGAGCTGGGTTGAGCAGTGAGATCATGTGCCTTTTGAAAAGTTCCTGATTGTGCAGTGTGTGTACAAATTGTGCATGCACAAGCTCTTTTAGACCTTCAGATTAATGTGCATTTTAGGAATGGAGACAGCAAACATGATCCAAGTCCCCCTTCCATGCTTTCTTCTGAATGTGTGAACAGAACAAAAGTCATTGTGCCATCAACATCCTCAAAATTAGGGTCTCCAGCCCCATCAACATCCAGCCCACACAACTTACAGGCCATCAAGCCAAATGCTTCCCCTTCACTATGTATGGCAGAGCACCAGGAGCTCGTTAACTAGCCTAAATCTTTGAAAACAGGAACATTGTCATCTACCTAGCAGGCCAATGTATAGGGCTGATGGGCTTTGTATGGCTTAGTGGACCACAAGTTGTTCTGGTCCTGCTCTAGGCTGCGTTATTTGCCCAAAATACACACCACCTCTGAACTCTCTCCTCCTCTTTCCTGTCTAGAACGATGAGAAGTCTGTGAAACAAGCTGAGAGGAGCATTGCTGAACTGAAAAGGAGGAGCAAGGAGATTAGCCCTTTGAAACTCCGCAGACTCCAACCCTCCCAGCCAATTACTGTGACTACAATCTGTGACTGGGATTTGGGTGATGTAAGAAAATGGCCTTGTCGTATCATATGTGATGGAAACTGATTATTCTGAAATTGTGTACCATGTACCTCACTGTGGTTTCTGAAGAGTTTGCTTTAATCTCCTTTTTGCTGCTACTTCTACATCAAATCAAGCAGAAAGAAAAGCAGCAGTGAAATATTTGGGTGCTATGTTTGAAAAAGGAACAGTGTGGTATGAGAGTTCTCTATGCCCAGATATCCCTAAAACAGTGCAACAACCAGTCTGTTGTTGTTTAGTTGTTTAGTCGTGTCCGACTCTTCGTGACCCCATGGACCAGAGCACGCCAGGCACTCCTGTCTTCCACTGCCTTCCACAGTTTGGTCAAACTCATGCTGGTAGCTTCGAGAACACTATCCAACCATCTCGTCCTCTGTCGTCCCCTTCTCCTTTCCCAACATCAGGTTCTTTTCCAGGGAGTCTTCTCTTCTCGTGAGGTGGCCAAAGTATTGGAGCCTCAGCTTCACAATCTGTCATTCCAGTGAGCACTGAGGGCTGATTTCCTTAAGAATAGAGAGGTTTGATCTTCTTACAGTCAATGGGACTCTCAAGAGTCTCCTCCAGCACCATAATTCAAAAGCATCAATTCTTTGGCGATCAGCCTTCTTTATGGTCCAGCTCTCACTTCCATACATCACTAACCAATCTGTAGCACACCACAAACAGTGAGCAGGTGTGACACCACACAATTGACCCATTTATTGTAGCACATACCATGGAATGGAGTGGCAGAGTTTAAGGGAAATCACTTTATATGGCATTCCACCCATTTGGGGCTAGTAGGATAAAGTTATCAATGACCACTAGTCATGGTGGCTGTATACCATCTTCAGAATCAAAGATAGTGTATCTGAATATTGGAATTATGGACAGGAGAGGGATTTTGCTCTAATGCCCTGTTTATGGGCTTTCCAGAGGCATCTGGTTGGCCACTATGGGATTTAAGATGCTGGTGTAGATAGGCCTTTGGTTTGATCCAGCAGCAGGGCTCTTCTTCTCTTCTTAGTAACGGCACCAAATGTGTACATGTACACACATCTAAAATAGACCCAGGGCACCTCTGAGCTGCAGTAATGAAGAACAACATTTTGTGACATCTGAACAATGTCTTGAGTTTGTTTTTCTGGCAAAGGGTGGCTATATTTGAAATTCTCAAAACCAAAACTTTCCTTCTGTCTTCCTTCTGTCTTCCTTCCTTCCAGGGGCGGCTCGAGATGGGTGAGAAGTATATGCTGCATGACAACAGCAACCAGGAAAACTGGGTTGTGCAGAATGCCAGTAGAGAGACTAAGGTAGCACCTGCTGTTTGCTTTTCCATCCCCCCTCCAGATCTAGAGGCCATAGAGAGAGTTAACAGGTGAGTACAAAGCTTTTTCTCTCTGTCTCATGAGTATACCACTAGTGGTACACATGCCACAAACAATAGGAACATATTTTCTATCTATTCAATACTGGTGATTTTTAAAAATGGGTGAATATGGGTTTTATTTGTATTCATTTATAAAACTATTTCTATAATGCCATATCATAAAATATTAAGGCAGTATAGAACACGAAACACCTTTAAAAACGATGGGGTTGAACCATGGTTTTGGAAATTGTCCCATATCAGAGGTTCTTCTCTATAAAAGAGGTTTAATGGCATTCTATCATGCGGGTATTATGTCTGCATGTGCTGGGGAGCTGCAAAAGATCTGGTTCATGATGGTAGCGAAATGTTGCTGGATGGAAACGGTTTTCAGGCTCCCATATGCCTGTTGTTTAAGGTGCGGGTTTTGTGGTATCATGTTGCCTCTACACATAGACTTTCCATAATCACTTGGAGAATTGTTGTTGTTTTTACGATCAAGTGGTGTATAATGTTGACAGCAATTCATGCAGGGTGCTGCATCAGTAGTCACCCCATAAAGCTTTCATGTTAGCAAGCATGAGTGTCCTGCCAGTGGAACTTGTACATCTACATATGCTAAAAATGTGATTATAGTCACCCCTGAGAATCAGCCTTAAGACAGTGGTGCATAATTAGGAGGGGCATCATGGCAGCAATTTCCCTTTTCTCTTGTTCATTTTTCCTCCCCAAAATACACACTATTCATGTCGTTTGTTGCTTAGGAGACTCTCGGAAACAGGAATTTTAATTAGTTTATGTCCTTCCAGCTCTTTAACAAATTGCCACCTCTCCCACTGAAGGCTCTGCAAATATGTGCTATCTTTTCTAATTAGTGCTCTTTTTTTGGTATTATCAGGATACCACGTTTACTCCAAAAAGTGCAGACAACCACCTAATCTAAGACTGATCTTTGTAAAGCATTAAGGGAACAGTTTTCCAAGTAGAGATATTTATGAAGCTAAAACAGCATAATCTATGCTCAAGAGGGGGGAGGTACCAGAAAGGCTGAGGAAACCCGTGTTTGCAGAAGTACAAAAAAAAATTGAGAGAAAGGTCTCAGGGCGAGAACCCCAAATCAGTTCAATGAGCACACTCAGTGGGGACAGAATGTGGCCTGGCTGTTTGGGGGTGGGGATAGAGTATCCAGGGCATGGCTGGTTGGCCTGTACACGGAATAAGTCCACTAAGGAGAGACCGGCAATGGATTGGGTAATAGATTGTCTCAAACCCATGAGCCTCTTTGCTTGCTTAGAGGATGGAAAATAGCAAGCAGGCAGCAGCCATTTTGTGTGGGGATTCCTTTCCTGAGCCCTGCGCATGTTGGTGGAGCACACATAAGCCCGCCTCTCCCCTGGCTCCGTCCTCATTCTGCCCTTTTCCAGGTCCAAAAGTCCTGCACATTGGTGGTTGTGCGTCAATTGGGCATGCACAAAATGGTTGCTGCCTCTGTGTGTGTGTATATATGTGTGTGTGTGTGTGTGTGTGTGTGTGTGTGTGTGTGTTATAATAATATGCACTGGACAGAGGGCGGTAAAAGCAGGAGTGCCAGCTTGGCCCCACAACTGTGGGTGCCTGGGGCCATGGGTGCCATGCAGTGTGCATGGCCCTGGCGCCAAAATTTGTGGGTGCCCAGCCCCTTCATGGGGAATTTTGTGGGTGCTCGAGCACCCAGGGTATAACTATAAATTGGTGCAACAATACACACCCTAGAAAGTACCCGTTGGTCTTTGTCAAAGTAGAAGCTGATGGGAAAGTGTCTTCTGAGAAATCTCTAGCAGAAATCGAATCATGGGGTACTTAAGCAGCATGGGATCACTTCTGTGTGGATGCTACACACAGCTCAGCTAACATTGATAGGAAGCAATCTCACAGGTCAGGCAACTAATGTAGTCACTTGCCATGTCAACTACCCGCCTGCAAGCTAGTTTTCCTGCAGATGTTGCTAGAGCGGCATGGGAAGCAGCAATACAAAAGCAGCTCTGATTTTAAAATTTCACTTTATTTTTACTGTTTGGTTTTATATACGATTGTCATAAATTTCTCTGATATTTATTTATTTATCAACAATTATTTCAATATAAATACTTGATATGGAATAAAATGACCTGATTAATGCCCCACTAGAAAAAGGCAGTCTCTCTGAGCATGCCTCGTGTACATGGCAAGTGTTGTAGGGAAGCCCTGTGCTGTGAATAACTTTGACTTCCTCCTGTCGTGTTCAGGCTGGAAGGTGAGCTGAGCGCAGTGAAGCAGAGGAGAGCTACAGTCCAGAACACCTTGAAAAGCAGCCACAGGGAACCAGTTAAATCCAGCCACCAGGGTATGTCAGCATTTCAGCCGTTCTCTAAGGGGATATTGCAATACCATTGTGGCGTGACGGGTTGGTTAAGGTGCTCACCTCTTCCCCATGGGCCTTCAAGTTGTCCAGTCTCTGCTTGTGCAGGAATCCATAAGGATCAGAGATCCTAGGGGAAGGCTTAACTTACAGGGTGGATGTGGAAGAAGATGAACAGGAGGCATTTAGGCATAGCAGTTATCCCCATGGACAAATGCAAATATCTGCATGCTTTAGTGAATAATACTTGTCATTTCAGTTCCAGTCAGAAGCACCACTGTGGCCCAGGATGATCCCCAAGCCAGCCAGTTGCTTCATAAATTGGATAATGTTGGTGGTAACTTGGACCAAGTCAAGAATGAGATTTTTAGCCGCCTGAGGTCTCCACTAAACCACAGTGACCCTGTAGAGGACCTTACTCAACGTATCAGAGAGCAGGAGGCAAGTCCCCCTCCCCTTTTTTTTGGTAAAGTGGCAGGAGGTAAGTTTTGACTGCTCACTTGTGCCTCTGATAAGCCTGTTCATATTCTGAGAGAATGAACACCTTCACAGAGCAGAGAGGTTTCTACTGCTGTTTTACTGCCTGTACATTTTATGTCTACTTTGCAAGACTAACTGGGATGGACCCACTGACAGTCCTGATAAACAGGGGGTGGGGGGAGGCTCTCTCATGCAACACTTGAAGCTGCTTCATTGAAAACAAGTTCCTATCCTCACCTTCCTACCCCCTCAATATTTTGTAGAATGATTTTTAGCTTGTTCTTTTTTTTTACGGCTTTCCTCAAAGATGTGGATAAATAACTCAAATATTTGGCTACATCCATGAAGGTTCTGTGGTTGAGAGTTGCTCATGAAATAATTGCCTCAGTATTCCCAGCTATGACTGGTGACCTAACTCCACTGAGCTGGAAAAAGTCTTAAAGTGGTGCTAGATGCATCATTAAACCTTATAAGCCATGTAGACATGTCAATCCAATGGCTTCAAATCCACTGGTGGTGTTGAGACCTACCGTATTTTTTGCTCTATAAGACTCACTTTTCCCCTCCTAAAAAGTAAGGGGAAATGTGTGTGCGTCTTATGGAGCGAATGCAGGCTGCGCAGCTATCCCAGAAGCCAGAACAGCAAGAGGGATTGCTGCTGCTTTCACTGTGCAGCGATCCCTCTTGCTGTTCTGGCTTCTGAGATTCAGAATATTTTTTTTCTTGTTTTCCTCCTCCAAAAACTAGGTGCATCTTGTGGTCTGGTGCGTCTTATAGAACAAAAAATACGGTATGTCCCTAACTGGTCTCTCCATAAATGACTGTTGTATCACATTGAATTTTACTGACTGATTAAAAATAAAATCCGCCTTTATATCAGGGAACAGCAAGGAGACTTCAAGTAATAGGAGCAGAAAAGGAAGTTGCCCAGAAGGAGTGTGAGGCCTATCTTTCCAAGAAGCCTGCTGGCACCTCTGCCTCTCAGCTGCCTGTGACACTCAACAACATCAAGAACAAATACAATGATGTGAAGGTGCTCTCCAGGCTCTATGAGGAAAAGTAAGTGACTTCAGCAATATTTTGGCAGAGAATAGAACTCTGTTGCTGTGTGAAGGAGGCAGCAGCTTGCAAAATGTTTCTATGAAATCTTAAATGTTTTCACCTGGCAATATATAGCGCTTTTTTTTTTTTTGCTTTGGTGTGGAGTTGAAGAAAACAACCTAGAAGTGAAATGTTGTCTTTTGGCATTAAAATGTCTCCCCCTCTCCAGAGCCAAAGCAGGCCTGAACCTGGAGAATCAGATAGAGAACACAGACAAGATCATCAGCACCCTTGAGGCCAAGTTATCTCATGATGGCATCATCCCAGCCTCGCCCAATGCACTGCAGGATCGTGCCAATGAACTTCAGGTGAGGGACCTCTGGAATCAGAAGGACATCGGTATAGGGTGGGATAGAACAGAGTATTTCTTTTCTTTCTGTGGGTGCTTCTGGGCCAGTGCTTCCCTTATCCCTAACCACCAGAGAATTTTATCTCCCAGGCTCACTTCCAACTGAGGCTGCAACATTTTCCATTTGCTAAAACCCCAAGTGAAACTATTTATTTGTCCTTTTTTTTCTTCTCCACACATTGGTTCCATTGGTTTGCAATTAAATTACAGTATAATACCTGCTCAGCGCCACACCAGTCTCCTTCCACTTAGCAGAAACAGGCTTGGCACTTCAAGACCAAATGATCAAGGAAAGCAATCAGACTGAGATTTCGGGAGGGCTTTTTTTAATCCACAGGTTGAAATAAAATTGCTGTTCTGAATGGATGGTCTCTTTCTTTCACAGAAACTGAAGCGAGATTTGGTGAAACATGAGGACAGCTTGCTGAAGCTGAACCGCAGCCTCAAAGATGCTGAGCACAGCTGCAGTGCAGTGCAGAACAATTTTGAAGAGTACTGCGCTGATTTGCCAAGGCAGAAAAAGGAGGTCCAGCTACTTAATGACCGATATCATGCTGTTGCTGACCAGCTGGATCACCGGTAAGGAGCCAAATCCTCTCCACTGGTGGGCATGGAAAGTGTTTGTGTGTATCTGAACATCCAGCCTTGTGAGCCAACTTAATTAACAGGTCAGATTTGGAACAGGTGGCTTCCAGTCTCTCTTTGCCCTCGAAGATGATATAAAAACATATAAATACACACCAGGAATAAGAAAACAGGGGCCTCTAATGACAAAGATGCATCAATGACTACCCCCAAACTAAGAAGCTGCTCCTTCAAAGGGAGTGCAAATGGGCAATTTCCTGGAGCTTGGAACCACCCACCCATAGTGCCAGAATTTAGCTTCAAATTATTGGCCCTCATCCAGCCAATCACTGCATCTAGACACAGGTATAGGACTGACATGCCCACTTCTGATCCAGATGTTGCAGAGACATAGAGCTGAGTGTCATCTGTATTCCGAAGATACCGTGCTCCAAATCTCCACAAAACTGCTCCCAGTGGCTTCATTATAGATGCTAAATAGCATTGGGGACAAAATAGTGCCTTGCAGCATGGCTGAGATCAATGAACTATGGAAGAATGTGGAAAGCTGGTAGCTTTTTTGTAGCCGCTCTTCCCTCTCAGTGACCAGCCCATCATTTTCTATCCAGTCTCTGGCTGCTGGGTTAAAAGTTAAATATATCGCATCTTCCAGAAGCAAAGCCTTGTCTTTCAACAAAAAGGAATCAGCCTGCCTCTCGTAACTTGACAGAATGCTTCCAGTCAATAAACGAGGCACTTTCCCTTAACCACAGCAGGCACAACCTGAGCTTCTGCTTCTTAATCAGTGTCTCCGTTCTTTGTGCAGGGAGAAGACTCTCCGGAACACCAGCCTCACCTACCAACAGTTCCAAAATGCCAATGAGAACCTAATGTTCTGGCTCAACAATGTTCCCAAGTACCAGGTCAAGACCACAGATGGACCCAGCCAGGTCAACTACAAGCTCCAGGCCCAGAAGGTGAGCAGTGTGGTATCTTCACCCAAAGAAAGGTCTTGCAGTTTAAAGGTCACAACACCCTCAGAAAGGGAATTGATGGCTCCTTGAGGCGGCCATTGCTAGATCGTTCTGCATTCTTACTGTCAGACTGATGTAACCAAACTCACCACAGTGGAGGATGAGGTAACCCAGCTCACCCACCCACCTAGACTGAAAACAGGAACTTTCAGGGCAGGAACATTGTAATGCTTGTTGTTTATTAAGCACCAGGGAGACCGCTAGTGCTTTCTTGTCCTAACTGCCTTTTGCTCTTGCAGAGGCTGGCAGATGAAATCCAGAGTAAAGAATCTGACAAGGATGCTGTGGTCAACTTGTCCCAGAACGTGCAGACTGTCCTCAACGTATGTTTGCAGGGTTTCTTTCTATACGCTTTCCATTTCCTGTTGGGTGAACCAGTCTGATCTTCCTTTGACCACATCCTTTTTTCTTTTAACAACAGGAGTATGAGCTTCAGGCAGGAAAATACCGATCCTCCCTAGACCCTTCGTTGACTGCTTCTTCAGCAAAACGCCTCCGGGTGACACCACTTCAGGAGAGCATCCAAGCACAGGTGAGAGCTTGGGACCCTGGACCCTGATTTCTTTGTATAAAATTTCTACCCCTCCTAACCAACTGGTTACACCCTTGAAGCAGTTTAGAAAATTTCAGAACAAAGTATTGTGGCACCATGGCAGTATATACACTACAGCCTTAATATGCAGCTAGGCTGTTCTTTTTCTCAGTTTGGATTGGTTGGGGGGGGGGAGCATCAAAAGCAGTGCATTTCATAGGAAACTACAGGATAAATATTGATTCACAAAGCTAAAAAGAGAAAATTGTCCAGTAGCCCTAATGGCTGATAAGAGGCTTAGAATTGGCTGGTGATTATCTTCTACTTATTCCTGCGATGCAAATTCCTCTATACCTAGACTTTTCTAACACATGTATCATCACAGTGTGTCACATAAAAATAAAATAAAATAAAAGGAGAAGGATCAAGGAGTGCCTGTTTGAATGCAAGTAGAAGAGGGAAGAAAACTGACAAAGCACACTCTTACAGTTTAAAGAAAGCAAGAAATGCTCCCACTGGTAACATTCCCATTCCTGATCTCAGTTAAACAGCAGGCCCCATTTATAGTTTCCATACAGTGTTGTTTGTTCAGTACTGTAGCCTGGCAGATGTTGACAGCCTTGAACTAGAAGGGAAATGGCAGCAGGACAAAGTGATGTGGTATCTTAAAATAATGCGTTTTGCTCATTCTCTTTAGGAAAAAAACGTGACAAAGCTCTTCACCGAGACAGCTGCCCAAAACAAAGAGCAACTGAGCCGGCTGGAATTTGCCAAGAAAGTTATGGACAAGGTATATGTAAATCATATTAGGTTAAAAGATAATGCATAGATAAATAACCATAACTTTCAGTTAGTGCAATTAGCTTCTCCTGGGAGCAAATGACAAGGAAGATTTCTTGGTGTTTCATACCAAAACCTGCCAGGATACTGCCTTGAGTTGCTGTCATTCTGACATGCTCTACTGCAGGGATGGGGAACCTCAAGCCCAGGGACTGAATGTGGCCTCCAGGAATCTCTGCAAGCCACACCTCTTCTTTAGCCACACCCTTCCTCACCTCTCACCATCACTGCTACACTCCCTCAATGGGTGTGTTTGCCTGTGCAATGTTTTATCTCTGTCTTCCTCTTTATCACACTATTAAACTTGTTCGCTAGATAACTAAAGTCCTACCGCCACATATCCATATAGGCAGCAGTGTAAAAGTTTACATTGGGAGTCATTTTGGCTTGTCTTTCTAAAGATTCATTTTCTTCATTTCTGCAGAAGGAAGTAGATGAGACAGTGCACATGATGCACGAGCAGACCCAGCGGTCTGAAAACACAGCTGGGTCCCATAGAGAATCGGAAGCCCTAAAATCTCAGCTGGAAGAGGAACGGAGCAAGAAAGCCAGGGCTCAGCAGCAGCTGGAAGAGCAGAGGAGCAAACTTCTCATGCTGAAGACCCAACGGCCTATTGAAAGAGTGGAGGAGAAAGAAGTGATGGAATACTATAGGGACCCCACTCTGGAGAGTGACCTGTCCAAAATATCTAATCAAATTGAGAATGAAATTAAGAAGAGAAGGGGTCTAGAGGCAGATATTGAGATAATGAACAATAAGGTCCTCCAAATGGAGAAAGATAGTAAGGTTGTTAAAGCCCAGCTGCTTACAAAAGAAATTACTAAGATAGAGAAAGACCCAAGCCTAGATGCTCAAGCAGCCAGACTCCGAGAGGAAATCAGGCACCTCCAGGAGAACTCAACTTCCTCCTCCGAACTTGAACGGCTCAGGAAAGAGCTGCACTTGCTGGAGCAGATGCAGCCAAACATCCGAGAGAAAGTGGTGCTGAAAGAGGTGGTCAAGCTGGAGAAGGACCCAGAAATGCTAAAAGCAGTCAGGACATTGCAAATGCAAATTGACGAAGACAGCTTCAAGAGGAAGTCTCTGGTGGATACAATTGCTAAACTGAAAAGCAGGACTGAAGAGCTTGAAAAGCTGATTGAAACGGCAGAACCTAAAGTCATTGTGAAGGAGGTAAAGCAAGTGGAGCAAGACCCAGAGCTTCTGAAGGAGGCATCCAAGCTTCAGACTCTCATTGATGAGGAGAGAAGCAAGAACTCGTTGCTAGCAAGCCAACTGATAGAGCTGCAGAGCAAATACAGCACTGTGGAAAAGCAAAAGCCTAAAGTGGAGGTTAAAGAAAGAGTCAACGAGATATTTCGTCTTGACCCAGAAACAGAAGAGGAGATAGCACGTTTGAAGAAAGAGCTCCAAGAAGCTTCAAGAAAAAGGTCAAGGGTTGACCAAGAGGTGGAAAGAGCCCTGACTGAGCTCAAAGTCCTTAAGTCTCAGCCTCCTACTGTGGAGTTTAAAGAGGTCATCGAAGAAGTTGTGAAGATGGAAAAGAGTCCGGAGATTCTGAGAGAAATAGACAGGCTGAAACAGCAGCTGAATGACCTTGTGAATACAAATGGCAGGTCCCAAGAACAGCTGATCAGGCTACAGGGAGAGAGAGATGAGTGGAAGAGGGAAAGATCCAAGGTAGAAACCAAGCTGGTTACCAAGGAGGTTGTCCGATATGAGAAAGACCCTCTGTTGGAGAGAGAAGCTGAACGCCTCCGCCAGGAAGTACGTAATGTATCACAAAAGAGGAGAGCAACCGAAGATGCCATCTATGACCTGCAGAACAAGTACATGCTTCTGGAGAGGAGAAAACCAGAGGAAAAAGTGGTGGTCCAGGAGGTAGTTCTCACCCAGAGAGACCCAAAACTCAGAGATGAGCACAGCAGGCTAAGTAAGAGCTTGGATGATGAAGTGAGCAACCGCCGACGCCTGGAACGTGAAGTCCAGCAGCTTCGAGCTGCGGTGGAAGAGAAAGAGAAGCTGCTTAACTTCCAAGAAGACAGAAACAAAAGGCTAGCCTTGGAAAAGGAAATGCGGCAGATCACCTTGAGGATAAAGGAAATTGAGGAGAGCCCAGCCCCAGTGCAGGAAAAAATAATCACAGAGGAAGTGGTCAAGGTAGAGAAGGATCCTGTTCTTGAGCAGTCCAGCACCAACCTGCGAATTGAACTGGATAACGAAAAGGCTCAAGTATCGAGCCTGCAGAGGGAATGTAAGAAACTTCAATCCCAGATTGATGTTCTGCAAAAAACAAAGTCTCAGGAAAAAACCATCTACAAGGAAGTAATCAGAGTAGAAAAGGATAGGGTGCTAGAAAATGAGCGAGCTCGTCTCTGGGATCTGCTAAGCAGAGAGAGAACAGCCCGGCAGAATGCAGAAGAAGATATCAGGCGTCTCAAGGAGAAGATTGAAAGAGCAGAAGGCATGACGAGAACATGGTCCAAAGAAGAAGCCGATCTCCAAAGAACTCGCAATCTGACAAGGCAAGAAAAAGACAATCTTGAGAATGAATTAAACGAACTAGAAAGGCAGAAGCAACAGAAAATCCTTTTCCTTAGAGAGCAGACCAAGCTCCTGAGCCAAAGGACAGAGAATGACAGACAAAAGAAGATGCAAATTGGTCAAGAGCTTTCTTCCCTTGAAGCAGACATACTTAGAGAGAAGGATCAGATCTATGAAAAAGAGAGGGCTATCCGGGAACTCCAAACCAGAGTTAACAAGGAAGAACTGAACCATGAGACCCAGATGAGAGAAACTAACCTCTCCACAAAGATTTCTATTCTGGACCCAGAGACTGGCAAGGATATGTCACCCTATGAGGCATATAAGAGAGGCATGATAGATCGAAGTCAATATATTCAGCTGCAAGAACTAGAATGTGATTGGGAAGAAATCACAACGCTGGGACCCAAAGGCGATGTTTCTGTTCTCCTTGACAAGAAGAGTGGGAAGCAGTACTCCATTGACGATGCCCTGCGGTTTAGGAGAATCACAAAGGAAGAATACCAGCTCTACAGGGAAGGCAAGATCCCCATCTCTGAGTTTGCTCTGCTGGTAGCAGGAGAAACTAAGCAAAATTCCTCCCTTTCTATTGGTTCAATCATTTCCAAGTCTCCAGTTTCATCCCCTGTTTTCCAGCAAAAGCAGAGCTTCTTCCCTCCTGGCGCGCAGATAACCTTCTGTGATGATACCTTCCCCATTGCCGGTGTGTATGACACTACCTCCGACAACAAGTACAACATAAAGTCTGCACTTAGCAAGAAGCTGGTGGACCCAATGACTGCTCAAAAGCTTCTAGAGGCCCAAGCAGCTACTGGAGGCATTGTTGATCTTATCTCACGTGATCGATACTCTGTCCACAAAGCCATTGATAGAGGGCTGATAGACAACACCTACATGCAAAGGCTGCTGAATGCTCAGAAAGCTTTTACAGGGATTGAAGATCCAGTCACCAAGAGAAGGCTGTCTATAGGAGAGGCAGTCCAGAAAGGGTGGATGACCAAGGACAATGCCTTCCCCTATTTACAGGTCCAACATCTGACTGGAGGGCTAATAGATCCCAAGAAAACTGGCCGTATCCCAGTGCCAGAAGCTTCCCAGGCTGGCATGCTTAGTAGTGATCTGGCCATGATGCTACAAGATGAATCCAGCTATGAAAAGGATCTTGTTGACCCCATCACCAAAGAGAAGATTAATTACAAGGAAGCCATGGCTCGTTGCCGGAAAGATCCTCAAAGTGGGCTCCTTCTCCTTCCAACCACATCTGATGGATACCAGTCATATCAGTTCAGGCACTGAGAAAATAAGAAATCCTCAACAGAGCTCATATACTGTCCACAGATGAACAGAGTGCCTGGCAGTTCTAAATGGCTGTGTGCTGTTCTAGATTGCTAGTCTTACTTCACTATAACAAGGCAGCAATGCACCTTTAAGATGCCTTTCTGAAGGTAGAAGGGTTCTAATGCAGGAGTTACTGCATAGCAGTGGTTCCCAAACTTCCCCACCCCACCCCATGGACCACTTGAAAAATGTTGAGGGTCTTTGCAGATCTCTTAATGATTTATCTGCCTGTTGTAGCAATTGTGATGTGCTGTGCTAGATGATTTTTCATTGTATTTTTACAGAAATGCTGTAGGCCACCCGAATGAAGCTTATGGACCACTAGTGGTCCAGGGACCAGTTTGGGAACCCCTGCTGTATACTATAGGGAAATAAATGGGATTTTAAAAATAAACCGATATGCTTGGGAAACTTTTACTCTGTGCCTTCATGGCAAGTTTAAAGGGTTGTGTATCAAGGAGCTTTGAGTTAGATGGTTGTCATGTATGCAATAAAAAAGTTAAAAGATTGAACAGGCTCCATTAGTTATCTTTTAAAAAGTTGGGACGGTTCCTGTGTGCACATTAGGATCCTAACCATGAGTAAATCGCAACGGGCTGTGCTAAAGAATGGACCCCATAAAATGAACATTATACAACTATGGAGAACAACAGTGCAGAAGGTTACATGGGGATTCATGGCCAAAGAATACACTTTATCAGAAATCTAATGGTTGGGTCAGAGCAGGACTATGGGCAATAAAAGGCAAGCAAGACTGGCAAACACACAGAGAACATTTCATTCCCTTGATAACCGTGAGGGCTGGAGCTCAAAATGGCGAAAGGGGTTCTAGATTCTTTCTGTATACCATGCATTCAATATAAGCAAAAATGACCGCGGTGTAAAAGATTTTCCCATCATAGGCACTCTTGTCAGTAAGGACATTTGAGAACCAGCAAGTTAAATTAAAAGATTTATCAAAGCATATTTTTTTTATTTAGTGCATACAGAAACTTCTTCAATAATATTAACAGTTAATGATAAAAATGACTTAAAACATCAATAACAAGGTTTTTTAAAAAATAACCCCATAACTAGGCAGTGGCTTTGTTTCAGAGCAGGCAGAAGTACGGGACAAGTTCACTGGTTTCCCTCCAGAGCAGATTTTCAGGAAGCACACAGGAGATTGCAGGCAAAAGAGGAAATCAGTGGACATTATCTCCCCCTGCCCTTCTATCAGCAGGAGCCATCCATGAGCAGAACACTGCTTGCAAGATCCAACCCCCATGTATTCAGCCAAGATCAGTAACTGGAGTCTATAAAATATTTATTCTTTAGCATCCTGCTCTATCTAGTTTATTCAGTGACTCTCTTGGCACATTGATGATCAAAGACTTTCACATTCTAATTAAATTAGAAATGAAAACTTGAAGGGCCCGACAGCTGCTCCAAGATTAAGAAGCCCATTCTTTAATGTGAACTGTGTTTGGACCAAGTTTTTGTCCTTTCTTGAGGGAAAAGGTAAACAAGTATACTGATAAAGGATACAAAAAGAAACTAAAATCTGTTGTATTTCTGGGTGGTCTCATGATGTCTGGTTCTCCCACAATTTCCTCTTGAGCATGGATAGTGTGAATGCCAGCAAAAAGCTCCCATATTAATTACAGGGAGAATCAAATGACATGATATCCCCTGTCCACTGCATCGTCTGCAGGCTGTGCTGGCAGTGCCTAAGTTACTATAACCAATTTCTCTGCAATGCAATACTGAACTACAGCAAAGATAGAATAATATGTGGTTGCTGGATTAGGATTGAATTCAAATACATAGCAATCCTAAAATTTCAAATCATATTTTGCCCCATCAAATGCTTAGAGTGCCAAGTTTGTTTTCAAAGAACACAAGAGGCTGCCTTCTATTTAGAACAGTCAAAATCTATATGAATATAGCATTAACCCCACTAAAAGGCTGAGAACTTCTAAACCAGAATGAACAAGTTTCATCCTCTATAGCCATTCCAATTCCAAGCATAAGAGGCTCAGTTATTAGGAAGGGTTAATCCAGGGAACTATTGTCAGGGAAGCACACTGCAGATTTGCCTCCTTCTCATGGGCCATACCTCTCTACTACACGTTGCTCTCTGGCATCTCGTGATGGAGTCTGCCAGAAATATTGGTGGGTCAAAGCAGCTTTGGCTGAGATGCGTCTGTTGGGATCATACAGTAATAGTTGCTGCAATTAAAAGGGGGGACACAGAAATATCTCTCTTAATGGATTGATACTATGCCTATCATCCCAAAGTCAATACTAATTTTCTATTCCCAAGTATAGGCTTTGCAAGCAATGGTAATGTCATGATCAAAATGGCAGAAATCACAAATCCCTATATTACCAAATACCTATATTACCAAATACACTTGAGGGTTAAGACTAAATCTCAGATTGAGGCTCTTGGCTGAAATTCTGGGTTACAACATCCCTGCCCCAAGGTTGTTTTAAAAACAAAACCCTTCATTCCAGCCTCTTTCTTACCATCAGCAAGTCTCGTCCGTCTCGGTCCAAGTTTGGAATTAACACCTTCATGTCTTTTCTCGGCCATTTTGGGAAATTCCCTTTGTAGTCCGGAAGTTGAGTCACTCCCGGCCACGATGATTCAGTAGGTGTACCAAGAGTGCGGAAAATACGGAAAAGCTGATCGATTTCGGAGTCCCCAGGAAATAAGGCTTTTCTGGTTACCTGGAGAAAGAAAAAGGATGTCTCACTCATCTATCTTTCCATAGGCACCCCTATTCTTTATCCAAATGAAGTCCCAGGGAGAAGGAACAGAGAGAAATAAATACCTTTTAGTACAAGCCACCTGGTGCTGAAGGAGAAAGGAGAAATATACTGAACACCACACCAGATCCCCAGAAAATCATAGTGTAGATCAGGGGGAGACTTCAAGCTTGTTGGATCTCCTTTGTTTTGTACTAGAATCCCAAGATCTACCAACCAGAGCTAGGTGCAAAGACATACAGTAAACTAAAGCAAGTTCAACATGATAATATAGAACATGAAATCTAATGTTGACCCCATGCCCTATATTACAAACTTGAACTTCATTTGAACTAAAACTTCAGTCATGTTTTATTCTGCTGAGAGCTCAGGATAGAAAGACAACAAGGACAGCCATGGGGGTGGAAATCTACATAAAAACCTGAGATGTATTAATATGAAACTTTTAAAATAAAAATTGGTTTAATTGATCTTTGCAAAAGCAATTGACGTGGCTTTTCAGTATGAGCCATATGGTAGGCAAGGCTGAAGGAAGAGCCTAAATGCTTAAACCTTTGCGGTTTTCAAATGTTGTAAACAGTATTAGGATAAGGGCTGCATGTCCGTTAATCGAGTGCCATGTCATCTTCATCACTTTCTTCCTATACAGCAGCAGCCTCTAGTGGCTGCTGCCACATTGCACATCTTTCTCATAGCAAGGTGTTTTTCAGGAGAGGTCAGCTAGTGTGTGTAAAAGAGGTTGAAAACTAAGGGAACGCATTGCTGATCTACCACTGATAGATCTCTTCTGATAGGAACTTAGGGAACAGCCTTATACAATATTGTTGGTCCATCCAGATCAGCACTGTTGACACTGACTGAAAGCGGCTCTCCAAGCCCTACCTGGAAGCACCAGGGACTGAACCTAGGATCTTTCTGCATGCCAGGTATATGCTCTGTCACTGAGCTGCAAGCCTTCCCCATGAGCCACAGTTCTTCTTTTCCTTATGCAGAAAGCTAGCCGCATGCAACTGGCTAAAGTCCTCCAGATGGGGGCTTAATGTTGTGAATGGAGAAATCTGAGTTAAGATGCCAGCCCATATCTTTTTAAAGCAATTGACGACAATAATGTTATGTAGGCTTTGCAATAAAATAAAATAAAATAAAAATGCATGCATAAGGAATATACATCCCTCTGGAAGCATCCTCACAGAATTGAGAGATAAATTTACCAAACCAAAATGGAAGCTACATTCCACATAATTTTTCTTAACTGCAGACTACCTGCCATGGTCACAACCTTCCTCCTCAATACAGCAGCAGCGTGAGCCTCACTATGCAATATATCTTATTTATTTGAAAGATACAGCACCCCTCAGTGCAGCTTTCAGAGCAGTGTACAAAAACCAGGTATAATGCTCAAATAAAATAAAACATTTTTAAATGGATAAAAAATTGAAAGTAAGTTTCTCCTTTACTCTGCTGTGATCAGGAAGCATGTATCTAAACAGAATCAGATGGCCACAGGAACAGCAGCAACAATCAATGCACATTTTCATGCTCATTGCAGCTTTTAACAATATCAGAGAAGGAAGTCTTATCAAAGACTCTTGAAATTTTAAAAAGGTGGTGGCAAGAATAACACATTTTGAACACTAAACTTGGTTCTGCCACACAGTAGAATTAGGAAAAAAATAAGAGCACATTGATTACATGATTTGCAGTGTCTGTTTTGGATATTTGTAATGTTATGAGTATACATAAACTCAGTATCACTGATTTTTATGTCATCCAGATGACACAGTGCACCAACTGCTTCTCTTGCCAAAATGCAAGTATTGATTTGAGTTTCAATACTGACTTCTGGGCTAAGGGCTCAGATTACAAATTCCCTTCAGAGAGAGTGTGTGTGAGACAAAGACAAGGGGAGCTAGGTAGCTATAAATACAAACAAGGCACACATTACCACATAAAATTTTCATAAGAAATTAACATTTTTGTGCGTCTAAAACACAGTGCACTTTACTTTTGAATCAAAAAAACTGAAGTCTATTACCATTTCTGCAAATATGCAGCCAATGCTCCAGATATCCACAGCTGTTGAGTAGAATTTACAACCTAGTAAAATTTCAGGAGCCCGATACCATAAGGTTACAACCTAGAAGGAACCACATTGAAAGCTCGAGTTCAATTTATGCTTTTTATGTATTCAAATGCCTTCCCACCCTCAGTTAAAAACTTTTATGATTGAGCCCATAAACTTTTACGATCCAGTCTTTTGCAAGAAATTGTTCTCACTCAGATGAAGTCCACTAGACTGCAGCATGGCCTCTTGAATGCCAGTCAGAAAAGCAGGTGTTGCTATCCCTCCACTCACTCTCCTCCCCAACCTGCTATGAGACAAAACTAGAGTCCCACTTGTTCTTTGCTATAGCATGTGGGAGAGGAAGCTGGACAAAGGGAACTGATGGAGCAATGAGCTCAGAAGCAAGATGGCTGCATCCTCTTTTTCTGTCTCAGCGCATTTAAAAATCTAAATTCCTGGAGAGAAACCATGTTAGTCTGAGGTAGTAAAAACATACCTTCAAAATGTATAATGGCATGAACTTTTAATCTGCAGAATCTTGACCCAGAACACTAAAGGTATGGACAGTCTTTGGGTTAAGGTCTGCCAATTGCAGTTTCAATCCATTCTTTGCATAAGACTGGGTATCATAATAGCTCATTTCATGGCTACTTTTCTTCTCACTTCACATCAAATAACATAGCCAGAGCAGCACCCGGAGGGGGTCTCATGCATCTTTCAGTGTTTCAAAGGCAGGAAAATTATACCATTGTGGAGCATCACAGCAGCACTCGGATGGTGCAAAATCTGCCTCAAAAATTGTGTTTACACAAACACACACACACCCCTTCTCAGAGGATGACTTGGAAACCTTCTTGCCTACTAACAGCACTAAGAAAGAGAAGGAAGAGATGATGACGAACATTACCTCATGAGTGTAAGTACGCAGTGGAACACCAAAGGCTCTTGCTAGGCCAAAATCAGCTAGTTTGATGGCTCCCATTTCGTTTATAAGTAAGTTCTGGGGCTTCAGATCTCTGTGGATGACTCTGTGGGAGTGACAGAAGCTTACACCTTGTAGCAGTTGATAAAGGTAGCTCTAGGGAGAAGCAAAGGTTTCAGAGATTAGTAAAAACAAGCAAGCATTTTAAATGCATTATAACACTGTGACACCAGATGGTGCTGTAGAATTCCGTGTTTCAGCAACATGATTTCCCATTACAGTACGAGGTTTACAATGCGTTTTCCTGAAACTTTTTTTTTTTTTTATGTGGCAAGATCCAGTGTAGGCATAAAGAAACCATGGGCAGCTGGTACATAATATGCCATAGTTCAACATCTCAAACAATTGCTTGCTTGCAAACAGCTTCCACGTACATTGTTAATATATTTCTTTGAGAACAGCAGTGTGACCAGATAAGAAACTTTCCACACTCCTTGTTAGGGTAGCCAGTTTGTTTCCTGTCAGGGTTCCTATGTCTTTTTTAAATGACAGGAAGAACGCAAGGAGAAAATTCAACAGTTAAAGCTCTCCTACCCCAGCCTTTGCCTGATTTGTTGTCTGTCACAGTTTTTAAAGGCACTATCAGATAGAAAGAAAGTTAAAATCTTACAGGCCCTTCTGCAATGTGAATGGCTTTTCAATGCTTCAAGGTCTAACACAGTGGTAGCTAACCTGCAGCCTGTCACATATTGCTGAACTACAACTCCCATAATCCCTGATAACTGATAATGCTGTCTGAGGCTGATAGGAGTTGAAATTCAAGAACATATTTCCTGTAAGTGACTGTGCGTATGTTTGGATAAACTTCTACCTTGACCAAACTTAAAGGCAGCTCCCCTGTACGGGACGAGTCCATGTACTTCTTAAGGTCCTGATTCAGATATTCAAAGACTAGATAGAGTTTCTTCTGACTGTGAACCACATCGAGAAGCCTGGAATAAAAATTGAATTCAGTGAGTGAACATCTGGGTTTGGAAGAACTAATGCCCCTGCAGAACAAATGCATCCACCACTCCGACACACACACAAAACACACACCCTCCTTTTTTTGGCACAACAGAAGGAGAGTCGGTGTGGCACAGTAGTTAGGAAGCTGGACTAAGACTGGGGAGACCCAGGATCAACTCCTCAATCAGTCATGAAGCAAATTTGGGCTTTGTCTCTCAGCCTAACCTACGCCATATGGTTGTTGTAAGAGTAATGGTAACAGAGCAGTAGCAGCTCCATTGTTCTCCCGGCTTCCCAGTGCTGTGAGTCACTGTCATTTACCAAGAGGGAGAGGGGTGAAGCAGCAACTCACGGTGCTGAGAAGCCAGGAGAGCAACAGAGACCCATCTCCACCATCCCATAAGCCACTACTAAGAAGAGAGAGACAGAACCATGTATGCCACTCTGAGCTCCTTGGAAGAAGGATGGGATAAAAATGTAATACACAAAGCAAGTAGACAAGCCATAGAGTGAAGGAGCTTGTTTACAAAACTGCATTCTCTAGTAGCTGCCAACAGATGTCTTGCCTAAATGCTGGCTGTTGCAATGCTATTTAAATTAAACTTACTCGGCACCGAGACTCCCTTGTTGCAGTTTCGTGTTTATTTATCCCTCATTCTCTCCTGTGCTGCTCTGCAAAGAACAGCAAAGGTGCAACAAAAGACTATGAGGAACAAATTAACATTATCTGTTTTCAGATACCTGTATGCCTGCATGTTATTCGAAACAGCAAGGCAGCACACTACTAATGAGCAGGTTTACTACTGTAACTATGCTACTTTGCCTCTTAAAATGTACTTGCATGAATAGTTACTTGCAGATATGCTAGCAGACAATGTCTCTCACTCCAAGTGTCACTCTAACCTAGCCCCTGGTCCCTATGATAATGACAATGGCCTCAAGCCAGGATTATTGTCCCAGGAGGTCTCATGACCAGCCCCTCAACAATCAGACTCCAAACCTGTGAGTGGCAGCTCAAGAGTATTTTGAAAGCCACCCCAAGGCTGTTTTAGTCTCCTCAAGGTGTCTGCTGGAAAAGTTCCAAGAAAGTTGGCATAGGATTTGCAGTCTGAATTAAAAATAGCCTTATCTATTCCATGTTTCTATTAATCTAAGCAATGCTGTTATGAGTTATAGATGAGAACAGCTCACATCTCTAAAAGCAGCAGAAATATGAGATGACTGGACCCTTACTGAACTAGAAGCATGGGAACCCCCTACAAAAATTTATAATTTGGCAAAATATTTGGACTTTATGATATGTATTGGTATAATTTGGAATAATCAATGTGATATAATTGGATTGTTAAATGGAAAACTTAATAAAAATTATTTTTTTAAAAAGAGAACAGCTCACATCTACACAGACACAAAGTCTAGACTTTTTCTTACCTCACTATGTTTGGATGTTTCAATTCTTTCAGCAGGGAGATTTCTCGAATTGCTGTACTGGGAACTCCTTCCGTCTCCCTGTGAAGAAAGGGATTTGGTATCAAACAATCCAATTCTTTCTGCTTTACTGGGCATCAGTGATTATTTCCACTCACATATCTTCTCTAGGGGAATGTTCATAGAGCTTGTCAGCCAAAGCAGGGAGGGAAAGGGTGTCCCATCAATCACAAAAAAGAGAAAATGTGGAAAACTACACAGGTATAAGGTTAATATTTTAGCAACAGCAAGCATAACATATGTGAACAAGTAAGGAATAAGATATGATAATCTCAGTGCATTCTGAGTAAGGCTCTTCTACACAGGTTGAACTACAACTACTAAAATATAAAATTAAGGAGATGGCCTTTCTCCTCAAAGACTATAAGTCTTTTCTTCACCCCCTTCAATTCTGATCGTTGCTTCAATAAGAAAAGCTTATCTGCACAAAATTTTAAAAGGGACAGATACATTCATGCGTCTCCATTGTCATATTTAATGGCTAAATCAGCCATTAGTCTCCATGCTTAAGGTGCTTGCAATTCTACTGTTACAGTAAGTATACTTTACATTAACAGCTGGACCCTATTTGGAACTGACCCTTATGTGAATAAATTCTGCCCATGGTTTTCCGCATGATATCTCTCAAATTCCACAATTTGCAATGTATTAAAATTCAAAACATAAATGCTATCAGAAAACCATTTCATGAGTTTTAAGAGTAGCCAATTCAGGGGAAAGTTAGTGAACTAGGTACTTACGAATCTAGGCGGATCTTCTTCAAAGCAACTAGCTGGCCTGTCTGTTTGTTTTTGGCTTTATATACTACCCCATAGGTGCCCTCTCCAATCTTTTCTACCTTTTGGAAGACATCTTGGAACGCATCCATTATCTGTCTTCTTACTTGCTGCTGTAACATTTGATCAGACAATTAGGAGTAGTACTATCTGGTCATCTCTATACATCATAGCATTTTGCATGTTTCCATTCTTCCATTCACCCTACCCCTGAAAAGTAATAATAATCCATTTAAACAAATAAGCATAATGCTTAAATAACATCTTTAATAATCCCTTTCAAATGGAACACTCTCATATTCTCCAATACATTAACCTACTTAAGTTAACTGAAGGTGTCTGGCGATTACAATGACATTTACTGTTCCCTTTGTGCTATGACAGCCCAGCCCCAGGGCCAAGAAACACAATATGCATCCCCACATAATGGATGATGCCTTATTGGGATCCTGCCTTTCCTTCAAGGAGTTCAGGGTGGTATTTTGGGCTCACAACACCATCCTATGAAGCAGATGAGCCTCAAAGGGTGTTTTGTTTCATAGCGAAAGATGTGCCCCTGACTTTCCCAGTCAAACTTTATCAACTACACCCCACAGGCCTTGTTTGTTTGCCTCAGCTGCAAAATTAAGTACAGGTTTTGTATGAGTGGAGCAGAAAACGTAGGCAAATGGCACATTTTTCACTCTCTCCCCTATGGAGCAGATTGGCAATAGAGCCAGGACAGGCAAGAGGAAGGGATTCTTTACACAATGCATAATTGCATTATGGGATCCACAGCCCCAATGTTTTCTAGGGTAACTGCAGATATAGGGAATATTCTTGTCCCTCCAACAAGGTTAATCAAAATATTTCTTGACTTAAGGGGGGGGCGGTGTTGGGAATATTCTGAATAAGAATCCTTCTTTACATGCAATGTTCAAGAACACGGCATTGTTAAATGGAAGAGACTTACTGCACGTTGTCATATTTGAGGAAGGCCTTGGGCCCAGGCCTGCCCTGACACCCAAGGAACTACTCACTAAGCCACCCCCGTTCCCACGCGAGTCACAAATTACTAATGTGATCATCTAACGGGAAAATTAAAGCTCTCGGCTCCTCAGAATGCTTCCCACCTGCTCATCTAGTCTTCCATTTGCCTCCATACCCTCCTTCCTACTGAACTACAGTGTTTCCAAGGTGTCAAAATTCACCTCACACCACCACTAAAGTGGCTTTTGCCCACTAGAGGGAGATGTTCAAATGCAAAAATGCAAATGTTACCAAATATAAGAAAACACACAAAGAGATCTCTTTTGGTGCTGTTTGACTAGTATACTTACAGTTTCTGCATCCCTTCCAACAGGGATATATTGTAGGAATTTGACAGGAGCAATAACTGCAGGCTAGACTTTGGCCCTGCTTTTAAAATTTCTTGCAAGGGGGAAATGATCAAAATTACTTAATTTGGGCAAGTTTTTCTTTGCTCACAGGCTATCTTTTCTTCAGAGACTTGGTGATAGCACCGAAGCACTCGTGAGCCGCAGAGGACTTCTGTTATGAAGTGAGACTAACAGATGCAAATATCAAATACAGTAAATAAATAATATTTGGATATTCAAAGAATGCAAGGAAGGATAAAGTGGGCACGCAGCAGCCCTGCAGCCCAAATTCCCATCCCTGCTGGCTCCACCCCAACTTTTGCACATCAAAACCAGTATTATAATAGGATACTTCATGGGTTCAGCCTCTCCGTGCTTGGAAACCATGTGTATCAGGGTTCCCAATTGTGAGGAAGATTCTAAGTATATCCAGCCAAACACATTCAAAATCCCCCTTCAGACTTTCCTGTCCCAACATTCAAAGTTCAGGAGAGGAGCTAGTGGGGTTGTTGACATTGGGGGAAAGGCTGGCATTCACTACCCTGAAACACTTTATTCTCCTTTGCCAGTGGAAAGCTAACCTGTGGTCTTTCACAGGTTAGTTGTATTACAACTCCCATAATTCATGGACTATAACTCCCATACTTCCTGACCGTTGGCCATGCTGGCTGGGGCTGATGGAAAGAGGATCCCAACAAGACCTGGAAGGCCACAGTGGTCAATCATCCTCAGCCTTTGCATTCTCTGAAACCTTAATATGGCTGTGGTGTCTAGCCAAACAGATTCTGCTAGTTTTAGTTAGGCAGTATTTAGAGCTAGAAAAAGTATGTAACCATTCTTCAAGTATAGGATGAATAACACATTTCTCCTACCTCACCCCCAGCCTTTAAACAATGTTAAAGTCTTGCAATTATTATCAATATGCAAACAAATATGCTTATCCACATATGGAGAAGCACCATTTTACACTTACAAAAAAGTTGCGATCCTCATCATTTCAAGAACATGTCTTAATTTTTAATTTGGGATGGTGGTGGTCTGTTTCTGACACTACAGTGAACATGGTGGTTAAGGTCATTGCACAGAGCGAACAGTTTGATGCTGAGTTCTCAAAAGTGTGTTAACTTGGAAGAAATGGCACATGGGTGGATTTTTAATATCTCTTCAACACATTTTTATAAGTAGGCATGGCACTTCTTACCAGCACCAGTGATTGTGAGTTCAGTATTCATCTGAGTTAGGAGAAAGTCAGGACTATTTTGTAGAAGGCAAATGTGTGTTATCTTCGTATGAGATATCAGTATGGGCACTCTGCTAAAGGTCAGCCTCTGCTCCTTTCTCTGACAGGTTTTATTTCACAAGAAGATGACTCCCACATTAGAACCCCTCCCATAGATCTTAACAGCTGAGATTGATACAAATATAATTAGAACATAGAAACATTTCTTGTTTCTATGAATTCGAATGCAGAAATTAACTTCGATCATTAACTCTTTGGAGTAGAAATCTCAGTCAAGAACCATGCAAAGTGCCGTAACTATGGGGGTGGGAACACACCTCATTTTCAATATAAATCTCAGTTGAGCATGATAATGGCTATGACACAACTTTCAGTAATCTAGTATTAAGGTGAAACCATAATGGACGTTTAAGAATCTGAGCTACCATTGGGTAATATAGAAATAAAACCTGTCATGATTTTGTAATATTAATATCTTGTAGTATTGTAATATTTCTCTCTGGTGGAGAAAGGATCCAGAAAAGCCCTCAAAAGATATTATTAATCAAAATCCATTCAGTGTCTCTCCCCACCCCAGTAGAGGTGCAAAACTTTGTTATTGTTGAGGACTGCATTTCCTCAGATTAAGTTGACCAATGGCAGGACCAAATGTGGACATAGCCACCTGTTTTCTCTCTCTTTCTGCCATCCCTTCTCTTTCTCACTCTTTCTCTCTCTCCTTTCTCCCTGTCCACCCAGCTGCTGCAGGAAGTACAGATCACTCTTGCTGGAGGTCAAAGCTGTTTCGTAGCAGAGGGATTTTGAAATTAGGCTAAGGGTTGCATATAATAAGGCTGAGTGCTACAGGTTGTCAGGAAGCACACAAATAAATAGCCCAGTAAGTACTAGTCAAACTAGGAATGCTGCTAACCAACCAGTTTTCTCACAGTATCCATAAAGCCTGGGACTTGAAGATTGGCCACAGAGGACTGAAAAATGAGCAACTTAACATAATCAAGGCTGCTTTGTGGCCCTGTCACAAAAGCAAAAGAAGAATGGGCATTTAAGTACTATTAACTTTAAATTTTATTATTAAACAAAAAACCAAAGAGTATTTAAAATCCAGCTGCTGTAAACTTAATGGCTGTTTTGATTATTTCAAAATACAGTCGTAATAAACTGCTTCCAAACTAGTATGCATGTATTAACCCTTTGCATTTTGCATTGCTTAAATGGCTTTCAAAACACTGTGGCAACTTCTGCATATCCTAGCCTAATATGTGAAGCAGTTCTAGAACACCGGCGGCATACCTTCTCCCGCTGAACATTAAAAATAATTTTTTTTTGGGGGGGGGGTCATCTTAAGGCAATAGCAGGCAGTACAATTTTAAGACAGCAATTCAAAATGGTACTGGAGTGAAGGAAAATGATAAGCAGGCCCTATTCAGTATAGCACTGATTATGTTCAGTAATAAGTCCTCTCCTAATGCAGACAGAACTAGGAGGCATTTCCTTCCAGCTGCTTCTCTCTCTCCTGGAAATATTTTCTCTGTTCCGTTATGGCCTTCTCCAGCAACTGAAGGTTTATTCCTTCCACACATGTAAACACACGGGCCTTTATCACCATCTCATTACCTGTAAATATAAAAATTAAAGTCATCAGAAATGTGGCAACTTTTTTTAATAATCTACGTAAGCTCCGTCATGGTCAATAATGCAGTCTTGCAACTGCAGTATGCTGACAAATGCTTAGAATGCAGAATGCCACTGCAACTTTACACCAGCACACGACGATAGGCTGGTGCAAAAATCTAGAAGTGGATTTAAAACAGGTCCTGCTGAAAACTGAAATTAAGCAGGTCACATTTTCACTGTGCTTTGCTAAATATGACATATGGGAAATAGTTGGCTAGAAATCACTGAAGTGGAAAGAGATGGAGGGTAACTGTATGTCTATTTTATAGGTCATGGGATTCAGAGCAGTCAAGTCCTAGAAGCCATTTCTAATTTCAAATTCAGCTTCACATGTAATATTCCAAACAGTGACTTTTGTCTGTTCAATTCCCACCCCCATCAACCAATTCAGATTAATTCCAGAGCACCTACTTGTCTGAAAACTGAGTTTGAATACCCACAAGTACAAAGGCACAGTAAATTTCAGAAAACCTAATAATAAGTCACACGTCTCCTGTATCTCAGTGTGCAACTAAGAAGTGCTTGAATTATGAGTGATTATCATAATTATTACTTGGTACAAGAAGGTGTTGTCATTTGACATTTCACCCAGAAACCTACTTAATTATTTAGGATTCCAAACGATCCATCTGCAGATCATGTCAGCTAGCAGGCTAATTGGTGCCAGGGGTCCAGGTCTCCTAAAATATACAACTGGTGCCGAAGAAATGCTGGTATTTGGGTGCTGAGGAATACCCACACTATAGCAGGAGCTCTCCCAGACACAACATGTATAAAGTAGTTATCCCTTTGCTGAAGAGAATTCAAAAGTCCTCCCTGAAGGCAATTCTTTTCTTGCAGGAATATAATATTTTCCAAGCACTCTCGTTGGAACGTCGTTTTGCTAGCTAATTGCTTATCTCAGCTCCCAGCTACTGCTTTTACACAGGAAAACGATATTGGGAATAAGCCGTTTGCAGGAAGAGTGTTTAACTGTTCCCCTGCCCACCCTTTTCACCTTCCTTCTTCCATCCCCATAGCCACTATTATCCCAGCTAAGTTCCAAAAGCATGTTTGTAAAAGAATCTGAAATTTGTGCGTTTGTGGTTTTGCAAGGGCGAAGCACCAAATGAGGGGAGGCTGCATCCTCCTGCCCCATAATTCTGCTCTATAATCTGCCCCCTCAGCAATGCTTTCCTGTGAAGAAGAAGACATCACATGGCAGGGCAGAGTCTCAAACAAACATGTGATCTTCCAAGCCCACATTCCCAGCATGTTTGCACCTCTGTCTCAGCAACGCCTATGCTAGTCATATCCACAGAATGGAAGATGGCAGGATCCCAATAATGTGCTCTACAGGGAGCTGGCTTCAGACACCAGGCCCGCTGGCAGACCAACTCTGTGTTACAAAGATGTTGGCAAGTGTAGCATGAAGGCTGGCAACATTAACCCCATCGTGTGGGAATCCCTTGCAAATGACCACAGCGCCTGGAGACAATCAAGCTAGCTTGTGTATCTGCAGCAGTGACCAGAAGAGGAATGTCTGCTGGGAGGAGCGCAGAAAGAAGAGACGCCATGGTACACCTGCATCAGCACAACTGGACGCCTTCATCTGCCCCTGCTGCAACAAAACATGTCTCTCCCATATCAGTCTCTAAAGTCACAGCAGGCACTGTTTGATTTCACCCCAAAAAAGTGTACTCTTCCATTGTATCCCAAAACAGACGGATGCCAACAACAGCCCACAACAACCCATTTCCTTGAGATAATGCCATACTGTAATAATAATAAATAATAATAATAATAATAATTTATTTATACCATGCCCATCTGGCTGGGTTTCGCCAAACACTCTGGGCGGCTTCCAACGGAATATTAAAATACAATAACCTATTAAACATTAAAAGCTTCCCTAAACAGGACTGCCTTCAGATGTCTTCTAAAAGTCTGGTAGTTGTTTTTCTCTTTGACATCTGGTCAAAGGAGGGCGTTCCACAGAGTGGGTGCCACTACCAAGAAGGCCCTCTGCCTGGTTCTCTGTAACTTGGCTCCTCGCAGCGAGGGAACCGCCAGAAGGCCCTCGGCACTGGACCTCTGTGTCTAGGCAGAACGATGGGGGTGGAGACGCTCCTTCAGGTATACTGGACTGAGGCCATTTAGGAAAGCTAGCTAGACTGACAACAGTAGTTCCACAGACATACATGGATGGTAGCCAAGATGGTGCCCCCAGATGTTGTTGGACTCCTATCAGTCCCAGCCAACATGGACAATGCTCATAGCTGGTGGGAGCTGTAGTCCAATAACATCTGGAGAACCATTGTGAGAACAGGATGCTGGACTAGATGAGCCATTGGCCTAATCCAGCAGCCTCCTTTTATGTTCTTAGGGAGGCCACCACTGCATACGGCCATCAAAACTGGTGGGATTCTTTGACAGATGTAAGCAATCAGTACTGCATGAACACCTCCAAATGAACTTCGAAAAATGCATTGAATTGTGTCCTCAGTGTAGCTGAATATAAGGACATGATTCTTCTTTCCTCCTCACCCAGAGGCTTAAACGTACGTGCACTAGCCCTAGTGCCTCCCACACAATATTCACTACCACTGTAGCATAAATCAACATTTCAAGTCTCATGGTTAGGCAATGCAACTTTTAATAAGGGTACACAAGCAGCTTAAAGCTTCTGTGTTATACAATCAGGTCAAAGGTGTTTTCCATATGCTAAGAGAGTCCAGGAACAAGATACTAACTGATGCCAAAGAAAGAGGTGGATTTGCCCTGCCAGACCTTAAACTTTATTATGAATCAGCTGCTTTTTGCTGGCTGAGAGAATGGCTGCTTCTTGAAAGCACTGATGTGTTGGATCTGGAAGGTTTCAATAATGTATTCGGTTGGCATGCATACTTGTGGTACGATAAGGTAAAAGCACATAAAGCGTTTAAAAATCATATTGTTAGAAAAGCATTGTTTAATGTCTGGATAAGATATAAGGACTTGTTAGAAAAGAAAACCACAAGATGGTTGTCACCAATGGAAGCGAAGGCACAGAAAAAACTCAATATGGAGGCCAAATGGCCGAAATATTGGGAAATTCTGGAACAAGATGGAGACAGATTAAAATTGCAGAGCTTTGAAAAATTGAAAAACAGAGTGCGAGATTGGCTCCATTATTATCAAATAATGAGCAGGAACAAACGTTGCCACCTTTACATAAAATTACAAGAAGCCAGGCTGCAACAAACAAGTTGGCTTGCAGCAGAGGGCTAGCATGATTAGAAAACAAGTGCTATCCCTGTGACAGTTCCAGAGAATGAAAAGGAAACACCAACAGGAGTGATTAGGTACTAACTTAAATCAGTGCTAATGTCATTTTCCTTTCATGCAAAAGGATTGCATCAGAAGATCAGGGTCCCTATTCCCAAGACTACTTATTTTACCTTCTAGACCAAGGGTGAGGAACCTCCAGCCCATGGGCCAAACATGCAAGGCCATTTCTCTGAAACCACACCTACCTGCCCCACACTTGATGCCATATGTGACTACAGGTGTGGGCCAGGTAGAGAAGCAGCTGCACAAAGCAGGATTGAACTCCCCGCGTATTAACTGTTGTGTGAAGAGTTCAATCCTGCTTTGTGCAGGATCTCCTCCCGCCCCTGGTGGGCCAACTTTTGGCAAGTGGCTGGGACAACTCACCCAACATCAATATAATGCCTGATGACTGGCAGGCGGGTGGTCCTGCCCACCTGTCAATGTTGGCTCACTGGGGTGGAGGAGATAAAGGCTGGTCCACCAGGCCAGGATCTAGACTATTCCTGGTTTCACGGATAGAAAAAAATACAAGTGTTCTTACCCTCTTTATGTTCAGTTTCCCCAGTACAATATACAGAGCCCCAAGCTGGGCTTGGAATGGTTCCACAAACTTGGTACAAACTTGGATAATGTGCTGAACTGAAGTCTGCTGAGCTGTTAAGATGGCTTGGGAGCTGACCACATCATAGGAGTGTAGCCTGAAAAACAAAAAATTGGGTCTCAAATAATGTTGATAATAATAAATAAAGAATGTGAAATTATGTGCAGAATGATTTTGTTTCAAGTTGGCCGTTGTTGCTTCAGTTTTTTGTACACTGCTTATGGATATTTTTAATATATTAAGTAGTACAGAAATTAAATAATCAAATAATGTATTTAAATACAGTGGTGCCCTGCATGACGAATGCCTCGCAAGACGAAAAACTCGCTAGATGAAAGGGTTTTGCGGTTTTTGAGCTGCTTCGCAAGACGAATTTCCCTATGGGCTTGCTTCGCAAGACGAAAACGTCTTGCAAGTTTGTTTCCTTTTTCGTAAAACCGTTAAAACCCAAGGTGCATTGCTTGAAGAGGTGCAGTTGCGACTTGACTTTGAGGAGCAACTCATAGCATGCGGTGTGGTAGCCTTTTTTGAGGTTTTTGAAGACTTTGGCGATTTTTGAAGCTTTTCCAAAACTTCTTTTGCAACCATTTGGTAAGTTAAACTTTTAAAACTTTTTTGGGGGTTTTTGGATTTTGGGTTGGGGTGTTTGGAATTCAAGGACTTGGTGTTGGGGAGGGGTTTGCAAGAATCTGGGAGCTTGTGTGGGGTTGTTTGTTTGTTTTTTGAATTTTTATGATTTTCTGTGACCATTGGGCCATGTTGGTTTTTTAAAAAAAAAAAAATTCTGGGTTTGAATTTCTGTGTGGTGGGTGGCTGGGGGAACAGTTGAGGAGGGGTTTGCAAGAATCTGGGAGCTTGTGTGGTTTTTGTTGTTGTTTTTTTTTGAATTTTTTTGATTTTCTGTGACCATTGGGCCATGTTTTTTTTTAAAAATAAATAAATCTGGGTTTGAATTTCTGTGTCATGTGTGGCTGGGGGAACCGTTGGGGAGGGGTTTGCAACAGTTGGGGAAGGGTTTGCAATTTCTGTGTGGTGGGTGGGTGGCTGGGGGAACAGTTGAGGTTTTTGAAGACTTTGGTGATTTTTGAAGCTTTTCCAAAACTTCTTTTGCAGTGCACTGAATGAGTGCCTGAGCTCAAAATACATACAATATGACATTTAGGATAATTAACTCAATGTTAGCCTAATGTTTCTTTCTTTTAACTCACATATTCATCTCTGTGCCAGAAAAATAAAAATGAATATTTTACATGTGACGTTATGGATTACACAAATAATGAGGCATACGGCGGAACAGTACCTATAGATTACAGTAGAGCCTAGCATGCATGAAGTACACATTTTAATTTTTCCCCTCCCCCTTCCTATAAATTATAATTGTTATTGATACAAAATACCTCTTACTAAGGGTCAACAAAGCAATAAATGTTGCTAGACATAATTTCATATCTGTAATAATTGTAATGATTTTGGCATATACACTTTGACATAACTTTGTTAATCTATTCAGAAATGTTTATTTGAGTGTTTATCGTTGTTTCATTTTAAATTTTATATCATTGTTGCACATCATATCCTCTAATGTAAACAATGCAACCATGTTAAACAGTTTAAAAGTGAAGATGAATAAAAACTATGTTACTAAAACAACAACAACAAATACTTTGCAACATCTAATGGTGGTGCAACACATGGATTAATAAACTAACAAGGACACTATGCAACAGATGAGAGTCCAGTCCTAAGTAGGAGGGGGGGAAGAGTGAAGTGGTAGGTGATTCATTTTATTTAAAATCATTTCTATACCACTTTTCATTTAAAAATAAATCTCAAGGCAGTTTACAACAATAACATAACAATAATGATCTGTCACTTCCCAATCCCTTCCAGTTTGTACCATCTAGGGCAGGAGGTGTGGGGAGCAGATGTACCTCTTTTGGGTTGTCTTTTTTAAAGAGCTCCACTCCCCACACTTGCTCCAGTAAATCCAAGGAAGCCAGCATCTCACACATCTAAGTCCCCAAAACTACTGCATTTTATGGACTACCACTAGCTCCCACCACCAGTAGAGCTAGCAGTGGCCTGGATTGCGGATGTCTCCCCACAACCACCACACCCCAACACCAGCATAGGCCTTCCTCACCAAGAGAGGGGCACTTCCACACAGTCATAACCCGCTCTATCCTGCTGATCTCAAGGTTGGGCTTAATCGTTACAGATATAGTAAACGGGAGACAGGAAACAAAACAAGTTTTTTTCACAGATGTGCAGGGTAGGGGGGAAGAAATCAAACTCGTTATGCTTTCTCTTACATGTGGCATTTGGTTATTTATGAATTTGGTTCTTTTATGGAATCTAAAGGAAGGAATCAGAAGGAAAAGAAGAGACAAAAAAGAGTAGCAGTAGTAATGTTAGATAGGATGACCAAAAGAAACAGAAATCTTAAGGTCGAAAGGAATTACACTGACCTGCCAAAGGTTCTCAGGGTCTTCCCTTCTGGGATCAATGCGGAGTTGATTTCCCAAGGAAAGTGATATGTCCCAGCATCTGGCAGCATTTTGCGCAACTGTTCTTGAGAACAGACCCTACAGTCAGACAAAAAATGAAATGAGTATTTAAAAGATTATCTTTCCGCTTCAAGGCTCCAAGGTAATTAGATTCCCCTACTATGCAACAGCAGGTGTTACTTTTTCAGTTGACAGGCTTCTTTAATTATGCTCAAATCGATTCTAATAGACTACTACCTATTTTGTTCATGATAATAACCTCGTTTTAAGTACTTTGCAAGGTTCCCAGCCATCTTGGCCATTGGAATAGGGAAGATGGGAGTTGTAGTCCAGCATCAACTGAAGGTCCACAGGTTCCACATCTCTGCTGTGGTAGCTATTACTATTTTACAGATCTGATGATAGGATTGCTATCTACCATACCTTTATCTTATAGCATCTCACTCTTCAGACGCCACTGCACAAGAAAGTGTCACATACAGTATTATATTATATACTGTTTAGGAAGTTTTAATATTTAATGCTGTATTGTTTTTAACACCTGATTGGGAGCCGCCCAAAGTGGCTGGGAAACTCAGCCAGATGGGCGGGGTATAAATTATTATTATTATATCATCAAATACAGACTATTATTTATTTTTTGAATATCCCACTTTTTCTCCAAGGAGTTCAAAGTGGCGTACATGGTTCTTTCCCTCCTCATTTAATCCCTATAACAATGCTGGCAGACAGGTTAGGCTGTGAACTTCTTTGCTGAGTGAGGATTTGAACCCTGGTCTCCCAGGTGCTAATCTAGGTAGCAGAGTGCCAAAATAAAAAATATGTAGAAGGAACCAAAGTGCAACCATAGAAAGAGGGGCGAGTCTACCTTTGAGGACGCCATTACAAATGGAAAGCCAGAACAAAAAGAGTTTAATAAAAGAAAATGGGTATCCGAAGTACAGCAGCAGAATATGCCCACAACAGGGGACTGCATAGGAAGCTCTAGTTACATCCTCCAGCCCCTTCCAAATCAATATGCAAAGTCAATTTTTGATTAAATGTTTACTAGGAAAACAGACCTCTTTATGTCAAGGCATGCATTCTATTTGTTCTCCATGTAATTTTAACCACACCCATCCCAATAAGTCTAATAAATGAATTTAAATTTAGCTGGGCCCCCTCCCCACTTAATGTTTTTGAAGCAAAGAGACAATGGAAATCTTGAATATGGAGGAAGGAGGGGGTCCAGTAACAGTATTTTTTTATTATCCATTTGCCAGCGATCTGACTGGGTTGCCTCGGCCACTTTAGGCGGCTTCCAACCAGGTATTCAAACACAACAAAAACCCTCAAACATGAAAAACCTCCCTGGTACAGGGCCACCTTCAGATGCCTCCCAAAATTCACAGAGATGTTTATTTCCTTGATATCTGATGGGAGGGCGTTGCACAGGGCAGGCGCGACGACCGGGAATGTGCCAAGCGCCACAGGCGCAAGGCAAACTACATGCAAAGCTGCAATCGAAACCCTCGTTTATATCCTCCCAACACCCAACTAGAGGCGGCCTGCCCAGAATTCCCTCTTTTGCCGCCGAGTTTCTGCCGCGCAGCCACGTGAAGCCAATGTGCCCTCAGCCACAACTCAGTGGGCAGGCAACGTTAAGCCACCCTTGGTTTCCCCATCACAGCTAAGGTACCTATTAGTGAGGAGGAGGAAGAGGAGGAGCAGCTACATCCGCAACCGCTTCCAAAGCGCAGGGAGTTCCCGCTCTCGTTTCCTTTCCCGCCTCCTCATTGGATACTGAAACCGACCGCCGCCGACCGCGCAGCAGAAACCAGCGTCCGTCTCGCTCCATAAGCCCCGCCCACCAGAGGGCGGGCTGAAGAGCGAGTCACGCCTCCCAGCGTCACGTGGCCCGGAAGGCCGCTCGCCCGGGGTGGAAATCCGCCTGCGTCACGTGCCAGCCGGGTGGGCGTGGCGGGGTTGCCCCGTCCGGAAGCTTTTGCCGCCAGCCTTTCTTTACCCGCCGCTGCTGCCGCCGCCGCGCTAGTTCTTCTTCTTCCCTCGCCGTCCGCCACCTCCCTTAGTCTGCTGGCGTCAGAGCGCACTGGAGCGCAGCCTTCGCCATGGCAGCGGCGACGACCATGAACCCGGACCTGCGCAAAGAGCGCGAGGGGGCTTCCTTCGACACGGAGAAGCTCACCAACGTCTTGGACGGAGGCGCGGAGCGGACCCGGCGCCGCAAGGAGATCGGTGAGAGCAGCCGCTTTGGGTGGGTCGGAAGAGCGGCGGCGGCTGCTGCCATTCTGGACCCGGGAGGTGGGGGTTTAGTAGGATGGTGGGCGCGCCTCCTTCTCCTCCTCCTCCTCCTCTGTGTGCAGCTACTACCTGGCCGTGGTAATTTGATTCGTTATCAAATTAGGGGTGTCCTCCGCGCCCCGCGATTCCACAAATCCTTCTCTTTTCAGATTGTGTCATTGCACCTTGTCTCATTTGGAACGCGTCTCGGCAAGCATGAATCCTCTTCAGGCAGAGACCAATTAAAACGATACCGTAGTAATTAAGCGTTAACTGCAACCTTAGAGATTAAATACCAACCGTTCATTTTCATGCCAAAAAGGGGGAAAATAATAAACGGCGCGGCGCCTAGGAGAAATAGACCGTTCAAAGATGTTGTTGTTAAAAAGAAAAGATTTAAAAGGCATTGGAAGGAGAGAAACAAAGTATACACCTGCTGCGGAAATGCTCTTAATGTAGTTGCCCGGTGAGTCCGGTTGCGGAAGGCATTCCCTAAGCGGATGCAGTTGTTAAAAACTAGATTTGTGTGAATAAGTAGTACAGTAGTTCTGAACAAGGGTGCTTCCCTCACCATTGTTTTTAGACGGTTGTCTGTGTGATCTCTGCTGCATGCAGTTTTTCTAAGTGCTTGCATTTAAATAACTTTTTTAATTTTAAAATAACTTGTCCACTTAATGGGGCATTTTTAATAAAAGGGGGATTAATTTGACTAGTGGCTTGATGGTACAAGGTAGCTTCCTATGTTCTGGTCTAAATGTTGCACAACACAATTCTAACACCCACTCCCATCCCTACCTATGATCCTGGCTGGGGTGGTGGATTAGGATGATGTCTAGGTTTATCTCCTCTGGTGTCTGCTGATGGAGAGAACCACTACTGGTGAAAGCATTACCTTGCAAAGCAGGTCCTGGATTTTTCCATATGGGTAGTAAGGTACCACCAATGGTAGAGTGTAGAAATTCCCAGAACAAGGTGTTGTGGGGTGCTGCTGTCTTTGGATCCTCAAGGGACTTGATTGCTGGGTCCCTTGGCAACACTAGGTTGAACCTGTGTAGGAAATAGTTTCTTTAAGCTCCTGCAGGCAAAAGCCAACAGACATCAGATGCAGCAGCAAATCCACTGCTCTACTTCTTCCAGTGTCCTGATTTGGATTGCTCTGGTAGACTACTATTGTTACTAACCAGTGAGTTCAGTGAGGTGACATTTCAACCATGGCTCTCCTAGGTTGCAACTCATTCTCCTAGCCACGGTGCTGTGCTGTAATTGTGAATAGGAAAGCAGGAAGCCATCCCAGATTTACCCAATACATTTGGTTTCATAAGGAGACTAAGCAGAGTGAGAATGTGGCAGGTGGCACCTGGGAGATACCAGTTGCTACATTCTCCTGAATTCTTGCCCTTTCTAAGGGCATGTAAGGGCACTTCATTTGCTTTCTATGCTTGTTGCATCTTTTGAATTTTGTTAATTAATTATTATAACCCCAGTGCCATCCTTATAATCTTTAACACAGTTTGGAGTTGTCTTATGGTCTTTTCCATGTTAGGATGTACAAAGATGGCCTGCTGATGGTAGCAATGACGATAGCAAGCTGCCCAAACACAACAGATGCATGCCCCACTATTTGTGCCACTCAAAGCAATTTGTCACCTTTATGTCTTGAAGTTGTCAACAGTTTATCAGTAGTGAAGCCACAACATAGAACCAGCCTTATATCATTTTTTTAAAGGAATATGTCTTGACTTAGCACTGAATTTCTCTTTTGACTTCTCTACAGAAGCACTTGTGACAAACGACCCAGACTTCAAGCACAGTGATGTAAATTTCCTCTCCCGCAGCCAGCGCTATGAAGTTGCTATCAGGAAGAGCGCTCTTATGGTGATGAAGCTAAGAGAATATGGAATTGCAGATCCTGATGAGATCTACTGGTTTAAAAGGTACAGAAATCCAGTGCAAGGCACATAAAATAGCAGGTGCTCCTGTAAAGACAAGGGCAGTTGTTCTTCATTCTGTCATGGATTGAAAGGTTAAGGACACTGGAAAGTCATCAGAAGTTGCCAGCTGATTGTAAGGATTACCTGAGTAAAACCTCCTGGAATTGATATGCAACTTCATGCTCATTTTGATAAGGCAACATTTCCTAAGGCTATAAAAATAGTCCTTTTTACGTTCTGACCATGAATAATGTCAAACTGTAAGCTATTGAAGGCTGGGAGCTACTTTCCAAAGTATCGGTATGAATCTAGACTGCAGATAAAGCTATTAAGTTAGCAGTATAACTGTAAGATACTTTTTATTTCCTTGACCACATCTTCCTCCACTAAGGCCTTTCCATGTTGAAATAGATTGGAAAGGGTTAAGCATTCTTTTAATCTGCATTAGATGATTGGGCACTATTGAAGTTCCAAAGATGAAGTTTACAACATGGAAGACTGCCAGCTTGCTGTGAACTTAATCTTGCAGAATGTTACATGACTTTTGAACCCATGAAATTAACTTGGTTTAATCATTGTTAGCTAGATGTTGTTGTTTTTTATTCCTCTTTGAAGATTGCTGAATGCATAGGTCTTGAAGCAGGATTGCAAGTCTTTCCTCTGAAATAGTTTAATAGTTGGAACTGTTGATGTCAAATGGGTTGCTCTGGCCTACTCAAACTTCCATTTAAAAAACTCTGGGAAGGATGACTTTGCTATGATGTTGCAATGTGCCCGTGCTAGTTGTTTCATACAGCTGGTTACTGTTTGCAACAGAAACAAATCTCTCTTAAGTAAAGCAGTGTTGGCCAATTATTCTTGCAATTGTGTCGCAAGCCAACTTAAAAGTATTTTATTGTGCCACTCTAGCATAAACATAGCTCCTTTTTGCCTTGGTTGGAATCCCCACCCCGGGTTTTGTGAGACAGGGTACAGCCAGAAATTCAGCACTGGACAGGGAGGCAGGAGTGCAGGCCTGACCTGCTCAGAGCCAGGCCTGTCAACACCTTGCACTGCAGGCTGGCTGCCTCAGAAGTGGCAGCTGACTGGCAGATCAACCAACTATAAGAAGCAATAAAAGTGTCAAAGTCCTGAGATCCTGCAAGATAGAACCACATTTTTTGTACTGACCTTGCTTCTGGCCCAGTTTGGACCTTGTTTAATTTGCCACATTTGCAGTAAGGAAGATACTTCTCTCTAGACCAGAGTGGTGAGATTCTGCTGTGTTTCTGGCATTCTACAGTTCACTTTCTTGGAGTTAGTGCCTTGTGAAACTTGTAACTCCAGCATGATTTCTGTTAATCCCTCTCCTGTGCTTGCGGCATAATTTATTCTAAAGGGTATGATCTGATCAGATGTGTCAAGTGAAAGAACTTTCATTTCTTTCAGCCCTGCTATTCTGCATCAGTTCTATAAGTAGAATGGCGTCTGGAGTTTAGAGATACTAGGAAATCATTAATACAAGTTGCTAAATAAATAAAAAAACTACATCGCTGTGCAATATAGTACCTTCTTACATTGATGTGCTATATTCTGAATTCTGTTCTATTGAGTAACATACTAATTTGTACTGCTTTTTAAGCACTCCTGTTTTATGAATCGGGTAGCTAACACCACCCCTTTAAAGTTTAAACCTTAAACTATTGAATGATGCAGCTACTTATATCTGTGGGCAGAAGCTTTTCTCCCCCTGCCCCCTGTGCTTATGTAATTGTGACGGGGCAGGTTGAAGTTCAGTACACGGGCAGAAGTCAAGTGGGTGGAGCTTGGTTTCCTTTTTACCAGTTAACAACAGGCTTGGTCCTGTTTGTGGGATAAAGCATAAGGCAGGTAGCCTGCCTGGGATATTGCTATTTGATCTGCTCTCTGACTTTGAAACTTCTCGCTCACTCTTTGTTTGAGCACCAGAATTCCCGCATTTTAAGCATTGTAATAAGAGACGAAAAGTAGTTTAGAAATCCAAACCCATTATTTTGCCTAGCCACAGAATCTTTTTAGCAGCACTGGGAACTTAGCGCGTCTCTTCTCTCTCCCCTTAAAAAATAAAAAAGCATCAATAATGCCTGAAAATGCATAATCAGTGTTTTGTTTTGTTTGGGGCTCAGGAAATGGATTAGCTGAGCTCACTAGTTAGGCATGTTCATTCTGCTCAGCTCCCTCTCCCAGCCCTTAGTTCATCTCTTCCCTTCCCAGTGCCTAAAAAGATAAAGGTACCCCTGCCCGTACGGGCCAGTCGTGACCGACTCTGGGTTTGCGCGCCCATCTCGCTTAAGAGGCCGGGGGCCAGCGCTGTCCGAGGACACTTCTGGGTCACGTGGCCAGCGTGACGAAGCTGCTCTGGTGAGCCTGCACCAGCGCAGCACACGGAAATGCCGTTTACCTTCCCGCTATAAAGCGGTACCTATTTATCTACTTGCACTTAGGGGTGCTTTTGAACTGCTAGGTGGGCAGGAGCTGGGACCGAACGATGGGAGCTCACCCCGCCACGGGGATTCGAACCGCCGACCATACGATCGGCAAGTCCTAGGCGCTGAGGTTTTACCCACAGCGCCACCCACGTCCCAGTCCCAGTGCCTATGCATCTTCTATTGTCACAATTTCCTGTGCAGGAACCACCACCACCAACAAAATCAAGTAAGCCATCTAGTTGTCTAGTAGATATACTTGAGACTGTTCCTAATCTTCCACCCAAATCCTCCCATTCTGTATGACTAGTGCAACTGCATTCAGAATATTATATATACAGTACTTTAGAATGCCACATATAATAAGAATATAGCAAAATGATAGTGGTTGAAATGCCTTTATCAGGAACGGCATTTTGTAGCACAATCCTAACCGCGTCTAGTCAGAAGTAAGTCCTACTGAACTTAATTGGCCATACTCCCAGGTACGTGCTACATCCGCTTATCTTGTGTATTTTCTTATAAGTACAAAAAAAAGAAGGTAAGTCAATATGTCATGTGACAGTGTGAGTAACTCATCTGTTTAGCTTTGGGCCCAGGAGGAATTGTCAGGTGACTAACTGGAAGGGCTTGTATTACATTACGTACCCAACTGAATTATTACTGTGGCAAAGTTAACTGTTTGAAAGGGCAGCGTGGCCAAAGTCATCTGTTGGTCCCACTGTTTCAAGCCAAATGCTGATTCAAAAAGTTGCTGAATTAACTTATCAGCAGGGCAGCGCTTGCACCTTCTCAGTCTAATCTCATAAGATAAATTGCTGGATGCTCATCTTTTGGGGGTTTTTTGTACAGCAGCCAGATTATGCAAGAGAGTGCACTTTGCCTCTTTGCTTCTTTCATCATAAGGCTTTGGTGTAGCTTACTATTTTCCCACAGCTCATTATGTGGGTGGCTGTGAAAATAGTAAAATATTTCTTTTCTCACCCTCTTTTCTCCCCACCCTACCCTTTGGGGCTTCTAGTAGTTTGGAGAACTAAGATGATCATCTTTAAACAGAATAAACAAGAAGGTAGAACAAAATGGCATCTAATGTTGTTATTTTTCCCCTGCTTGCAATCCAAATTGTTTTGATAAAAGGAATTCCTGATAGCAGATAGAAGGATGAGAGTTTCCAATCCTTTAACATTATGGCAGCTTTTTCACTTGTCCAGAAAAGGGAATGTCTTCTTCTGTTTCAAGAGTTCTTCACATCCTGCAGAATGTTGAATATGAAATCAAAAGTGCTGTTCAGCGAAGGAGAAGTGCATTCAAGTGCCTTCTGCTAGTAACCAAAGTTTAGAGCACACAATATCATTTTTCACCCCACTTGTTCCTACATTAAGAAAAACGTTAGGAGGTGGACATTTTCTAATCAAGTGGACTGAACAACTAATGTTGCCCTCTATGAAATAGATGATCAAACTAACTACTATTTCCCTCCTTGTAATAGATGGCCATTGCTGGTTGCCCAGTTGTGGTGGGCTATAAATGAAAATTTGTATCAAACCATTCTCTTATTTTGATAGAGGCCTTGATTCCTTAGGGTTGTACTATGTAAAATTGTATCCAGGTCATTATGGAAAACACACAAGTTGAGGTTTTTATTTTCACGTTGAGGTGTCTGGAGGGCCTATTTATATCCTTTAACAAATTTTACTCCCAGGCGAGCAGCAAGTGTGTAACATATATAAGCACCTGCCCTTTAACGATAACATCTGCTCTTTAATGACTTTATAGCATTTTCACCCCGCTCGCCCTTGCTGTTCAGCTGACAAGGTTTCCAGAGCAGCTGATATGAAATCAACAATGACATAAAAACAATCTAAAGCTGTGTGAGATCTTTAAAATTGCCTATTTAAGATGGTGGCAATGATGGCATTTTGTGTCATGATCATTATCCCCGCCTGCTCATAGGACAGCTGGTTCTACCATACTCTGTAGGAAGGAGGAGCCCAGTTCCAAGTGGTGATGTAGCTTTAGGCTGAGGTGGCAATGATTGCAGTTAATTTGATTTATTTGTTGCTGGCTTGCTCCTGGACTCTGTTCAAAGACCCGGTGTTCACCGCCTTTAAAGTTCTTAATGCTCTGTGGCCAGGATACTTAAGGCAGCTCTTTCATCCCTATTTACCTTACAACCACTAAGTTCTGAGCATAAGAACCTTCTGGCAATCCTCCCATCTGTTCTACTGGTAGCCAATGCTAAACCTACCTTTTCAGCAGCAGGCATGAGTAAGCTTAGAAATTTACTTCACAGCATGGTGTGACAGGTTTACTAGCGTAACTCTTAATTCTGAGGGGGGAGGGCAATTAACTATATATTGTAACTAGTGTCCTGATGGTTACCTTGATACCTGAACTTCACTTTCATTTCCCCTCTCCTTATAGTTTTATTTGTACTGTTAAAAAATGTTTAATTGTACTCTGCTTTGAGAGTTTGACAAGATTAAAAATAACCAAAATAAATAACATGAAGCGTGGTCACACACTTAGCAGAATATTCAACTTCCCTTTCCCTTTCTGAAGCAGCTTATCTCAAAGTATGAAGTGCAGTCTAGGTGTCCTTGGCAGGATGAAAACAAAACATTTAAGTGGTATCAAACGAAATGATTCTACTAGGACACAGACTTTTAGCTGGGCAGTGGAACTTCCCTCTTACCTTGCACCCCATAAATTTGCGCTGGAGGGGTAGGGGAAACTCCTAGAACAGATTTAGGGGGCATATAGGGAGAGAAGTGGTGGAGATGTTTCATTCGGCAGTTCTTGTACAAGACAAACTGTTTAGTTGGATAGTGCCTGCTCACTCCAGTGAGTGGCGTTCTGCAAACTTACTCTGCTGAAGTGTCACAGTGGTGCAGACAAAACAATAGTAGTACAATCTAGTGCTGATTTATAAAAACAAACTTTCCGGTGGGAAGCTCACTCTGCAAATTGACTGCCTTCAGCAACATGCCTTTTAACACTCCTTTGTAATGCTTGTTAAACCCTGTTTTCATGTTGCACCCACAGTCCTTGTCTTCCCATTTTCTTTGTCTTCAAATAGCCTTGTCAGCATAAACAGCATCCTGTATAAGCTCCAATGTTATTAAAGTAATAATTGCAAACTAGATGAGACAAAGCTTGATAATGGCAGAATTTGGGCTCTTCTGATGTATTTGAAGCTTTGATAGGGCTGGGGAGATTTGCCTTAAAACTTTGCTGTGGGGAGGAAGAAAGCTACGGTCAGGATTTTAAGAAATGCCTTGGCTGTTTAGGTGCGGATGGGTAGAAGCACCCTTTGTGCATGAATGGTATAGGTTTTGAATTTGATGTCACTGCATTTTATAAACTTTTTTTCATATACAGTAGTTCATTTATGCCTTTCCTGTTGTCATTACTGGTATATCTAAAATCTTTAAAAGTATGAAAAGGCTGGAAGATTTAGGGGGTATACGACTACGGAAAAATGGAGGGAGGAAAGCCTTGTTGGATTCTAGAAAAATAACAGCTACAACCTAATCTGCCATCTCTCTCTCCCATAGTGTGTGCATGGGTGCATCTGTTCTGCCTCTTGGTCTGCACTACAGCATGTTTACTCCCACCTTAGAGAACCAGTGCACTGTTGCCCAGCGAGAGAAATGGCTGCCTCTGGCCTCGCGGTTCCAGATAATTGGCACCTACGCTCAGACGGAAATGGGGCACGGTTAGTTCTTTCCAGAGACTTACGGGTGATCCTCTGCAGTGTAACTCCAGTCCAGCAGTGATTTTTAGGGTGAAATGGTTGCTTTAAAAAATACTGGAGTCAGAATTCAGTGCATCACCACTTCTGACTTTTCTGACAGTAACACTATATGCAAAGTTGTGCTCTTCACGCATTCAAAGGCACCTCCTTGCTGTTAGCTGGTTTTATATCCTTGTTCTCAGATCTTGTATATAATACTTCAGTTACTCAAAGTTGCTTCCTAGATTGCTGACAGTAGGCGTGAGTGAATTGTTCAATCAGCCTAGTTTTGTTTTGTTTTCATTGTGATGATGCCCAGGAACATTGCTGTAGTGTATCTCCAACATTCATCTCCACTTAAGCAGCTGCCTTAAGCTTATGTATTATGTAATAGATTGTACACGGCTCACAACCTCTGTCCAAGTTACTTTGTTGTAAGTACTTGGATATAGGATGTGAGTAGTGTACAAAAGTGTGAAGCCAAAAGTGAAGTATGGAGCAGGTGTATTCCTTCATGAGTATACCAAATGAGCAGCTGCTAACTAGTGTACTTTTGGAGCAGGAAAAAATGTAGCATGTAAGGACCTTGTAACACAGCCCTATGCTGGTCTGTTGGAGAAAATTAGTTGTCAGTAGAAAAAGCTTCTAGATCCTTTGCGTGTTTTGTGTTAGCAGCCTTATATTTTAGATACAGCTCTTCTTCTGCTGAAATCAGTAATTCAATATCCGCCACCCCCAAAGCAGTCAGGCAAGATGAAAAATCTTGACTGGACTTTTTTCAGGCCTTTCTGCTGCGTGAAGGAGGGCAAAGTTCTGGCCAGCATCCAAATGCAGCTAATACTTGTTGGATTAAGCATATCATTTCAATTTCATGAACCAGAAGAACACCTCTCAAGAACAAGATGAACAGGACAAAAAACCCACATCAAGAATATGAATATTTTCTTTTCCCTTTTAGCCACTACTCTTCTGTGGTAGGCAGTTTTTAAAAAGCACTAATCTCTTATCACTTATGGGAGTATCCTGAGCTTATCAAAGCCCAATACTACTTTTATGACTTAGTCTGGATTGCTTGAATACTATACTTCCCTTTTAAAGAAGAAATGGAATCTTTCAAGAAGATGGAGAGTACATGGATGAGAATGAAAACCTCTGGTTCCTAATTCATAATCTTCAATCAAACCCGGAGAATGGTGTCTCCGTTGAGAGCTGGGTTATATGATGAATCTGCTGTTAACTATTTGAAGTCTTGCCTTTTGCAAATGAACATTCCGCATTGTTATGGTATACTTCACATCACCATTTGAATTAACGGTACCGCCTCTCAAGCAAATAGTTTAAAGGCCAGAAGCTGCAAAATGAATGGAACATCCTGTGAATAAGCAAATCATTGTCACACTCGTTTGTCTACCCCTTCCCTTGAGACCTTGTCTGTGGATGTGATTATTTATTTATTTTTGCATGCTGTGTTTTACTACTTTCCCTGTCTCTGTGTTGATGTGTAATACTTGTTGTATTCTGTCAACTAACCAGTGTCTTGATGATGATTCAGTCGTGCTGTCACCATCGATTGTTGTGTGTGGTGGTGGGGCAGTGCAGTTCCCGCTTAACATTTCAGATGATGATTCTTCAATAGCATGTGTGTTCTAGGATTACATCTGTTGGGTGGTGGATGACTTGCTGAACCTGCATTGCATTAGGATGGAGGCACTACTTAAAACAATAATCTGTACTGGAGCTGGTGTGGCAAGAACTTGATTTTTAGGGGAAATCTCTCTACAGGTAATATTCCAGCATTCTTCAATGGTGCATGTGAAGTAAACTCTTCTAGACGATTTAGATGAACAAAATGCCCAAATTTTAAAATCCTGGTATTTTTGCATTAGCTATAGGTTTGCTAGTCCAAGTGAGAACGGAACTCTTCATTTGGTTGCTGGATCCCTGCTCCAAATGGCAGCTCTGGACCCTTTACCATTTTGCTACTTCAGCCTGCTCTCCATTTTTCTTCTCCTGTGTGGTGCCCTGGCGTATTGGAGCTCCACTTGCGTAAACAGAGGCGATGAAGCAGCTCTGTGCTTTGGAGTGGAAACCTGCATGATTGCTTCACTTGTAAAATTACAACACTGAACATTGCTGTCTAAAAATTGACTTTTCTATTCCCTCTGCTGTAGAGAGGTGTCTGTCCCCAATAGATGGAGACACTACATGCCGGTCTTTTTAATACTGTTCTCCTTTTTTTCAACTGCAAAGGCAGCCACACATATATAACTTGCTATGGATTAATAATGTAGTGTGTTGTTGCACTATCCCCATAGTGTTGGAAGGGATTGGTTAACTTTATGATAAGCAAACTCCTAACCGTCCCTCAACTCAGTGGTATGTGAAGCTAGGACATGTTGTACTAAGTTTTATTGCTGGTATTAACAATACAGTTAGTACATGCCATTGTGGGATGTACATCCTTAGTTGTGGTTCAGGTTTCACTAGCATGAGAAAATTGCCACACAATCAGCTTAAAACATCTTGATGCGCTTATAATAAATAAAGTACCGTCGTACTCCCATGAGTCCCATCCAACATGGCCAATGGCCAGGGATTATGGAAGTTGTAGTCCAGAACATCTGGGGGACACCTTGTGGAAAATGTTGTGAATTGCTTTGCAGTGGAAAAGCAGGCTAAAAATATAAATATATAAGTGGGACCTGAAACAAAGTATTGCTGTGTGACGTGCTCCCTGGTTAGGATTCCAGGAGTTCCATTCACCCTCCCACCTGTGTTGCCAGTCCTCTCCCACCCCAACAGTTAGTATTTTGTTTCAGTTAAGCATGCTCTGTCCTCACTGAACTCTTTGGGGATTTCACAATTTTTTAAGCCCTTCTGCAAAAGAGAGGGAGAGAGATTTAGGAATCTAAGTTCCCCCAAGCCTACTGATGCCTTCTTCATGGCTGGCACTGTTTTAACTATACAGCAGAAGTGCTCCTAACCTGGATATATAAAATAGAGGGGATAATAAATAGTACTTTGAGTTTTCAGAGGGCTTTACACCCATTACTGCAGTACTCCCCGCAGAAACCTTGCGAACTAGGCCTGTTATCATTTCCATGTTGCAGATGGGATGTTGTGTGTGTGTGAAAGAATAATGGCTTGTTTAAGGTCCTCTAGTGAGTACAGTACATGGCAGAGGTAAGATCTCACCAGGGTTGATTTTGCTCACATTTCTAGTCACTGCACCATTTAATGCAACAGGTGAAATGAGCACTGCGCACCAAGGTGTGTTGGATGGGGTGCTGGTATAGGAATACCTTAAGTATATAATGCTGCCTTCTGGATCAGAACATTATGGAACTTAAATGTGGTGACTGGATTATCATAAGGAAGCATGTTTTGTTGCGTTTTGGGTGACCTTTGCTGGTGATGGCTCACTGGTTATAAATGTTGGCTGTTGATACAAAGCTATGGAGCTGTTCACTAGCTTTGATTGCTGATTCAGAGCACCATACTTTTCTGGATGGATAGTCTGCAACAAACTGGAGTAAAAGAAAATAAAACAGTTGACAAACAGGTTTGCTTTGAACAAGAGTAAACCAGTTTGGATTTTATGACTACACTCTCCCCCCGCCCCCCGGAACATGAATTGGGTAAGGATGGATTGCTGTCAACCCAATGTAAAACATTCCTTATCTGATTTGGTCCCAAGCCACTCCAGTTGTAAGACAGGCGGTTATTTTATTTTCAGTGTTTTATTCCTTTTGAATACACTTCCAAGAGGCAAAGAGGACCTGTTTAAAAAGGGGGCTGGGCTCTCTCTTGCCCTCCTGCCGCAATAGAAGATCTATTGGACCTTGGGTCCTATTATTGACATAAATATTAGTGTGCCTTGGGAAAAGAATGATGCTCTGGTAAAAGTGTGCTTTCTAAATTCTTTATTCATATAAAATTATTTTTGTCTTCCCCCCTCCAATCTGCACCTCTAATCTCACCTGCTTTAATCCTGTAACACCCCTTCACATTCCCTTCCCTCGGCATTTCTTCACAGCTCTGCTCACCACGGACGACCTGAGCCTCTGGACCTCCACCTGGGCATGTTCCTACCTACTCTCTTAACCCAGGCAACCCAAGAACAGCAGGATCGCTTCTTCATGCCTGCTTGGAACTTGGAGATCATTGGCACATATGCCCAGACAGAGATGGGCCATGGTACAGTACTTTCAAGTCTTATTTGCGAGTGTAGTACAGTGGTACCTTGGGTTACAAATGTTTCGGGTTACAAACACTTCAGGTTACAAACTCTGCTAACCCGGAAGTAGTACCTCAGGTTGAGAACTTTGCCCCAGGATGAGAACGTAAATTGCGTGGCGGCACTGCGGCGGCGGCAGCAGGAGGTCCCATTACCGAAAGCACTCCTCAGGTTAAGAATGGTTTCGGGTTAAGAACGGACCTCCGGAATGAATTAAGTTTGTAACCTGAGTTACCACTGTATTTCTGGGTAAGAGATGTTGAGCAAAAGGCATGGGGGCATTTTCCCTTCCAGTCTAGGATTCTTCAGACTGTCTGATTCACAGCCAAGGAGTTTCCTCTATATGAAATGCAGACACATCTTCGTTTTTCTCGCATGAGCATATACATTTGTTGAGAATACATACATCAACTTTCAGATTACGTGTTATGATTGCATATGTGAGCTTGCACAAAGCAATATCAATGATTCAGCAAATAATCTTGAGCAAGAAACGTGAATTTTCTTTGACAAAGCCGTCTTTACTTTAAATCACAGTTCAAAAGTGATCTGAGAGAGAGAGATGCATCTTTCCTAACAGTCCTGTATCATCATCAACAACAACAGCAACAACTTTTAAACTTAGATGCTTTTGTAGGAAACATATTGGCTTTTAAAGCAGTAGGTTCACCACATCTAAATAGGATAATGGCTTTTGCAATAACAGCTAGAATCCCCCTTTGGTGGACTCTTCTACTCAATGTAGCCTCTAATTTAAATAAACTTTGGTTGTAGCTCTTGTGTGTTTGACAAAATCCTGGCTTCTGCATCCTTGTAAGGCTTCCCAGTTAACTAGAGACATTTCAGCTTTTAGTACAAACTGAAATCAGGAGTTCATAGGCTTTTGAAGATACAGCAAAAGGATATTAATCCAGATCCATTCTCTTTTGTGAGATACCACGTATCTACACCTAAGGAAAAGGAAACCTTCTCTCCAGTTTTTGAAGTATCATTGGAAACTTCCAAATGGTAAATGTTCATGTTGGTGTGGCACATTGCAAGATACTACTTACGCTTCTAATTTTAAGGTTATGATGTGACAATGTTTCTGGGTGTGTTTGAGGTGCTCTCTTGTTTCCCTCAATGCGAGGCTGCAATTAGGCAAAGAGCTCTCAATGTGCAATGTGTGGTGATCTCTATCACATGGCACCTCAGTCAGTCTCCAGGCCCATCTGACTTTTGCCATACTTGACGTTTTCTTCTTGAAGATGGGAAAACCAAGTTTCATTGAGATACTAAAACAACAGATCATTTTCTCCTTATTTAGGAACTGTCCCAAGAAATTGCTTATACTCAGTGTTCATTGGGCCTTTCCTGCTAGCAGTGGTCCTCATCAGTTGTTAGATGATTCTCTCCCCCCCCCCCCCTTATTTAGCAAGTTAGTTTTGCTTCTGGCTAGAAAGCCTAGAATTTACTCTTCAGCGACACTAGGAAAGTCCAGCTTCTTTTTGCAGACTGTGTCCAAAACAATTTAAGTCATCTAAATAGCTTCCAGTTTCCCCACACGCTCCCTAAGTGACAGAAAACATATTATTTTTGGAGTTCCAGTTAAAAACTTCAAGATTAGTAATTCTCATGGTCCCCTCTGCAGAGTGGCAGAGAAGGCCACTGATGCTCAAAAGGCAAGAGGCCTAGAAATTTGTATTCAGAAAATCAAAATCTGTAAGGAATTAGACTATTAATTCCTCCATTTCTTTAGATAATGAGAGATGGAGCTAATGTAACATTACAAATAGCCCACTTTTTATATTAAATTGTAGGATTTCAGTGGCATAGAATAGGGGAAAGCTGTGAGAGCTGTCTCACAGTTTACATAGGTTTCCCTGCTTGCTCACGTTTAGATAATTTTTTACAAGTCAGAGCATTCCAGTAAGAGTTTGTCTGCAAGCCTATACAAAACAGATTGTTTGTAAACTATTAGATGTGCACAGGGAAAGGCCACCAGAAGATAGATGCCTGCATCTCTCCCTCCCTCTCTCTCTCTCTCTCTCTCTCTCTCTCTCTCTCTTTCTCTCTTTCTTTCTTTCTCTCAGGCTCAGATGTGGGAACATTTATCTTCTAAAGGCCTCTGAGGCAGATGGTTGTTTCATTTTGATAGAATGAGAAAAAATGAGCAGGATTGTCAACCATAATCAAAGGCAGAACTGTGCCCAAGTCTGAATTTAGGTCAGTGTTTGATAACTAAAGACTGCAGAGGGCTAGTCAACCAAGCAGAGGGCCTTCTCAGCAGTGGCGCCCTCCCTGTGGAACACCCTGCCATCAGATGTCAGGGAGATAAAGAATTACACAAATTTTAGGAAACATTTGAAGGCAGCCCTGTTCAAGGAAGTTTTTAATGTCTGGCATTTTATTATTGTTTTATATTTTGCTGGAAGTCGCCTGGAGTGTCTGGGGAAACCCAACCAGGTGGGCAGGGTATAAACAATAAAATTATTATAATTATTATTAATATTATTATTTATTCATGTACACGTCTTACTGCTGCAACCAGTGGTTGAGCACATTCCCTTTTTTAAATGCTAAAAGCTGGAGGGGTGTATCTATAGTTTTGCTCTAGAACAGGCTAGCATACAAGGTTCCCCAGTTCCCATCAGTCTCAGCCAACATGGCCAATCTTCATGGGTTATGGGAGTTGTAGTCCATCATCTGGTGATACCAGGATGTCTACCCAGGCTCTGGACTTCACAATTTGCTATGCAATTGGCCAAACACATATCTCAGTGTATAATAATAATAATAATAATAATAATAATAATAATAATTTATTTATACCCCGCCCATCTGGCTGGGCTTCCCCAGCCACTCTGGGCAGCTTCCAAAAGAATATTAAAATACATCAAACATTAAAAGCTTCACTTTAAAAGCTTCAAACATTAAAAGCTTCTTGCTCAGCATTGCCATGTATCTGCTTCAATTTTTGAAAAAAAGTACCCAGTATACCTTAAATGCGCTCTGACTCTTTCAAAAACCAAATCCTTCACAACTTTCTCAGAACCTAGAAAGCACAATCAGCCTATAACCGATTCAAGGAACTCATATTGCCATGAAATAACCCAGTTTGGGTCACCTGGAACCTTCTGTGGAAGCTCAGTTGCTATTTTGACATAAGCAGCCTTCAATTCCTCCATTTCCTTGAGCCATGAGAGACAGACACAACACCTGTTAGGCTTCATTGCTTACTTTGAAAATGATGTGTGTCCAGCAACAGCTATGAAGAAGATGATGGCTGTGGGGGTGGAAATCAAAATGAAAATCAGCATGGATGAAGCAGTTGTTGAAGATTTCAGCCTATGAGGATTTTCGTGCAACACACAAGCAGAATAGCCATTCTGCCAGCCGGACTTTTTGTTCTTAGCATAGCACAGCAGCTCCATCCATCAAGTTGACATGCAAGTCAAAAATGTTGCACGACCGCTGGTGCACACTTAACATTGCAACACAAACAGGTGCACAGATAATGAATTGGGAAATGAGCTTTTATTAAGATGCATGTTGAAGATTACAGGTACAACTGTGCCCATCACTTGCACAACAATGGAACTCTCCTTCTTCTTGCCCTGTCATTATATTGGATCACTCAGTATCTGGATTTGAGAAAATACCTTCCTCACATGAATGGTGATGATCGGGAGCAGAATTCAATTATTGTGCTTCTCTCTTTAATTCACCTTATCAGGTACTTACGTTTTACACTCTGCACACATGCTTTAGTGACAAGTAAGCAAGAAGTCGTGAGCAGTGAAAACCTCTTGGCTGTAAAACCAGTGAGCTTTCAGGATGGAGGTGCCTAAAAGTGGAATGATCTAATTTGCAATCTTTTATTGGTGTTGTGATCAAAGGAAGAGTGGCATACTTCCTGCTATTCACACATGCAGTTTATTTCTTTCGTAATGTGTCATCTACTTCCCATTGTGTAACTATAATTTGCGATAAATGTTCTGCTTTTGCATTACCTATATAGTTGCATTGCCTCTGGAGTTCACTGAAAAAAATGTATGTGTCCATGTTGTTGTAACCTGTGACTGTTGAAATAAGATGTGCTACGTGTCTACAGGAACTCATCTCCGAGGACTGGAAACCACAGCTACATATGATCCTGCTACCCAGGAATTTATCCTAAATAGTCCAACTGTGACTTCTATTAAATGGTGGCCAGGTGGATGTAAGTGAATTATTTCAACTTTGAAGCTAAAGAAGGAATTTTCTCCTCATGCAGTCAAATATTTTATAAGAGGGTGAAGTCAGTTAACGTTTTAAAAATACAACTCTGTGTACACACACACACACACACACACACACACACACACAGAAACGTTTTTGATTTTGTTTTAGGGCCAGATTGTGAAACCAACATTTTAAAATTCACAACCACACATGAATAAATGTTTTTGTTATAGCACTACTGCTTTTCTCATGTTAGAGGAAGTGATGTTACGTTGGAAAGGCTTGGTCAGTTTTAATTTATGATTTTGGGAAACTCATTTTTGGTTATTGGGGCAGAACTTGATTACCTTTATATTTTTAAAAGTCTTGTGAGTGCATTAAACAAAGCCACTATTTAGCAACCTAAATTGGGTGCTTCTGGAACTGTATAGTGAAGCTACCAATTGTTTACATTTGTTTTCCTTCCCTCCCTGCAGTGGGTAAAACATCAAACCATGCCATCGTTTTGGCTCAGCTTTACACCCAAGGCAAATGCCATGGCTTACATGCTTTCATTGTGCCGATACGTCAGTTGGGGACTCATGAGCCATTGCCAGGTATGGGCATCCTATTTTGGAGAATGGGATAATGCCTTATTAGTCACTTTCTAGCTATGTAGTATGCTGTAACTCAGGGGTTGCTAATTCATGACCTGTGGGCCATATGCAAAGGGGTTTCTTTCTTTTTTTAGAGGTGGAGACGCATAATATTGCCATTAAAAGTATATTATAAAAATTATTGTTCCTATGGGTCCTGTTACCTTAATACAAAAATGTTTTTTGTATCCCCAAGATCTCCAGAATTTCTCCTTTTACTTTTATTTTATTTTTTTTTAAATTAAGTTAATGAATGATAAAGGGTGTAAAAATAATGTGGAAAAGGTGGTGAGGAAAGTCTTTTTGAAGACACACTTCAGCTCTTTGACACTTGTAGCTGTTTAATATTGTGGCAGAAGGTATTTCTATTAATGCCTCATTTTGGCTTTTCATTAAAACTCTGCCTCTTTTTCTTATCCTTCCATTATAACATGTTTGTTAGGTATTACTGTTGGTGATATTGGACCAAAATTTGGTTATGATGAAATGGATAACGGTTACTTAAAAATGGACAACTTTCGCATTCCTCGGGAAAACATGCTTATGAAACATGCCAAGGTAAATCATTATGTTCTCTTTGCTTTTTTTGTATTGATTTGTGGAATTACCAGTTATTTTAGCCAACTCTAAAGAGACTATTCCATGTGGCGTACTAAGGTTACTTTGGCTAGATGTTAGAAGGATATGTTTTCAAGAGGTAGCTGACTACTTTGTACTCAAAAGCAACCATCTGTAAATTGGTCTTCAAGGAAAAACAATCAAGTCTCCATTTAAGATTAGCCCTATTATCTCTTGCTAGAGAGTTTGGAGTTCTCTACTAATCCATTTGCCATTCTTGGTTAGCTCATAATAATAATAATAATAATAATAATAATAATAATAATAATAATGTATTATTTATACCCCGCCCATCTGGCTGGGCTTCCCCAGCCACTCTGGGCGGCTTCCAAAAAAAATATTAAAATCAAACATTAAAAACTTCCCTAAACAGGGCTGCCTTCAGATGTTTTCTGAAAGTCTGGTAGTTGTTATTCTCTTTGACATCTGGTGGGAGGGCGTTCCACAGGGAAGGCGCCACTACCGAGAAGACCCTCTGCCTGGTTCCCTGTAACTTGGCTTCTCGCAGTGAGGGAACCACCAGAAGGCCCTCGGTGCTGGACCTCAGTGTCCGGGTAGAACGATGGGGGTGGAGATGCTCCCTAGAAGCTTTCCCAGGAGTGTGTCAAAGTTCAGTACACTGTGATTATGTAAGACAACTGAGCTCATAAACAATTTGGTATTGGTAACATTCCTGATCTTATACTCCCTGTGAAATGAATTCAGTATCTGGATGGGCAGGGTAGTTAGAGTCTTAATTTTCTGCTCCAACCTACTTCTCCATTCGTAGCTGGCCTCTGTTTTGCATAATAGGTATATGATAAATAATGTTAACAGCTAATCTAAATTTCGTTGCTTGGATCATATTACCTTTTTGGCCACCAGGCTGACAATGTCACTGGATAAGCAGCATGTGCTCAGGCAGGAAGCAATTAAAAGTGCTGAACATGGGGATCTTTTTATACAAATGCACAAACTATGTTTTAAATAAAGTCGATAAACAAAGCCAAGTATAGAATGACAGAGTCTTTGAAGTAGGTCTAATGACTGAATACCTGTCTGGACATATATTTTGAGTGCCCCTGTGACAAAGCACTTGTGAAACTCTTAAAAAGCTATACAGTGGTACCTCGGGTTAAGTACTTAATTCGTTCCGGAGGTCCGTTCTTAACCTGAAACTGTTCTTAACCGGAAGCACCACTTTAGCTAATGGGGCCTCCTGCTGCTGCTGCGCCGCCGGAGCACGATTTCTGTTCTCATCCTGAAGCAAAGTTCTTAACCCAAGGTACTATTTCTGGGTTAGCAGAGTCTGTAACCTGAAGCGTATGTAACCTGAGGTACCACTGTATGTGTATGAACAAGCATTTCAGATTTGTGAACTCTGTCCTTCTAGGTTGAACCAGATGGCACTTACGTGAAACCTCTTAATGCCAAGTTGACATATGGAACCATGGTATTCATCCGATCAATTATCGTTGGGGATGCTGCTCGCTCTTTAGCCAGAGCTTGCACAATTGCCATTCGCTACAGCGCAGTGAGGCACCAGTCTGAACTGAAGCCAGGGTAAGAAGCACGGCTGCTGGATGAGAGCTCCTGACTCCTGTGGTGAAATTCTTGATTAGTGTCCCCAGCACTGTGGGCAGCCTAAAACCCTTAGCATCCCCTGAGCTTTTACCTTTTCTCACCTGGTAAACATCATGTGACACCTAGTCTCTAGCCCTGCTTCCACGCATATAGTTTTCCCAATCCGTATGTCCTTTCTGCTGATCTGATTTTCAGTCACATCTGTCAACTCTTCATGAAGATTTAGTATATTTAACCTTCTGCCTTTTAACCACTTTATTAAAATTTAAATAAATGTGCATGTAACTCTTTGTTTGCTTTCTGCTGCAGTGAGCCAGAACCTCAGATCTTGGATTATCAGACGCAGCAGTACAAACTCTTCCCTCTTCTGGCAACGGCATATGCCTTCCACTTCGTGGGCGCCTACATGAAAGATACCTATCGGCGTATCACTGGGAACATCAATGACGGAGACCTGAGTGAGCTGCCAGAGGTAGTACTCTTGGTCTTATAAAGCGGGAAGCTGGGCAGTGGAGCCTCTTCTTTCAGTAAAGATCAGGTTGAAGGTGGCTCCTGGGAGGGAAGGGGCGGGGGTCAAAGGAAGGAGAGTGAGAGAAACATTACCAAGTGAATTCACAAAAATAAATGGCATTGCTTCAGTTCCAAGTATTGTCGCCTAGATACAAATAGAAAATGGGAAAATAAAACCTATACATATATAAATATTCAGATTGAGTTTCCTCGTCTAAGAGGAGGATATTGTACCTGGAGTTTGCGGGAAGGGGGCCACAAGATAAATGTAATTCTGCTGCTTCTCTCCCCTATTGTTCTCCAAAATGGTTGTAGAATATGTGCTGCAGCAAATCTTGCATTTGTATATTGTATATTTGTAAATTTGTATATGGGTCACAAGTACTTTTCAACAACAGTGGTAATAGTTACTGGGCCTGGGGATCCCAGGGGAAAAGGAAATCTAGCTAATATCATCCTAGGCATTTGAAACATGTGGGCTCCCCCCAGGTCAGTTTTAAGGCTTTATCTTCCTACCTTCCCACCACTGAAGTCTGGGTGGGGGTGTTAATGTTGCAGTAAATGACAAACCTTGCAGATAACTTGGTTCTTAACTTCTACTTCTTCCCCAGCTGCATGCATTATCTGCAGGGCTAAAGGCTTTCAGTTCCTGGATTGCCAATGCAGGCATTGAGGAATGTCGAATGGCGTGTGGTGGGCATGGCTACTCCCGCTGTAGTGGCCTACCTGACATTTATGTCAATTTCACCCCCTCCTGCACATATGAAGGAGAGAACACAGTCATGATGCTGCAGACGGCACGGTGAGTGATGCAGCTTTTCGCTTGTAGCTTGACTTGTTGCATGTCTTTAGTCATCTCTTTAAGAGGGACTCGGCATAGCTCTAAGGAAATCGCCCTTTCAGTGCAAACATTTCTGGTTTCCTGAAGGAATGATTACCCCTCTCCTCCCCTTGTGCCAGGAAGATACAGAAAATACAAGAGTCATGTCAGTCCAAGAACAAAACTCTAGAATGTGCAGCTTCCAACCTTATCAATGTTTTATTAGCAAGAGGGGGGCAAATTACACTGATTATTATCATGTTGCCTTCCTTCCTGTTTGTACTCTGCATGTGGCTTTCTCCCAGTCTTCACATGACTACCGAGTGAAATCAGTTTGTAAGTTGTTTTAAGCTGCAATCAGCCGAGTAATGTAGTGTGCATTTGTTTGTTTTATTTTGGCATCCAGGTTCCTTGTCAAAAGCTATACCCAAGTTAGTTCTGGACAGCTAGTGAGTGGCATGATGTCCTACCTGAATGACCTACCAGGGCTACGCATTCAGCCCCAGCAGGTGGCTGCTAGACCCACAGCAGTGCATCTCAACAATCCGTCTAGTTTGGTGGAGGCATATAAACTGAGAGCTTCTAGGTAAGTTTATATAAAAAGTGCATAAAGTGGATCATAAAGTGGATCATAGTAACACTGTTGATTTCTTGAAATCGAAGAATGACATAATGTGCAGCCAACTTGCAACATTGCTTTTACTAGTTCGCAGAATGGCAAACGTAATTTGCAGCCCGTGACTTGTAGAATAAACAAATATGCTGGTCTTGACGGTGTTCCACATAAGTGCAAAAGTTAAAATTGTGCTGCACAGTGTAGCAAAATGACCTGTGCAACAGGATAGAAATTCCTATGTGGACAGAGATGAGCGGAAATGAGCATGGCCACTAAGTGAATGGGGAAGTACATGAGCACAGCACAGCACATCACATCACCGTCACTTCAGAGAGCTTATTTTCATTCTGCTTTAAACCACCTGAGAGCAGTATTGGATGGTGAATGGGTGCTCCAATATTTTTATTTATTTTTTTGGAATATTTTATAATATTATAAGAACAACATATAATCAAATACAGTTTTCCCCTAACACCCCCCCCCAAACAGTCCCAACGACGTCCATGTAATTACATTAGTAATATAATCAAATAAAAAATATTTCTACAGTTGCTGGTTTAAAAAATATAATTCCACATGCTGCCATGTGTCTTAGGTGGTTTAAATGCATGTTCTTTCTTTGATGCATATGTAATAAAGGAGGACCACGTTATGTAAAAGTTATGTAGTTTCTCACGTTGTTTTCTTTCATGTACCCTTTCTGTTAACTTTTCCATCAAAATTAATTCCCAGATATAAGCATACCAAACTTCATATAGGTTCACGTTTAATGTCCTCCAGTGTCTCGCAACAGCAAGACGTGATGCAGTTGTAAGATGCACAATTAAGTCTTTGTCTCTCCAATATTTTAAAGTCTACCCCAAATTCATGTTTGATATCTTCTAGGTAGATTTGGGCAAGTACTTGAATGTATAATTTTGGGGGCTTGTGGTCATGACATTTGTTGTTGCTTGTACCAGCTCCTAGGTTCTCTTAGTGTTCCATTTAATGGGCTTGAGAGTTCACTCTGCCAACTGTTGGTTTGGTGCTACTTTGAATAAGCTGTGTTCGTGTCCTTCCTTGGTACAGGCTGGTTGAATTTGCTGCAAAGAATTTACAAGCTGAACTGAACCGTAGAAAGAACAAGGAGGATGCTTGGAACCGGACTTCCGTTGATCTAGTGCGAGCATCTGAGGTTAGTTGAACCACTCAAATACTACTTTTGGAAGCCTTTTGACTGCCCCACAGAAACCTGGATTCTCACTTGTCCATTGAATATTCCATTTTAGGCCCACTGTCACTATGTGGTGGTCAAGCTGTTTACAGCAAAGCTTTCAGAAATTGGTGACCCAGCTGTTCGTGCTGTCCTTAACAACTTGTGTCTGCTGTATGCACTCTGTGGGATCAATAAGCACAGTGGAGACTTTTTGCAGGTCAGTGACTGAATTCTATCTTGAGCCAAAATGCTCTGCTCTGTTGTTAATTAAAAAGGGGGGGAGAACCACCTAATTGAGGCAGCTAGAATTAAACAGTTCTTGGTGCGGGGAGGGGGAGAACCTTTGGGGTGACGTTTTGGCAATGGAGCTAAAGGCAAGATGGGTGGTTATGGATAAAGCAGGCCATACTTTTAAGATAGAATTTTCATGTATGTTTGCAAAGCAGAGGTGGTTTAGGGGAGCATATAAATAGGTATGACGACAGATCTGGGAAAGATCTCCGCTATAGAGAACTGCTTCCAGAGTACACAGTACTGGGCTGGATGAACCCATATAAGGCAGCTTCCCACATTCATAGCAGGGAACGCCATACAAGTATGATAACCGTGACAGGAGGGAGGGAGATGCTCATTTCCAAACATACTATCATCCTTTACTTAGTATTTAGGTCCCGGTCAGCCTTTGGCTGGCTTGGGCTTCACATTAGCTTAATATCCCCCAGTATTAATTGGGAGACACTTTTTTGTGCCAGGAGTCTGTGTGTATATAACATATTACACTTATATAAAATCAGTCTGTAAAATTTTTTAGCCTACACTTCTTTTTTACTAGCATGAAAAGAAGCTAATAACCTGTTTCCATGGCGGCTGCAGAGGAGGTTAGCATGCCTGCCAACCTGATTCTTGACAGCTTTATATTCACCTGTGTAATCTTGCCCTTCATGGGCGATTCAGACTGTAGCTGCAAACCACAAAGTGCTTGGATCTGTAACTGTGGATTCCTTTTTGCCTCAGGGAGGCATTTTGACAGATGCACAGATAATTCAGGTGAACCAGCGCGTGAAGGAGCTCTTGGCATTAATCCGTCCCAATGCAGTCGCTCTAGTGGATTCGTTTGACTTCCATGACAACGTTCTTGGATCTGTGCTTGGCCGATACGATGGTAACGTCTATGAAAACATGTTTGAGTGGTCAAAGAAATCACCACTAAATAAAACACAGGTCAGTAAGTATTTTATTCCCTTCCCTAGTATATCTACCAATTGTGAGGCACAGTAAGAAATGCAGAGTTATCAAACAATGGTTTGAAAAGAAAATCCTGAGGTAAAATTGTGACCTTTTTCTATGGTTAATGTAGTGATGCAGGCCTCTTGGTGTTAGTAAAAATATTTTAAAGTTGCCCCAGGTTGGTTGCTTGAGTTGTGCACCCTGAATTAAGGAAACTACAAGGTTCACATCCTAACTAAACCACAAAACATCATGATTGGGGTGGATAGGCGAGCCCTCTTATTTCTTCTCATTTTTCTGCTGCTACCAAACATCCAAACTCTGACTTAAAAAGGATCCTAGGCCTTGTTTCACTGTCATGTGTAGTAGTAATTAATATGGTGCTATTACCATTACTGTAGTGATAAGCTGTGCATGTATATTCTGAAGTACTCAAAAGCTTTGCAGCTCTGTGAGGGAGCTGCATGGTTCTTGCAGCACAAGAGACGTTAACTTTAAACCAAACACTTAATAACAACTTATCTTGTTACTTCTACAGGTCCACGAATCTTTTCACAAGCACCTGAAGCCAATGCAAGCCAAGCTGTGATGGCGTTTGCTGCTCTTAATGCACTATTCTCCAGTTCCTGGAATTGATGTCATTTGCCCTATGAGCACTTGAATCACTTGGCAAATCCAAACAGTCATAGGGTAGTTACTAATTGTAGCCTTTCTTCCCAATTTTTAATAAATTTTGAAAGGATTAGAGGGGGGAACACAGGATTATAAAAGTGCAATTGTAATTATGCTCAGAAACTAACCTTTTTAATGATTCAAAAAAAGCTTTACAGATTGGTGTGAAGTGTCAATTTGTGAAGCAGTTTAAACTGCTGCAGAGGCCTGTATCATCTATAGCAGAATTTTCACTACTAAGTAGTTATGGAGGTAGCTGCTGGGGAGCAACAGCTTCTCGTCTGGAAACTCCTTTAAAGCTCAATATAGTATTGCACACCTTGTCAGCATTTATACCCAATACAGGTGAGAATTGTCAGAATCCTCCACATTTATTCTACTTTAGTGAGGTCTCCAAAAGTCTTGTCAGGAACTGGGCTTTGAGGACCCGGTCAGGAATATTTTGTGTTCATCATAGCTTCCATACTTTTGTGTACCAGTAATAAACTCCTGTCATCATGGGTTCAAACTCTCAGCAAGAGTCGTCATCATCTTGTCTGTTTGTGTGACAGTGCTTTCCCTGACAGCAGCTAGGAGTTCATCTTCCTCTTTCTCTAGAGCTGTAAATCATAACACATCACCCATACAACTGCCTCTAAGGCACAGAAGTGTGTTCTGTCTCCCGCAATTACTATTTGTTTGTAGTGCTGCCTTTCATCTAGGACTGTGGTAACAAGGAATGGAAAAATGTCAAGGTTCCCTGCTCTTGAGTCTAGAAAGTAATAATGGGAATACTTTTACCTTTGCAGTTCTTAAAATTTTACACAGTTTCTGATCTGTAAAGCTTTTAATATGCAGCTAGTTGAGAGAGGAAACCTCCTTCACCCCACTTGCCCCATTTGACCTGAAAGGTGAGCAAGATCACAGTCTCTGAAACACTTTAAGAGGGAATGATTTGTGCCCTCCATTTTAATGAATCATAGACTTGATGGGAATATGGTCCAAACTTCAATGATGGACAGTAGTCTTGTCAGCCTACCTACACAATCTGGATCTCGGGGTACCGTAGAGAACAAGAGTACCCAGTAAGGTGCCTTTAGACTAAGTAACTCCAGGTTACTATACTGTTAGCAGGCTAACATTTTAGTATTGTACAGAAATACGAAATCAGCGTGACTAAAAATTGTGGCAAAATGGTTGGATTCTGCCTTGTTAATATTATCCTGGCACATCAAGATTTAAAGATCATCAACTGAGGAACTTGTGAGTTGCCTTCAATTATGTTAAATTGTGTAAGGGGTCAAAACTGGAATTTCAGAGTTGATTCTTGGACCAATTTGATGCCCCCCATTCAAGAGCTGAACCTACTGCAAGGCTATCCTCACACTACAACCTTCAAGCAGGAGAAGCACTGTATATTTGAACTGAATACTGATTGTAAAATTTATGTTAATGTCTAGCTGCTGAAGCATTCCATCTAACATACCTAATTACTGTACTGTTAACAATGTGCATACTGTGTGCTTCCAATACCTTGCTGATTGAAAAATGATGCAGTTGGAGAACACCTTATGTACCCTTAATAAATAAATTCATTTTAAAACAGTAAAAATACTTTTGTGTGTGTGATTGTGTCTTTTCATTCATGTAAAGCACCAGAAGCAAGGGAATTGGGGAAGGTGTAATGAACACTGCTTTAAAGGTAGAAGTATTTGGAAATAGAAGCTGGCTTGCTTAAGCCCTGTGGTTCTCTTCATTAGTCTTGATGAAAACTCTGCTGGCTTCAGACATCCCTGAATGCCAAAGACACAGGAGGATGGCTACCTTCCAACACAATCTCCCAGGCACCAATGGCTTCTGCCTGGCAGCTTCATCCCTGACTTCCACCTATGAATATCCACTGGTTCATCCATTCACTTTGCACCTGAAAGGTGACTTCTGCCACCCCATGAACATGTAATTCCCATGCCATGTCTGAAGGGCGACCTATGCGCATGCACACGCACACACGCCATTCACCTCAACCACATTCAAAACCTTCCATTCACACAAGATAGGTAAATGTATAGAATGAATTGAGTGGTATTAAAAGGATATGCAGAAGGGGGGGAGGACCCATGGAGGGGTAGAGGTGGAAGTCTTAAAATAGGAGACTGGTATCTGAAAATGCATAACTATATTTATTTATTTATTTATTTTAAAAAAGAGAGCCGTTACTCCATTAGCCACTCTTCATTCATATACATGGCCCAGCTTCAATCCACAAATGTCCACACAGCTTATGTCAACGAGCTTCCAAAGGTGAATTTCAACCAGCTTACATCCACAAACATAAGTCTGCTTCAGCCTTCTGGCATCCACTGCTTTTCAAATACAAACTCCCCAATGGTTTCCCCGCCCCAACATTTGCCAGCTTCCAACCATGGATATCAGCCACCTTCAAGTTGCAATCCTGCTTTATAAGGGAACTTGCCTTCTCATCACTCCACAGCTTCCTGCTGTGGGGTGATCACCTCATTCTGTCTGCCAGTTCACCTGTATGTGGAAGGACCTGGTGCTGAACACCACAGCTGTTGCCCACTGCGTTCTCTTTAGGAAGGGAAAAGTCGTCTCTTCTCTTCTTGCCTTGGCTTTTCACTTGACCCGATTTTACATATCCACTCAGGCGCCATGTTCTTTTGTGACATCACAGGCAGTTCACAACCAATGGCAGCAGCTGAGGAGGCATCATCATAACCTCCTCTGTCCTCACAATGGTGGGTACATCTCAGCTGTTGGTCTGTTTGCTTGGTTATTATTTAAAAGATGTATAGCCCATCCTTTATCTGTGCTAATAACAGAGAATGGAACACCATGGGCCCAGGGGTGGAGGACCGTCTCTCAGCCTGATGGCTGCATTCCCCTATGGCTAGTGGCAAAAACGGTAGTGAAATGACAAATTTGATCATTATTGTTGTAAAGGAGGAAAGCATCACCCCCCTCTCCATTTAGTTAAGCGAGGGGCATAGTCAAAATTCAAGGAATCATCCCAACCAGGCAAAAGCACTCCAGAAGGTTGTGAAGTCCTGAGGGCCAGGCTGCCTTTGATGTACTGGCTAGAAACTCCCCACCTGCGTAATAAAATATATATTTAAAATAAGGCTATTTCCAACAGTAGTTGTACTCAGAGCAGACCCATGGAATCGATATAGACAGGCCCACATCCTGGACGGGTGGTATGACAGCCGGCAGCTGGGGCAATGCTTCATGTGCCCTCATGCTTGGTCTCAATAGGCAGTGAGTTCCACAGGCGCTGCCACGCGAAACGATCTTGCAAGGGCCTGTCCTGCACAGAGCCGTTTGCGCTTGCGCAGAAGGAATCAACGTTCTTCCCCCCCCCCCACTCATTTGAATGAATCATTCAAAAGAGGGCGACTTCCGGTTTGGCGCGCTGCGAAACGTAGCTCCGCGTGCGCAGTACAGTATATGGGCAGAGCGTCCTGCCGGGACTACGTTTCCCAGAAAGCTTTGCGGCCACTCAGCTGGCAAGAACCTCCCTTGCTTGGAGAGCACCTGGTCACCGCAGGTGAGAGTAGCTGTGCTGTTCCAGTTTCCAAAGGAAGAAGCTGGAGGCTGCAGGGGTTCGTAGGCGCCGGAGGCTTCAGGCGGCTCCCAGCCCAAGGAAAGGGGGCATTTTGCGGGGCGATTTATTCCCGCTGCCGGTGTAAGGGTAGTATTTGCCGCGGGCGCCGTCTGCCATGGTAACTCGGTTATGCTTCCATGGACAACGGTGCAGGCACGCCTTCACCGGCACCGGGAAGCGTGTATAAAACGTAACGTTAAAATGCCACATGTGTGACGCGTGCATGTCCACACGTGCAAGTGTTGCCAGCATAAATTTGATATTGGTAAGCGAACCTAGCTCGACAGGGCTGGATTGTATCCCCTTCTGCTTTATGCTTGATGATTGCTAGCAATGGGCTACAGAGAGATACCCAGTTTGAAGTGGAAACTCCGGATTCCTTCTGTGGCCCTATTGTGTTATAGGCTTAGTTATAACTTCTTTTCCTTTATCATTAACTCCACAGGTTTTTTAAAAAGAGCATGGCAAAAAGAAAAAGGTACCATTTAATATTGCAATCATGGGTGTAGGCAAGGGGGGTAGCTGTGCACTCCCAAAACAAGCAAATAAATAAAAATGCTTAACTAACTGACCAATTGCGTCACAGATAATTCAGTTCTGCCCCCCCCCCCCAATCCTGGCTACGCCCATGGTTGCAATCCCATGCTGTTGGAGAGTGCCTTTGCCCATTTGTTTCAATGAGCAAATGTGTGTCCCAACTGCATAAGATCAGGCTGTAATAAATTGCAAAAGCATTAGGGTGCTTGTTTTATGAAGGCCATAGTCATTCCAGTGAGGTAGTGTGCTGTGATGGCTAAAGTACTGGAGCTGGATATGGGACACCCAAATTTAGATTCTTGCTAGCTGTGAAGCAGGTGTTGTTGGGCAAGTTGCAATAGCTCAATCTTCTTCATAATGTTGTTGTGAGACTAGAAACATAGCTGCTCTGGAAGCTGTTATTTTGGCAAGCTGAAATTGCATTAAATAAATAAAATTCTCTGAGCTCTTTGCCACCGTATAACAATCAATAAAATGTATCCCTTACTTGCATTGGTCTCTACAGCCACAGCAGGCACTGCTGCCATCCAACAGCTTGACCAAATGCGCTGTCTCTTCCGAGACAGACGGATGCCAACAACTACTTTCAAAGCCTCAATAAATGAAAAAAATTTATGATGCTAAATTGTGTTGGTTTCTATTTCCCTCACTGAGCAGCAACTGCAGTCACAAGACATTGTTTTGCATTCCACAGTCAGAGTTACTGTTGGATTCCCACGGGAATGGGAGACTGGATGTGATGTACACTGGTTTCCTGTTTTTCACTGTCCTCTCGATGTTCTTTGTTTCCGAGAGGGGTTGCTTCTCTGCTCTCACAGAGGCAAGATGCATGTTTGTATTCTCTCAGCATAGAGTGGAAATAAAGTTAAGAATGTGGCACATACTGCTTATCCTTCTGCTGTGTGGACTACTCTGTTTGGGCTCAAGATGAGACGAGCCTGTATTAGCTTCAGATGGGCCGAAGTTGGTCAAAATCTCACAAATTGGTCGTTTTTATTGTTCTGTTTCTTTTTTTAGGTGAGGGAGGCGGAGGTATTGTCCACTGTATTAGCATCGTAAAGATGATTAATGTCTGAGTGGAACACAAGAGAGAGGCAGAATATGCCATTGAGAGTCATGATATGGTAAGGCAGGCCTCATTAGTCAATTGCTTCTAATGGATTGGGCAAGGCCCTCTCCCACTGTCCAGCCAGCCGAAACTGGAGCATGATACTCCAGAGAGAGGTTAGCTCAGGCACAGAGAGGTGTTTCTGAGTATGCATCTAGGAGTCCAAATCCCCATCTATAGTTCTTGCTTCCCCACTCCTCCCATGAAATCCCTGTGGGTGGCAACCCAAGCTAATAACACTTCATAGTGAAATTGTCCATGCAACTAACTTTAATTAACACAAAAAGGAAAGACTATCCTCTGTACACTCTACTGTAGCCAGAACACAACAGGGCCCCATTCACACCATACATTTAATGCACTATGATAGCACTTTAAGTAGTCATGGCTTCCTCCAAAGAATTCTGGGAGCTGTAGTTTATTAAATGTGCTGAGAGTTGTTAAGAGGCCCTTATTCCCCTGCCAGAGCTACAGTACCCAGAATCCCCTGTGAAGAGTGACTGGTTGTTAAACCCTCTCGGAGAACTGTAGCTCTCTGCCGGAGGAGAGGACAGGTGGTGGAGGATGTGCAAATCTGAGGCTCACTGCAAGTTATCCTTTTAAGGCTAAACCATTTAGTGTGACATGAGAACCCTCCCTATGGCTACCAGCTCTTGGTTTCTGGAGTTTGTTATGCACCTGTCTGCATTTAGAGAGCTAGTTTGCACTAGTAAAGTTTTTGTATTTGCTTTTGTTTTTCTAACAAATTGTCTGCCCCTTTCCCCTTTAGGCAGTGAAACCGAAGAAAGGACTGAAAAGTATGTGTGTTTGTGTTTCCACACTTTTATGACCCTTTTGATATTGGCTTGGGGTGGAGATGGTTTCCCATAGCGTCATCCGGTAGATGTAACATTTTCATCATCAGCTTGAGGAAAAAGCAGAGCCAATAACACTATGGCCCTATGTAGTAGTGTGGGTATTTTGGGGGAGGGAAAGCATTGGATTCTTTTTCTATGATAATTAAGCTACTTTATATAAGTTACTGTGTATTGGGAAATTTCCAGCTTTCATTGGAACATTTTTTGCTGCACTAAAGAGTGATCTAATTCAGTGTGTTTATTTTACTTGTATTTTGTAAACAAAGCTTAAAAAAGTGACCCATCTTAAATATTTTGTCCCAATGCACCACTGGCATTTGATCTGAAATATTTAAGAGGGAAAATTAAAGTGCATGCAATGTTTTTTAAACTGTAGACTTTTTTATTGGAATACTTAAAAATATTTGAGGATAATAGCACGTACTTCTTGTGCATCATTTAACTTTAAGAAAAACCAAAGTACGAAAAAGCTTTTGACAATTCTGATAAATTTTAGCAGTCCAAAGAGCTACACATGATATGCTCACTTGAATACTTGCTAGGGACAATCACCTGAAAAACATTAATCCCAACTTCAAAACAACAAAGATTGCCTACTATTCTGTTTGCAATGGATATCCACTCATAGTTACTAATGAACTTAGAACACAGAACATTCTTCATGGAAAAATATAATAAAGGTGTAACACTGCAAATCTTGCTTTGCCTATTGAGAGCCAGCCAGCCTTTGGGGTGTGTGAATCCACACGCTTCACCCATTTGAGTTCCCCACTCTCTTCCTTTGTTGGCTTTAATAAAAATCCAGCATTATGGGTTATATCCAATCATTCCAGTAGCACAAGGACTTCTCTGTGCGTAACAGGAATTTATCTCCTTGTCTTGTGCTTCCTCCAAAATCTGCTCCGGAAGGAAAGGGAGAGGTGGAAGTCCTTGTACTAACTGAATGACTTTGTTAGCTACATCCCCTATATCTGCACCAGTGGTGCCCATAGCTAGTGCTAACCAGGTTCCATCTCAGCCAGGGATGCCAACCCACTTCAAACCCACATTTGAGACCTTTGTTAAGTGGTTGATCTCGGTTCACAGGGAGCCAATACACAGGATTGATGGTGTTTCCTGCTTGGCAGGGGGTTGGACTCGATGGCCCTTGTGGTCTCTTCCAACTCTATGATTCTAGGATTCTAGGATTCTAGGATCTATGACGTATGTGGAGTTGATTTGTCTATATATTTCTTGTCTCTGGAGTTCCTGTCAAAATATGGCGGACTTGGATCTCACTTGTTTCAGCAAGCCCTTTCCTAAGCTTATGCTGGGATAGATTTTTGAGACTGTAAACTCTGTCTTATTCTAGGCTCCATTGATGACGTTCTTGGTGATCTCCTTGGTGATGAAGGTAAATAAGCAGTGAAATGGAAAATGGTGTTTTAAAATTCCGTAGGAACCAGTTTGTCAAGTAAGACTTTCAAATGAGGCATGGCTACTAGAGGGAGGGCCTGTTCCATGATGGTGCCCTGGTTGTGGAGTTCCTTCCCCTAGTAAAATTGCCTGGTGTAATTATCAGTACTCTTTCAAATGCCCAGTAAAGTCACACTATTCATACATGATTCTAATAGTCTGCACTTTTCATTTTTAACTCTTGTTCTCACTGTTTTGTTGGGTTTGGGGAGGTTGTTTTTAAGGATCTTTTTAGCTTCTATGGTCAGCTTTAATTTTTGTAAGAAATGTTCTGTTTTAAGAGAGATATGGGCAAACATTTTCCTAGGTGACTTAGCTATGATGGCTGCTGTGCAGTGAGGAGAATGTTGAGGCCTCACTGCGCTTCAGGAAGATGGAGACAACCATTGTGTTCACCATGCTGGCCTGCTCATATACTTCACGACTGATCTGCCTGGGTCTATGTTTATGCAAAGTGTGCTCAACCCCTAGCTTGTTTGTTGAGACTGCCAGCATCAGAGGTTGTTCAGGTTGCTGTGCAACTGTTAGGACAAAGGATATAATCTATGCTGCAACCTCCTAAAATCCCCATCTCTCCTTCCTAGATGACGTTCCCCTTAAATCCAGCAAACCTGCCTCGTTTGTTAGTAGTGCAGGAAGACCCAGAGGAATCGCCTCACAGACCAGCAAAAAGTAAGGAATGGCATTGCTATTTGTGACTTTAATGCTTTTGGCACACACACACACAAAAAGATAGCGGTGCTGTTGGAGCCTCTTGAGAATTCCCCCTTTATTGTTTCCCCCCAGCATCTCTCAATTTGCCCTCTGTTTCAATAACCTTTTCTAAGTAGAGGCAATACTGAAATCTGAGTAATTTTGAGGGTGTTTCAATGAGGCCAGTGGAGCGTTTCAGGTGTTGTTTTCTAGGCTACCGTATTTTATTATTCTTCTTGCACATCCTAAGTTCTGGATTTCCCCACCCCACAGGGGCCTCTTGGGGGATGATGTCTTCAGCAAAATGGTTCCTGAGGAAGAGGAAGATGCAGAGGTGAGGGGGGGGCGGAAATAAGAGTCCACATCTTCTCTGCAAGGTAAATGAAGGCATTTCCACTGATGCAACTGGACAGCTACGGGTGTTGTCCTGCAGGTTATTGCTATACCTGAAAACATGGCATTGAAAGGAGAATATATAGTACATCAACTTCAGTCATGGGTGGTGGGGAGGACATGGACCTGTAGAACTTTTCCAACCATTTCCCACTGGGGCACAGTATTTGTCTCTTTGGAATATGAGCCCCGGATTAGTAATGTGCATATGTTGGCAGCACTTGGATTAAGTGCCTTGGAGTGCTTGGTTTTCCCCCTTTTTTATTGAAAGGCAGCATAAAAATACTACAAGCAATGAAGCAATAACTTGTGTGTTCATTCATTCACCCCTAAGGATCCTGATATCTCAGATGCAGACCCAGGAGCTCTTCTAGAGACCTTGAAGGTAAACTGAGAAGACTTTTTTTGTTTTCTTTGGCAGGGCAAAAATATAAGTTGAGTGTGCTGTGCTCTCCTAGATGTGAAAAAGTGGAATACACTCATTTTGAGTATATGTGTTCTCTCCTGTGCCAGGATATAGATGACATGGACGCTGATCTTCTAGGCATAAAGAAAGCGCCTGCTCAGAAACTGGGGAAGAATATGGCAAAAACTCAGCCGTTGAATGAGCCAGCAAGTTCTGCTAAGAAAACATCAATCACTGAGAGACGTAAGACTCCTTTGTTTCAGGACTGAAGTAATACTCAAATTTGTGTAAAGAGCTACTATAGTAGAAACGATCTCTTAGTGGTACCTGTTCTTATTCTTAAAGTTACTACAATTTATTACTAGCCTTTCACCCTAATGTCCCTGGGTGGATTACAACAGTTAAAACACAATATAACACTATATGAGAAACAGTTTAAAACAACTTTGAAGCAACTCCTTGTCATCTTTGTAGCCATGTCTATGATGATCACTTATTGATTAAGGACTAATGACATCCCTGAGAAAAGGAATGGGTTGTGTCCTTATCTGCTTCTAATGTTGCACCTACAGAATCCTCTCCAGACTTTTCAAAAAGTTGACTCACACCTGCAAGGAGCATTTAAGTTCACAGTGACTTGAGACAGAACTTTCCTTGTTACATTAGAATTGGACACAAGCAAAAGTATCTGCTATACCTGTTGTTTTAATACAGGAGACTCAGAAAGTGGAATCACTAAGACTCCCAGCTCTACTCTCACCACTTCCAGAAATCTGAAACAGAAGTTTTCCTTTGAAGGTAAGCTCTGCTTGTTAGCATGAGAGAGCGGCTATTTGTGTATGTGCGTACGCACACATGCATGCGCTTATGTAAAATGCATTTTTAAAAACCTAAGTTTGAGCATACAAGTACATCTGGATGGGGAAAGCTTAGGGTGTGACAGTGACACATTTATACACAACCAACATGGGGCCTACCTGATTCAACACTGTGCTACTTCATTTTTAAAAATAAGTTTATAATTTTCATTTATAACAAATAAACACTTCAATAAAAAAAAATTAAACAATCCTCACATATCAAACCTCAACTTCCCTCCCTCTCTTTCAGCGGTTCCATTAATTTACCCTTTTTCTTCTTCTTCTGCACATCCCAATTAACTCTTTATTCTTTTCCAGCTAATGTCTTAATTTGTTTACAATTTGTAAATATTCAATAAATTATTTCCATTCCTTAATAAAAAGTTTGTTGTCTTGATTTATTATTCTTCCAGTAAGTTTTGCCATTTCTGCATAGTCCATTAATTTCTGTAGCCATTCTTCTTTCGCCAGGACTTCTTCTTTCTCTTTTTGGCGATTATCATTATTGAGGCAGTCATTGCATACATAAATTAATTTCTATATTGTTTAGGTAACTCTTATCCCATAATTCCCAAAAGAAAAGCTGCTGGGTTTTTTATTTTATTTTTACAAATGTTATCTTAAACACCTTTTTCAATTCATATCCTATCCCAGTAAGCTTTAATCTTATAACAAGACCACCACATATGGAAAAAGGTACCTTCTTTCCCTTTGCATTTCCAACACATATTTGATTTTGATTTATACATTTTTGCCAATGTACTTGGTGTTAGATACCATCTGTATAACATTTTCGTATAGTTTTATCTTAAACTATTACATGCTGTAAATTTTATGTCCATGTTCCACAGACTTTCCCATGCCTCCATGTCTATGTTATGACCAATATCTATTGCCCAATGTATCATTGAAGATTTCACTTGTTCATCTTTTGCCTCCCATTCCAATAACATCTTATACATTTTAGACATCACTTTAACTTTACAATTTAGCAGGTCTCTCTCTAGTTGAGATAATTGTTCCCCAAACCCCCATTTCCTATCTTTTTTGAATACTACATTCAGATGATTAATATTGTATCCATGTTGTTAACATTCCTGATAAATCCTTAAACTCTTTTTATTTAACTTCTGCATCTTCCTCTTTTAACAAATTTCTATAAGTTACCCAGTTTTCTGTCATCTTCTTCTTCTTCTTCTTCCTCTTCTTCTTCTTCACTGCTATAGCTTCTACTGGTGTAAGCCATAGTGGTATTTTGGTCTCCAATAAATTTTTATATTTATCCCATACTCTATACATTCCCCCCCCCATTATATGGTTTGTAAATCCTTTATGGACTTTCACCTTTTCATACCACAAGTACATTTGCCAGCCATATATGTTATCATGACCTTCCAAATCTAAAATATACGGATTCTTCAGTAACAAAACACTGCGCTACTTCAGAGGCCATTTTGCTGCAGGACTCCATCCAACCCTAAGTGATGGTCATGGAACAACAACTCACTAAAGAAAGGGCTATTAGACATCATAAAATTAATTTACTAAGCACTGGAGAAGAATTCAATCCTTTCCTAGTAGTGCAGTTTCTTCCTATGCAGTGGCTGAGGTGGTAACTTTGCTGCTCCGTTTTGCTCTTTGTCCGTTGTTTTGAAGTGATTTCCCACTCTCTTAGATGTATTTTTTCTCCCACAGATATAGACGACCCTCTAGCTGGTCTTTTGTCTGATGAGGAAGAGGACATGGTGAAGAAAGCGCCTTCCTTTGCCACCAAAAGTGTTCCAGAAACAAATGCTGGGACCTCGAAAGAGAAAGGTTAGTGCGGATACCAGAATTGCACCATTGGCTTGGCATCTTTTCAAAGAAAAGCACACCACACATTTGTTTGTGCAAATGAAACAGCTGGCAGTCTTTCTCTACTCATCAATGCTTGTGGTAGCATTTTTGGAAGTCTGTGAGAACATAAGAGCCCCGGTGGATCAGGCCCAGCACCTATCTATTCCAGTGCCCCGTTTCCTACAATGGCCAACCAGATGCCTTTGAGAAGCCCACAGGCATGGTGTGAAGACAAGACCCCTCTCCCACGGTTGTTCCCCAGTAACGTGTTATAACAATAATTGAACAACAAACCAACAACACCAGAACTGGCTTATGACTATAAAGAACAATTTTACTGGAATAAATATATACCCTCATAAACCAACTAGACAATGAGCAAACTAAAGTGGAATGTGCATAACCAAGCCTGGAGATAAACATAGAATGTACCAATGTCTCTCTTGTTGCTGTACTGGTTATGTATGCAATAAATATGTCATAACACAGCTGGAAGAAACAGTCGTTCACTGGAAGCACAAAGCAATAAACGTAGGAGCGGTTGCCAGAAAGCGTTCTTCAAGGGGTCATCGTTAGCTGGAAGTGCAAAGCCAAATGATCAATTGAAGCCAAATAGATGAGACCTGTTCTCCAGATATTATCCGGATATTTGCTGTGCCGGTGAGTACCTTTTGTCTTGAGAGAACTCTGTTGAGTGATTAGCATCATGGACTGATGAAGCTTGCTGCGAAACCTTTGTTCCAGCTGTGTTATGACATATTTATCGCATACATAACCAGTACAGCAACAAGAGAGACACTGGTACATTCTATGTTCATTAGTATCTCCAGGCTTGGTTATGCACATTCCACTTTAGTTTGCTCATTGTCTAGTTGGTTTATGAGGGTATATATTTATTCCAGTAAAATTGTTCTTTATATGCATAAGCCAGTTCTGGTGTTGTTGGTTTGTTGTTCCCCAGTAACCAACATCCAGAAGTGTTGTGCCTCTAATCCCAGAAGGGAGTATACATCCATCATGACTAGTAGCCATTGATAGCTTTATTCCCCATGAATTTGTTTATTCCCCTTCTAGATCTATTAATTTGTTTATTTTATTTTATTTTAAAATTCCGCTTTAAGCTTCGTAGGTCTCAAACCAGCTTGCAACAATAAAATATACATAATTTAAAACATAAATCAAATCTCCAACATTTAGCTATTTTTAGCACACACAAAAAAAATACCCCAATACAGCTAGTGGCTTTAATGGCATATTTTTTGGCAACAAGTTCCATGGGTAGCATTCACCTAAGTTTTACACCAAGCAGACTCATTGAAAAGAATGGATCTAACTTAGTCATGTTCATTAGTTTCCATTGTGCTAACAGGAACTCTTATGCAAGTTTTTGCTAGTAGGACTGGTTATTTGAATCTGGCTCAGAATATTTAGCATGGAAATTACAAGCTATGTATTGGTCACACTGAGCAGTTCTTGATTGGGGAGGGAAGCCCATTAGACCAGTTCTGTAATAGTTAGACCTCATTGGTGCAATCTCTTTCGATTCCGTTTATTAGGAACACCTGTGTCTGCAGCTCCTGGCCACGTTGCTGCTCCTGAACGGAAAAGGGACGAGTTAACATTTGAGGTTGATGGAGATGATCTCATGGATGCCATGGGGTTTGGTGAGAGCCCGAAGACAGAGCTGAAATCCGGAAGAAAGGACGGAGAGTAAGCAATCTCCCTAAAACTCACTAAAATGGAGTGAGTTGTGTGATACTTTCAGATTAAAGGAGATTAATGGCATGACTGGAAAAGTTGAACATTTGGGATAAGCTAAGGCGGACGAACTCGTAGTTTGCACTGTCGCTCCTGATTTAGTTGCAGTTCACCCCGGAGAGGGCTGGCATGACTTATGAAAAAGACTGTGTACAGTTCTGGTCCCCTTATATGGAAAAGGGATATTGTTGGGAAAGGTTCAGGAAAGGGCAACTAAAATGATCAAGGGGATGGAGCAAACCCCTTGTGAGGAAAGGTTACGGCATTTTGGACTTCTTAGTTTAGAGAAAGGGTGAGTTAAGAGGTGATACAATAGAGTTTGACCAAAGTGCGGGAGGCAGTGGAAGACAGGAGTGCCTGGCGTGCTCTGGTCCATGGGGTCACGAAGAGTCGGACACGACTAAACGACTAAACAACAACAACAATAGAGGTTTATAAAGTGATGCATGACATGAAGAAAGAGAATTTGAAAGAGAATTCAGACAAATCCATGGGGGATAATGCTTTCAATGGCTACTAACCATGAGGACTATGTTCTGGCAAAGCAGTATCCTGAATACCAGTTACTGGAAACTGCAGTAGGGGAGAGTGCTGGAGGCAGCATCTTAAAACCTATTTCTAGCATAGAGGTGTAAGACTTCCTTCTACTAATTTCTGGAAATAGCCAGACTTTTTAGTTCTGATCCTTTATCAGAAATAGCCCGTGTGTTTTAAGTTTTTTCTCATCTGCTGTACAGTTAAAGTAAATGCTGGAATAATAGCTAAAGGTGGTCAAAAAGCCATTAAGATTCTCCTCTTGACCTCCACATTCTCTGAACTGATCATATGGGTTAGTTGATGGAGGATTGCACTTCGTTTTGGCAGAGAGCAGTCTCGTCCCGCCCGATCCATGCTAGATGAATTGCTTGGGCAAGGAACAGCCAAAAAGCTCCTGGAGAGACCAAAGACAGGAGAACCCAAGGAGTTCAAACTGGACAAGAAATATCAAAAGCAAGCAGGCAAGTGCCGTAGGGGTGATGAAGCCTGTGGTGTAGTGGTTAAGAGCGGTGGACTCATAATCTAGTGAACCGGGTTTGATTCCCCGCTCCTCCACATGTAGCTGCTGGGTGACCTTGGGCCAGTCACACTTCTTTGAAGTCTCTCAGCCCCACTCACCTCACAGTGTGTTTGTTGTGGGGGAGGAAGGGAAAAGGAGCTTGTTAGCCGCTTTGAGACTCCTTTGAGCGGATATCAAATCCAAACTCTTCTTCTTCTGTTTCATGCGCACAGTATTCTGGGAAGTCCTTTTGCCCCTCCTCTTAAACACTGGAGAAGCCTGCAGCTGAAATTCAGTTCTCTCATAGGTTGTTTGATGATTGAAAATATCTTAGATCCATGGTGGGAATCTCCTGACCCACAGCCAAATTTCATCCCACCCACAGCCATCACCCACTCTGACTTTATTTCCCCCACTTAGAGCTTATCTGCCTCTGCCTCTGCCTCTCCCTCTCTCTCTCCCTCTCCCTCTCTCTTTGGGCTGGTACTCCTGCCACCTCCATGGCAACTGTACACAAAGCTTGTTCCTCTTGCTTTGCCAGCTCATGGACGAGGGTTTGGTGCCACCATGGTTTCTAGTTCTACTTCACAAGCTTTCACAAGCAAGACACTCCAGCCCCCTTAGAGAGCAGCTGTTGTTGTTTGCCCTTAAGCACTCTCAGAGCAGATAGTGCCTGATAGCAAGGTAGACCTGGTCCATCTAGCTCCTTACGGTCTACTCTAGCTGACAGTGGCTCTTCTGGCTTTCAGACAGGGCTCTTTCACAGCTCTACTTTGAGAGAACAGAGGTTGAACATTGGACTTTCTGCATGCACTCTGCCACTGAGCTACTATTTCAACTTCTCATTTCTTTTTTTTAGAAAATAAAGACTATTATGCCCCAAACAGGAGGCAGCTGCACACTATTTTCTACCTATCTTTTCGACTTGCTAGTACCTGGAGATTTTTTCTTTTCTTTTAATTATTTGCTTTATTAACAATCTCTTATATCATATGACACATTTCATATAATATATACATTTACATATGTATTGTATATCTTCTTGAGTATACATATATATAATCCATGTAAGCAAAAACTATATGCAAATAGTATTCTGTTTACTTACATAAATTGAACTAATTCATATTTTTACTATCTTTTGTTGTCTTATCTATTTATTAATATGAATTAAAGAAAGAAAAAACCAGAAAAAAGGAAAAGGTGTAGTTGGACTTCCTATCATTTCCCAGTGTATAGCCTTATTCTAGTAATGAATATACCTAACATTATTGAGTTATTCTTTATATTCCTTCTAATACATTCTTACAACAGTTAGTACCTTTTGACTTATTTCTCACATGTTTCACTATATAAGGGTCAATCAAATGCTGCCATATTATACCACTGTTATAATTTCATAAATATTTCTTATATTTATCCCATTTCTGTACGAATACTTGTCTTGTGTTGCCTCTCAAGCTATTAGTCAGTTGCGCCATTTCTACATATTCCTGTAATTTATTTTCCAGTCCGTTATGGTTGGAACATTTCCCCCATTCCAGTTCATTGCTATCAATGTTTGAGCTGCAGCCGTGGCATATAGGAAAATTTCTCTCAAATTTTTCGGAATATTGTTGCCGTGAATGTTTAGCAGAAAAGCCTCAGGCTTTTTTAGAAAGGTACCTGGAGATTTCAGGGCTTCCAAGGCAGGGCTGGGGAGCCTGTGGCTCTCCAGATGTTGTTGGATTCCATCCCTGACCATTGGAAGCCCACCACATCTGGAAGGCAACACATGGGCTTCCTCTGCTCTTAAGTCTCTGAGGAAAGCAAGAGGGGGGACGTGGTTGTGCATCCCATCAGCTTGACTCTCTGGGCTCTTTTTGTGTACAGAGAAGGAAGATATTTTGGGAGATGAGTTCACTTTTGGAGCCTACCAACCCACTGTGGCCATGATTCCAGAGGGAAGGCAGTCAAGACGACAGTCTGTCAGGTAATGGTAAATGCACAAGCCACAAAAGGTGATTCGGTCTCCCACAAGGCTGCTTGTAAAATCCTGGCTCTCTCTCATTCGTTTCTATTTGCAGGTTTTCCTCGGAGAATCTCAGTGAGCTTAAAACAGACCAGAAACCAGCAACTCCTCATTCTGGCAGCCCTGTACGCAACAGGACTGCAGCTGATTGGCTGGGGCTGAAAGAGGATGATTTTAAACTGCCACCGTCACCTCCACTAAAAGAATCTGGCAAGACCACCATAAGAGGAGCCACACTGGATAGGCCGCCTAGCCCTTCTGATGCCGAGCCCCCCGTTCCTACCAGCCATCTTCCTTCTAGGTCAAAAGCAGCTGCTGAAGAAGCAGCAGCGCCAAAGCATGAACCCATCAAGGATGATGGTGAGGACAGCTGGCTGAGCAATGTCTTATCTCAGAAGAGAACTCGAGCGCAGGAGAAAGAGAGGAGACCTGGGTCCTCGGAGATTCACCGAAAGGAAGTGGATCCCATCACTCTTACCAGGTGAGCTCAGAGGTCGCTTGAATTCTGCACTTAACGTTCTTCAGATTCTCTAAACTGTTTTCCAAATTCAATACTATGCAAATTTTCCATGGGCACCCAAGTCATGATGCACTTAGCCATTGGTATTGCACATGTCACCCTGCCTCGTAGCAAGTCTTGTAGGCTGATTTTTGGGGAGGAGTATTGTGTTAATTAACTATTCCCATACTTTGGATTTTGTGTTTGTTTTTTTCAGCCAGGGGGCTCCATCCGCCTATCAGCAATCTATTGCCCCAGTCGATAGGCCTGCCAGACTGGATCAACCTGGGTAAGAACTTACTTGTGGGCTTCCACTTGGGCATTGTCATTGGGCACTGCAGGAACAAGGATGCTTGACTAGATAAGGCCTTTGGTCTGGTCTATCAGGGCTTCTCTTGGGTTAAGTCCTCTGGGTTATTGTCAAGTTGCTCTGGGTAACCATGTTACTTCTGGGTAACCATGTTTCGGATTGTGGTGTGAGAAGAGATTATTTAATTTGGAGCAAAATACCTGCATTTGTGTGGAATTATGAGGATATTCCTAGGTATTCAAGGATGTTTAAAAGAGAGGGTGCCAGCTCATTAGCTGTTGGATTGAATGATGTAAAGACGGGTAGAATACCTGATTGTGTTGTAGATTGGCACTTATTCCATAATAAAAGGTGATTATTCAGATGCCCATTAATCTCTCTCTCTCTCTCTCTGTCTCTCTCTGTCTCTGTCTCTCTGTCTATTTCTGTGCTTGACACAGGTCTTCCATACCTCTGTTAAGATCTCAGGAACAAACCACTCCTGCTTTTCCATCTAATTCCAGGAAAGGGACTCCCTTTGGAGACACCAGTAAGACAAGTAAGATTCAAACTCCAGTTAAACTGCCAAGGGAACGAACATTGCCAGCATACCTCCCATCTTTGATTATGGTGTTGTTGTTTCTGAATCAGTGGTATAAATGAACCTGCCTCTGCAGAGTTGCTTTCCAGGAATGCTGTTTGACCTTCACTAACCTTGAAATAGCAAATGATAGAAGCATTTCATGTTTGGGCTACCAAATGTCATGCACTGAACTGCACTTCCTCTTGGTGTCTGAGAGAGAGAGTTCTGTTTGGTGCTCCAACGAAGGGGAAAGCTTCTTGTTGCACATCTTGCTTCTAGTGTCATCTCTTAATTCATTTCTCTGCCAGTTTGATTTAGACTTGTGCTGAGGCCCCTTCCCCATCCCACTCTTTGACCTGGAGTAGAATACTCTATACTGTATTTGGAAATCTGATACTTTCCTTTGCTCAGTGCTAATATGCCCTGTTGTCTGCTGATGTTCCTTTCCTCCTCCTATGGGTTTGGTGTGGTAGAAAGAGGTTTGAAGCCATGCTTGGTGCTATAGAAGTGAAAGGGACCACTCATCCTTAAGCTGCCCCATCTTACATCCTGTCCACTCTCTTCCCACTTCCATTTGCCCACAGGGTTTTCTGTGCAAGGGACCTGTGGAGCAGAGCAGGGTGAAATTTCTATAGCTCCTTCCTTCTTTCCTTTATGTTTGAAGAGCAGCTAAACAGCTATCCTACCTCCTTTTAACTGTGAGATAACAGAAATGGGCGATACAGTCCCTACCTGTGTATTGCTATATAGGGAAAGCATCTAAACCCATTGCTGTATCTGAGCTCTTTATGGATTGATTTTACAGCACCTGCAACTTTTTTCCCAGGACATGAAGAAATCCTCCCCATTCCTATGCACTCTCCGGTAGGTAGGAGGTGATATTTTTTATTACTTATTGAGGAACGGAAGTGGTTGGGATAGATGAATAAATGTATTTAACAAGCACTCGTCTAGCAGTTTATACAGACGTTATAACAGTTCCCGAACTTTATTTTCTTAATGTGCATGTATTTAAATAGAAACTGAACTTAGCCCAGAAGGCTGCATAATCCATTAACCAGGGTGCACTGACTTCTGGACCGGCCACATCCTGTCCCAAGATAACCTTGGTGCACATTACGGGTCTGGTGTTCTCTTTCCAGCTACGGGGATAAATTGGAGGCTCTCATACTCCCATAAACCTACCGGGTCCCAACTGTCCCTAGACCAGTACCTGGCACTTGCAAAGTTTTTCCTGATTTAAAGCATTCCCCAACAGATACTGAGCTATTCTCCTTAGATAAACATCCAGGAAGGGAAATGCTACAGTTCCACATTATATACAGCACTCTCAAACTAATTTTCATAAGTGTAGGGTTCCTCAAAAGGGGAAATAACTTCCCATATTTGTATGTTTCTGTATCAGGAGATGTCTCTCCAGCAAGTTGTTTTCTTCTATAGTAGATCAGACTCATGCATGACTGCCGGACGGCATGATCTGTGGATACTGCAGCACTCTTTCACAAGTGATGCTAAGAACAGTATTCAAAGTTCTCCCTGTTTGCAAGTTGAATGATAAGAGCAGTGCCGGACAGAATGTTCATTTCATTTTACAGTGGTTCTTTCATGTGCTCTCTGCCACGGGGAAGGGGCACTTGTGGCCATACATTTGCTGATGGGCTCAGACCCCCATCGGTCAGCAATGATCAGAGATGATGGAAGTCCCACAGCATCTGGGGAGGGCAAAGGCTTCCCCAGCCCAGTTCCGTCACATTCACAACACATGGGGACGCTGTGAAGCCTGCGAAACATTCTTCCCTTGTGAAAACGGCCTCCTGTATCTTCTCTCTCAACTCCTCTGCCCTTTCCCAGCTCCTGCACTTGGAACCCCACATGCTGAGCTCACCTAACAGCAGCGAGTATGAAAAAAGGCTGGCGGGTCTGCAAGCGCAGCTGCAAGAAAGCCTGGCGAGCTATCAGGCGGAGCTCCTGGGTGCTCAAACTCGCATCGCTGAGCTGGAAGGTCAGGTAAGTTAGCTGCACTTAAGGCATGAAATAGAAACAGGTTCTTTTTGCATCCTGTTATTTTAGTGGAAGCACCACGCTATGCATTAAATGCATTAACTGCATTAAATGCACCATGCCTTAACAGCACACTCGGAGAAGGAAAATGAATCCTTATGTAGCCAAAACAGCACCATCCACTGCAAGTGGAGGAGGTTTCAGTAGACTTGAGGAAATCCCAAGGTTTGCAGAAGTACAGAATGTAAGAAGAGCCCTGCTGGATAAGACCAAAGGCCCATCTAGTGCATCATCTGGTTCTCCCAGTGACTGCCAGAGGCCTATGAATCAGAATAGTAGAATTGTAGAGTTGGAAGGTGCCCCAGGGGTCATCTAGTCCAACCCCCTGCAATGCAGGATTCTCAACTAAAGCATCCATGGCAGATAGCCATCTAACCAGGACTCTCCCCAATTGAGATTCCCTGTAACCAGCATTCAGACAGTGGATGTAGATCATAGCCCTCATGGGCCTTTGATAACTTTAGCCTCCATTAATTTCCTTGATCATCTTCTAAAGTCATTGCGGGAGACTATGCCATGGTTCAGCTGTATCCATAGTGAGAAGAAATTCTTCATTTTAACTGTCCTTAATCACCCAGTGTTCAGCTTCCTTGAATGACCCTGGGTTCTAGTATTATGAGAAAAATCTTTGGGGTGTGGGAACCCTAAGCTGTGTAAGGAGACCTAAAGCACCTCAGTGAAGACTGAGCAGGCTCCGTTGGCATATAATGTTGATTGACTCTTAGGGATGGAAAATTGGAATGGAATATGCTGGAAAAGGGCACGACCAGCTGGCTAGAAATCTGAACAAGAGGACTTTACATTGCAACATTTTGTTGCAGACCCAACATGTCATAAATGTGCATGGATAGTGAGTGTTGATAAACATGGCCTTACTCTGTTGTAGAAACCATGTATGTGTAAGTAGCTGAGGGCTTGTGAGTCATGGAAATATGACAACTGCTTAGTCACATTATTTAACAGTAAACATCCTTGTGATGGTCAAATTGCTTTCTCTCTCTCCTCCATCCCTCCAAGGCTTCCCTAGGTTAAATCTGAAGCAATGCTCCGGTGTTGATGCAATGTGTGAGTGGCTCCAAACCAAGTAGCTGTACCCTGTTTACGGATATTCATAAGTAAATTGGGGTTTTTAAAATTCATTTAGGTCAGGCGGCTGGAGCTGGAGAAGAATCAGCAAAAACTGCTGTTGGAAAGTTTACAGCAGCGCCATCAAGAAGATTTGGAGCTCATCGAGAATGCTCACAGGTATTGGCAGCTGTTGTTAGTGCTCAGTGGCACAAGTAGAACAGAAAGCAGGAAGACCAACAGTAGGTGGCGCTAGAACCAATGGCAGGGGGAGAGAGCGGCACCATTACTGTCTGTAAGCAAAATGGCAAGAGGGTGGTGGTTGGCTGAGAGAGAGCAGACTGATGTTGGTTGTGGCAGTGCTCCATTTGCCTTAATGGACCAACTTCCACTGGGCATTGGTTGTTCTGAACACACAAACTCATCCTAGAGCACCTGCCCCAAGGATCCATATGAAACAGGAACTACAGAAACTTACTCATAGGCACATCTTCCCACAAGGACTTGCACAGGTACTTATTCCTACGTATACCAGGAGCATTTTCTCTTCTTGCCTCTTTCCAAATGATTAGGCCCACTGTGAAGTGTGTTGCCATCCCTTCCCTGAGCGGACATGCAGTACGAGCAGTATATATCTTCCTTGCCAGTCCCAGCCTGTTTGAGCAAGAGAGCTAGAGGAGTTTGCTACAATCACAGTTCTACCACTGGAACTATTGCTTTGACACATCTTCATCTAACCTCCCCACAAACGAATCGGGATGAATGCTCACTGAATAGCCAAAGTTGTGGAATCTCCCTGCAAACAAATCAGGATGGGTGCTCAATAAATAGGTTGTGTGGGAAGCTCCCAGTGTTTCAAAGCTACCAAAAAAGCATACAGTGGTACCTCAGGTTACAAACACCTCAGGTTACAAACACTTTGGGTTACAAACTCCGCTAACCCGGAAGTAGTACCTCGGGTTAAGAACTTTGCCCCAGAATGAGAACAGAAATTGTGCGCTGGCAGCAATGGAAGACCCCATTAGCTGAAGTGGTACCTCAGGTTAAGAACGGTTTCAGGTTAAGAACGGACCTCCTGAACGAATTAAGTTCGTAACCAGAGGTACCACTGTATCATAAAAGGTTAAAAACATACAGTATAAGAAACAGATAATAGCAAATAAAAACCACTTTCAGAAGATGAGGTTATTGGTGCTACAATGTAATGTATATTGAAAATGAGAGAGAGATGCTGATATGAGAAGCTCAGTTTTCAAACCTAGGCAGCTATACAGGCAAATAAGTCGTAAGCCAGTCACTAGACCCCCTAAAGCAGTTAATTAATTACAGACGGACAGGCAGACATCATTTTATTTCTGTGCCACCTTTCCCTAGTTAAAAACCATGCTCAAGGCAGCTTCCAACAAGAAAAGAATTACATAATTACAAATATAACAATAATAGTCATAAACAATAACACACATCAAAAAGTACACAACCAAATTAACAATTTCCACATTAAATCGTAAGATAGAAAAACTAAAGATACAAAAAAAAAAAAGATCAATAACAGCAACAACCCCTCCTCCCTTGAAATACTAGTGAGTGAACAATTACACAAGAATATCCTACATCGCTTTTTTCAATCCAAGCATGCTTGGGAACCCGTGTGGTGGTGTTTTCCCTTCTGACATAGGAACCGTGTAAAGGTGATTGAGGACTCGTACCACCAGCGTGAGGAGCGCCTCCGGCAAGAGAACCAAGAGCTGGCAGGTCGATACTTATCTTGCTGCCAGAATGCAGAGGAGGCCAAATCGGAGTTGCTGGCCCAACACCAGCGCCGGCTGACAGAGCTAGAGCAGGAGAAGGCCAAGGATATTGACCGGTTACGGGAGCTTCAGCGGTATGTGGTGAGGGAGGTTCAAAGGGATTTGGGTGGCTTTCCAAAGCCCAAGTCAGACAGTCCATCCTGTTGCTTTTCCTTTGACAAATGCTCGAACTTCAGTCCTTCCAGTGTGATGAGAGCCAGTGTGGTGTAGTGGTTAAGAGCGGTAGTCTCATAATCTGGGGAACCAGGTTCGTGTCTCCGCTCCTCCGCATGCAGCTGCTGGGTGATCTTGGGCTAGTCACACTCCTCTGAAGCCTCTCAGCCTCACTCACCTCACAGAGTGTTTGTTGTGGGGGAGGAAGGGAAAAGGAGATTGTTAGCCGCTTTGAGACTCCTTAGGGTAGTGATAAAGCGGGATATCAAATCCAAACTCCTCTTCTTCTACTTCCAACATTTGGCCACACTTTCTGTGTGACCTGAAAGAAGAAGAGGAGTTTGTATTTGATATCCCGCCTTTCACTCCCTTTAAGGAGTCTCAAAACGGCTAACATTCTCCTTTCCCTTCCTCCCCCACAACAAACACTCTGTGAGGTGAGTGGGGCTGAGAGACTTCAAAGAAGTATGACTAGCCCAAGGTCACCCAGCAGCTGCATGTGGAGGAGCGGAGACACGAACCCGGTTCCCCAGATTACAAGTCCACCACCCTTAACCACTACACCACACTGGCTCTCTTGCCTTATTTGTGGAAAGATCTTTGTCTCTAGAGAGAGAGAGAGTGCGCACAATTTAGATTGGCGCAAACTCTGAAGAGAGATTCGTCCCAAGAACCTGTTTGTTTTACTCCATTTTCCTAGCAAGCATGGGTCTAGTGTCTTTTTCCCCTCCCCCCTTGGGGACCCCCAGGATGTCTATTCTGGAAATGCGCAAAGACCACGAAGAGCAACTGCAACGTCTGAAACAGCTGAAGGCTCAGGAGATCGACGCAGTGACCAGCGCCACCTCTTACACCAGGTAACGCTTGCTGCTCACCTGCGAGCTCAAGGAATTGGAAAGAAAGAGAAGCCAGTGCTAGGAAACAAGGAGTGTAGATGGAGAATTGTCTTTAGTGCTCAGAGGGTATCTAGTCTTTCAGCAGCAGTAACCAAAAGGGGGGCACTTGAATACAGGAGGTCAGAAACAGAGTTGCTGGACATATAGGAATTCTCATATACACATGACGATTGAGAGCCTCTCTTTACAAGGAAGAATACCTGCTCCAGTCTGGTACACAAATCCAGGTGTTCAGGGTTAGTGGGAGAATATGATCAATGTCTGCAGAAGGTTTGGGTGTCCTCTCCTCTCCTACTGGCCATTGGCCCCATTGGGAGTGGTTCTGCTTCGCAGATGAGCACTGCATTAACATCAGCCACAGGGAGTGGTGATGGAGGCTTCCTTCCCTCCTTTGCCAAAATCAGCCTCCCCAACTTTCAGTATTGCCGGACTCCCAAGCCGCATTTGCCCCCAGCCAGCATTGCCCAATGGTCAGGAATGATGGATGCTGAAGTCCAACAGCATCTAGTGGGTACCAGGTTGAGGGAGGCTGGCCTAGGTGAACTATAGGCTGCTTTGCTCTTGCAGCACTACTGGGGAAGTGAAACGGGTCAGGAGAAGTCTGAGGGGTTTTGCAAAGAATGGGACAGGGAAGGAACCCTCCACATGTTGAAACGGGATAAGATGTGAGAGATTCAATGGGTATGTTTGGGGATGCTGCTACCTAAGGAGAAAAGGGTGATTCAGGAGCAATTGCACTTTTCTGAGGCTGTTTCCAGTGACAAGGTGGCTTAACAGTGCTGTTGTGAGAGAAACGGGGGTTCAGGTGGAGGTGGAGGTTAAAGGCCACACGCCCCAAACATACACAAGTTCTGAGCAAGACCTGAGAATTTAGAGGCACTGGCGCAAGGATCTTAAACTGATAAATCTGGAAAAAAACTAGTTTTGTTATTGTTAAATTGCTTCAGGATCTTTCATGGAAAGGGAAGTGGTATTCATAAATGCATGAATGAATAAAAAAATAAAATGCTGGCCAGAAATGCAGCCTGTGTATCCTGGGCAAAAAAGGGCCAATACTCCTCCGCTCTAAATTTGCGCCCTTTATGACCAAGTAGCCAAAACATGTCTAGCCCGCCTCCAGCAGAAGCAACATATAAGCCTCACAACTGCAAAAGAAGCTTCCTGAATCATGTTCTTTGTGCCAATGGGAAACAAAAGGATGCATAGTACTGGGCAACTTGGCGCTCACGTTGCTTTTTTCCAGGTCTTTGAATGGTGTCATCAGTCAGATGGAGAAGTTCTCCAGCAACCTGAATGACCTTGCTAACAAAGTGGAGGCCACTCACCACGCCACATCCCAAGGACTTGAGATTGGGTCTCGCCAACGGGATGAACAACTCAGGGGTACGTGGCTTCCTGACACTAGGGACCTAAATGCCACTTCCACAGGACTTCCTCTTTCACTGGGGCACTTCTAATTTGGGAATTGGAGATTTTGAATCAGCTTCAGCAGATTCTCCTGCAGGGCCATGAGACTAGTGTAGAATCAGTGCAGAAGGATTTCCGGAACTTTCCCTTTTGTGTCTTACAAAGGCAAATAGAATGTGATGGAGGCTGTTGCCTGGGGGTGCCTCATCTTCCACTTCATTTGTGTGAGGTAAAATTACAAATTTCTTGGAAATTGGTAGGGATAAGCTGGTTAGCACCAGTTATGCAGTCCAAAACTGTTGGCACCAGCGGGGAGGGTTGATTTGAACAAAGAGATAGGCCCCTATACTATTGGAGCCTTGCAAAGTGTCGGCAATTCTTTCATCCTCCCTTCTGAAGTTCTGGAAGACCGTCTGATCCGGCAGCAGAGAGACATGGAAGAAGAACGCAGCCGGCTCCAAGAGGTCATCTCTAAGATGGAGGCCAGGCTGAATGAGCAGACTCGCCTTCTGGAACAGGTGAGCTATTGCTGGAATGGCAGCCATTTATTGTAGCAAGAATGTGACTTCTGGGATTCTCAACTTTAAAGGGTGATCTGTTTTTCCTCCCCAGCTCTTCCTCAAATAACATGCTTGTTTTAAGATGGCTTGAGTTATCCACTGGATTCCTGAGCCCTTTTCAACTACATTTATTTACTAGCGTTGTGGAAACTAAGTGGTCCACCAAATAAATGTTGCCTCACAGCCTCGCTCAGGCTGCTACCACTTACAGGGTGAGGCATGGAGTAGCGTGCACAGAAGAGGCAAGTGAATATCAGATTTGGCAAGCAGAATTTTCCTGAGGAAACCCATTAACACCAATTTCTTAAGATCGTAACTGTACATAAAATGGTAACGGGTGGACATATTTCTTGATTTAGAATGACATGTTGAGATCGGAGCAATGGTTCTGATCCAGTTTGCTGTTTGTGAAAATGCTCCTAGTAACCTAATTCAGAATAAAATAACCTATATTAACATAGAATTAGGAAAAGGTCTCACAAACGTGCATTGAAAGAGTGGAGGAAATTATTTTACCCACTGTAATTATATTAGCAAAAGGGATTTTGAAATTTGTATCATGGTTAATTGACTGACATGTCTCTAAAGCAGGGATGGGATGGAGAACTTGTGATCTTTCAGGTGCTGAACACCTACCATCTCCAGCTCTGGACAGTGGTCAGGGCTGATGGGAGTTCAACAACATCTGGAGGGCCACAGGTTCCCTATTCCCAGTTTGAAACTTTGAGCGTGGTTCTAAACCATCTTTATTCTTCTGGAACTGTTCAGAGGGGCTTGCCCCCCTGCCCCTGATGAGTTAACAGAAGAAAATAAGAAACAGCAAATTGTTCACTGATCAGCGGTTAAGGATTGCCCCAGTTCCATGGCATACTCCTCCACTGTCTTCCAAGACATGTGAATGCCAATAACAACTTGTCTGCATACATTAGTTTTCTTACTAAGTGAAGGGTTGCTGTGTGGTGTGGAATTGCATCAGGTTGATGACACCTGTGACTAGAATGAATTTCAGTTGAGCAACACCCACTATTTGTCCTTGCTTGCCTCCTTGCAAGGGTCTGTCCTCAGCTTGTCATGAGAGCTTGTCCTTCTGCTGCTCCACTGAGCCCTGATTTCTTCTTAAAGTAGCCACTGCCACCACCCCATTGTCCTAGGATTGTATCCAACTAAACTCTACTCAAAGTAGATCCACTGAAATTAACAAACCTAAGTTAGTAATGCCAACTTCATTGGGTTTATTCTGAGTAGGACCAGCACTGGTTACAACCCTTAGATGCTGGACTCTTTCTGTAATTACCCACATAAAGGTAAAGGTAAAGGACCCCTGGACGGTTAAGTCCATTCAAAGGTGACTCTAGGATTGTGGCGCTCATCTTGCTTTCAGGCCGAGGGAGCTGGGGTTTGTCCAGAGACAGTTTTCCGGGTCATGTGGCCAGCATGACTAAACTGCTTCTGTCACAATGGAACACCGTGATGGAAACCAGAGCTCACAGAAACACCATTTACCTTTCCACTGCAGCAGTACCTATTTACTTGCACTGGCGTGCTTTCAAACTGCTAGGTTGGAAGGAGCTGTGGCAGAGCAACAGGAGCTCACTCCATCACGGGGATTCAAACCGCCGACCTTCTGATCAGCAAGCCCAGGAGGCTCCACGGTACCCTTTGCACACACACAAAATAGAGCTCAAGCCCTGAAGCAGAAATATTCCTTTAATTAGCAGACAAGCAATAGATCTTGTAATTCTACCATCCTGCCTTGGTGTGTCTGCCTTAGCTTTTCTAGCAACTGTTCTGTATATTGTTGTCCACTCTGACCTGCTAACCAACTGAGTCCGTCCCTCTTGCCTCCCCCTTGGACTGCTGACACACCCAACTACATTGCTTTCTTTCCTAATGGTGGAATGAGCCTTCCCTGAGCAGATCTTGTGTCTTTCTACCTTAGGAACGCTGGAGGGTGACAGCAGAACAATCCAAAGCATCATCCTTGCAACACTCGCTAGAGGAGCAGAGGAGGATCATGACCCAGCAGCTGAGCATGGAGAAAGAAGAGCTAGAGAGGGCAAAGGTTAGAAGGGCCCTTGGTGGTTTTGTTCGTTTGTTCATTTGTTTTTTTAGCAAAATGATGTTGCCAACACACTGCAAAGTGTGGACTGATCCGGTTGTAAATATGTAGCAGTCTATACCAACCTGGAAGGTGGGAGGGGAATTTCTATACACATTTTGCATTTCCTGCTGCTCTTGTTTCCAGATAGAGGTTCCTCCGTGACAACAAAGAGAATTTTAATGTGTTGGGTTTCTCCCCCCGCCTAGGCAGCTGACTATAAGTTCAAGACACCCATATCAACCTTTAAAAATGCCATTTTGGTGTACGAGGCCTCTTGTTGGATTATATGTCGTTCTGAGGCTTTCAAGAAGTACACATTACTTCCCTGTGTTTCTCTTCGTTGCTCCCAGAATGCTTTGCTTGACGAACAGAAGGCCGTCATGCAGAAATGTGCCGCGGAGCGCCATAAGCTTGCTGCAGAGTGGTCTGAGCTCCACACTCAACAGAGGCTGAGCAAAGAACGCACAGAGAGGGAGGTGGATCGGGCTCTGCAAATTGACTCTCAGAGAGAAGGGGCCATCATGAGCCTGGCAAAGGTAAAAAGGAGCTAAAGGAGAGCTTGCTCAGTTCTGGAGCTTTCTTTCAAGGCTGCAGCCTAGGGCCTAAATGATATGAAGTGAAAATAAGAGGTGGGAGAATCGGAGTGGATATTTAGGTCAGGGCTTGTGAAGCGTTGCTCTTCAGAATGCAATAACAATAAGGTATGTGTGAGGAACCTGCAACCCTTGAGATGTTGTTGGACTTCAACTCCCCTCAGCCCAACCAGCATGGTTACAGTAATATATTATTTCTACTTTGTCTTTCTACCATTATGTGTACACATGAAGAATTAAATAATACAGTGTAGGCATGGAAATAGAAGATGCAGTAATTAAATTAACTAGAGGATCTTTTCCCGAATAGCCATTGCCTGCTGCCCAAGTGGGAACTGAACTAGGTGGATCTAAGTCATTATAAGGGGCTGCCTTATATTCCATTCACAGTAATACAAGATAGCAAATCTGACAGGCTCTTTTTTATTAGGAACGCGCAGACCTGCAAATCAAAGCCAGTGAGCTGAGATCGAGGGAGGAGCAGCTGGCGAGAGATCGGGAGATTCTGGAGCAAGAGAAGCAGGAGCTGAGGCTGGAAAAGGAAAGGGTCAATGCAGCAGCTTTGCACGTCAAGCAGAGGACCGAAGAAATCCATAGCATGAGCAAAGTAAGAAAGCCTCATTTCCCCCTTTACACATCTAGCTGTGCTAGGAAGGCAGAAGGAGAATGAAACTGAGTCAGAGCAGAATGTAGGAGCCAAACAACAGGTTTGGCTTCTGGTCTGGTTTCTAGTGCTACGTGTAACATCAGAATGTGGTATTTTGTTCTCTCAGTTGTGGAGATGCTGAAACACACTACATTGTTCTTGGGTTGAATTCAACAAACCCACTGCATGAATAGAACTACTTGTGCAATGGAACTTCTCCATTCTATCTTTCCACTGTCTGCCCACAAACTCCCCCAGACCTGCCCTGCAGGGTTGAGAGTAGATTTTGGTGGAGAGTGGGGGATGCAAAGGGCATATGGGAGAAGAAGGAGGGAAAGTTCAATTGCACAATCACAAGTCATTCTTCTTATGCAATTACTTCATTGGAGTCAACCCTTTGTGCCAGATTCAACTAAGTTGTTGCTCTGGCAGAAGCCAGCAGAATGAGTTCCATTTGCAAAGTGGGACTTCCTCCACCAGCACAACCTCTGTCTCCTCTGAGATCTGTCCAGGAGGGTTTGGAGAACCCCCAGAACAGGAGGAGGAGAGCAAATTATTTTGTGGCGTCACCTTCTCCTTGGAAAATAGAATTAAGATCTCACTGCTTGTGGCTCAAGACGGATTTTGTTGTGGTAAGCACACAGTAACACCGAATGTGTAGTAACAAATTGGGTCCTGATGATTCTTTCTCCTCACACTGCACAGCTATCCTCTGAGAAATACGAAGAGGGGGAAAGAGCCCTCATGGAGGCAAGGAAGGTGGAGTCGGAGCATCAGGCCAGGTTACGCCTTGTGCAGCATCAGATGGAGCGACTCAGGGAGCAGGAGGAACTGCTGCACCAGGTGATTTCTCTGAAGCTTTTAAACTATTTTGTTGCCTGTGTGCCAACACCTTTGTCAGTCTCGGCATTATTATTAGTAATACAGTGGTACCTCGGGTTACATACGCTTCAGGTTACATACGCTTCAGGTTACAGACACCGCTAACCCAGAAATAGTGCTTCAGGTTAAGAACTTTGCTTCAGGATGAGAACTGAAATCGTGCTCCGGCGGCGAGGCGGCAGCGGGAGACCCCATTAGCTAAAGTGGTACCTCAGGTTAAGAACAGTTTCAGGTTAAGAACAGACCTCCGGAACGAATTAAGTACGTAACCAGAGGTACCACTGTATTAGTTTAGGACAGCTGTCCTAAACAAAAGATAGAAATACCACTTTTTAAAAAAATAATCCCACCCTGCCTGTACAGTGGGGATTCCTCTCCACATACACCCCTCAGGTCTGTTCTGGGGCAGCTTTCAGGTGGCTGCCCAGAGAGAGGAAGTTCTGCAGAACGTGGTTCAAGAGACAATGACACACAGGAGGCTTTTTTTGTGGTAGCTCCTCTGTTCTAGAATGTTCTCCCCTCTCTCCTGTGAGGTGCATCTGCTGCTCATGCTGTGTAGTTTTGTAGGCAGCTCAAGGACACCTTACATTGCTCAGCCTTTGAAGGGTTGATGTGAAATGATCCACTCCCTCCATTATTTCATACTGATTTGCTGCTGCTTTTATCACGTTTTGTTTTTGCTTGTAACTTTACACAATGTAACCCACCTTTGGGTGAAGGGGCAATAATAAATCCCATTCAATCAAATGAATAAACTTAGGAGGCACATTGCAAGTTAAAAAAACTCATTCTGTGCACAGGACACCTGGTCAACGTGGGTTTGTTGCCCTGTACCACAGAGCCTCCCACCAGAACGTTTCTAATTCTCTTTTTCATTCTCACACCGGACTCTGTCAGGAGCACCTCAGCCTGTCTCAGCAGAGGAGGCAGCTTGAACAACTGCGGGTGGGACTTCCAAGCAATCCATTGGTGTTCCAGACCACATCCCAGATGCCGTTGTCAGGAGCTCAGGCCAATGCAATCTCCAGGACACACTGTAAGTAGCTACGCAGCCGCTACCAATCCCTTCAGGAGTGTTTTTGGCAGGAATCCTAAGGATAAACCTTGGAGATGTTTGGGACATGATCTGTGAGGGCCTTTGTGTGGAGGCTCGTTACTCTAGCTAAGTTTATTTCCTTCGCAGATTTCTCTCTTCCTCTTACTGACCTACCTAAAGCCAACCCCGGAACCTCTCAGGGCCAATCCAGTTCAGGACCAGCAGATCTCTATGCTAAACTGGTGCTGCATAAGATTTCAGCTGATCGGGTAAAAATTAATTCTCTAGCATTTGATCTTCTGTAGACTGGGAACATTATCTCTGCCCCGGGCTTGTTGTTTCTGTCCTGATGCTGTTTATACAACTTTCATATTACATATTTATACATAGCTCAGTTTCAGTTCTAACCATTGCATGCTTATTTAAAGAAGAGCTCTGTCTAGCTCACAAGACAGATGGATTTATTATTATTATTTAATGATATTTATATACCACTTGGTTGTAATAAAACCTCTAAGTGGTTTACTCACTAAAGTAAGTTGGTGAATGGGAAGGTAGCATAATGAGTCTGTGACACCCACAGATCCTGTTAGTTTGACTTTTCTTTTTTTTAAACAGGATCATGATTTCTTAGAGGAAGAACAGTTCTTCTTAGAAACCTTGAAGAAAACCTCCTACAACGCTCCATCCCAGTCAGCATAAGAATGGAAGAGTCCTGAAGGAATCCCTTCCTGGATTGATGGTTTCTCCTAATAAAGATGGATCTTTATCATTTTGATATATATTTTTTTAATGCTTCCAGATGGCGGTGGTAAATGTAAACGCCAAACCTCACTTTAACAGATACTAAATTTGTAAAATAAAACTTTTTACAGTTTCCTGTAACTCCCTGCTTTTGTGAAAAACATAGGAGTTTTTTGGGTTGAAGCTTTTTGTTTTTAGGTGCCATTGCAGCTTGATCCATTTGGGTAGCAAGGTGCTCCTGGCCATACCCTGTCTCTCCACCCTATTGCCCAGTACGTTTCCAAGCACAATTCAAAGTGTTGGTGCTGACCTTTAAAGCCCTAAACGGCCTCAGTCCTGTATACCTGAAGGAGCGTCTCCACTCCCATCGTTCAGTCCAAACATTGAGGTCCAGCGCCGAGGGCCTTCTGGCGGTTCCCTCACTGCGAGAAGCCAAGTTACAGGGAACCAGGCAGAGGGCTTCTCGGTAGTGGCACCTGCCCTGTGGAACGCCCTCCCACCAGATGTCAAAGGGAACAACAACTACCAGACTTTTAGAAGACATCTGAAGGCAGCCCTGTTTAGGGAAGCTTTTAATGTTTGATGCGTTACTGTATTTTAATATTTTGTTGGAAGCTGCCCATAGTGGCTGGGGAAGCCCAGCCAGATGGGCGGGGTATAAATAAATTATTATTATTATTATTATTATTATTATTTATTGCATTCCTTTCGTGGGGGCACTTCCCATCCCCTGTGAGCTGAAAAAGGTCAATAGAAGACCCTCCAGATTATATACTTGCTAAGCATTCATCCTGATTTGCTTGCACAAAGTTTCTGTGGAGGTTAGATTATATTCTATCTTTATTGAGCATTCATTCCGATTCATTTACAGGGCAATTACACAGCAATAAGCATTTGTTTAGCATTCATCCTGATTTCCTTGTCGGATGTTTACACAACTTCCCATTAGTCATTTGTTCTTTGTTATGATTTATTAAATTTGTATACATCCCTTCAGATCCGTAGATCTCAGGGCGGTTCACAACATAAAATTACAATATAAAAAACAGAAAATGCATAATAAAAATAAGAATGAAAACAAACCAATAAGCCTCCTTCCCACAACACATTTAAAAGGACATTGGACGTCAATAAGCCAAAGGCCTGGTTAAAGAGGAACATTTTTGCCTAAAGGTATACAGTATAATAAAGGCGCCAGGTGAACGTCCCTGGGGAGAGCATTCCACAAATGGGGAGCCACTGCAGGAAAGGCCTGTTCTTGTGTTGTCACCCACTGGACCTCACATGGAGGAGGCACACAAAGAAGGGTCTTGGAGGATGATTTCAGGGTCTGGATAGGTTCATATGGAGAGAGGCAGTCCTTGAGGTATTGTAGTCCTGAGTCGTTCAGTTTGTTCTTTCCACACTTCCCAATGCATTTCCCCATCACTTTCTATACCACAGAAAGGCCCTTTCAAGAAAAGTGCATTTGTTGCACTAGGGCACCAGGGCATAACTGCCAACTGTTTCCTTTTTTTAAGGGAAATTCCCTTATTCCGAATAGGATTCCTTGCAAGAAAAGGGAAAAGTTGACAGCTATGCACCAGAGTCCATTAATTCACTTTAAATAAGCAAATCTAAAATTCTGGTATGCTATTGAATCTGTGCAAGAAAGTGACAGATATACTAACTTCTGCTGTTACTCATCTTTCATCAGGGTTGGAGATCCTGTGATCTTCCAGATGTTGCTGGACTGCAACTCTCATCTGGTCATGGCCAATGGAGTTGTAGTCTAGCAAGATATGGAGGCCACCATGTTGGCTATTCTTGATTTAAACTAAGCAATGCTAACTTTCACTTCTGATTAAGTGAATTTTCAGGAGCAAAGGGGGAAGTGGCAGTGAAAAGTACTATTAGCTTCTAATGGCTAGTTTTTCTGCTGTTGGTGACAGTAATTGTGCGGTTACAGTGAACAATTGTGAAAATCTGATTTCAACCACCAAGCTTCAGCTAGTCAAATTAACCACCAATCTATTAGGCTGTAAAAATTGAGTGACTTCAACTAACAAACAAAAAGCTATTTTAATAGAAAGGCAGAAAGAGATTTCATTCCTGTTCCCCATAATCTTCAGTGACTTACTTCCATTTTCATTATTTCTCTGTAGCAGCCATCTGTTCTCAGCAATTGGCACATTCCATTAAGGCCAGAAAGCTTAATAAAAATCTGTAGCCACAGGAAAAACAAACTGCTTAGTGGAATAATATATTTTAGCAAGAGGAGGCAGAAGGTGTTTAATCTCCACATGTCACTGTTTTTTTGGTCAGAGTTTCCATCAAGGACAAATGCTGCTTATTTGAACTGTAATGGGTGGTTTAAAAAAAACAACCCAAACAGATAAAAACAGAACTGGGCATTTAGTTGATCAGACAGTGTAGAAAAGGGTTTAGCTGTGCTTACCTAAACCTAGAATAATGGGAAGTTGTGGCAGAAGAAAAATCTCACAATTCTTTAGATGAAATCACTGAATTAGGATCAGGAAGAGGTAGTGAGGGGGTAATGTGGCAGGTTTTTTTTTTTTTTAAAAGGTAATTTTATCTCTGTGATCTTCATTCCTGTTATGTAGCTGTAAAAGACACAAAGAGGACTGCCATCTGAAGAGGGGGCACTTTAACAAAAGCTATCCAAAATAAAAGAATTCCTTCCAGCAGGTGCTACTGGAAGCAATTTTTTTTATTTTGTTTCGACTACGGCAAACCAACACTGCTACCTGCCGGTAAACAAAAGCTATCCAAGTTCACATCACATGGCTCTATTATAACCTTGTTTCAAAGATAATTGGACTGCAGCAAAGTTGGGAAGAAATAATAATTGCTTATGACTATACTATCCTGATCTCATCTGATCTTGCAAGTAGTGCAGGATCAGGCCTGATTAGTACTTGGATGGGAGTACATGTGGCAGTACCAAGTGCTGGATCACTGCCTTCTTTCACTGTTATGGGCCATCCATTGTGAAGTAGCCAATACTGTATTGGACTTTCTACCTGAGACCCTAGTCCTCCCTGACTACAAAAATCATCTCCAAACTGACCCCAATATTCTTGATAATTCTGCTCACAAACATAAGTGCTTCAGGATTGCCAGGGGAATTATTTCATAAACTCCTCTGCAAAGTTGTGCAATATTATTTTTTTTAAAAAAATGGGGGAAACTGCAGCCAGTTCTGTAGGATTGCTTCCTTTTGCAATGCTTTGCTACGCTGATTGGTGTAGTATAGTATCCAGCATGGAGCTCAACCGTCTGCCCAACTGCAACTGCAAAACAGTGCTCAAAATATTAATCATGGCAGGAGAACCCAGATCATACCTGCCTACAGTGTGGCCCAAGTATGGAATTCATAGGAAAAGGAAGGAAGCAGCTGGGTAGGAGCCAGGCTGAAATGGGGTGCCGAGAGCAGAAGCAATTTTAAAAATAAAAAACAAAAGAAGAAGAAGAAACCTGCAATGAAATCTGAGACAAAAACAGAAGAAGGTTACCTGAAAACAAAAGAGGAAAAAATAAAATAATAAAAGCCTACAGCACCCGGTATTCCCAGGCGGTCTCCCATCCAAGTACTAACCAGGCCTGACCCTGCTTAGCTTCCGAGATCAGACGAGATCGGGCGTGTTCAGGGTAGTATGGCCGTAGACGTTGAGACTCTCTGCTGCCGCCCCTTTAAAGCAGGAACCGGGAGAAAGCGCGCCCTCTACATGCACATGGCAAACCTTGAAACACCTCGCTTTCCACAAAATAATCAGAAGCACAAGTGATGACAGCAAAGTAAATAAAATAAAATAAAAAAACCTGGACTGCGCCACAAGGAGCATGAATAACGCTTTGTTTCTTTGAGAGCTCATAGGCAGGCATTCTCGTAGACAACCGCTCCTGCGTGACGTCATCCAGATTGCGCGTCGCCGCGAGGGCTTTCCAGTCGAGCGACGCCGTGGTCCGCAAAATGGCGGCGCCCATACTGAGCGCTGCGCTGCATGGACTACGGAATGCTAGACCTTTTAGTACTTCTGGTGAGTGACGGCTGTCTCCTTTCCACACTGGAGGAGGATGATGGAGGGAGGGGCGGAGGAGCGGGGGCAGGAAGCCGTTAGCCTGCTCTTTTTTAGGGTAGCTTGTCCTCCGCTACTGATGGACTCGAGACGCTTAAGTTCTCTCTAGCCCCGATAATTTAGGAATCCGAGGGCAAATGTTTTTGGACGCCTGAGTTTTGTATCTGATAGTTGTGTTGTGCCGTGAATGGCCAATATAATAGTCAACTCCCATGCAAACCTATATGAGCTCAGAGGATGGATAGCTGTGGAATATATTCATGTTATGAGGAAGCAGCACATTTTCTGACTTGGCAAGAAATCAGTTTAGTCTTCTTTGCATCTTTGAAAATATATGAAGAAACACAAAAAGTGGTATGCCACTCTCATTTTGCACATTCAGTAGTGAAGCTTCAAACATAGTTTACTGCCCCAAAGTCTGATTCATTCGTTTCCGCCCCATCTGCTGTTGGAACAGAAAGGTGGAAATGCAATTGGACACAAGTTTTTGTAAGTGTTTTAAGTATAAAACACGTCTGCGTATTGCCATCACTTTTGTGTCTGCAGTGTTTACTAGTGTTTCTTCTCTCCCCACACCCATTACTTCTGCTTTTGTTTGAATGGGACAGGTTCAAATAAAATGTTGACCAAACCTTCTATACTTTTTTTGCTAATTTATTTTAGCTGTTCTCTGGAAAGTGGGAGTACCTCTCGGGCCAATGCCTAATGAAGATATTGATGTTAGTAAATTGGAGGTGCTAGAAAAGTACCGTGTCTTCACTCGCTACTTCAAGGAAGCAGAGAAAGCACAAAAGAAACCTAAGTGGTGGAAAACCTACAGGCAATATGTCACTCCAAAGCAAGGTATGTGTGCTTTTGGGGGGCAAGTGCCTGAATGCCAAGTACAGGGAGAAAAGTAAAGCAGGGCTATCACATTGTCTCTGCTGATAGACTGTCACCTCGCAGCAGCCATTCCATTTGACTATCTGAACAGTTTCAGTCCCATGTGGTCACTGTAAGAATGGTGACTTTTAAAAACCAGTGCCTGACCCTGTTGTTTGCCTCCTTCCTCTCCCTCCTTTTAGATGAGTGTGAGAGCAGAGACTGTCTTACTACTGATCTTGTGAACTGCTTTAGGAGCTTTTTTGACTGAAGAGTGGGAGTGAAAATATTATGACCTCGTCCCTGAGTAAACGAGCATAGAATTGAGAGCAAATTACATGCCTATACATTGGTACCTCGGGTTAAGAACTTAACTCATTCTGGAAGTCAGTTCTTAACCTGAAACTGTTCTTAACCTGAACCACCACTTTAGCTAATGGGGCCTCCTGCTGCCGCTGTGTCGCTGCTGCACGATTTCTGTTCTCATCCTGAAGCAACGTTCTTAACCCAAGGTACCTTAACACTATTTCTTAACACTATTTTTGGGTTAGCGGAGTCTGTAACCTGAAGCGTCTGTAACCCTAGGTACCACTATATTCAATTGAGTGGGAGCACAGGAGAAAGGTAACAAAAGGCAATAAAAAGTGACTGTTCACCTTTTGTTGTTAAACTTTAAAGAGAAACAGAACTGCCCATAGTGTTCACTAAGGAAAGCTACTGAACTGGAAACACACAGCCTTGTAGTGAGCCTGAGTAATGGTTTTTTTCATTCATTTTAAAGAGTTATACATGCACATATGTGGGTGTACTGGGGTCCTGCTGCAGATTGGAGGTGCTCAATAAGTGCCAAGTCTTAATGGGGACACTTTCTACTTACCTCGGGATATCAGGTAACTTTTAAGCTTTGCGAGTATTAAGCAACACCATAAGGCAAGGCATGAGCCACCCAATTTCCCAGTCATTTATAGTTTGTCCCTTAGCGAAACCAGAGGCAGAAAGTATGTCATGAGACTTCCTTTATGTTTTCTCTGTTTTTCTAAAAACTATAGATGAAGAGGCAAAGATCGACATTGGGCTACCTTATTTTCCGCCACCATGGAAAAAAACACTTAAGGAGAGAAAAGCTATAATGAAACAGAATCGAGTGGAATTGGAAAGAGCATCCCGCCTACGGAAATGTATGTTGGTCACAGCTCCCGCCTCATTTATTCCTTTTCTCTTCACTAAAGCTTTTCCACTCAGTATTTCACAGTGCTGTGTTTCTGTTTGCAGTGTTGATTCCCCTTGATGATGTAAGAGCTGAATGGGAGAGAACCTTTGGCCCATCCCACAGGCAGCGAGTGGCAGAACACTATGGACTGTACCGGGACTTGTTTGATGATGCCTTCTTTGTTCCCCAAGTTCCTTTAAGGGTGGAATACAATCAGGATGATGAATATGTTATGCCAGTTTACCATGGGAATATGGTGACACCCACAGAGGTATTGTACCAAATGTATAAGCTTTGAGGGGAAGAATATCCTGTTCTTTTTTTTTTAACCACAACTCATCTAGTAAGCATTTTGAGAAAACAGATTCTCTTGAGTACTTTGCCAACTGTTTTGTTCTCCCCCACCCACTCAATGGTATATACCAACAGCTTCATTAGTCTAATTGTTGTGATGTTTATTTATAGGTACAGTGTTCATCAGACTTAATTTCCCGCTTAATGTAGGCAACTAATCTGGGAGTCTGTTTACACCAAGTCATTTTTTTAACTTCAGAATTTTCATGACTCATAGTGATAATTAGCATTCTTTGTGGTATTGGTCCTCTTCTGTCTGGCTCTATTGAATGTAATTTTACCTTATTCATTCTTGATTATTAAAAAAGCTATATATTATATGCCATTTTCCCCTCTTCCTTCTGGAAAAGAGGATGTTTTCCTATATCCCTTTTTGGTGAGACCCCTGAAGTCGCTTCAGTGTGTAATATCTGTGTAGCAAATCCTGTATGCCAGTAGCAAATCCTGATCTTCAGGCTATTTTTAAATATTTTTTTAAAAGTCAAAAGTCTCTTGTTCTCCGCTTTTGTCAGTTATTAGTTTGATATTAAAGCATGCCCATTTTTATGATCTTTCTGCAAAGATAATAATTGTAACTAGTGTGAATTGTCTAGATCTGGCTGGACTGATAGAAGCTGGCAAACAAAAGATGGGGTGAAATTTAAACTAATCATATTTGGGAGCATAGGCAAAAGTCTTGGCTACTTTGTAATCATTGCTGTATTTTTCTGTTTAGGCTTTTAACCCTCCCAGAGTCTCATTTGAAGCGGATGAAGGATCCTTATGGACTCTGCTGCTCACCAACCTAGGTGAGTAAAGGTTTCCTCGCCCTAGGAATGGCCCAGATTTTATTTTTCTGAGAGGCTACTAGTTAATGTGCAGGTTCTGCAGTAACAGCAGAAATCCTGGTTGCAAAAGATTATGAAGGAGTTGCCAGTGGTATGGTAAAAAATTAAAGGTGCTGAGTGATCTGGAGCTTTTAAAGCTTGGCCAAGCTAGGACAAAGGAAAAGAATCATTTGTGCAACCAGAAAGAGCACAACAAAGAAGCATTACATAACTGTACATGAATAATGATAATTTAATTGAGATTATGTTTATGTTATACACACAGATGGGCACCTGCGTGATGCCGATTCAGAGTATCTCCACTGGCTGGTGTGAGTATTGGCTACTAATCCATCTTTGCACTGGCATCAGTTACCAACTTGGGTTACATTTGGAGCTGAATCTCAATATTCCACTACCGCTTTCATGCAGACTTTCCTAGTCCATGCAGCAACTGACAGTTGCATGACTGCAGAGGTCCATGGCATACCAGATTCTCTACCTTCAAAGATCCTTCTTCTCCCAATGACTTTTCTACTGTGAAGTTCCTGCACACCTACCATGGGTTGCGGAGGTTTCTGTGACATGTCCTAGGATGCAGAAACTCTTCTTGTAGAGCCCTAATGAGACTGTGCATCCCTTCTGCAAACTGAAAGCACACGTTGGAATACTCCTCTCACTATGGCAGTACACTGTATGAGTAGGTTGATAGCAGGAGGCCAGCCAACATTCAACATTACTGTTTTTTTCTCATCAAGATGCCCCAGGCTTCCATGGAGCATGGTTTGAGGATCACTGAGCTGGAGCCTTGCTTTTATATATTAAGCCACTTTCCGCCCCTTTTGCTTGTACTGTGGTAGCCTTAGAGAATGTGATTTAGAATGAGGGCAAGTCTTTACCTCTTCAGATGTGTAATGGCCATTTGAACTCCAAATATCATACAGACAAAATCACTCTTGACAATCATATTTTAACTCAACAGGACAAACATTCCAGGAAACAAAATGGAGATGGGCAAGGAGATTTGCCATTACTTCCCCGCATTCCCCGCTAGAGGAACTGGATACCATCGCTTCGTCTTCCTTCTCTTCAAGCAGCTCCATCCCATTGATTTCACTGAAGATGAGCGGCCTGTGCCATGGTAACTCTTCCCATTTTGCATAACTATGGTGGAATCATTGGGTGCTTCCAACTTCCGGCTTCTTTTGCGAAAGGAGCCACAGGCTTATTTCTGAAGGTGGAATTGTGAACTATCCAGTATTCTCTGAAACTTAAAAATTAGGTCAAATAATAGTACAGCCAGAATGTAAGGCACAGCTCAAGTTGAAAAGGGTGGGGATGGGGACACTTAAGTAAAAAAGATGTGTCCAGGAATAGATTTTAAGAGTTGGAAACCCACTGAAACCTCACCTATTGTAAACAATTGGGCTTGAAGTCAAGAGCAGCAATTGCTCTTGCATGAGTTTGTTACTTCTGTGTGATAGTCTGCCTTCCAAACCATTGCTTGCCATCCAAGTAAACATCACACAAATAATTTTTCTTGCTTTTCTCCCAAGAAGCAGGCATCTTTTAATTTTGTGACTGCAGCTAATTTCCCCTTATTTTTCTGGAAAGAAAAGGAGCATGGAAAACTAATTGCTAGAGATAATGGAAGGAACAAGAAACACAGCTAGCCAACATCCCCTTCCCTCTAACAAGAAACGGTGTAACCATGGGTGAATTTGATGCAACTCCCTCCTTCCAGGGAATATCTCCTACATTTATATTAGAAGTTTAAACTAGTTCTGAACTGCTTTCTCACCCAAGGAATCTAAAAAAATAGGCATTTTTCGAGGCTGGCGGTGTGGGGAATGAAAACCCCCTAAGCCATTCAGACTTACCATTTCAGTGGTTTCTTTGGTGGAGCAATTGCTACCTGATGGATAGGGAATATTATCTACCCTTCTATGTTTTACTCTACTGAAGGAAACTGATGGCGGCTTGAACAGGGTAGTGAAGGTAGCTAGAAATAACAGCAGAAGGGTTCCATTGCATCTCTGTCCTCTCATCTTTTCAGCCACAGTCTCCAGATGAGAACGTTCAAGACGTTCGACTTCTACAAGAAGCATCAGAGTGACATGACACCTGCAGGACTGGCATTTTTCCAATGCCAGTGGGATGATTCAGTTACACGGGTCTTTCACCACCTTCTCGGTAAGTAATGGACCGTACATATAATTTACGGTAGTACTAAAAAAAATTTAGTAATAATACTTTTTTTAGTAATAAAAAAATTGTGACTGGAGTACATGTCCAGTAATTATGCAAGACCAAAATATTTCTGAATGCGTGCTAAATTTAAAACTTGGAAAAATTGGGGAAGAATGCAATAAAACTTGATAAAAGTATACAGAATTGGGAACCTTTTTGTCCCACCCACTGTGTCCCAAGTTCCCAGCCAGAGAAGGGAGGGACTTGTTCTGAACTGCTTGGAGAGGTGATTATTTGGATAGGGACTTCAGGATCCTTGTGGAGCAATGAGGTTTTGGAAGCTGCTTACCACAAAGCCCAGTTCATACAGCAAGTATTGAAATAGCATGTTGGGAAGTACCTAGAGTACTTCATTTAAAGCTGCCTGGGACAGGGGAGCTTGCAGACCCATAACAGTTTGAAGCCAGCAAAGCATCAGTATTTGGACAGCTGGATTGGAGCTATGTGGTGGGCTGGATTTCAATGTAGCAGGAAGGGCAACTGCATTCTTGTACAGGTTTCCGCAGCAGAAAAACTAGAAATCATTAGGGCCAGAGCACAAGGAAATCATGTGCTGTTAGTGGGCCAAAAGTCACCGTTTTCCATTGCAGATCATCGGTGTCTTTGAGCCAGAGGATGCTTCAGGTTGGTGCTTGTGGAATTTGTAGATGTTAGGATGTGCTAACTTCCAATCTGTCCCTTGCAGACATGAAGGAGCCTGTGTTTGATTTTGTGCGTCCCCCTAAATATCATCCACCGCAGAAGTTGTTTCCACACCTCCAGCCTCTGAGGTACCTGGACAGATACAGGGACAGTGATGAGCCTACCTATGGCATTTATTGAAATGTCTTGATACTCCGCTTGCCAACGGGACCCTGGACTGAGTAGCCATGGTGCAACAAAGAACCCTCCCAAGCAGTTCATATCTCTGATCGGAAAATGGAAATATAAGAGGCAGCTGGATTTGATTTGAATCATCACTTTTATTCACTTGGAAGAGAGCGGTGCAGCTTGCATCTATCTTCTCTATATCTTGGAGACTCTGTCCTTGCGATGAAGAAGCAGGCAAGCTGTGTCCAGAGGTCCAGGGCTATTCAGAAGCTGAGTTTCTGCTTCACTTTCTCAGGAGCCAGATGCCGTCCATCAAGTGTTCTGAGCAAAACAGTTTTCTTTCTCTCTCATCAACTGCTGGGCCATTTCAGCAAAATAGCCTCACCTGAATGGGATCAGATAATGCATGAAATATAGCAAAGCATTGAGTTGTTACTGAAACGCTGGGCCGTGTGCTGTCTTTAAAGTATGAACAAACATTCTTTTAAATTCCTGCTGAAAAATACTTGTATTTGGGGAGAAGCAGATGGGAGCAGTCAGTCTCTTGGAACTATCTAATATATCACCTGCTTCAATAACTTCAAGCAGCCTCTCCCAACCTAGTGCCCTCTGGATGTTTTGAATACAACTTCCATCAGCTCCATCCAGCACAGTTATGCTGGGGCTGGAGTTGCTGGAAGTTACAGTCCAAAACATCAGGAGGCCATCAGTTGGAGGAGGTTATTTCTAAGGTCAAGCAGGCATCATACCTTTTATGTTTCTGAAGGGCATCAGTGTTGTGACACCTTAAGGGATGAAACCTTTGGTTGGTGGCATGAATCTTTCATAAGCAATGCCTGCTTTGTGCAATGCATGAAACAGGCTGTGGAGCTAGTTGATATATGTTTATATGGTTTAAATGATTTGTCAGAATTAAACCAAATGAAATGAATACCAAGATGTGTGTGTTCCTTGCTTTGCCATTAAAATTATTTCTTTTCCCCCCCTTCATTTGGATACTTTGAGACATACTGGTAAATCGTTTGAAGAGCCTATTTTGCATAGGTGATTTTTTTACCTTCTGGGAAACACAGGATCATCTCATTTCCTCATTTTTCTTTCCATATACAACATGAACCCTTTTATTTCTGCATGGATGACTGCTTACCTTTGTGTATATTTGCAAGTCTGATAAGGTTTGGATTAACCAGTGTGTGCTTATGTTCCTCATTCCAAAATATTGTCCTGCAGAACAGTTCCATAGCATTTTGATAGCAAGCCCACAGTTGAGGAGTACCCTATCTTTTAAAAAACATTTACAGTGGTACCTCGGGTTAAGTACTTAATTCATTCCGGAGGTCCGTACTTAACCTGAAACTGTTCTTAACCAGAAGCACCACTTTAGCTAATGGGGCCTCCTGCTGCTGCTGCGCCACCGGAGCACAATTTCTGTTCTCATCCTGAAGCAAAGTTCTTAACCTGAAGCACTATTTCTGGGTTAGCGGAGTCTGTAACCTGAAGCGTATGTAAACTGAAGCGTATGTAACCCGAGGTACCACTGCACTACACAAGTTATTCGTCTGCAGGTTATAAATAGCAACACGAAAGAAGAGAAATACAGGGCTGCATGCTTGTTTTTAAAGAAGAGAATTTGGAAATCTGGGAAAGCAGAGTTTAGAGAGATTGTAAACAGTTGAGTCCCCTATTTTATTTAGTGATATTTAACGCTCATAAATGTATATTGAGATGGGGTGGACAATGCGGTAGACAGGTCTATAGGCAAAATAAAATTATTTAGGGTGAAAAAAAATCCCAAAGTGTCTTGTGAAGAATGGGAAATAAATTACTCTCTCCATATGGCTTTTGGCAACAGCCTACCTAAGAAATTCAGTGTAAGTATGTGTGGAAAAAAGCAAGCTTTGGATCATAATGGAAAACTTACTGAAAGTGTCAGCTCTCAAGAGCCTCTGCCAGGAAATTCAGTTGCAGGAATCAGGGTGGGGTTGGGATAAAACATGTACTGTATCATATATACAGTCCTGCGTTTTGGCATAAAGTCTGGCTGTTTTCCTTCTACCTGTTTCCCGCCTAGCCTTTGGCTTGGAGCCAATTTGATTCCCTCCCTCTCTTTCTTTTTATTTGCCTTCTCCTCCTGTGAGGAGGCTACATTTTAATATTTTAATGTTTCAATATTTTAATGTTGTATTTTAATTTTGTTTTTAAGTTGTAATCATTCAACTTGTTTTATTATTGCTTGTAAGCGGCTCTGAGTCCAGCCTTGGCTGGGGAGGGCGGGGTATAAATAAAAATTATTATTATTATTATTATTATTATTATTATTACTACTACTACCTAAAAAGTAATATCAAGAATATAAGAACATAGCCATTGAGGCTAGTAGCCACTGATAGCTTTATCCTCCTGGGCAACCTGTAGAACAGGGATGCGGAACTACCACTGTATCACATTCATTCTTGCTGGGACTGATGGAGTCCCAACATTTAGAGGGCCAAAGGTTCACCATCCCTACTACAGAGCTGGGCATCCTGTAGAAAAGGGCAACTAAAACTAACTGCAGAGGGAAATTCACAGGTGGAAGATTTAAGACTGTGCTTTTGTAATTTAGAAAATCACTATGAGGGGAACTTGCTAGAGGTTTTTAAAATCATGACCACTGTTGAGAAAGTAAAGAGGAATAAAGCTTATTACTAGCATACAAGAGGATCATCCAACAGAATGTATTGGCAGTAGCGTGTTTATGCAGTGTATTATTGTAGAACTCATCGCTCCAAGGTTTTGTGATGTATACTGGTCTATATAGCTTTTATAAGTCTTTATGGACTTATTCATGGAGGATAGATCTACCAGTAGTGCTACAACTAAAAATCAAATGTCCATATATCAGAGGCTATATATCAGAGGATAACTGTTGCCATCATACCCTGTGAGCTTTTCAGCAGCATCTATCTGCCTGGCCACTCTTGAATAGTTCTTGTCTTTCAAGACAACTATTCTGTGTTGGAAGAGTGTATGCTGGAGTATTTCATAGCAATTTTTATTAAAAAGAAATATTGTCAGTTTGTTATGAGAGGAGAAACACGTTTCATAGAGACTTCGCAATAAAGAGGGACAACAATAAAACATAATAAATCAGGAAAGGGGAAAACCAGGACATAACAACAACAACAGCAACAACAACAAAAATCATAACAAATGTGAAACCTAACAGCCATTCTGGTTTCCTGGAGTGCACTACCTAATAGAGGCTAATCAATTTCTTTGCTAAGATAACATGGAATAACAGTGCAAAAAAGTTTTTAAAACCCATCACAAAAAGCACATCAATTAAAAACATGTATCTAGAGCTTTTCCTAAAAAATGCCTACAAGGGAAAAAAAAACAGAAACAGGCAAGGATAAGTCTAGACAAAAACCTCTCTCTCTGTTGGCAGTGGGGTGAAGCTGTGGGATGTGGGGCTCAGAAATAATAATAATAATAATTATTATTATTATTATTATTATTATTTATACCCCGCTGTGGCGTTTGCCCATTCGTTGGGGTTACGTTTATATTGGGGGAGAGAAAGAGTTAATAGGCTGACCAATAAGAAATCCTGGAGGCGGAGCCTACCTGATTTTAAGGCTCAGCCCAGAGGTTTTGACAGTTAGTTGGGTTGGTTCTTTTGGGAGGGGAGATAGAGGAGGCAGAGTGAGTTAGAGACAGGGACAAGACTGAGAGGGAATAGAGTGACAGCGTTTCAAATATATTTTTAAAAAATTTTGTGTTTGAAATAAACTTTAATCTTCGTTGTTAACTACCTAAGACTCAGTACTTCACTGGGGAGTCCTGGGATCTTCCCCACAAAATTGGTGGCAGCAGAAGAATAAAGTAGTGGTGTACAGATCAATAGTCTGTGAAACGACCGTCAAACCTCCCCATCTGGCTGGGTTTCCCCAGCCACTCGGGCCAGCTCCTAACAGAATACTAAAAACACGATCAAACATTAAAAACTTGCCTAAATGGGGCACAGATCTTGCTGCACCTTCAACTGAGCCTGCAAAGAAACTGGAAGCCCGTCATCAGATCTCCTGTCTCAGGGCTGGATTTAGGTTTGATGAGGTCCTAAGCTACTGAAGGCAATGGGGCCCTTTATACGTCCAGCTGTCCTTTGTCAACAACAAATTGTCGCTGTTTTCATGTTGAATATATGCTATATGGTAATTTATGGACCTAATAGGTATCTAAAGCCCTTTGCACATAACAAAATACAGTGGTACCTCGGGTTAAGAACTTAATTCGTTCCAGAGGTCCGTTCTTAACCTGAAACTGTTCTTAACCTGAGGTACCACTTTAACTAATGGGGCCTCCTGCTGTCGCCACGCGATTTCTGTTCTCATCCTGAAGCAAAGTTCTTATTCCAAGGTACTATTTCTGGGTTAGCAGAGTCAGTAACCTGAAGCGTCTGCAACCCGAGGTACCACTGTATGTATTTTATCAAAGTACATCCACTTTTTTCTTTTAAAAAAAATTTGGGGCCCCAAGAGAGTGGGGCCCTAAACTACAGCTTGTTTAGTTTATACGTATATCCAGCACTGTCCTGTCAGAGGAGCGGGTGGTATTTGAAAAGGTTGCCTTTCACACGGGGACAAGGGAGCCAGAAACTCAAAACTCTTTTCTTGCAAGGAAAGGAGATGCCAATCATCTTTGCTCTCCCTGCCTCTTTAAGAGCCTGGGGACTGATGCGCCTTGATTTGGCCCAGCCCTTCCTTCTCCTGAGCCATCTCCAGCAGCTTCAGCCTTTTTTTTGGCCCTGGGTTTCACTTTCTTTTCCTCTGGGCTTTGTAAGGGGCGCTTCTGCCGCGCGCCATGGCTTCTCCAGACTCGCAAAGGCTGGAGGAGAAGCTGACGTGCTGCATTTGCCTGGATACGTTTAACACCCCGGTGACGGTGCCCTGCGGGCACAGCTTCTGCGAGAAGTGCATCTGCGACCACTGGGACGGAGAGGAGGGCAAAGGGCCCGCCGCCGCGGGCTACACTTGCCCCTCGTGCCGCAAGAGCTTCCCGGAGAGGCCGGAGCTCAGCAAGACCGTCCTGCTCGACAGTCTGGTGGAGCTGCTCCACAAGCAGGAAGATGGCGGGCCGGCTTCCCGGACGGAGCAGGCGGCTGCTGCTCGGGAAAGGAAGTGCCCCAGGCACGGCCGGCCCTTGGAGCTGTACTGCCGGACGGAGAAGCGGGGCATCTGCTGCGTGTGCACGCTCAAGGAGTGCCAGCAGCACGGCAAGGCCCTCGCCGAGGACGAGCGGAAAGCCAAAGAAGTAAGCAGGGAGCGGGGCAGAAGCATTTCCGGAGCCGGCCACTTGGGGCCATGGCAACATAACATATACAGTGGTACCTCGGGTTAAGTACTTACCGGTAATTCGTTCCAGAGGTCCGTTCTTAACCTGAAACTGTTCTTAACCTGAGACATCACTTTAGCTAATGGGGCCTCCTGCTGCCGCCGCCGCGCCGCTGCCACACGATTTCTGTTCTCATCCTGAAGCAAAGTTCTTAACCCAAGGTACTATTTCTGGGTTAGCGGAGTCTGTAACCTGAAGCGTATGTAACCTGAGGTACCACTGTACGTACACAGTACAAACTCCTGTGATCTTGGGCATCTCTCTTTTTTTATATGCAGTGGTACCTCGGGTTACATACGCTTCAGGTTACAGACTCCACTAACCCAGAAATAGTGCTTCAGGTTAAGAACTTTGCTTCAGGATGAGAACAGAAAATGTGCTCCAGTGGCACGGCGGCAGCAGGAGGCCACATTAGCGAAAGTGGTGCTTCAGGTTAAGAACAGTTTCAGGTTAAGAATGGACCTCCAGAACGAATTAAGTACTTAACCCGAGGTACCACTGTACTATATATATACATTTTATTAGTTTTTTTAACATATCATTTTCAACAGTAATTAAACATACTTTTACATCTTATTCAAATTTTTGACTTTCGTCAATCCCGTCTGAAAATTTTCCAATCTAATCTCTCAGTATGCATTTCTTATCTTCCCTATTACATTTCAAACTCATAACCAATATCTCTATCTTTTTCTACTTTGTAACACTTTGTATATTTCTCCTTACAAACTTCTTGTAGTCCTACTAGCGTAATTTGTTGATTACAGTTGCTCTTCAAATGATTCATATACTTCTTCCAATCTTCTGTAAATCTCTGGTCCCACAGGTTTCGAATCCTTCCTGTCATTTTGTCCAATTCTGCATAGTCCATTAATTTTGTCTGCCGATCTTGGGCATCTCTCACTCTGCACGGGACCAGGCTGTTGATGGACGGGTGTCATGCTGGCCAAAGGAGCCTTCGGGCATCCCATTTTAAAATTAAGCATTCCCTCTGGTGCATTAGTTATTTGGGATTGTGGGACATGTCCCTGCACATTGTAGTTGTTGTGGTGCGCACCTTACTCTTAAAGGATTTATGTTTTGGGGGGCAGAACACTCACCTGTCATCATCCTCTGTCTCAGATTTGGAATGAAATGTCTCAACAACAGTTGTTTTAAATAATGATGATGATTAATTAATAATAATTTATTATTTATACCCCGCCCATATGTCCGAGTCTACTCAGCCACTCTGGGCGGCTCCCAACAGAATATTAAAAACATGATAAAGCATCAAACATTAAAAACTTCCCTAAACAGGGCTGCCTTCAGAAATTACTTTCTTTTGAAAAACCAGTCAAAATCCTTCTACAATTTCTACTTTTAGTTAAGTATTTTTATTTATTTACTCGATTTAACTGCCTCCCACCCCCGGCTATGCCCACTGGTGACGCAGAGACAGCCTAGGTTGTGTATATTGCTCTAATCTCAGCTTTGCTGCAGTGGATAAATTTTCACTTGCTGAATGTCTGCCTGATTGACTCACGACTCTTCTCAGATACCAAATGCTTTATAATAATGGGTTTGATGCAGTAAGGCCTTTATCTCCACTGTAGCCTAAGATTTAATTCATTCCATATGAAGGATGGCCGGACATTAACTCTTGGTGCTGCCACCAAGCTACATTTCCTCAACTTCTGTAGGAGAAGCCATGAAAGTTATAAAGCAGGTATCACTTGCCGTACAGTGGTACCTCATGTTAAGAACTTAATTCATTCTGGAGGTCTGTTCTTAACCTGAAACTGTTCTTAACCTGAGACATCACTTTAGCTAATGGGGCCTCCTGCTGCCGCTGCGCCGCTGCCACACGATTTCTGTTCTCATCCTGAAGCAAAGTTCTTAACCCAAGGTACTATTTCTGGGTTAGCGGAGTCTGTAACCTGAAGTGTCTGTAACCTAAAGTGTCTGTAACCCAAGGTACCACTGTATAGATATGAAACATTTTAAGGCTAGCTAGGGCATAACGACTTTGCTGTAACAATACCAAGCAAGAATCCTTTGCTTGAATATACACTGGAAGACATTGCTAGACCCAAATCATAGCCTATGGGCTTTCGTGTGGTGAGGCAGTTCAGCACTGCTCAATACAAACGTAACGGTTTGGATTAGTCTGGACATCATGGTCCTTTCTTACATCCTCAGTGAGTTACCACTTCCTATAACTTGGCTACCTTGATGCCTACACTGATTACCTTCAATCTAATAGGGTGTTATATTAACAGAACTCTGGAGTCTTTCCAAAGGGATGAATGAATCTTGGAGGATTCATCTGGGGAAATCTGCCGCCCGTCTTGGGAAGGTGAAATGCAGGGGCCGGGTGTGGCTAGGTGAGATTGAAGTGCTTGCCTGTTAAATTATTTTGAACTCTTTGGCAGGAGTCCGTAAGAGCAACCCTGGAGAAAACTCGAAAGGAGGCAGAGCCTATCAGAGAAGCAATTCAGAAACTGGAGCAGCGGATAGACAACATCAAGGTAAGGAATCCACAGAGAGCATCATAATGACAAAAGTGCCTCCCATGGGAAGTGCTTTCTCTCCATTGACCCCATTTGGTACCCATCATGGCTAAAACTCCAGTTACCGAATGAGCAAGTGGGCCTTCTGCATTTGTGTCCCTTTCCTAACAGCTCGGACCTGTAGTGAATTCTTTGTCAACCTGGTGCCCTCCAGATGTTCTGGATTACAACTCCCATCAGCCCCTGCTAGCCAGTCAAGGATCACAGTCTCTCTTTTTGCCTGCCTCCCAACATTTTATTTTCTTATTTCCATTAAGAGGGACACCTAGTACCCAACAGAATGCAGAGCAGCAAGGGAAATAGAGGCAGCTACAGTGGAAACAACTGTATTTTGTTGCCCTTCCTTTTTCATCCAGGGTTCCTCGGAGAAGTTAAAATCTGGAGTTGTGCAGAAGTTCGCTTCTCTTGTGGAAGCCTTGAAGGAATGCCAGAGGAAGACAGTGGAGAAGATTGAAAGAGAGCAAGATGCTGCGCTTGGCAAAATGCAAGAGAACTTGGACCAGCTGAAGCGCCAACTGGATGGGCTTACCCAGCGCAACGAGAAGGCAGAAGAGCTGCTCGCTTGTACTGATGATATGACGTTTCTGGAGGTATGTAATGTGTATACTGATGGCATTTGGGCCAGATCTTTATATCCCCACTCCCAGGGGACAGCTTTAATAGGTGGGTGGTCCTGTCAACTTGTTAAAGTTGGTTCATGGATGAGAGATAGTGACCATGAAGGACTGAACTCCAAGTAATTCAATCCTGCTTTCTGAAGGGATCGGCTGTGCCAGTGAGTTCTTACATAGCCAAACCAAGCAGGATTGAACTCCCCGCCCTTCAATCTCTATGTGCCCCACACCTATGGTTTGGGGAAATGTCCTGGAAGGCGAAACGGGGAGAACCGGTGGGCCAAATGTGGCCAGCAAGCCAGAGGCTCCCCACCCCTAAAATAAACCATAGCTTAGTATTACAGAGTGGGAGTTGCTGCCTGTTCTGCTCCCCATTCCTGGCAGCTGACAAGCTCTTAACTGGAAGGTATCTTGAATATCATAACTAAGCCTCTGAACCTTGGCAACCATTGGCATGCAGGAGTTCTGTGTTTATTTAATTCTTAACAGTGATATGCTTTGAATGCAAAGATAGTCCCAGACCCTCAGAAGTTCTTGAAGTGTGGAAGTCCTGCCATACACCAGTGTGGCTACAAATGCTTATCCTTAAAAGTTTACTGTGAAGTGGGGATTCCCCCCCCCCCCAGCATTGCACTGCATCGTAAGCTAAGAGAGCAGTGGTATGTTTCACACCATGTGTACAGCATGCAACTGAGATTAGAAAAGAGTGTAGGCTCTTTGACCTTTCTGTGGGACTCTTCATAATTATAAGCGCTTTTCTAGCCTTCTCAGCTAGGAGACAGAGAGAGGAGAAATAGGATTAGCTAGGCCTAATGGTCAGCAAGTTGAGACAATTGGAAAATAATTTGGCTGCCAACTCCAGAGCAGAGCTTAGAATGTGAATCACCCACCATGCCAGAGGGGGGAATGTCTGAAGTTGAACTGTCTGGGGGGGAATTCCATTGATGGGGCCCTCGGTCTTCAGAGAGACAGGCAAGTCATGCAGTGAGAGGGGCTTATTGTAGCAAAATGGCTTTGCCCAAATGGTTACTCACAGCAACATTTTATAGCCGCCAGCAGCAGCAGCAGGGAATTGTGTGGTTTTCTCATCAGAAGGCTGCTGTGCCATTGTCCTCCTTTCTATTCTGAAATTTTTTTACGAGCTGAACAGTCTCAGATTGGCAAGAATGCCCTGGCACACCACTGCCTTCCAATATATAATGAATACACTTGCTTTTACAGTGGTACCTCAGGTTAAGTACTTAATTCGTTCTGGAGGTCTGTTCTTAACCTGAAACTGTTCTTAACCTGAAGCACCACTTTAGCTAATGGGGCCTCCTGCTGGTGCTGCCGCCGCGCCGCCAGAACACGATTTCTGTTGTTATCCTGAAGCAAAGTTCTTAACCCAAGGTACTACTTCTGGGTTAGCGGAGTCTGTAACCTGAAGCGTATATAACCTGAAGCGTATGTAACCCGAGGTACCACTGTAGTTCGCTTTTATTTTAAACTGTTTTTCAACATAGTGCTCAAAGTGGCGTCACAAAAGGGACCCACCAACGTGCTCTTGGCACGTTTGGATTTCTGAGCAAGTGCTATGGGGACCACTAAGGCAGGCAAAGGAGGGGAAGAAGTGGGGAGGGGAGCATGTGTCCTGCTTTATAGCTACCTCTGCTTGAAGGGCTGGCTGGTCCAAGTCCAGTTTAGAGATAAGAAACCACAATGAAGGGAGAGGCAGGGGCTTGGAAGTTGCATCTGGACAGAAAACTGAGCAGGGACACAGGTCACGCTATTAAGGTCTTCCCAATTTATTTTTATTTCAATGAATTGCAATTTTGTCCAAATGTGCATATATTAACATATTTTATGCAAATTTGTGTTAGTTTGTTCCCTTCTTTGGCGATGCATTTCCTCCTGCTTGGCAATATGTAAGTGGCCACCGTAGAGTACCAAACTAAAGAATTCCAGGATCGACCCAGTTCACTTAAATAAGCTGAAGTTAAGCTCCATTCATGTACGTCAACAGTCAAACTTTGTGATTCCTACATTTCCTGTTCCTTGTAGGAACTGCATCATCTTCCTCCTCTTGGCAACTTAGAAGTTATTCCACCTGTTGAGTTTGATTTGGCCAGCAATGTGGATGCTGTCACTGAACTCTTCACTGAGGTTTCCAGGCTTTTGCAAGAGGCTCAGTCAAATTCCTTGAGTCCACCAATGACTGAAACAAAAGGTACCGTATTTTTCATCCTATAGGGCGCACCGGCCCATAGGACGCACCTCGTTTTTTTGGGGGGGGGGATGAAAAAAAGAATTTATTCCCCCCCCCCCGCCGCGGCTGCCGCCCCAAGCCTTGCGCACACCTGCCCGAAGCACGGGGAGCCCTCCGGAGGGCTCCCTGTGCTTTGGGTGACAGGCTGCCGCCCCAAGCCTCGCACACCCGGTGGGACCTCCTGCCGGGCGCGCAAGGCTTGCAGACACTCGCCCGAAGCACGGGGAGCCCTCCGGAGGGCTCCCCATACTTCGGGCGACAGGCTGCCACCCCAAGCCTCGCGCGCCCGGCGGGACCTCCTGCCGGGAGCGCAAGGCTTGCGGACACTCGCCGGGGCTGCAGGCTGCTGCCGGCAAGCCTTGTGAGCCCGCGGGAACTCCCACCGGGCTTGCAAGGCTTGCGGATAGCTTCCTGAAGCCTAGAGAGCGAGAGGGGTCGGTGCGCACCGATGCCTCTCGCTCTCCAGGCTTCAGCGAAAGCCTGCATTCGCCCCATAGGACGCACACACATTTCCCCTTCATTTTTGGAGGGGAAAAAGTGCGTCCTATGGGGCGAAAAATACGGTAATCATTCAGCTGTTTTATGGAGTGGTGAAAAATTCAAGATCACTTGTGGAAAGTCAGTTGGTCAGTTTTCTTTCTAATAAAGGTAGCTGGAGGTTTAAGTGCTACAGTAAAGTGGGGGAAAGTATTTATTTTGATAGATTTCCATATTGAAGAGGAATAGTAGGGCAATGACAGTGCTTAGTTTTCTGAAAGAAAGATTAGATTTGTACTGCCAGAATTACCCCAATTTTCTCTGTAGTCGTCCACAAAACTTTGACCTCCTCAGAGAGACTTTTTAAATCTTATAAAGTCCTTTGTTCCCAAATGTTTTCCTAGGAAAGTAGGATCCAGTTCAGATGTAATCATGACAAACCACAGTTTGTCATTACAAGGACAAGCTACAGCAAGCCTGAGGCTCATTTGCTTCCTCCTCCACTTCCCAGCCTTCTCTGACCATAAGAGGAGGAGATTAGAAGTGTCTGCTTCTAGTTGTAAAAAGTGCAGGAAATTGTGGTTTTGTTCTCAAATCAGGATTCAAAGCCATTCTTTGATTCTGTCTTCAGATCCTGGTTTGAGAACAAGCTGCAGTTGCGCAAACCGCAGTTTCCCACATTTGGATGAAAAGGCAAACTGAAGCTTGTTGCAAACTGAAATTCTGAACTGGGCCAGAACATGTGGCCTTTATCTGGATTTCACCTACTCATTTCAGCTCCTGACCTGGAGGCAACCCTTTATAATGGGCCTGGGCAAGGTGAGCAGCACGATACCAAGGAGGGCGGGGAGCAGAAGGGGGTGGCAGTGAGAGCACCCCATTCATCATTGGTTTGGGCCCACCATTGGCTCCAGCCCTGCCCACCAGTGGCATGCAGCCCCCCAACAGATTGCCCCCAAAGGAATCTTGCCCTCAAAGGAGAAAACCCTTCCTTTTGCACCTACATGACACCAAACAACTCATACACAGCAGTCCACAAGTGTGGTCTTTTGTGATGCATTAGGATGAGAATTGTAAAGCTTGTTGCACACAGAAAAGTGATTTTAGAAACTTTAATAATTTGATCATACATCAGAGAGTATTTATGCTTTGTCTTGTTTCAGACCATGAGAGATTATGCCTTGGGAGCACCTAAGTGTCTGGTTATTATGAAGAAAAATATAACACTGTGGGATGCCTTTAAGTACACTGCTTCTGCTTCTCCTTTTTAAAGAGAAATATTTTAAAATATATCCAAAGGCCAGCTTTGAACCTTGCTGCCTGTGTATCTTGTGCTCACCCCTCCCGAAAAGGCTCCCCCAACCCACTGCCGAGTCTTGACTTGTCTACCATTTTGAAATCGTTGTTTTTAAGGCAAATGAGTTTCCTTCCTGCTTTTAAGTTTTCCTTGCTTATCTCTCACTCTACAGTCTCACCGGAGCCAAAGGTAATCGTGAGAAGGGCTGGACCGTGCCTTCCAGACAATGAGTTAAGAATGTCTTTTTTGAAAGGTAAGTGACTTTCTGGGCTGCACGCAGTTACTTAAAAAAAGGAAGTAGGGTCACAAGTGCATAAATATATTCAGAGCTGCTTCCTTTGGGTCCTCTGTCAGAATCATAAATTTATTTCTTTGTGTGTGCGTGTTCTGTTGGTTATAATAATATTCCTGGTGGTGGTTGACCTGGGGCGGGTGAGGAATTCTCGCATAAACAAGTCTATTCATATGAACAGCATAGCATGGAAGTTGCAAAGTCACACAAGAATGTAGCTCCTCTTCCCTTCCACTTATGGGGTGGAATTCAAACTAGCGCTGAGGAGATCACTTGTCAGTGCAAGCATTTTTGCTTGCCTGTTGGAATGATTTCTCCTCTCCTGTGCACTGTTGTGGGGGTTCTCCTACCCTTACCCCGAGCTGATTGAGGAGGGCACACAGCGCTAGTGGGGCTCAATGTGCTGGCTCCCACTACAGCACCTATAAAGTTTAAGGCAGTCCATGATTTTTGTTTTTCATGCAAAGGAATCAATGTTGCAAGAGTTTGCTGCTCCCACATTACACTGCTCATGCAAGTAAGCATTGCCCACATCAGTAGTCCTTTAAAAAAAGAAGAAGCATAAGTTGGCCCTGGTGTGCCTTCAGATCCAGGAGTTCAAAAAGCTTCGCAAAACTGTGGAGCCATATTGGAAGCAGCCAATGGAGACCTATAAGTTCTGCATTTTATTCTCACTGTCTCCCACACACCTGTGGAGGAGGCGGTGACCAAGTTCCCCAACTCTGCTTTTGGGGGCAGCTGGGTTCCCTGTTAAGATTTCTAGGATCCTCCTTGTTCAAGAGAAGCTTCTTGCACTTAGATTAGCAGGAAACCAGGAAGCTATGGAGCAGATGTTCACTTTAATCACAAAGAACACAATTTATCTCTGAAACTAATACAGTGGTACCTCAGGATGCAAATGGGATCCGTTCCGGAGCCCCATTCGCATCCTGAAGTGAATGCAACCCGCGACTATGCATCTGTGTGTGCACGGGTCGCGATTCGCCGCTTCCGCGCATGCTCGTGACATCATTTTGAGCGTCTGCACATGCGCGAGCGGTGAAACCTGGAAGTAACACGCTCTGTTACTTCTGGGTCGCCGCGGAGCGCAACCCAAAAAGGCTTAACCTGAAGGGACTTAACCCGAGGTATGACTGTAAATGGAACAGCTCCTGTTTTCTGACACGGGTGGAACATGGATCAAAGAGAAAGCACTTAGGACTAGTAACTACCGCAAACAGTTAGTAACTCCTTTCAGAAATCTGTGGACCAGAGCCAATGGACAAGGTACAAGCTTTTGTATATACTTGCACATAATGCCTGTGTACTTTCCCTGCCCAGGCTTCTGGTTTGCATCCCTGAGGGAAATAATTATTCCATTAACCTTATTTAGGCAGAAGGCTGATCAAAGGGAATCTTGCATTGCTGACAACAACTGACACCCCTCATAGGCACCCTGGCAATGAGCAGGGATTTCTCATAGGCCATTGTGAGCAAAAAGTGATGTTTAAATAAAGCAGAGCCTGCCATCCTAGAGATCTTGCTCCAAACAAAATGGAAGGCACCCACTTCCCTTGGCTTTTATTTGACGCCTCTAAAGCCAACTTCCACTCTCAAGTGCACACTGATACTTTCTCCTTGCTGCTTTGGTTAAATGCCCTGCAATACTAAAAAGTTGGTATTTTGTTCTTAGAACAGAGTTGACAATAGATTAGCTCTGATAGGAGAGAACAACAGAAGAAATTGCCAAAATGCCACTTCAGTAAAGCCGTGGCATGCCTGATATTAGGGATGGGGGGGGAGAGACTTCCGGATCAGCGCCATCGGTGAATGGCGGAGTTCCTCCATCTGGAGGAACGGGCTCCGTGGAAACTGGGTCTTCCTGCCGCGGCGAAGGTGGGGACCCGCTAGAAATCTCAGGCGGAGGAAGCCTGGGAACGTGGGGTTCGGCAGGGCACCAGGAGCGCTCCCCTACTCACAGGGAATCCCATTTAGTGGCTCCGGAGCGAAGTGGGGTGAGAACTGACTGCTACTTTCACGGAGTGAAGCCGCACAGCCATTGCCGGAGAGCACTGACTTTTTCCTGTGGACAATTGGATTTAAAACAAGTACCCGTGAGTAGAAATGGAAAATTGGATCAAGAAATCTCTTAATTTGGTAATGAAGCGGGAAGGTTCAAAACAGGAAGTCTGCCTTCTGCTTTTTGTATATAGACTAAAGCAAAAACTTTGTAAGCTAAAGCCTGGAAAGCTGTCAAAAAAGTCTAAATTTTCTTCATTTAGAATCACTGAAACCCCCTTGGAAGCAGGAGAAAAGGGGGAAACTTTGTTCAACCCTAGCAGGAGAGGGAGTGAAGAAGGATAAGTTTCCACCGTCTCTAACTTGGGAACGGGGTGTCAGAGACAGAAATTGTTGGAGAGGTTCATTGACTGTGAATGGGATATTTTGACAGATAGCTAAAGAAGAGAAACAAGCTGATTCCAATGTTGCCTTTTGCATCCTAAAGAAACAAAATATCTGAAAAATATCTGAGAAACGAAAGTAATTTTCCTTTGTTGGACTTTCCTAAAAAAATATGGATACAAATAGAAATTGCCTCCTCTAGAGGGAGCTTGTCAAATTGTTGCTACAGTACACTTGAGGGCTCAACAGATGTGAGATTAAGACCGTGGGAACAGGCTTTTCTGACCTTGACTAAAGATGAGTTGGAAAGAAGACTGGGTGCTTGCCTTATGTAAGACAAGTGCCCTGCTGGAACAGATGCATGAGAAGATGGACTTGATGAATGAGAAAATGGATTTGACTGTTGCAGTTAATAACTCTGGGCAAACAGGGAATATTGATACAGAAATTATCCAGGGACCAACTCATGAATCTGTACTGACTGGGCATGTGCAGAAGATAATGGAGGAGGAAGCGGTCGCACCCCAAATAATACAAATGGAGAGTCCCGAGGCCCTACAGGAGTATGAGCCGCTGTCATTGAAGATTGAAGTTGGAGTGGGCCAGGGGGAGTCTGGAGTTGAGGAGGTTCCCAACGTTGGAGAGACCTTGGAATATGCTTTTAAATACTTTTTGGACTATATTGAGGATTGTGGGGAGTGGGACTGTGGGGAATGGGCAGGTTTGATGAAGGGAGATGGAGACAATTCTGGCTTGGAACCCCCCAGAGGCCTACCCCTCAATGAGAAAGGAAAGAAATTAAGAAAGAGACCAACAAAAGACAAGGAAAAAGGCAAGTATAAACAAGAAGAAGAAGAACTGCAGAAGGGACATGGAAGAGACTTAAGGGCCTCGGACATAAGGCTTCCAGGTTGATGGACTAGATGGAATGGACAGTAAGGACTGACACGATCTGAGACCAGGAAGAAGGGACGTTGGATGAAGATTGGAAGAAAATTTATAAAGAAAATTTTCTAATTGGGGAATTGGCTAAAAATTAATGAATGTTAGGGAAAATGTTGGAATGAAACTATATGACTTTAGCAGAAATGATATCAGGAGTAATGTATATTTGATAACTAAGATTCAAGCTTTAAGGTGTTTTAGGGTAAGATAAGGTTAAATTAATTAAGGTAATGTGAATAATAGAATATGAGGAAAGATGGAAAGGATTTGTTGAGTTAATTATTAGATTAAATTAGGTTAGGATGAATTTTTTAACAAAAATTGAGAAAGATGGAAAGAATTTGCTGAAATAGATAATTAAACTAGAATACAAAAAGGGAGGTGTGAGGAAGTCAATGAAACAAGCAAATGGAAGTTTTAGATATGTAAGTTGGGATTTGTGTTGGTTTTCTTTTTTCTTTTTATCTTTTTGTTGTATTGTTGTATTGGTTTTTGTGTTTTTTCTTTTCTTTTTGTCTATTATAGTGTTGTTTTTTAATGGTTTTTTAATGTTTTTCTTCTTATAATTCTGAAAACTATTAATAAATATTATTTTTTTTTAAAAAAGATATTAGGGATGGGGGACCTTTTTCTCTAACTGAAGAGGAATTAGCCAGTTAAAAATAGGTTAAAGACACTTGGGTGTTTTTTCTCCCACCTGACTTTGATACCTTTGTCACTCCTGCAGATCAGCAGAATTTGACCTTTGATCCAACTACAGCTAACCAATACATGCAGTTGTCCGATGAGAACCGGAAATGCCATCACTCTCAACGTATTCCGGGGTCAAGGCCAAAAGACCCACAGAGGTTTGAGCCGTGGCAAGTCATGTGTGCCCAGAACTTCAGCCAGGGCAGCTGCTACTGGGAAGTCAAGTTATCTGGCCACTCTGTCATCATTGGCGTGGCTTATGGAAGGTTCCCCAGGAAGAAGCGGGCTGGCCGCACATTCACCATTGGGCTGGATAAACTCTCCTGGGGCCTGCACGTCCAGGAAGACTGCTATATGGCTTGGCACAATGCCGAGTGCATTAAGATAAAAAAGCACGTGTGCAAATTCATTGGAGTGTGGTTGGATTGCAACCAGGGAGTGCTATCCTTTTATGGCGTGGATGACAACATGACACTTCTCCACACTTTCAACACGATCTTCACAGAGCCCCTTTTCCCAATCTTCTGGCTTTGTGAAGGCATAGCTGTGACCCTCTGCCAAAAGCCACAGGGCAAAGTTCGAACTGATGGGGTGCCTCCTGTCTTGCAAGCAGCTGCTGCTGCTGCTGCCACCAGCACAGTGAACGAACTGCCAGCTGAGGAGATGGCTCTGAAACAAGGAGAGCAACTCTCCTGAGATCTCAAGGTACTTTGTACTCATCTTCCCCAGGGAGATGCAAGTCCCCATTTCTCATCTCAAGGTGGGACAAGTGTGCAAGAGGGATTAAAATTTGGGGAAGATGATTAGGGCACTGAACTCCGACTGTCCTGGCCACTCATTGCTTAGTGTGCTGTGCATCCTGGTGAAGAATGCGGCTTTCTGACAATCTCATCTTATTAAAAGCTAAGCAGGAAATGAAGAGGAAAAGGAAAACAGAGTAAACAAAGTTTGTCATATTTCAGCCTACTTAAGCAATTATTAGGGGGCAGGGGGAATGACTGGAGGTAGACAGAACTAAATTGGTTTTTTAAAAAAAGTAATTAAAAAATTTTTAAATGGCACAGTAGGGACTGATAACTTCACCTTGGGACATATTAATTTTCAGAGTCGGCTTACCTCGAAACATTAAATTCTCCACTACGTATGTACTGCGTATGTGTAGCTTTTCATACAAGGAAACTGAACTCTTTGGTTCAGAGAGGTTGCACTATTTTATGGTGTGAGTTTAAATTATGATGGAAGGAGTTCTATTTTACTTCTCTGTGCAGGCTCAACATGTCATAACTGCTCATGTGTTTGTTGCCACTTTCTCATCAGCAGATTATGGTGGGAATGAAAACTTGCCAAGTTGGTTCCTGTTTTATTGTTCAGCTTTTAAAAAAAGTTTTATTGAGAAATAAAGCTTTCTAAGCAAAAAGTAAAAATAAGCTTACTAAATAAATTTCTTTTATTAGAATTCCCTGTTCTAGCTGTGAGCTAGAAAATTGTCATAGCCCCAGCGTAGAGTATCCAAGAAACAAAACTGATCTGGTTCTTAGTAAGGTGACCTTAAGCTCACAATTGCCAGGGACTGGGTATCCTACACTACTGAACCTCTTGGTCTTGCTGATCAAAAGGTTGGTGGTTCGAATCCCTGCGATGGGGTGAGCTCCCATTCCTCTGTCCCAGCTCCTGCCAACCTAGCAGTTCGAAAGCATGCCAGTGCAAGTAAAATAGGTACCACTGCGGCGGGAAGGTAAACGGCGTTTCCATGCGCTCTGGTTCCGTCATGGTGTCCCATTGCACCAGAAGCGGTTTAGTCATGTTGGCCACATGACCCGGAAAACTCTGGACAAACACCGGCTCCCTTGCCCTGAATCGAGATGAGCGCTGCAACGCCATAATCGCCTTTGACTGGACTTAACCGTCCAGGGATCCTTTACCTTACACTTTCAGTGACCCCTATTTTTTATTTTGTTTTGTGTATCGATTAATTCCCTCAAGTCCAAGAGCTTTTCTCATCGTTCCACAGCTTGGAAAAAAGCACCATCTTACTCGCTGAATTGAAGGTTTGGTTAAACAAAATCTCTTCGGATTTCCTGTGCATCTGATAAAATCTGATTCGGTGGATAAAATCAGAGGCGTATGGCTACTGGGCTTCAAAGTTCCACAGTGACAGATAGCCATTGATAGACCTATCATCCCTGAATTTGTGTTTTCCAAACTGTTACTGGCCATCACTGTTCATTCTCTGAAATAAGGACGGAAGAACAGCCTGCTGGGCCAGGCTAATGGCTCATCTGGTCCAGCAACCTGTTCTCACAGTGGCCAATCAGAAGCCTGAGGCAAGAACACAAGCAGGACTTGAGTGTAACAATGCCCACCTGTGATTCCCAGAAATTGGTATTTGGAAGTATGCTGCCTCTGACAGCAGATGCGGAACACAGTACTTCCCTTTCATTAGTTGCCCTCAATTTCTAATATCGGGGGAGGGGAGGGTTATCTTTCCACCCACCTCTATCTCGCTCATCCTATTAATATATAAGTCAATATCATGCCCCTTCTTTGTTGCCTTTTGTCCAAATTAGGGAAGGTGCACTACTAGCTCCCCCCCCTTTCATGCCAATGAATTTTTGGAGAACGGTGGGCAGAACTATGCACTGTATCCTAAAAGCAGTTATGCTATTGATTTAAATAAGAGAATGTTGATACCGGCCATTTTACTTCCAATTCCATTCCAAACAATCTGAACACTGAATTTGCTAGGTGCGCCCTCTCTAATCTATGTGTGTTTCTGTCCCTTTCCCTGACCCTATCCTAGGCAAACAAAATTGTATCTGTCTAGGCCACAGCACCTATTTATCGTTGAAAATCTGCTCAGTCTCCAAGTTAGCAAACATGTGAAAGCAAGCACATATGAAAGGATGGTATTCCCTATGATAGCTGCAGTGCTTACTTCTGAGTAAACATGTTTAGGCTCAACTTGTATGGGAGATTCATAATTCCGAGCGCCTCCCCGCCCCCATCAAGAAATTCATTCCTGATTACCAGAGGAAATTAAAACGAACTAAAAAATTGCAGGGCAATAATCACACCCCCACCCCCACCGCTGTATTTGTGAACATGATCTTTAGAGCGTGCCGGCTAGGAGAGATCTATCTCCGAGATCTAGTGATTCTGTCACAACTCATATAAGGCTGCCTGCAAGCCTAAGGAAGCTATAAAGTTTAGAGCGTAAACCTCGTTCATTAAACTCGTTTACTTCAGAGAAAGCACGCTTAGTATCGTGCATCACTTCTAGGACATCATAAATCCGACAGCGGGAACCTGTGGCTCTCCAGGCGTTGTTGAACTAGTACAACTCTGACCATTGGCCATGCTGCCTGGAGTTTGGAAGTCCAACAACACCTGGCGGACCATAAACTCCCCCCCCGCCATTAACAATGTAGTTACACGAGTCTTAAAAGGGCCACAGCATCCCACCACAATTAGCTGTATGCCCCCTTTATGTTCCGGGGTCGGGGTCAGAGTTCCCTCGACAGGCTGATATCCTCATTTTCGGAGAGGACACTTAATTAATGAAAGATTTGTCTTATCCAACTTCGTTCCTCGCTCTTCCCCAAATACGCAACAAGGAGCATTCACACGATCGTCTGCTCCTGACATTCACACCAGGACAAAAAGAAAAAGAAAGAAGAAAAGCCTTTATTAATGTGACTCCCTGCCGGCGCGCCGAAGGAAGAACTGGGGCCAAGCCCCTGTCCTTTCTTGGTGGGATTTCGGCGTGCTTGGATGAAGGGGCGGGTTCACCTCCTCCTCCGCTTCGCACCTTTGTGGGAGCGGCGAAGGGGCCGCGCCTCCAGGAGGAACGCGAACGCGCACGCTGCCCCCTTAAACGGGAGGCTGGACTCGGCAATCTCCGCTGTGGGGCTGGCCGGAGCTGCCCGTCGGTGACACGCGTTCCCGGTGGGCGGAGTTGGCTCTCCCGCGCCCTGGATGTGGGAAAGGGAGCAGCCCAGGCGCGCTCTCTTCGCCTCCTTCTCGGTGGAGTCGAGCAGCATGGATGCGGGCTCCGGCCCCATCAGCCCAGTCTCCCATCTCCAGGAAGGCCCTTTCAGCTGCCCCATCTGCCTCGACGCCCTCAAGGACCCGGTCACCACCCCTTGCGGCCACAACTTCTGCCTGAGCTGCCTCGGCGCGCACAGGCACCACCCGGGGACCGTCGCGGCGGGAAGCGGCGCGCCAAGCAGCTCCCGCTGCCCGCTCTGCCAGGAGCCTTTCCCGGCCGACCTCCAGCTCCGGAAGAACCACACCCTGGCCGAGCTGCTGCAGCTCCGGCAACCCGCCCCGAGCAGCCCGGGGCTGGCCATGGCCCCCGACAAGCCGCCGGAGCCGTGCGTGCCTGGCGACTCTTGCGCGCCGTCGGAGGACGCGCCGCCCGAAGAGGTGCTGTGCGACTTCTGCACCGACGGCGAGCGCGCCCAGGCGGCGCAGTCGTGCCTGGTGTGCCTGGCGTCCTTCTGCTCGCCGCACCTGCAGCCTCATCTCAAAAGCCCCGCTTTCCAAGGCCACCGGCTGGTGCCGCCCTTGCGGCACATCGAGGAAAGCCTCTGCAAGCTGCACCTCAAGCCCCTGGAGAGCTTCTGCCGGACGGACCGGAGCTGCATCTGCCAGCTGTGCCGGGCCCAAGAGCACCGGGGCCATGAAGTGGTGGCGGTGGAGGTGGAGCGGGAGCACGTGGAGGTGGGTAGCACGCTCGTCCGGCCGTCCAGGCACAAAGGGGGTCCTTTGTGCAGCCTCGCTCCAGGGACGGGGAAGGCGGGGACGCTCCCCTACCCTAGGCTGCAGTGCGCGGGGATTCCTGCAAGCTTCGCTCACCAGTTCCAGCCTGGGAATAACTGGAAGAGGGGAGGGTGGGTGGGTGTGGGCCACTGCTGCTGTTCCTCGACGTGCTAAATTTAGGAGCATCGCTAGGGACGGGTTGGGAGAAGCTGCCTGAGGCCGCTGCAAAGTGGCTGGCTAGCAGGTCCCTCTTGGCTGGGACAGCATAAATAAAAAATTGTCCAGTAGCACCTTAGAGAAGTGTGTATCTGAAGAAGTGTGCATGCACATGAAAGCTTATACCCAGAATAAACTTAGTTTGTCTCTAAGGTGCTCCTGGACAATTTTTTATTTATTTCGACTTCGTCAGACCAACACGGCTACCTACCTGAATCTAGAAGGATGGGACAGCAGTTTGTCAGGTGCCCCAAGTTATCTGAAAAACAGGCACCCTATTTCCTAAGAGTTGGCACAAGGGTCTGTGTCTGCTCAGAAACACATTCCTGGAACTTACTTTCTTTGAAGGAGTGTGAGCTTGTTGAAAGACCCTTCCCTGTAAGCTTTCAGATTTTGAAGCAGTGTGTAGTTACTCTCTGGGGTTAGGAAGGCAGAGCAGTGCTGTCAGTGCAGGACTTGGGGGCAATGGTTTAGGGTCCAACTCAACAGAGTAAGTAGGAGATCCCCACCACCACCAAACACAAAAGGGCTGCCTTACTACAATTTGGAGTAAGTTAAATAAGACACACAACTGTCTGCAAAGGAGATACATTAACAGTAGAGTGGGAGAGCATGTTAGAGTGTTGGATATGGGAGACCAGGGTTCAGATCCTCACTCAGCCAGGACGCACACTCAGTGAACTGCTTGGACCAGTCACTGCCTCTCAGGGTGCCGTAGCTTTGTGGAAGTGTGCAAATATTGTAGGCAGGGGCTTAACCCTTGGCATCTCCAGGGAAAAGAATAACAAGTAGCTCAGCTGAGGAACAACTCCTGCCCTGAGATGCTGAGCAGCTGGTGCCAGTAGATAGCACAGGGTCAGATGGACCAGAAGACTGACTCAGTAGAAGGCAACTAAGCTGGCCCTACCATTAGGCTGAGTGGGGCAGCTGCCTTGGGCAGCTGATTTTTGTCAACATATTGTTACATTTGAGGTTATTATTGCTGCTATTGTATTTCTACTTGTGGGAGTTCTTGCCTCAGGTACCAAAATAATGTGGCCAGCTCTTGGTTACTACTTATCTTGTGACTCTGGGAGAGGGAGGGTTGCTGTTCTGCCATGGGCAGCAGAACATCTCTGGGCAGCCATATAATCTTATGTTCATATGAGTGGAACGGCAGAGGTTATGGAACAATATTAAGGCTTATTGGGAAATTGGTTCAGAAAGGGAAAGAGCAGGGCGAGATGCGCTGGAAAAGTTATCTGTAGAGCTAGCTTGGCAGGGAACGGAGCGATCCTTGTGGAGGAGGAGGAGACCTGGGTTGAAGTGGCACAGCCATATCTGGGGAATCCTTGGAATGGCATTGCTCAGGAATCTGTAAGGCTAGGTTGTTGATCTGGAAGAGGGTGTGGGTAACTGGAGTATATGTTCTATGGACATTGTGTTTTAGGATGGTTTCAGGTATACATGACATGTTTTAAGCTCAGGTTTCTGACTTCATTATGTCTCCCCTGGCATGGCTGTAAGTGCAAGAAGCATTGGAACAAATTTTTGCGCAGTGAATCCCAAAGTGATGGCAACTTGGACAGGAAGCTTTTAGGTTGTAGCAGTCAAGACAGAGTTGGAAGGCTGATGACTTGATCAGATGTTGGCTGTGCAGACAGAGAACACTGCAAATGAACAGGGTGGAGTGCAGCATACTGTGGTGTTAGCCCTGATCCAAAGTTGGTAGCTGGACACCTCTGCCAGTATAATGATTGACAGGGGAGCTGTGCTTTAGGGCAGGGATGGGGAACCTGTGACATTCCAGATGTCATTCAAACTCCCATCATTCCTGAGCACTGGCCATGCTCACTGTGGTCGATGGGAGTTGGAGTCAAACAACATCTGGTGGACCACAGATTCCCCAAACCTGTTAGAGGGTGACAGAGCTAGCTTTGTTCTTCCTAACTGCGGCCATGCTGATAAATGAACTGGTTTGATTGACTAGACCAGTTTTTGATCTAGTCAATTTTTCCAGCAGAAACTTTGCACTTTAAAAGTTTGGAAAGGCGTTTGCGACTGCAATCCTTCACATTGAGGAAGGGAAACCTTTTTCAGTCAAAGGTGACGCAATCAATGCCTTTTGGGCATCCTTGGGGGGGGCAGGGCCAGAGGCAAAATAAGCATAGCAGTAAATGGGAACTTTGCACGCTGCCACATTCCCCCTGTTCTTTGTCTAGGCAAGCACAAATCAGAATCTGAGTTAGAGGAATTGCCTTCCATCCAGGCAAAAACACTTCAGGAGAGTGCAAAGCTGTCAGTGGGGTGTGTGTCTCGGGAGGGGGAGATAGGGCCAGATAGAAAGGACAACATATGAGCCCCCAGCCTGAGGTTCTCCATCATTGTTACCTGGAAGGAGTCCCACTGAATTCAATTGCACTTACTTTGCTTCGGGCATAAATAGAATTGCATTGTAAGAGTGCATATGTAGATGTGCTGCACCTGCTTCTTAACCTGCTTCAAAACCGATTCATAATGGAAAGGGGACTAACCAACATAGCAACCATCCGACAGCATCTAGGACAGTCGCATCCATTGCCGCACTTCAGATTGTGCAGCTGGAAGTTCTGTAATTTTCCATGGAGCTGCAAATCCCCAAATGCTGATATATCATGTGAGGTACATGCATGTGTGAACTCAGCTCCTCTGAAGCTATGCAATATTCTGCAACCAGTCTTTTGGGGCTTGTGGGGATGGGCTTTGCCAAGAGCTACCAAGAAAGACAGGTGAAATCTGCGTGCAGCCAGGACCCAGAGAGGAGAGCATTGGGAAGGGATTTGGGGAGCTGGCTGTTGTCATGGTTAAGTGCTTAGAGCCCGAGAATCTAGAAGGGGTTGTGAGGTAGGGATTGTAGATAATTGATCAGGGAAGAACATTTCCTATTAAAATTGCAATGTTCTGAAATTTCTAGACCATAGAGGTTTTTATTTAATTGGGCTTTCCTAATCCCAGTTATTTGGGAGTAAGCCATACTGAGTTCAGCAGGGCTTACTTCAGAGTCGACGTAGTTAGGAGTGCAGCCTTAGAGTTGTCTAGAGGTCTGGAAGAAGGTGTCTGGATTTCTGATTTTATGGGTGGGGTACAGTCACACACCCACATCTCTGCTTCTGGGGCTGTTCTGTGCTCAGCCAACGCCTAGAGAGCTTTCCAGTGAAAGCGGGTGGGGTAGGGGGCCTGTGTTTCCCAAACCCTCAATGAAATGTTCCTAATGCAAAGACAAACATTTAGCTGAACTTCAGCCTGGCCTGCCAGATTACACACATGCAAACAATTTGTTGCTTTTGGGTTTGGGGAGGAGGCTAAAACAAAAGTTGTGTGGGAGGAGGGTGTGATTAATTCTGTGTGCCTGTTAACTGGGCCCAACCAGTTTCTGTTCTGACAGCCTTTGGCTGCTGTGCAGTTGCACCAGGGACTCATTTCTTCCCCTTGCCTCTCTTTCCCACAGTGGCTCAGACCGGCTTCTTTATTTCACTTGGCTCGTCTCCCAGGTTCCGCTCCTTGCTCCGTTAGCCCTTTGTGTTGCGTTGAGACGGGGCATTTTTTCCATCGCTCCCCTTCCCAATTGACGCTGACTCATCTCCTAGATTTTCACTTGCTAGTTTTTAATTGAGCTGTCAGTTTCGGTTTAGCTCATCCTAAAGCACCAAGTTAGTTGGGAAACCCCATCTCTGTGTTCTCTTTGGGAGAGATGGCTAAACTTGGAAAGATTTGCTGCAAGCAGTACTTTACAACTCCCTAAAACAACTTCGTTTCAAGGTTATTATTCTTAAGTGGAGCATTTAAGGGCGGAGGACACTTCCGCAAATGAGAATCCTCAAGGGACCACACAGAGCAGGCAAGTTCCCATTGCATCGCAACACCATTTTTTCTCTAGTCACAAGGCCGATTGAGATGTCCTGTACCTAGTGAAGTGAGGGGAGAATATTATCCAGAAAATATTCTCGAGAATATTCTCCAAAAGATTATTCTCAAGAATTTAACATCACTACTCGTACCCCGAGGGATGTGGGTGGCGCTGTGGGTTAAACCACAGAGCCTAGGGCTTGCCAGTCGGAAGGTTGGCTGTTCGAATCCCCGCGATGGGGTGAGCTCCTGTTGCTTGGGCCCTGCTCCTGCCAACCTAGCAGTTCGAAAGCACGTCAAAGGTACCACTCCGGCAGGAAGACAAACGGCGTTTCCGTGCACTGCTCTGGTTCGCCAGAAGCGGCTTAGTCATGCTGGCCACACTGGCTGTACACTGGCTCCCTTGGCCAATAAAGCAAGATGAGCGCCACAACCCCAGAGTCGTCCATGACTGGACCTAATGGTCAGGGGTCCCTTTACCTTTACTCATCCCCCAGGATGCCCAGGAAAATATTTTCCTCAGTGTTCACACTACTCTTGCGACCCATTACATTAAGCTGGAAATGGGGAACCTTGTACCCCTCATGTTCTTGGACTCCCAACCCCCACCAGCCACAGCCAAAAATGATGAGAGTTGTAGTCCAGTAGCATTTGGAGGTCTATGTCTTCCTGATCTCTGAAGGGAGTACATAAACGTTAAAAGCACTGGCTGTTGTTAACATGCTTTGAGCCAGCAATTGGGAGCCTCAGGCCTGGAGGTTGAATGGGGCCCCTCAAACCTCTTTGTCTGGCCCTCAGGACTCTCTTCAAGCCACAGCCCCTCCCTGTTCAGCCTGGCTGGAATGGGTCCTTGAACTCTGATAATGCCTCTTGCTTGCCTGGATTGAGGAGCAGAAGAGAAAGAGGCGCACAAAGCTAAAATTCATATTTATTCCTCTTCCTACTTTGGCATCTGACAAGGCTTACCATCAGCATGTGACTCCTGAAAGGTCGCCCAGAGGGGAGATGTAGCCCTCTGGGTGTAATGCCATGTAATGTACCAGAACTGATGCTATGATCACACCCAAAAAGGCCTTCTTGGAGAATGTTGCTTTCTGTTCATTAGTGTGGGAAGGACTCTGATACTGTAGTCTGTTCCAGTACCTCTGGCATGTAGCATAAGCTCCACAAAAGGGATTGAAGCTACAGCAGCCACAGGCAGGACAGCTGTGGCTTTCAAAGTATAGGTGCAAACTCCCTAAATGGGCACCAGGTGTTCACTTTTAGAACATGGATGGGGAAGCAGTGGCTGTTCATTGTACTACAGCTCCCATCATCCCTGACCACTGGGCATGCTGGCTAGGGGTTGGTGGGAGTTGGAATCTCACAGCAGGTGGAGGAGCACCACTTCCACATTGCTGTCGTAGAGGCACAGAAGTGGGGTGTACAGTGGTACCTAAGGTTAAGAACTCAATTCGTTCTGGAGGTCCGTTCTTGACCTGAAACTCTTCTTAACCTGAGGTACCACTTTAGCTAATGGGGCCTCCTGCTATCACCACTGCACGATTTCTGTTCTCATCCTGAAGCAAAGTTCTTAAGCCGAGGTGCTATTTCTGGGTTAGCGGAGTCTGTAACCTGAGGCATCTATAACCCGAGGTTCCACTGTATAGGGACAGTCTCTAAAGCATATATCACGTCATGGGAAGGAGCCTCATAGCATGGTAACAATGGAGGAATCAAGTTAATCAGGACAGAGTTTATTGAAGGGGTTGAAAAGGCCATCTGATATATTGCCTATAAACTTGGAGCAAAACATTTTAGAAATGGTCCCAGTGGCAGCTGGGACCTATTGGGAGCCCAGCAGTAGATAGAGCCAATGATTGGCAGAGCCAACTAAGTCTAGATTTGTCCCCATCCTCTTCCCTGCTGAGGTGGACAAGGGCAACACTGTGAGACCAAGGAGGAGGAAGCTGGCAAGTCGTGTTGCCCCCTGAACTGGCTGTAAGTAAGAAGGATGCAGGCAGATGGGCCTGGCAGAGAGCAGGCTGAGGGTGGTGGGCAGTTCTCCTTTCCCCTAATGGACTAGCCTCCACTGGACAGTCCCATAGTTCAGTGGGGGTAGCACCCTCTTTGAGTACAAAAGGTCTCTGGTTCAGTCTTCGGCAGTATTTCCAGCTGAAAGGCATTCCCGGGTAGCAGGGCCAGGAAAAACTTTGGCACAAGATCCCAGAGAACGGCTGCCAATCAGGATAGCCACTACTAGGCTTGAAGGACCAATTGTCTGGAGCTGGTATGAAGTCAGAATTCCAAGCAGTGAAGTTCTCTCCTGCTGCCAGACAACCATAAATTGACCCCAGTTCTGTTATGGAGCCAGAGCAAGTCTGTAGCTGATGAACAGAAGGGAACCCCTCTGTTAATTACCTCCCCCTTTGCCCGGAATAAAATGTTATCTCTCCTGGTGGAAGGGAAGAGGCAGAGACTTTCCTGTGTTGCAAAAATAGATAGGGTTTGGCTTGCTGTCAAGGATTGCCATGCCTCGGATGGCTTAAGCAAGTTTTATTTATTTTCATGGTGGCACACCTGAAAAAAAATAATTCCTTGCATGTGTGAGCACATGCACATGTATGTTAGTCAAAACGCACTTAATCATTCTTATTGCTGCATTTATATTCCACCTCGAGGAAGGGGATCTTGTTCTTCCCGCCCCCGCCTCTGTTTTATATTCGTGAGAAAAGTAGGTTAGGCAGTTAGTTTAGGGGCTGAGAGGGGATTCGAACCCTGGTCCTTTAACAGCACCCTAACTAGTACACAGCATAGACAGATTGGTGCTGTGTATGCCCCAAACGAAATACAATTTTTACCTTATTGGCCAGTGTCAAATCAAATTGATCGTGGCTATTGATGCTAGTTCCGCTTAATGCTAGCAATTTTATGTTCTATATGTTTACTGTATATAAATTAGCACATACGACTAAGGAACAAGTATTCCCTGCTTTTGGAAAAGAAGCAGCTTTTATGACCGGAAAAAATAATGCCATTTTTTTGTTAAATCATCTTGGCTACATCTCAGTTAAATCCCTTTCCTTCCCTCTCCCTGGGTCTGCTTAAAGAGATCAATGGGTTATTATGGCTTCACCAGATAAGCCCTCTCCCTGGCACTTTAATTTCCTTGCTTTCAGGTCCGGGTGAGGGTGTTGATGCAATTTGGGCTGTGGCTCTTGCTTTCTCTGATAGAGCTACGATTGTTCCTTTCATTGCAACCCTCTCAGTCTGGTCTTTATCTCACTCCAGCACATTGTTTAAATGGAGTTTGGAGCCACATGACAGTAGCACTTTGCTCTTTTTAGCTTTCCAGAATTGGGCACGTTTCCAGTCAAAATTCAAATGTCAGACAGTTGGGAAGACCGCTTCCTTTACAGGTCTTTAAAAGTAGACAAAAGACTGTTGCTTTTGCAAAAAAAAACAAAAACCAGACACACGCACATAATATATTACAATAACGTTTCCAAACACAAACCAACTCATGTTCGGAGTCAACATTTGAGAGATCATAAGGGGAATGGTTTGTTTCAGTTTAGATTACTTTGGCCTCATTCACACATAACACTAAGCCATGGTTTAATCAAAAACATTATTAGCATTGTGTGAGAGACCTGCCTAGCCGTTTAACTGTTATTTGTTCACTGACAACAAACTGTGTTTTATTGTTGACTTATGAACCTTTGTTTTACTCAGTGTTTTTTTTAAAATAAAAAACAAGGTGCTGGTACTCATATCTTGATAAAAGTGCCATTGGTGCCAGCACAAAATGGCTGCCATGAGCCACAAAAAATATGTAACAGTATTCAGTACCTGTGAGTACTATCACACACACACAAAAGCACTGGTTTAGCTATGGCTTGGTGTGTAGTATGTGAACCCAGCACCCTTCTTCAATCATGGCTTGTTTGGTTACTCCACCCTAGATGTTTACCAGGTTACAAAGGCATGAGAAAAGAAGAGCTGGAAAACAAAACTAATCATCATCATCTTCTCCTTGACATCTGATGGGAGGGCGTTCCACAGGGCGGGTGCCACTACCGAGAACGCCCTCTGCCTGATTCCCTGTAACCTCACTTCTCGCAGTGAGGCCCTCGGTGCTGGATCTCAGTGTCTGGGCTGAATGATGGGGGTGGAGATGCTCCTTCAGGTATACAAGGCCGAGGTCATTTAGGGCTTTAAAGGAGAAATGATGGAGAAATAAGATGTGGTGTGTTTAATCATCCTGGTTAACTCATGGTTTGTTGAACAAACCGTGGCTTAGATTTATGGGCTAGCGGAGCCTTTGTCAAGAACAAATATATAATAGGCAGGAGAGACAATAAGGGCAATACGTTATGCAGAATGAATGGACAGGAGGGAATATAAGGGTTTTGGGAAGCAAGGGAAATCAGGCACAGTGCAAAGTGAAGTCTCATCACTACCACCTTCAAAGAACTTTTTTTTAAAAAAAAAATCTTTAGAGTGGTGGTGGCTCTCCAAATGTTGCTGGACTCCCAACTTTCATCAGGCACAGCTAGCTTGGCCAGGACTTATGGGAATTGGGAGCCCAACAAAATCTTGAGGGCCACAGTTCCCCATTCTTGCTTTTCAGAAATAGAGTTAACGGTGAATATTTCTCTACAGCCATGAGGACTGGAAGAGAAATGTACTATTTTCTGACAATGTGAGGTGACATTCTGATATTCCCTTTCTTCAAAAGGCCCAAAGACCCAAAATCCTGAACAGCGTTGAGAATCAGTTGGATGAACTTGGAGTCACTATTGCGCAGACAAGGAGGACTGTGGACCTCATCAAAGTAAGATGGCTTCAGTCTATTTCATCCCAGAAGAAAAACTGGATGTTGATCTCACACACACTGTGCCCTGTTCTTTTCATATGTTTCTATGTCATTGTCTCCTGGTGCCAAGGGGATCAGGGGTTTGGGCTGTGTCTCGGCCTGGGCATCAAGAGGTGGTTCATCCACTGATTCTGACCCAATTCTGCTGCAGTATTGGGAGGTTTAATTAAAGATAACATGTGAGCAAAGAACAAAAATCCTCTTGCATGTATGCACTCGTGTAGCACAAATATACAAGTTTCCTGAGAACTGGATCACATGGTGCTTTTCCTAGACTGTTCCACTTCAGACTGCAGGTGGAGGATCACATTTTTCAACGTTCCATCAGACTGGGGGAAACTCCATTCCTATAAGAAAGTGGCATGTCCAAGGTAGCCATTTCCATGACATGCTACATTTCTACTTGCAGAGATACCCTCATTTCTGGCACTCAGCTAAAAGACAGAAAAGCATATAGTGGCTTAGTGAATTTGGTAGCAATGGGAACCTTTTTTCCTAAAGTTTGCCTCTTTACACGTTGTGGTCCTGATAAAAATTGGAGGGCTTTAAAATGGAATAATCCAGATGTGTTTCCTAATGTCAAATTCAAGCATCATGCCTAGTCTGGCTTAAAGTGGGTCTTTGTTCAATCATATCTTGAAGAAGATTTGATTGCTTCTGCCCTCCCCCACCTGGCCAACTTTAAAAGGAGGATCTGGACGTGTGCATGGTTTTTTTGGGATGGTGGTGGAAATATATGTAATCTACATGAATGATAATTGGTATAAAGCTACCTCTGTTGTGTTTAGGGCACTGCTCAGAAAGAGAAGGAAAAGGTCAGCAAACTCTTTGCCGAGACGGCCAGGGTCCTTGCAGCCTTTCAGAAGGAAGTCCTTGGCTTCATCGAAGATGGGGAAAGAGCAATGCTGACTGGGGCAGCGGAGGAGCTGCGGCAGAAGGAAGAGAGGCGTGACACACTGACTGAACACAAGCGGAATCTGGAGAAGGTTCCCAGCACAGACACTATCTCTTTCCTGCAGGTCTGTGCCCCTTGAGTGTTATTCCAGTAGAGAGTCACCCCTAAAAGCACTTCATTCCTTGCCTGGGCAGATCCACACCAGATGTCGAAAGCACATCTAACATACATCGGAAGCACATGACTTTCCACAAATGAATCCTGGGAACTGTAGTTTCCTCTAACCGAACTACAGATCCCAATGCCCTGAACAAACTACAATTTTATTTCTTTTTATTTCTTGAAATTTATATACTGCCCTATGCCTGGACATCTCACAGAATAAAACCAGAACACAAAACCAAAAAATATATACAGTGGTACCTCGGGTTACAGATGCTTCAGATTATAGACGCTTCAGGTTACAGACTCCGCTAACCTAGAAATAGTACCTCAGGTTAAGAACTTTGCTTCAGGATGAGAACAGAAATCATGCTCTGGTGGCGGCGTGGCAGCAGCGGGAGGCCCCCATTAGCTAAAGTGGTACCTCAGGTTAAGAACAGTTTCAGGTTAAGAACGGACCTCCAGAATGAATTAAGTTATTAATCCGCAGTACCACTGTAATCAAAATAAAAGCAACAACCCAATAACCTTCCCCCCCAAAAAAACCCACCTTTTAAAAGGGCATAGGATGTAAATCAGATCAACCAAAGGCCTGGTTAAAAAGGAACGTTTTTGCCTGGCACCTAAAGGTGTATAGTGAAGGTGCCATGTGAACTTCCCTGGGGAGAGCATTCCACAGACAGGGAGCCACTGCAGAGGGACTGTTCTCATGTTGCCATCCTCTAGACCTCTTGAGGAGGAGGCACACGAAGGAGGGCCTCAGAAGATGATTTCAGAGTGCGGGTAGGTTCATATGGAAAGAGGCAGTCCTTGAGCTATTGTGGTCCTGAGCTGTTTAATGCTTTATAGGTCAAAACCAGCACTTTGAATTGGACCTGGAACCAGCACTTTGAATTGGACCTGGAACCAGCACTTTGAATTGGTAGCGAGTGCAGTCAGACCAGGATTATTTTACAGAAAGTAATGTGCTTTCAATGTATGGCAGGGATTTCCCCCTCTCTGGAAACAGTAGAAAAGGGGAGGATTTGTGGAGACATGCTGTCCTCTCTAGCGAGCCACAAGTGGAGAGTCTGATTCAACTTGTCCATAATTTTTTTATGGGCAGATGCTGCTGCTTTTTCTGGCTCCAGACTGGTGATTTTTGTATAGGAAGGTGGGCATGCTCATACACTACAGGGGCAGGAAGGTATAACAACAGCAACAACAATTTATTTATTTATACCCCCACCCATCTGGCTGGGCCTCCCCAGCCACTCTGGGCGGCTTCCAACCAAATATTAAAATACAGTAATGCATCAAACATTAAAAGCTTCCCTAAACAGGTAGGACACAATGGGCATTTGTCTCTTTTACCAGGCCCCACAATTTGTAGGGCATTCATTCATTTACAATAGCCTTCCCCAATCTGATGCCTTTCAGATGTTGTTGGACAACAACTCACATCATCCATGACCATTGGCCCTCCTTGCTGGGGCTGATGGGAGCTGTAGTCCAGCAACATCTGGTGGGCACCAGGTTGAAGAAGGCTAGTATGCAATCGCAGTGCTCAGTCCTATCTGGATCTCTGCTGGGAAATATGCCCTCATCCGCTGTGTAGGGGCCCTGGGTAAACCGACCTTATAGGGAGGAGGCTTTGCTGAGCTCTATGTTCCTGGATCCACATTTGGAACAGAGCAGCATGCCAACATCTCCTGCCAGTGTAGCTGCTCTTTCTCTCTGTCCCCCTCCCTCCCTCTGGTATGTTTGTTTCCATGTCACGAACAGCAGCCATAGGCTCTCTGGTACTCGGGAAGGAGGTGGCTCTGTGGAATGAGTCCTCCCATCAGTCAATTGCTGTATATCACCCCCTTTTCTTTCTTTTTTTGGCCCAGGAGTTCCAAGCACTGAAAATAGCCACCGAAGAGAAAAACTTCTCATGGGCAAGCTTCCCCAAAGAGCTGAGCTTCATCAAATCCAGCCAGGCCGTGCTCGCTGTGAAGGAAATGCTAGTGAACATTTGCAAGAACCAGTGGGACCAGCTCTCAGGGAACGGAGACGAAGGGCCCATTCTTTATGGCATGCCAGAAGGTCTGTAGCAGACGGAATATCCTGCTCTTGCATTCCATGTAGAGCGCTATGCATTCTGCAGTGTTTTGATTATGGAATTCTTTGCTGACTCTGATAGCTACCATGCGGTTTCTGCAGAGATTATTAGTGCCCAGCAAGTGCTAAGAATCCACTGTTTCCCTGTAGTTCTTAAGTGTCTAGGAGCTCTGGAAGTCTCTGTTAACAGGGACTGGGCTTGGAAGCATCAGCAACAAGAATGCACATTGCTTCCTTGCCTTTTGCCGGTTCTCAGGATCTTTGCTTCAGTACGTTATAATAATAATAATAGTAATAATAGTAATAGTAATAATAATAATAATAATAATTTTATTATTTATACCCCGCCCATCTGGCTGGGCTTCCCCAGCCATTCTGGGTGGCTTCCAGCAAAATATTAAAATACAGTAATGCATCAAACATTAAAAGTTTCCCTAAAAAGGGCTGCCTTCAAATGTCTTCTAAAAGTCTGGTAGTTGTTTTTCTCTTTGACATCTGGTGGGAGGGTGTTCCACAGGGCGGGTGCCACTACCGAGAAGGTCCTCTGCCTGGTTCCCTGTAACTTGGCTTCTTGCAGTGAGGGAACCGCCAGAAGGCCCTCGGCGCTGGACCTCAGTGTCCGGGCAGAACGATGGGGGTGGAGACGCTCCTTTTCCCAGTCTGTTCTCAAAGCTTGAAATGCACTGGGATACCCAGCCTTATGCAAATTCAGGACACTTGCATCAGCTTCCATTTACATGTTGAATTTTGCTTGTAGACTTTTGCTACTTTTAACATGCAGTAAACACTTTGGGGCATTAGAACCCATTAGGCACCATTTACATCATGGAAGTGGGAACCTGCTGCTCTCCAGATGTTGTTGGACTTTATCGCCATCATCTCTGGCCGTTGGCCATGGTGGTTGGAACCGATGGGGGCTGGAGTGCAGCATCATTTGGAGGGCCACAAGTTCCCCATCTCTGTTTGACATCTCCAAGTTTCCTCTTGATGTTGGCATTTGTACCTGCCTAAATGAATGTCAAATGCCAGCCTCAAAGGGAGAAGATGTTTCAAGCTACAGGCTTCATGTCAAAGCACTGCAAGTGGTGCAGCTGTTTTGAAATTGCATAATAACAAGACTCTCTTAAATTGGTGTCGGGTTTCTGCGCCCTGTGCCTCCCGCTTGGGGTTGTGTTTTTTTTATGAGGTTTCCATAAGGACTCAAATAAATCAGAAGGCAACAAACAGACATCACCGGGTGTGGCCAGCAGTGGTTTGGGGAAGATGTCCAAAGTGGCTTTTCCTTGAAACAGAGCCTTGTCTTTCAGAACACAGGGGAGATATATGCTTGAAGCTTACTCTCCTGCCAGAATTGGAGTGGATCTTGCTGGCTTCATCCTCAAGTTCAACTGCTCCCTAAAGAAAGTACAGTGGTGCCTCGCAAGACGAAATTAATTCGTTCCGCAAGTCTCTTCGTCTTGCGAGTTTTTCGTCTTGCGATGCACGGTTTCCCATAGGAATGCATTGAAAATCAATTAATGCGTTCCTAGGAAACCGCCTTCAGACCAGGTCCGGGGACAGTCTGTCCCCGGACCTCTTCTGAAGGCTGGGGGGCAAGGGCTTTTCGCCCCACCCCCAGCAATTTAAAAAAACCCGGGACAGCGGAGGACTTCTCCGCTGTCCGGGCGATCTTAAAATGCTGGCGGGCGGCATTTTAAAATCACCCCGGGACAGCGGAGGACTTCTCCGCTGTCCGGGGCAATTTAAAGCCCCTGGGAAGGCAGGCAGGGGGACAAAGACTTTGCCCCCGCCAGCCTTCAGAAGAGGTCCTGGACCTCTTCTGAAGGCGGGCGGGGGCGAAAGTCTTTGCTCCCCGCCTTCAAAAGCCCTCCGGGACAGGCAGGCAGGGGAGCAAGACTTTCGCCCCCGCCCGCCTTCAGAAGGTCTTCCCTCCCCCCCGCCCGGCTTCGGAGCACCGTTCCGAAGCCGGGCGGCGGCGGGAGGTCTTCCCTCCCCCCCGCCCGGCTTCGGAGCACCGTTCCGAAGCCGGGCGGCGGCGGGAGGTGTTCCCTCCCCCCCGCCCGGCTTCGGAGCACCGTTCCGAAGCCGGGCGGCGGGGGGAGGTCTTCCCTCCCCACCGCCCGGCTTCGGAGCACCGTTCCGAGCCGGGCAGAGGCGGAGGTCTTCCCTCCCCGCCCGGCCCGGAGCACCGTTCCGAAGCCGGGCGGCGGCGGCAGGTGTTCCCTCCCCCCCGCCCGGCGTCGGAGCACCGTTCCGAAGCCGGGCGGCGGCGGCAGGTGTTGCCTCCCCCGCCCGGCCCGGAGGAGCCTTCCGGGCCCGGCGGCGGCGGAGGAGGTGTCCCCGCCCCGCCGCCAGGCTTCGGAGGAGGTCCGAGGACAGTGGGGAAGACGCGCTGCGCTTCCCGCTGTCCCTGAGATTTCCTATGGGCTGTCGTCTTGCGAAGCAAGCCCATAGGAAATTCGTTTTATGAGCGCCTCCAAAACGGAAAACCCTTTCGTCTAGCGGGTTTTCCGTCTTGCGAGGCGTTCGTCTTGCGGGGTACCACTGTATTGCAATGTGTGACTACTAGCCTAGCATCGGCTCTGTTCTGTTCAGGGCTTCCCCACTCTCTCCCATACATGCCCCATGTTTCAGGGAGGAGTACTTCCTGGATACTTACCAGGGAGTTTGCATGAACTGCTTCCAGGTCACAGCGTGCTGCCACTATCCCCACAAGACCCAGCCACAGGCAGAAACAAGACATCCATGAGAACAGTGGAACAGTCTCCCTCTGGAAGTTGTGGACTCTCCTTCCTTGGAGGTTTTTAAGCAGAGGTTGGGTGGCCATCTGCCATGGATGCTCTAGCTGGTATGCCCCGTGGAGGAACTTAAGGTCCACAAATGACAACATTTTGGAGGTCCCAAGTCGCAAGGTAGTTAGATTGGTCTCAACTAGGGCCAGGGCCTTTTCAGTACTGGCCCCAACTTGGTGGAACGCTCTGTCACAAGAGACGGGTTCTGCGGGACTTGACATCTTTCCACAGGGCCTGCAAGACAGAGCTGTTCTGCCTGGCCTTTGGTTTGGACTCAGTCTGACCCTTATGTTTCCCTCCCCGTATGGTTTTGATCTATGGGCTACTTTTAAAATGAGGCTGCATTTTAAACTGCATTTTAACCTGTATTTTAAATTGGGTTTCCCCCCCATTATGTTTTTACTATAATTTTACTGGTGTTAGCCGCCCTGAGCCCGGCTCTGGCTGGGGAGGGCGGGGTATAAATAAAATTATTATTATTATTATTATTATTATTATTATTATTATTACTGAGATTCCTGCATTGCAAGAGGTTGGACTAGATGACCCTTGGGTCTTTTCCAACTCTACGATTCTATGATAACTGGGCACCACCACACAGAGCCCTATGTGGTGGTGGGGAGGCTGAAGGAAGGAGAGTAGAGATAGAATCAGGCTTTTCAGACCCAGAAGAAAAAGTTGTTGGGATCCAGGAACTCTGTAAAATGTGTGTTTTTGGGATGAGCACAGGACCACAACACAGTTATGAGCAGATCCCTCTGCTGGTTGGCTTTGTAGTAGCACAAGGACATGTTAGGATCTTGGATTCTGGGATAACATCGTCTGGGATTTCCCTCTTCTGATTAATAGGTTTAAGAATCTAGTCACAGCAGACCTGTCGATGACAAATGAATTTAAGGTTAAAGGTGGTTGTATGGAATAGTACACCTGCGTCTGATCAGCCAGGATACTTTCTAATGAACAAGCCTCTTTTCCTTGTGTGATGGGTTGGTTTTTTCCTTTTCCTTTTTTGCTGTCTTTGTCGCTGAGGTAAATTTTTGACAATTTCCTCTCTTCACAGTGACCATTGAGCCCCCGATTCCAGAAAAAAGCAGCAACCCCGCCTGTTTGGAGTCCCGAGATTATTTTCTCAAATGTAAGACCATTTTATTGTATGTTTTGTCTCCCTTGGCTTTTGTTTCTTTGCTGATGGCGTAACGTTTGGCAGACGGCAGATGTGTTGCAGACAGCAGAAATGTCAGCCCACTCAAAGTTAATTATGAGCGCAGTCCAGTGAAAACAAAATGCTTGAGTGTTGTTTTTAGAAAACGTTCAGTGTCTCAGTTACTGGTCTTTAATGGCCTAGCTAGGTTTAGCTGAAAATATGGGGACTTAAGCACACGGTCAAAAGATTCCTGGATTGCAGGGGGTTGGACTAGATGACCCTTGTGGTCCCTTTCAACTTCATGATTCTATGATGCCTGTAAAGCTACACCACCTCCTTTTCCTGTCATAAAGAGGCACATATTGGAGGAGATCAGTGGCGTAGCGTGGGTTGTCAGCACCTGGGGCAAGGCAAGTAATTTGCGGCCCCTAACCCGTGGATTTTAGCTGCGAGTGCGAGCGCGCCCCCACTAGATGTTGCGCCCGGTGCGGCCGGCCCCCCCTGCACCCCCCACGCTACGCCACTGGAGGAGATGGAAAACACATACTATCACTACATGAAAGAAAAAAAATAAGGCTGTGGCATAAAAAAGAGATTTATGTTAAATATATATCATAAGGACTAGAAATTTATATCATAAGGACTAGGATTTTATTTTTATTTTTTTAAAGTAAATCTGGGGAACTGAACTATCAGTATTTAAAATGCATTTATATGGAGGAGGAAACCAGAAACCTTGAAAATATAGAAAACAGAAGGGGTCTCTGAAATCAGAGTGCGGTACATCTTTGTTCCTTGTTTCCATAGCTCTGCCACTCTCTGCTTCTAAATGACTATTACTCTACCTACCCCCATCTTCCCACCTGCTTTCCCTATTTCACCTTCCCAAAACACACACACATAAGGTGCGGGTAAATATTTTTATTTTTTTTAAAAAACAACAACCAATCCAGCTAAAGTTCGCCATAGGGCTAAACTGCAGACACACGTGGTATGCACAAATTTAAATATAGTTAGGAAAAATCCAACAATTTTTGCAGAATATATGTTGATTGCAGCAATGGAGTTTTTCGAACACGTGGTTGTATCCAACACTGCTGTTCCACTTATGCAACAGCTTTCTGCTTGTGCAATGCAATGTTGTTGTTGTTGTTGTTGTTGTTGTTGTTGTTTATATACCAACCAATACCTGGAGGTCTCAGGGTGGTTCACAGAAAAGATCGACATAAAAACCACAATATATATAATCAAAATAACAACAAGAAATTAAAAACATCCCCCCCAAAAAAGAGCCACATTTTAAAAGCGCATAGGATGTCATCAGATCAATCAAAGGCTTAGTTAAAAAGGAACGTTTTTGCCTGGCACCTAAAGGTGTATAATGAAGGCGCCAGGCAAACTTCCCTGGGGAAAGCATTCTACAGATGGGGAGCCACTGCAGAGAAGGCCCGTTCTTGTTTTGCCACCCTCCTTTTCTCCTTTCCCCTGCAGCCCCCCACCATGATAGGGGACCCTTTGGAGCATATTTTTGGGGGTGGAGTGCAGAGAGAGGAAGGGGGAAGTCCCATTGCATAAGCAGAACATCACTCGTACAATGTTAGATCCTACCCAAGTTTCCTAAGTCAAGGATGCATAAGTTCAGGAGACTGAATGATTCCTGAGGGGCACCAACCTTAGTGATGGTATGTTTCAGTTTTGTTGACCAAGAAGACAAGATAACTAATACTGTGTGACTTCCGTGCTCTGCCTTCTTCTCGCCTTCTCCCGCCCCCACCCCGCACAGTTGCCTTCATCATCGACTTGGACAGCGACACTGCCGACAAATTCCTCCAGCTGTTTGGGACCAAGGGAGCCAAGCGGGTGCTGAACCCTATCGCCTACCCCGAGAGCGCGACCAGGTTTGTCAACTGCGAGCAGGTGCTGGGCGAGAACTTAATGAACCGAGGCAACTACTACTGGGAAGTGGAGATCATTGACGGCTGGGTGAGCATTGGCGTCATCACGGAAGATTACAACCCGCAGGAGTCCTATGACAGGGGCCGCCTGGGCAGGAACGAGAACTCCTGCTGCCTGCAGTGGAACGGGCAGAACTACGTGGCCTGGTTCGGCGGCTTTGACTGCGTGATACAGCAGCCTTTCTTCCATACGATTGGGGTGTACTTGGAGTACTCTGAGAAGGTGCTGACCTTCTATGGAGTCAAGGATTCCAAGATGACGTGCCTGCAGCAGTTCAAAGTGGCTCGCTTCAAGAAGGGCCATTTTGACCCCTTCCAGAATAAGATCAACCACCAGTTTCCGGCGCTGTTTACGCACAACCTCAAGCCGGCCTTCTTCCTTGAAAGTGTTGATGCCCACATGCAGCTTGGGCCTCTCAAGAAAGATTGTGTTTCGGTGCTGAAGCGACGGTAACTCGTTCCATGTGCGGTAGAGCAAGAAAGGAATTGGTAAAGAGATTTAAAACGGGATCTTTCCTAGAACAGCATGTCACTTCCATGATACAGGGTTACTAGGCTCTTCACTCATATGTCTGTCCCTGCTACCTTTTGAGTCATTTGACTGGTGCCTTTAAAGATAATGGGCCATTTCCATGTTGGTCTTTTCTCTCTCTTGCCACCTCTTGGATTTTTAGTCATAGTTATAGTTTGTTCACACTGGGCTTAAACTCGAAGACCAAGCTTGTTACCTTTCACCTGCTGTTTGGGGATTTGGAGAGGATTGATTCTAGTCTGAACTTTCATTTTCTGTATTAATCCAATATATTTACCACACACACGCGCACACACACAGTTTCCTGATTCTGTACTCATCAGTTCTAGGGCTTCTTCCTGCTCTCTTAGCTGGGGGGGATGGTGGCGGCGGGGAAAATATCAGTGTTACTTTAAGACAGGAGTCAAGAACCTGGAATGTTGCTGGACTACAAGTCCCATTACCCCTAACTATTGGCCAGACTGACAGGGGCTGCTGGGATTTGGAGTCCCCTAACAGCTGGAGAGCCATAGGCTCCCCACCTCTGGCCCAGCTTGTGAGGAGTTACAAATTTTTCTGTGGGCACTGAGCCAAATCTTAACTTCTGATTTAAACTGCTGTTCTTTAAGATGGGAGCTGGTGGTTGAGTTGAAACAGGCGACCTACTTTTCTTCTGTTTCTAGGATACCTTGATTTTAGTAGATAATTACAGTTCTTCATATAAATTGGGAAGGATGGAAAAATAAAACTTAGCTAGTTCAGAGACAGAACTGATTTTTACCATTTGAAGATTATTATTATTTACCTCATGGATTCCCTGACAATAACTGAATTGCTGAAATGCTTGTGTGTTTTATTAGCCCTGTGGTCTCAGCATTACGGTTATTTTCTGCAAGAGTTTTCTTCCAGTTATTCAGTTTGTTGCCTATCTGCCATGGGTGGATCTTTTACAAAATAAATGCCAACATACTGGATACAGGGTGAAAAATATTATGAATTTGGTGAAACATGATGGTTAATTGTATGAGTTCACTTATCCCTGCTGTCTGGGCTCATGCAGTTCTTCCTGCCTACCAGTAAGAAACGGTGAGGTCACCAAAGTTATTTTCTACTTCCCCTAATGGAAATAACTACAGCGCAATTGCTCACAATAGCAACACACACACACTCCATCATTGGTCAGCATTATTAAAAATATGTTTTGACGTTTTCATCTTTCAGCCAGATACTAAATATGTTAGTCTGACTTGAGTTGAGCAAGACTCTACTTCCTGGTAGATATGCCTATAAATGCAGCCCTTACAATCTCACCTGTTGCCATTGGAATTAGTTATTGAAAGAATACCACAATGATCATGTTGTGATTTCTGTATTCTTACTGTATTCTTAAAAACACTTTGGGGATAAACTGGAACAATAGGAAATTTCACACTGAACCAAAATTGGCTGTATTAATTGTTCCTCCATGAGCAAAAAATAAAGCCAGTATATTTGCTTCCTTAGGTAATACTGTGCTGCTGTTTGTTTTTCACCCCAATTTTTGGGTGGTGGTAACCTTTCTGCTTTGTTTTATTATTTTTATTAATAATACACAGTTGTATAATCTAACATGTGTGAGGAAATAATAAGGAAAAAAGTTTAAAAGAATCTAGTTGCCATTAAAGAATATGCAAACATAATCCTGGTTTGTCTTTCTTTGCTAACCTCAAATGAATGAGCTTACTTTCTGCAATGTTTTCAATCAATACCAGTTTACTATGGGCAAATAATAACACTTTTGTGGATAGCAGCAGCCAACTATACACCATAAAGTTTGCACACCCATGTGTCTGCATTTATTTTTAATAAAATGAGGGCTTTATTTATTCGATTCATGCAGCATGTACATCCTCTTTGAAGAAAATAATCTGGATTAATTTCATAAAAATGGCTTGCAGTTTTTAAGTTCTACCACAAAATATCATAGTAAGAGACTCGTGATTACTGTAACATGTGGCACTACAAAATTTCCACTAAAGTCAAGCTTAGCTGGTACGTAACCCAACCAGCGTAATCCTCATTATCCACATTATATAGATTCCACCTTCCATGAAAAATGGGAATGGATACAGCCTCTGCAATATTATTGTTTTGCAGTATAAATCTTCACGCTCCAGTTTCTCATTTGTTTTGACTGCTGCCTGTGATACTGGAATAATCTCACTGCAATAGCCAAGCAACTTCCCATAGCTACAGTGCTGATGGTGTAGCTGTTGATAATGCCACAAAGCAAGTTTTAGGATCAAGTTGTAAGGCAGTGAGCTTAACACAAACTGTCGCTGAAAGTAATGACCTCCCGTGACCTTCCTAGGACTCTGGGCGGGTTATATCCTGGTTTTTTTACATGACAACGCATGAAAGATAAGTATTAAAAAGCAAAAACAAGGTCAATTAAAGTGATAAGAAAAAAACAAGCAAATAAAAATGCAGTAGAGATGGTGTAAACACAATTTAAAAAGCAGAATATACCATATCTGGTATGAGTGTCCTATTTTAAATTTATGATTTTGTAATAGTTAAGTCTTTATTAGGTTATAGGGTGCTACAGCTACAGTCCAGGCAAGTAAGTTCCATTGAACTTTTAAGCAGACACATAAAGGATTCTGCTGTAAAGGAGATGCATGTCTGGCCCAGATTAAGGGGTTGTATTTGTGGTTGTGGGGATGGCAAAGTAGTTTGGGGAGTATGGATTTAACTTTACTTCATTTTGCCCACCCACTTTCTGCCTAAGTGCTGAAGGTGGCAAACAGTTGAAAATGATAGCTTAGTGGCCCTCAGGACTTTCTCCAGACCATGTTGCTCAGTGGTCCTTCTCCATACCCTCAACTGCTATTGCCTGGCTAAAACATGTCATTGAATTATTATAATGCTGCTTGTTTGCCTGAATGGAGAGGTGTGCATGTGTGGTGGAGATACAGGGTGGAACTCAACATTGACCAATGTTGAATGTTCTGCCTGCACAAGCACATCAGCTTGCCAGATGGCACAATCGTCCCTCCTCTATGTGTGCTGTTCTGGGGGTTTTCCCAACCATCCCCAGAACCAATTTTGCAGGGTGCCAACAGAGGAGAGGAAGGAAGCTCCATTGTGCAAGGATTTGTTAGGTGAATCATGCACACAGAAACCTCTGGCTTTTGTATGGGTGGAATGTAACCTATTGTACAAGTCACATCCATTGCTCTGCCCACTTTTGCCCCTGTCTCCACCTACTTTTGCCTTGGGCCCTGCCCACCCCTAGAGCCAGTGTGGTGTAGTGGTTAAGAGCAGTGGACTCGTAATCTGGTGAACCGGGTTCGATTCCCCGCTCCTCCACATGCAGCTGCTGGGTGACCTTGGGCCAGTCACACTTCTCTGAAGTCTCTCAGCCTCACTCACCTCACAGTTTGTTGTGGGGGAGGGAAGGGAAAGGAGATTGTTAGCCGCTTTGAGACTCCTTAGGGTAGTGATAAAGCGGGATATCAAATCCAAACTCCTCTTCTTCTAGCATGCGGCCCCTGAAGGATGCCAATGATTGAGTGCATCCCCTTGAGATGAAAAGTGTTCCCTTGTTATATGATGAAGATAATGAACTGGATGGGATATTCCCTGCAAAAGACAATACTGCTTCAGTTCTGGGAAGACCCAGAGCATAGTTGAGTCTACCCAGGCTAATGAAGGGGTGGGCCCTCACTGTTTCACCTCCCTGCTCTAGTCAGGTGAAATGGCCAATGGGTGCAGTTTTGTAAGTGGAGGAGGACCCATAGATTGTGATTCTGGGCCTGGCAGATGGTGAAAGCCTTGATGTCTCACCTCTCCCTATTAGGCTGCCACTTGGAAGAGCACTGGACTAAGAGAGTAGGAGCAGATGTCTACTTTGTTTATTTGTTTCAGCATTTCCTGGTTCTTTAGCTAATGTTAAGTGCATGAGCCCAGCGCATGAAGCCATGTGTAAACACAACATTGTAATCATTCTGAAACCAAGGGATTAAGACGGGCTAAAAAGCTACAGCTGTTGATCTCTCATAATGACCAATCACAAATTTTATTTCTGCCAAACTGGCTAAAAATTAAAAATAATCCAGTTTCCATTCTGTTGCAACTCCAGTCTTCTCTCGAATAGGGCTTGCCAACTCTACCACAATTGCTAGTGAGGGATCAGTTGTGGATGTACATCCAGTTCTCGCTTACAGCCTCTTAATTTGGACTAAAGCCCTGGAAAAATGAGTGATTTAGCCATGTGACTGAGCCAGCCAGGAAACTTCTCTGTTAAAAAAAAATGGCATGAACTAAACTAAAATAGTAGTAAAAATAGCTTATAAAACCACTAAAGTGCCAATATCTTTTTTTTTTAAAGGTTAAATACCTGCTGTGAATTGCAGCTGTTCTGTTTGGCAGAAACACCAGAAATCAAGTTATTTGATTCATATGACCACTGCTGCTTCCTATTTATGTGGTCTTCATAGAATTAATACAGTTTATTATACACAGTGAGAAACAAACAAATTTGGAGACAAGACAAATTTCAACAGAGTTCATTTGCTATAGCAAAACACAAAAGAGGCAAGCCATGTGGCACTTTAAAGACTTACATTTTATTAAGTTTTTGTAGCCCAGAACCCACTGTCCCTATCCAGTATAATTTAAGCTTTACATTAAAATGACACAGGATGATGAGAACTGAAGTCCAGCAACATCTTCAGTGCCACAGGTTGGGTAAAACAACTGGTTAGGCAAAACAACTCAGGAGAACATTTCTGTAATTTGAGCCCCCCCCCCCCCCATGGCAGGGCTCAAGTGAAGTACAAAGGACAAGAGCTTCCAGGCCATAGCTGTCAACCTTCCCTATTTTGCGAGAAATTCCCTTATTCCAGTGCTGTTTCCCGCTGCTTTCCGCTGCTATCCCGGATAGTTAGATATCCCATAGACTGTCCCCGGGACAGGTGAGGCTGCTGGTCCCTTATTTTCGAGGCTGCTGATCCCTTATTTTCAAATCTGAAAGTTGACAGCTATGTTCCAGGCTAACCTCTAGATCAGTGCTTCTCAAACTATCTGATGCAGGCGAAAGACATTCCCCCACCCCACAAAATGTGCCAGGGTCAGTACCATATTTGGTCCTTGAAGCATCCCACCCAACCTGAGCTGTGAGTCACTGCAGACCAGCAGCTAACGGCTTGTGGACCAGCACCAGTTGGTGGACCACCACCTTGACTAGCAATGCTCTAGATGGCATTGAACTCCACTCCTATTAGATTTAACTGATGCAAGTCATGAGTCCCACGAGGGACACAAATGTCTCCCTCTCCCAGGGTTTCAGGTTTTACAACAATCTAGCATCAAACGAGCCATTTGCGCTGCACAGTTTGTAACTCCAACCATATCTGCAACAAGATTTCCCTTTTTTCCACAACCACGAGACCAGCATCAAGTCTTTTTTTATTCTTTTTTTAAAAAAAAGATATTAAAGATTTTCTTGGTTTACAAAAGTACATGCCTTCTCTCTCTCTTTTTTGCGTAAGAAAGTTTTTTTTTATTCTTATTCTCAAACGGCGGCGGCAGCATAGTCAACTTTCAGATTTGAAAATAAGGGATCAGCAGAATAGCTGTCAACTTTCGGAGTTGAAAATAAGGGATCAGCAGCCTCACCTGTCCCGGAGACAGTCTACGGGATATCTAACAATCTGGGATAGCAGCGGGAAACGGCGCTGAAATAAGGGGATTCCCGCAAAAAAAAGGGAAGGTTGACAGCTATGGGCAGCAGCAGCAGCAGCAGCAGCAGCCGCCGCCGCCGCCGCCGTTCTCAGACGGTCCAGCGCCGAACTACATTTCCCATCATGCTCCATTTCCTCCCGCCCTCTTCCGGTCTCTGCGTTGCCCGGAGCGCGGCTACGCCGGAAGCCGTGAGCAGAGCCTGCGCAGCGCATTCTTCACAACATCGTTCTGCGGAGGCCGGCGGGAGCGTGTGCATCAAGGGGTCCCTCAGCTGCTTGGCGGCCATGGCGCTGAACAGGAACCATTCCGAGGGGGGCGGCGTCATTGTCAATAACAGCGAAAGGTGAGCGGGTGCGGCGGCTGTGTGGACGGCACTTGGCCGCTTCTGTTCCCTTACTGCGTTGTGTGTGTATATATATGTATGTGTGTGTGTGTACAGTGGTACCTCGGGTTACATACTCTTCAGGTTACATACGCTTCAGGTTACAGACTCCGCTAACCCAGAAATATTACCTCGGGTTAAGAACTTTGCTTCAAGATGAGAACAGAAATTGTGCTCCGGCGGCGCGGCAGCAGCAGGAGGCCCCATTAGCTAAAGTGGTGCTTCAGGTTAAGAACAGTTTCAGGTTAAGAACGGACCTCCGGAACGAATTAAGTACTTAACCCGAGGTACCACTGTGTATGTATGTATGTATGTATATGCCGTGTATAGCGCTGCGTCTGATGGGGGTCGCCCCGCCCATGGGCGGGGCAGCAAATGTTTACCTTCCCATTTCCCTCGGCCCTTCCGTCTTTTCTTCCTTTCTCTGGAAATATTAAAGCCCTGAATCCTGTTGGGGGATTCGGCCAACGGCACCTTTACTGCTGCTCTCTAGATTAAAGGAAAAAGTTTGCAACTGTTTCCCCAACCCTTTGGACGAGTGGGGTGGGGGGAGGACTAATACATAAACTAGGGCAGCGAGGGGTCCTTGGGAAGCTCGCTAACCCGATGTGTTTTGTCTCTGCTCCAAAGCATACCTGCTAGTTGGAGGTCTGCTACAGTGCCTGAGTACTGAGCTTCCACCCTTGACAAAAATCTATAAATCAATGGAGTCTAGGATGGTGTTTTGAAAGCATTTTTGCTCCCAGTGATTTGTGGTGACTATTTCTGTAAATTGGTTTAGGGGAACCTCTAGAAATTCTGTTGGACTTCAACTTCCATTGTCCCTGACTGGGACTGCTGGGAGTTGGGAGTCTTGTCAACGTTGGGAGGGCCGTAGCATCCTCATCCTTGCTGTCAATTAACCATGCGTTAAGTGAAATAATATTTCCTCTTGTCTATTTTGAACACGCCACAACTTAATCTCGCTGTCCTGAGCCGTTAGCATTTTGAAGGAAGGAGAGACAACACTTTCCCCCCTCTATTTTCACAAGTTCATTAATGTTCCTTCCGAGGTTTCGCAGTTGAGGGTTTGCAGTTGTTTCTCTCTAAGATTCAGGTTCCCTTCTAATTGGGATTGATTGCTAAACCACTCTGAGAATTGTAGCTGTGTGAGAGGAATAAAGGTCTCCTAACAACTTTCAGCAGCTTAACAAATTACAGTTCCCAGGATTTTTTGGAGGAAGTCAGGACTTTTTAAAGTGATGTAGTGCTTTAAATGCATAGTGCTAATGGGACCAATGAATAGTTGGTATCCACAGCCAGGTAGTAGATCCAGGATGCTGGAGGGCAGGAACGCGAGAATATGCAGTTTCATAATATTTGGTTGTTTAGAAAGTTGACATTACCTGTGAGTTCATGGGCATCTAGCAGAAGGCGCTACCCTCTACCACTCTCACGTTTTTGTTCTGCCCTTTTGTAATTAAGTGTCTTGGTTACTCCTCATATCGGATTTCACAACTTTGTCATGTCTGTAGATAAGATTTCACAGCCTTTGCTCATCTTCTCCAGGCGTGGAAGTAATTAATGCTGAGCTCTAATCTTCCACAGTAGGAAATTAAATTCCAAGGTTGCTGTTGCCTCTTGCTAGTACCAGTTTATGTAATGGGAATACTGCAGAAGGAGCAATCACACTTGGTGCTTCATACACTTCTGCTGTAGGAGTGAATCTATTCTTTAGAAACCCCGAGGTTTAAATTATTAAGGCATAGTATAAAGGGATTACAGCTACAAGTGAAGCTAGCAACTGGAAGGCTTACAGATGCCATCTTTGTACTGTACAGTATTGCAGATACATTTTCAAGGAGGTGTTTTCCCCTATCCTCTCCTCACTATTATTTTCCTTCCACCTCCTGCTGCTCCCTGTATTTGTAGCAAAATGCTGTGGGGCAGCAACTGCCTGGCACGGCACAAATATGGATGAAGAGCAGCACTGCACCCTGGAGATGGCAGCACACACACATGGGTATATCAACGATTTCCTCTGTGTATGTTTTTCTTCCTGAAACAGTTGGCAGAGTTTGTTGCAGGGTATATAAATGTGCTGCAGATGGTGGTGGCCAAAGACAATGGGGGGAAGGAACAGGAGCATATTTGCAGGAGCTGGTGAGATGGTGAAAATTCACCTGCATAGAGCCCTATTATACGATTTATTAAGTGAACATTGCAGAGCAGTTTATACACCATCATCAGTCTCACAGGTTCCTACAATGTTAGAAAATGCTAATGAGAGTACCTCCCCTCTTTCAAACTATATAGTCAAAGTGTTTCCTAACAGTCATGTAGATGAGTAGGGGTCCGGTGGGACCTGAAGTGATCTTTGTGTTCATATTGCATAAACTGGATACAGTGGTACCTCAGGTTAAGTACTTAATTCGTTCCAGAGGTCTGTTCTTAACCTGAAACTGTTCTTAACCTGAAGCATCACTTTAGCTAATGGGACCACCTGCTGCTGCCATGCCGCCGGAGCACAATTTCTGTTCTCATCCTGAAGCAAAGTTCTTAACCCGAGGTACTATTTCTGGGTTAGCGGAGTCTGTAACCTGAAGCGTCTGTAACCTGAGGTACCACTGTACACTGAAATGGCTCATAAAATCACCACCACCACAAAAAGCCATGTGGAATTCCCACACTGTATGTAGGCCCTTCTTGATAAGATATTGCTTGTTGGGACATGTAAAATAAGGCATGAACAAAACGTTGCCATTGCAAGTTGAGTAGTTCTGGCAGTGTCATGGCCCTGTTCAGGAATTTAGCCTGATCACTGGAGAGCTAAATATGTATAGAATAATGGATGTGTGCTGACTCTGCCTCCCACATTCTCTGCATGCCAGGTGCACCCCCCACCCCGACTTTTTAGTGTAAAGGTTTGAATGCAGTTCAGGTGAATGCAGTTAGAAGCCTCTATTAGATCAGGAATCCTGATTGTACAGGATTCCTGATTGTGTGGAAGCTCTTAACCACATTCAGCTGAACATGGTTAGATTCATATGGTTATTTTTGGGGTGGAAGGGGGGTACATCCGACGTGCTGAGTACATTGGCTGTGGGGCCAGTACATGTACCAACCAGCGAGGGCTCCTGTGCACACTTAGCCCTCCTGTGTTCAATCTGAACAGCTGAATATGAGTCAAGGATACCAGCTTTGCTGTTGCTATGCCTCTTGTGCTAATTAAATTTTGCGTCAGTTTTGTGTTCACTCTCCTATTTCTTTTTGTTCAACCCAACAGACAATCAGCATGTTTGTACATGTGTTTAGTAACATGGACACATTGCATATGGGTTTCACTTGGTGAATGAGGCTGGGTGATGATCTGAAATTTGTCAAACCCCACGTTATCTAACCTATAGAGAAATCATTACTAAAGAGTGAATCCGTGTACTAAACACCTCTTTTTGTGTGTGTATAGCATCTTGATGACCTACGATCACATTGAAATGACATTCCATGATATGGAACACATGCCGGATGCATTCAAAGGGACCAAGAAAGGCAGTGTCTTCATGACCCCATATCGAGTAAGTTGGCAAACATGTATTTGGTATGTAAAATTCTTAATATGAAGAGTGAAGAATATAGAAACAGACCACATGATTCTTCAGTGCTTGTTTTCCTCTGAAGCTCCATGATGAATTGATGTTTTGAATCCCAGCTAGCCATCTGAAATATCTTTACTTGTAAAGCCAAGCATATTGATGCAAAGAAGTAGGAGGGTTGTATGGAGAGGAGGAGATATGATGGTTATGATGATGGTGATAAATTCAATTTCTTATTTGCCCTTTTCCACATGGTCCCAGGGAGGGGAGGGTGAGTGGCTCCTGTTACTTAGAAGTACCGTGAGAGGTGGATTTTTCCAGGGCTACGCATGTTCACGTAATAAATCCATTAACCTTCTGGGGGGTGCTATGAAAGTTTCTGGAAAGAGGTGAGCAACAATGGCAGGTTGTGTGTGTTTCTGAAATGCATTGCTGCATCGTAGTATCAGTTGAATGAATGGCTAGGCTATTGTTCTAATGAATACATGACCTGTGAAAGTCTTCATTTTGAAAGCCCACTTTAGTTTTTCAGATTTTAGCTTCTAACAGTAAGATGGCTTTTTATTCTGATGCTAAATGTACCTTTTAAAGGAGATGTATTCTTTTTGCCTGCAGGTTATCTTTGTGTCTAAAGGAAAAGATGCAATGCAGTCTTTCATGATGCCCTTTTATTTGATGAAAGAATGTGAGATTAAACAACCAGTTTTTGGAGCAAATTACATCAAGGGGGAAGTGAAAGCAGAGGCAGGAGGTGGGTATCATACCAAAGCCATTGTGTTTGGTGATGCATTCAGTTTCTGACTTGAATTAGAAAGTGAAGAACTAGCAAAGAATTTGGATTCTTATGGACCACATGACAGCTTTATTACCAGCAACAAACTTCTCTGAAGAGCGTAAGAATTGCAGTGCTGGATCTGATGAAACAGCATTTATTCCAGCATTCATCTCCACCACTGGCCTGTCAGATGCTCCAGAATCTGATGATTCTGCACCAGTTTAAACATGGTGGTTTATATTTTTAGCTATGGATTTTTCTAAATCTGTTTTTAAAACTTTGTGTGCTTGGGGAGCCACTATAGTATCTTCTGCTAGTAAAATCCTTAAGAGTAGTCATGCTTTGTGTCAAAAGATACTGAATATGCATGCATCCTGAACCTTCTGTTAGCCCAGTGCATTTTATTGGAGGACCCCAAGTTGCAATGTTAAGAGAGTGGATAATTGTATGGGAGCACCCCCTCCCTTCGGCCTTCAGAACTTCCTGTAAAGAATTCACTGAACCCACACATTTCTTCCTGTCCTGTTCTCGTCATTCTTTATCCTAGTCCTTGCCAAAAATATTAGTTCTATGAAAAACCAAATATTGCATTTCTAGAAGTACATGCCTTTTGACCAAACTGCGGGAGGCAGTGGAAGACAGGAGTGCCTGGCGTGCTCTGGTCCATGGGGTCATGAAGAGTCGGACACGACTATACCACTAAACAACAACAACATCAACAGAAGTACATGCCAGAACTGCAGTATTGATTATTTTAATCTGTCCAGTTAGGTCTTTAGAGAGAGTTGGGATTACCTTTGCAGAAATGGTTTCTAACTTTACTTGCAAGCAGTTGAGCTCAACTAGGTATGTCGGAAAAGTTCAAAATTCAGTGTGTCAGAACTCTTTTTTGGTAACAAAACTGTAAGGAAAATTTTGTCCCATTCCTTCTCTACCTTTGTACTTCTAATGAAGCAGGATGTCACAGGAAAAAATGAGCTCATGCTCCACTTTGCAGATAATAAAACTAAATCAGCCGAATTATTTTATCTATTTAGCATCCTTAAAAGGCTCACAATGAACAGCAGTCCAAGTCCCAGAGGATTTAAGAAAGACAATTGAGCTATAACTTTATCTTGGCTGTAGCCTTATCTCTTTTGCTTATGTAACTCTATTTCTTCATTTCAAACCTCAAACTTAATTCACTAAAAAGCAATTGAGCAGCATTTGCTTCTGTACAGCAAGAGAGAGGCTTTTGACAAAAGTTAGATTAGCAATCTTCCATCCCACTCTGACTTCTGTCATTCTTATAATGTATTAAAAGGCGGCAATTCTAAAGACACTTCCCAAGAATAGTTCCCTTTCATGAACATATTGCCTCTACACATACTTGTGCCTCAAGTTTAATAGACACTTAGTCACATGTAGTGTATTGTCAGCAGTGGCCTGGATGATATACTCTGTTTGTTTCTAAAATGGGAAGTTCTGTTATCATTAATTTTATTTCTTTAAACCAAGGGATCTTTTGTGAGCCTTATGATATACTTCCCATTTAATTTCTTGTCAAATGATTGTAATTCCAGACTGATCTGTGGCTAGCTAGTGAGGGGAGTTGTAGAGACTTTTTAGCAAATTGAATTTGCCCTTGCTGACTCAGAATAAATCTAAGCTTGTTGATATTTAAGGTTGGCAGACAGAATTTTGTTGTCCTTTGTTGTCCTTTAACCACATTCTAAGGGATGTGTTTCAAATTCATGTACCTTTCAGTCTTTTGACTCCACTCAGCTTGCAACCTTCTTAAGGACCTAAGATAAGATAAAAGCCAAGTTACGTTTTGCATCCAGAAAATTGCAACTCTACTTTTATGATAAATTACATAAATCAGAGATGGGTGGTTTTTGCTTTTAAACCATTTTTATTACCAGCAAATTTCCAGCTTGATAAAAACAAATATTACAAGTCATTCTTTCATATACAAAAGAATATCAACTCTTCACATCAGAGAAGTGCATTACTTTGTCTCAAGGCAAATTAAAGAGAAACAAATCTTCATGTTTGGATACTGAATAACACTTGCTTTATAGAACAGCCTGATAACAGATAAAGTGGTACCTCTAGTTGCGAACGGGATCCGCTCCGGAGGCCTGTTCACAATCTGAAAAGAACGCAACTCGCGTCTGTGCACGCGCGGGTCACGATTTGCCGCTTCTGTGCATGCGCGTGATATCATTTTGCACATATGCGAGTGGCAAAACCCGGAAGTAACCTGTTCCGGTACTTCCAGGTCGCCGCGGGACGCAACCTGAAAACGCTCAACCTGAAGCAAACGTAACGTGAGGTATGACTGTACTCCCCTTCCATTCTTACAGTTTATTTTACCTTTTCCCTAGGAGGTTGGGAAGGATCCACAACTTTCAAAATGACGTTCTCCGCAGGAGGTGCCATTGAATTTGGACAGCGTATGCTGCAAGTAGCATCTCAAGGTACTCACTGTTTTTTGGTAAAAGAAGCCAGTTCTGCTAAATATAATCTGAATATATTTTGCTGAAAAGAAGGAGTGTGTGTGTGGGTGTGTGGGTGTTGGAGAGAAAGGCAGAGAGAGAGAAGAGAGAAATTAAAATATAGCTGAGTGATTTAAGCTATTTGAGAAATTCTAAGGGTTTGGGGTAAAATTGAACTTTGACAGTACTTTGATTGAATGGCTTGCTTTGAAAGCTCCTCCTACTAGGAGAGAAAATAACAGCTATTGTAGCTACAGAATCAGTAAAGTAAAAGCCATAGTGAAATAGAGGATGAGATGGTTGGACAGTGTTCTCGAAGCTACCAACATGAGTTTGACCTAATTGTGGGAGGCAGTGGAAGACAGGAGTGCCTGGTGTGCTCTGGCCCATGGGGTCACGAAGAGTCGGACACGACTAAACAACAACAAAGTTGCAGCTTTTCATTGACCCTATTTGCAAAAAACAAAACCACTCTTGGTATTCAGTATCTCAAAGACACTCCATTATGTGTGGCACTAGGCAGGCACAATAGATGCTTTCACACCTGACCTAGCCCTTCAAACAGGATTTCTCTCCTCCACCCTAGCTCATTGCCATTAATGACCTGTTGTTCCTTATACCCGCTGATTATCAAAGGACAGTCCAAAGTCCTTCCAACTCCCTAATATGCATTGCTGCCTTTTTCCTCAACATCTTTTTCAGTCAGCCGCTCCTGCTGCTTCCCAATTCTTCCAAATGGCTGATAGTTATGGGACCTGGGTCTCCTTCCATGTCTCCTTCCTTGGCTTATTTGCTCAGTAAAGCATTTCTTCTTGTCATCTTCATCCCCACCTGAGGGGTGCATGAACACTAGGCATCAGGCCAGACAATTTACATTGCTGAATATTTCCTCTTTTCCTACTGCACCAGACTCCTCATGCCAACTGTACAGCGCGTGCTCTGAACTCATTAAGATTTCATGGTGGTGTTGTAAGATATGACAAGCCGTATATTTTATTCCTCTCACCCACTGCAGATTTCTTAACATTATAGTAGTGAGTTTCAAATTTGTTGAAGTTCGTGCCCTATGGTGTTTTTGGCTGATGTGTTTTTGAAACGGACACTGATCATAATTTCCTTTCCTTTGTTTTGCAGCCTCAAGGGGTGAGGTCCCCAATGGAGCCTATGGTTACTCATACATGCCGAATGGGGGCTATACCTTCCCACCACTTGCTGCCAATGGGATATACCCTACTCCCTCGGGGTATCCATATCCTCCACCACCTCCGGGTGAGTATTGAAAGTGGGAGAGGGAAAATCTAGTTAAATTAATATTTTTAAAAAATTGAAAATGAGAGAAAATAATAGAGCTCCTTTGCTTTGTCGTGATTTCTGGCTACTCCCTTGTTAAATGTGGGCCACTTTTGTTTTGCTTGAAAGCACTTACTTTTAATAACTACAGAGTTCCCACAGAAAACTCAGCCTATTCCTAGTACTTTCCATAATGATGAGTGTCTTCAGATGCCATGAGGTAGTTATCATGGCATAAGGTAGTCATCATGCTGTGAAGTAACTTTGAACTTGGCATTTTATCTGCCATAAGTTGCCAGGCACAATACAGAAAAATGGTTTGCTGGTGACAGGGTTGAATCTGACATGCTCTTCCTCTAAGATTCCCTGTTTTTAATAATATAGACATTGTTTTAAAATATATTGTATCAGCCAGAAGGTATATGGTTTAGTGATGCATTACAAAACTCTCTCTGCAAACACTTTATTCTTCCTTGGAGCAGAATTGTATCCTGGTCCCCCAATGGATGAAGCCATGGGATACATGCAGCTTCCTCCCCCTCCCTATCCAGGGCCCATGGAACCGCCTGTCAGTGGTCCAGACCTTCCTTCGACTCCAGCAGGTAAGAGAGGTGCCAGGATGGCTGCATCACATATCCTCTGAACAGTGACATATCTGTAAAGGGCCTTCAAGCCTGGATTCAGCAGGATTCACTAGACTTTAAAGCAGCCTGAATAATGTTTATTTAGCTTCTCCTTGCAAACTTCCTAAAAGGGGGGGGGGGTTGTGTTTTGGTGAGCAAAACTTTAAAGGGCATCTTTCTAAAAATGGTACAGTTGAGGTTTCATGTTAAACACCATGTTCTAACTCCAGAGCTAGCACAATCTGTTTACAAAGAAATGATTGTTTCCTCGCTGCCAACTTTGCAAATGCAATTAATGCAATAAGGGAAAATAGAGGTTTTCTTCTACATTTTGGGTCATCAGGAAAGGGATAAAAACACAGCAGCTGCTCCATCAGACAAGCCAGGCAAGGATTGAACTTTGTTTACCATAGCAACGACATAGAATAACATGGATATAATAACAGCACTAGCTTTGCTTATTTGGTGTCACTGTGTAATACAGATTAAACAAGAACTACACACAGAGAGAGAAGGTTTTGTAGGAATTTTTGAGGGCTAAAAAAGATGCAGATCTGTGTCACCACTGAAGAGTTGCAAAATGGCAGAGCGCGCTTAGTTTACAGTGACAGGTGGGAGGCAGTTACTTAAACCTTTTATTTCCCACTGTGTTCATCCCTGTAATCCTCCTTTCTCCCTTCTCCTCCACCAACACTTCCATCTCCTGTCAAATGCTTCAGAATCCAGGCTGGGAAACAAGGTTGTTGGGGGAAGAATTTAGCATTGCACTTCTGGCCTGCCACTCCTCTACTTCAAATTGCACCCTCCTTCTGCCACTTTGCAGCTGTTTGGCAATGATTCAACTTTCCAAACTGGAATCTGTCGCAGATTTCTCGTTTGGCTTTTAGGACAGAACTGCTGTTATACAATCACAGATCTTGCAGCAGATTCTTACAGTGGGTCTGAGTTTGATGCTTGGCGATCGGTTATTTACCAAAAAAAAAAGCAGTTTACAAAAAGAACCAAACAATTGGATGATAAGTTAGAGCAGTTAAAAACAAATATTTAAAACATCAACAAATAAAAATCAATGAATGGCAAACTAAAAACAGATTAAACAAGCACCAGCATTCTATATAGATGGCTAGGCTTATCTAAACAAAAAATGTATTTATCAGGCACTGAAAAGAGGAAGTGAAGGTGCCTGACGTCAGTAGGCAGGGAGCCTCACCTGAGATGCTGCAATTGCAAATGCTGATCCTACCTAACTCATGATGTTTTTCTTCCAGCTGAAGCGAAGGCTGCAGAAGCTGCTGCAAGTGCTTATTACAACCCAGGCAACCCACACAACGTCTACATGCCAATGGTATGCTTTGCACCTGCATGTCATTGCAGTCTTAGAAAGGAAGGGAAGATTGGGCACAAAGTATTCCATCTTGCTCTTGGCATCTCTTCCAGCCATATTGTACTGTTAGTAAATAAGACAAATTAATGTGGGTGCAGCAGTCAAAGAGCAGGAGAGGGTGAGGGATGCATTGAGGATTTTGTGAAATAGATCCTGGTGGCAAAAAAAGAGCAGGACTTGTTTCCCACCGTAGGGCAGCCTTCTCTGATGTGGTTCCCTCCAGCAGTTTTGGACGACAACTCGCATCACCCTTGACCAATAACTATTAATCCTGGCTGGGGCTGATACAGTACTCCAGCATCACCTGGAAGGTGCTAGGTTGGCAAAGGTTCTTTAGTTCAATACAAGAACTGTCCGTGTAAATTCAAGAAGACATTTCATATATTCTCATAGCTCATTAATCACTTGAATAGTACTCTTGATGCAAAAAGCACTTTGCAGTCTTCATAGCACTCCTTAGTGAATTTATTGTAGAGCAGAGGTTGTTTTGGAGTTTGCAAGCTTAGCAATATGTATTTACCTCAGGACTGGGAAACTTGGGGGGGGGGGCACGTGCCAGTGGTGAATGGAGCTACAGCCAAAAGCGAGTACCAGGGGAGAGACAGATTGCTGTTGCCAGAAGACTGACCTGATTGCTTACAGGGGGCTCCCCACTCTTCCTTCTTTTGTGCAGTCTGTTTCAGCTCCACCCCCTGCATCCTAATAAAATTTGGCCACATACAGCCCTCAGGCCACAGGTTCACCAACCTTGATTTACATATTTGAGTGCTCTGAAGTAGTAAATTGGATTGCTCCTTCACGGTTGGCATTGTTTACGAGGTAATGAACTGAAGTTAATTCACACAATCTCTCTCCCTTTCTCTCATTTTAGGACCAGCCTCCTCCTCCTCCTTACTTTCCTCCAGAGGACAAGAAAACCCAGTAAACAGCCACCATACACTGCTTCATTTTTGCCACTTGGCTAAATGTTGATTAGGGATATGACAATGGTAAGGACCATTTAACCTCCCTCTCGTACACGTAACTCCCACAAACAGCAGTGGTAGATACGTGCGGCATTAGAAAAGAGATCTAACATTTTCCTGGATTGTTACATATAGAACTAAAAATATATTGTTTTCTTTTGTATGGTTCTTTCTCCATGTTGATGATATAATGGAGAAAGAGTTTTGTTCTTCCTCTCCCATCCCATCTTTCAACTGTCCTGGAGAATGTTCCTTCCTGAACAAAGACCACTTAAACTGAAAACTTAACCAACAGCTATTGAATTAGATAGGTGTTGACACTCTGACTGTGTTGACCAGCTCTTTCGTGGTGACGCTTCGGAAGAAAATCAACTTTGTGATCTACTAGACAATCCTTAGTTGCATGAACCCCCGCTATGTTGCGACCAAGGAAGTGCACTGATCTCTTGACAAGATCATCTGGTTCTATTTGGACACTGGACTCTTCTGCCATTTCTTCCGCAAGATGCATGTATGGTGGAATGTATGCATCGTCTTTTAATTTTGAACATTCCTGTTGAGTCACTTATACATCTTGGTCCTTTTCTTTCATACAACAACAACAAAACATTGGCTGCAAAGTTCTGGCAGTAAAACATCATACCTCTATGGTAAACTTGGTAATTTCTTTGACCATGCGGTTTGATCAGTTACCTAAACACTAATTCCATCTTAGCAGCTGAAAGCATTTCTAGGGAAGAAGATGGCTCGTATTTTGATCTATTTATTTAATTAGTTTTGTTTGATTTTATTTATTTGTTTTTTATCCCTAGCATTCTGAGCATGCTATAATCTGAGGCAAAGCAATTCCCCTTTGGTTGCTTATGCTCAAAATCCATTAATTCAACTCAAAGAGGTAGAGAAAGATCACCTTCTGGACTGGGGATAACTTAGATGATGTCTAAACTAACAGAAGGGGAAATAAGAAAAGCCTCTTGGAGTTTTCTGCATCTTCTGTTTCCTCTCTGAGGCAGAATATTAGCAATTGGTTTTGAATAGCAGTAGCCCTTTGATGCACGGAGCATAGCAGACTCCCAAAGATCTCAGAAACCCATTTACTGGAATATTTGGAATTTGACAGAGCTGTATGACCCAGCATGTATGTGTTACCAGAAATCTGTTTCATTAGCATCACTTGTGACTTACACCAGACTAAAATCAGAATCTGATTTGTACAAAAATCTTCCCTCTTTCCCTGTAATCTGTGACACAGAGGAAGTGCTTCAAATCATGGCTCTCTCAAATGCTAACTAACTGAGCCCATGCAGAAAACCTGGGGCATCTGTTCACAATTGCTTTAATCATGGGTATCCGGCAGTGTTTGAGACCACCCTAGTTAACTCCAGCTTTGTGCACATTGCGACACTGTTCCACTTAGCAAGGGATGCCAACTGCTTCCTGTTGTCATTGCTGCAGAGATGTCCCAAGGAAAAACACAGGTAGTATCTGTGGCCAAAATTATAGCAAAGTAGGATGGCTTAACTGCATGCCTCTGCAGTGCTTGATTTGTGCTCCCCTGACTTAGCTGTCTGTTTCGTTTTGAATAACATTCCTGACCTTGTGATTTATCCCAGGGGGTGGAAGTGCAAACTTGTTTAGTCTTTAAAATGTCCCTATTTGCATTTATTGCAGTTACCGCACTATGCTGCAAAATTGAGTGACAGCCAAGTGGATGAGAATCTTGAGTTTCTGCAGGAATCAAATTTAGTTTGTGTGCTTTTTTGAATAGTGGGAAAGGTGTCTCCTGCAGGAGCTCAAAAAACACCCTGTACTAATGAAGCTTGCTGAGATACTAGGTGTGTGATGCCCCAGATAGGCAAAGCCCATTTCTGGAGTCCTTAGTTTGAATTTTCAAATGCTTTCTAGCTGACAAGTGATGTTAATGCGTGTGCACGCCCCCTTCCCATCTAATGCACTGACTTTTTTCTAGAATTGCTATTTAAACTGCAGTGATGTAAAGAAATGATTATTTAAAGAATTGTATTTTGGGGAAGTTCTATCGATACCTTATGGATGTGAAGTGGGTCTTCTGAATGCAAGGCTGACTTTTTATTTGCTCAAGACTGTGAAGTAAAGATAACTTACAACAACTCTCTGTGGCTCATTGTGACTGCATATTTGGGTGGGCAGCTGTTTTGCTGTGGTGAAATTGCCTTCACAGGCTTTCAGATGGAAGAGTCATTTTACAAGTAAAGCCTGGGTTGCTTGTGCAGGGTGATTCTCTTTCTGTGTCTTCCACTGATTTCTGTCACAACTGAAACGGAGTTAGTTTATTCCATCAGACCTTGTTTAAATAAATTGCATGGTTTTAGATATTCTTGCAGAAGCCAGCTAAAAAAGAATTTGCATAAATGTATTCACAACTCAAGTGGAACACAATAAAGTGTATGATTTTTTCTGGATTTGCTTAACTATTTCACTGGGTGTCTTTTAACTTGGACTGTCAACAAACCTTCTACCATAGAGATATCAAGCACTCCCAAGTTAATTCCCCTGTCAAAGTCTCTCAGCACACAGAGTGCTCTTCTCCCTGAACACTCCTGTTCTGAATCAGATGGTTCTTGTGCCCTTATGTGTGTTTACTTCACTCCTCCACCAGAAGATTGATGCAAACCACAACAGAGGTTCAAAGGAACAGATGAGGTGAGGAGGAGAGGAAAGGCAGAAGAGGGAGTGGTGGATCAAAATGGACCCTGAAGTTGCCACCTTCCCCACTCTTCAAACTTTTCTGTGAAATGCTTTATTACATTTGTAACCTGCCGTTCATACAAGAGGTGGAGAGACTACACCTTACAAGAAATATGGTGCTGCTGTTTTCAGTGGCAAGTCCCCCAAATAGACACACATAATGTGTCCAGTGTCATTGTACTATGTGCTTTCCCCCACCAGTGCTCTGTGTCGCTGGCTGGTATGGGTAGGGAAATTCACGAAAAAAAGGATGGTGGGGCATGGGCAGGTTTTAGTACATGCTACAGAGGGGAAACACTCCTGACTGCTTCAAATTATACAACAGCCACCCCATGGGAGTTGTCAGTAACACTTCCACGTGGCAGCTCTGTGGTGGCGGTTATGAAATGACCTTCAAGTTCCCTTCAGAGGAAGGGAAGAGTTCCTGTTAATCGCTCATGAAAAAATGCACAATTTGGCCCATGAAGCTCTTGCATGAAAAATCTAGAGTAGAATCTCTAGCACACCTTTTGCTCCTCCTGGTAGGAGGCACCTTGTGGGACTCCCAATATCCAGAAATGAAGGTGACTTGCAACCTACCATACTAGTGCTGGTAACTTCAGACTGTTTCTCCCTGAAACAAGTTCAAGGAATCCATGAAGTCTGCTCTCACCTCTCATCACCTTCGCCCTCAGGTAGATGGAGTAAGCAGTGCCACACCTGAAGAGATGGATATCCGCTTGATATTGCATTCATTTGTTGAAACAGTTTATATGCCATTAACCACAATTGTCTCTAAGCAAATTACAGGGGTACAATACAAAAAGTAAAAATCAGAAGTATAAAATCAAACCACTAAAAATGCCTGATGCAATAAAGAAATCTTCAGCAGGAGATAGAAATTCAGTAGGGCAGGGTCCTGTCTGATATCAGCTAGAAAGGAATTCTGTAAAAATTGGCTTGCAACACTAAACACACAGCGCCTGGTGGGTAAGGCTACTAAGAGTGACTGGCCCAAAGACCTCCATGATCGGGGAGGGATATAAAGAGTTAATGCAATGATGGCATTGATGGCAATGTCTGTTTCTGGGGGTCTATTATTCAATAATATGTGAGTGGAAGATGACATAGTCGTCTCAATGATGATGAAAAATGATCAAAGATAATTTGATAATTTGCACAATTCTGGAACTGTTATTTACACACACACCATGCACATGTTGCCAGTGGATGCTGGTCCACTAAGGCATAATCCTGCCAGGAGAACGCCAAGCAATTAAAAAGCCCTCCAAAATCTGAAAGCCACAATTTCCTGTCTCACATACACTTTTTACTTCTCACAGGAGTTCTGCAAACATTTCTGTCAGTCAGGTCTGTGCAGCCCTCAGCCTAATCCCAAAACCCAGCTGTAGCAAAGAAGGCCTTCCCATGTATCTAAGCAGGAAAACTCTACAAGTGATCAGACAGGCAGGCCTCAAATTAAGGCTTCCACTCCATCTGCTATGCGGCCTAACCATCATTTATAACAGTATTGACCTGTTAGGGATGCCTTGAAGAGCAGTCTGAGCATGCTCAGAGCTGTTTTCTTGAAAGAAAGCAAAGCACATTCTTCGTAGTTCACCAGAAGGGTATGCTTGCTAGCTTGAGCAGCTTTTTAAATGAAGAATAATTGTTAAGGTGAACAGTGTGTGTAAGTATATTTCATTAATATCCGTTCTCAAATAATTTGCATTCATTTATGTGAATGAGAGGAGAAATGGTGGGTGGTTTCTATGTGTGTTGCAACCTTCAACACTGTGTGTTGTTGGGACAATAGGGTTTCTGGGTGTGTCTCTAGATTTGAGAGAAGTATAGAGTTTTGCATTCAAACAGGATGTGTGGTGGTCTTCTGTGAGAACAGGGTGCTGGACTAGATAGGATATTCAGCAGGAAATTCAACTGTGGCGATTATGCAATATATTACGTATATAAAGGTTGCTTGTGGAATTGCCTTATTAAATACAGACAGAAGTTCCGTAATGGTGAGGCAGGTGCACTCTGTACATGCTCACACTATTTATTTTGAGGCTTATATCCTTTAGGCCAAATTCTATATCCTGTGCTAAGGTTTGTTAGGAGGAGTTGGTAGTGCTGATAGTCAAAGCCCTTAGTCTGCATCACACCCTGATTGGGTAGAATATTGCCTGCACATTTTTCTTCTCAGTAAAGTCAATTGGCAAAAGCCTCCCTATTTTCATACCTTTAAAAATAAGTGCACCAGAGGATGTGGAGACTTAACATAAAAATCCTCCTTTCTGTCACTGGCTTATTGTGTGGTGCTGAGAACATTAATCTTGTATTCTTTCATTTAATGGGCTAGCCAACCAGCCATGAAATGAAACAATAATCAAGAAGCACTTCAGAGACTAGTAAATATTATTCTATAAGATTTCAGCCATTACTGAGAATGATGCAGACGACAAAGTGGGTTTTAGCCTCCAATAGCTTATGCCATAATGAATTTGTTAGTCTTTAAGGGGCTAGTACTGTTTTTGTTGTTTTTGCTGAAACTGGCAAACTTAAAATGCAATTCAGAAAAGTATGGCGGTGCAGAGGATGGTTCAGATGAGAACTTAGTGTGCAGCATCTTTATGTAGTACAGAATTATCAGTTGCATCCTGCCCATACACCCCACAGAGACTAGCTTGTCTTAGAAGACAGCCACACACTGGACTTGCCACAGATTTACATGTAAAGTCCAGGGTTTGTAGGCCTGAATATCCTTAATGTGTGTCCCGGATTCTTTTTTCCCTTTTATACTAAGAGCTGTTCAACAGTGGAACAGACTCACATAAGTCTGTGGTAGACTGTACTTCCTTGGAGGTTTTTAAGCAGAGGTTGGATGGCCACCTGTCATGGATGCTCTAGCTGAGATTCCTGCATTGCAGGGGGTTGGACTAGATGACCCTTGGGTCCCTTCAAACCCTAAAATTCTATGATTCTGTGTTTCCAAACTAGCCCCCTCTCCACCATTTCAAAATAAGGGGCAGACAAACTAGAGGGGGACATTTATTTTCGTTTATCAGTATTACATTTAAATCCATTCCACCTTTCCTCCAAGAGGTTGAAGGTGACATTCATGGGTTTCCTCTTTCCCCATGTTATCCTCATAGCAACCCTGTGAGAGACAGCAACTGGACCAAGGTCACACACTGAGTTTCATGGCCAATTTTAACCCTGGTCTGCCAGGTCCTAATCCACTTAAATTCCCTCCACCTTATTCCACATTCTAGAAAAAAGATACAGAAGTAGATAAGCAGGGGATATAGGCATAGCCGGGGTGTGTGTGCGCAGGGGGGTAGCTACCTTCCATCAAGTAAATAAATAAAAATAATTAACTGACCAATTGCATCACAGGTAGCTCGATTCTGCCACCCCCCAACAAAATTCCTGCCCACCCCCAACATAAATCCTGGCTACAACCATGGCAGGGGAATAATGGTTTCTCATAGGTCAGACAAAAATTATGGGGTTCTTTGTTTACAGTCCTGTGTGGCACCTTTAAGGCTAACCAATTCAGGCTGCAATCCTGTTCCTACTTATCAGGGAGCAATCCCTATGGAATTCAGTGGGGTTTACTCCTGATTAATACAGTGATACCTCGGGTTAAGAACGTAATTCGTTCTGAAGGTCTGTTCCTAACCTGAAACTGTTCTTAACCTAAGGTACCACTTTAGCTAATGGGGCCTCCCGCTGCCTCCACGCAATTTCTGTTCTCATCCTGAAGCAAAGTTCTTAACCCAAGGTACTATCTTTGGGTTAGTTGAGTCTGTAACCTGAAGCATCTGTAACCCGAGGTACCACTGTATATAGCTTCGTTGGCATGAACGCACACTCAAAATTGTGACAGCAGGGAACTCTTCAGAACCAAAGTAATACACTTTTCAGTTTGGTTAGGTGCTGTTTGTAAAATTGCAATGCATAAGCATCCACAGTAGCTTTGCAACGGAAGAGGATGGGGAGAAAACCAGAACAACTTGGTCACACACACCTGTGACCACTCACTGGCCACGCCCCCCCGACCTCCTAGCAGCCCCACCTGGTCTAGTGGGTGCCAGCTGCTGCTGCTGCTGCTGCTGCATGTTGCTGTGTCCACTCCATCCACAACCTCAGGGGATTTATCAGCGCTGTAGTGCTGCCTGCGTTCCTGCCCAGTGCTGTCTTGCCCATGGGTTTACAATGCAGTGAGTCAGTCCAGCGCGTCAGCTGTTAAAGCAGTTTCCTGCATGAGAAGCAAAGGCACACCTGGCAGAAGAATCTGTGTGAGAAGAAGAAGAAGAAGAGGTGAGTTATGGCCTCCCCGTAGCACTGTTGCAAGCCCACCCACCTGGTCTTTATCTGGTTTAGCATTTGCCGGTGAGCTCTCTCCCAAAAAAGGAATGCGTTGATAAGTCTGAGAGATGTTACGCAGAAAAATGCTACTTACAGGAAAGAATTCAAGGCAGAGCAGGGTGGGGCAAGCTTCGGCTTGGGGGTTGTATTTCAGATAGTGCTGTAAGAGTTTCACTAGCAATGGCACCCCCAAATAACTGCCTGAGGGAGAAAAATCTGAATGCTGCCCCCCTCCCATTTTACTAATAATGTTATGATAATTTAATTACAACCTACTGGCCTTTCATGGAACTCCAAGTTTTGCTATTTGCTATCTTATTTTGCTAGCAATTTAGCTTTCAACATGCCATTTTATAGAGATCTAGTCGACAAAAATTAGTTGCGCAATTCAGGCTAAAATGCTGCAAAACAGGCTCATTACAGAATTTGTTTTGCGGATGAGTACAGTGGTATCTCGGGTTAAGTACTTAATTCATTCCGGAGGTCTGTACTTAACCTGAAACTGTTCTTAACCTGAAGCACCACTTTAGCTAATGGGGCCTCCTGCTGCTGCCGCGCCACCAGAGCACAATTTCTGTTCTCAACCTGAAGCAAAGTTCTTAACCTGAAGCACTATTTCTGGGTTAGCAGAGTCTGTAACCTGAAGCATATGTAACCTGAAGCGTATGTAACCTGAGGTACCACTGTACCTTAATGGACTGTTACTGAGTTCTTACTGGTCAAATCTTTGTCCCAGGCACCTGGCCCAAAGTTGCAGAGGAAGGTGACCATGATGTTAAAGGGTCTGACTATTAAGCCTTATGGTTGAGGGAGTTGGGTACGTTTAGCCTGGAAAAGAGGAGAATCAGACGAGATATGATAGCCATCTTCAGATATCTCAAGGGCTGTCACATGGAAGATGGAACAAGCTTGTTTTTTTCTGCTCTGGAGGGTAGGACCTATCCTAAAACAATGCATTCAAGTTACAAGAAAGGGGATTCCAACTAAACATCATGGAAGAACTTTCTGACAGTAAGAGCTGTTCAACAGTTGAACCGTCTCCCTCGGGAGGTGGTGGATTCTTGTTCCTTGAAGGTTTCTAAGCAGAGGTTGGATGGCCCTCTGTCATGGGTGCTTTAGTTGAGATTCCTGCATTGCAGGGGGTTGGACTAGATGACCCTTGGGGTCTCTTCCAACTCTACAATTCAATGATTCTGTTTTAATTTTAGGTGGAGTTGGTGGTTATGGAATACCCTGAGTACGATTATTTGCTCAACTAAATGATATTTCTAGTGGATTTCACCAATCCAAACTTTGAAAATATATGATACACCCACTTTTGTATAAACCAGCCTTCTCTCTGCTACTGTTTGTTAGACATTGCCTAGTAAATAGTTAAGTTTCTGGTGTGATTATTGATTCTTCATATTGAAGTGTTGAGTTAGGAATGTCTGATTGTTACACACAGAGACCACATATGTACAGACTGTATTATTTTTTCTCTTCGATGTGACATTTCTTCTTGGCTAGTGTTTTTCTACAAACCGGGTTATACCCAAGGGCCGCTGTCATTACAGTTGTCATCTTTATATTTCCTGACAGAGGCTGTGTGCCTATAACAGCTTCCTTACAGGTAGAAATGAAACTCTCAAATACTTTTCTGTCAGCTAGCCGCAAAGACAAAGAAACCTTTTTGAAAATGTGTGTGTCAGGCGGCTGTTTGAGAAGTAGTCTAAAGGTCACATCATTAGCTCTTCAAATCATGAATAAAAACTACAGCCCTCATATATGTTTGCCAGTTGTCCAGAAAACTAACCTGTGCGTAGTTAAACTGTGGAACTCGCTCCACCCACAGTGGTTCTCAACCTGTGGGTCCCCAGATGTTGTTGGACTACAACTCCCATCATCCCTGAGCTCTGGCCTTGCTAGCTAGGGGTGATGGGAGTTGTAGTTCAATAACATCTGGGGACCCACAGGTTGAAAAAGGCTGCTCCACAGGAAGCATTGATGGCTACCATCACTTGAATGACTTTAAAAGAGGATTTGACAAATTTCTGGGGATAAAGCTACTAGGCATTATGACTATTCTCTTCCTTCATGGTCAGTGGCAGTAATACTTCTGAGTACCTGTTGCTGGAAACTGCAGATGGGGAGAGTGGTCATGTGCTCTGGTTCTGGTTGCAGGTTTCCAGCAGGTATCTGAGTGGCCACTTGAGAACAGGATGCCAGCCTGATCCAGCAGGCTTTTCTTATGTTCTTCGCCTGATCTGCTCTTGTGCCAATATACACTGGATGTGCAGAAATCAGCAGGTGAGGCTTTTCATGGCATGGAGAGGTACGTTATCATTTGTGTTAAATGTCTAAAGATCAAGCTGTTTATCCATCTAGCTCACTATTAGTTACTCTACTTGTGACAGGCAGTAGCTCTGCATGGTTTTGAAAATGAGAGTCCTTCCTATCACCAGTTACCAGATCCTTTTTAACTGGAGATGCCCAAGATTGTACATGCAAACAGTGACGTAGCATGGGTTGCCAGTGCCCTGGGGGGCGTCGGAGAGAGGGAAGTGCACGGAGTATGCATGCACATTCAGTGGCATCCGCGTCAACCAGGAGATCATTGTTTCCTTCAAATACAGCAGGGGTGGCCAACTCCCAAGAGACTGTGATCTACTCAGAGTTAAAAACTGGCAGTGATCTACCCCCTTTTGTGGGGTTCAGGTCAAAGTTGTTGAGTTTTTTTCAGGGAGGAGGTAAAATGGTGAGCTTTTTTAAGGGGAGCAACAGTTATTCAGCTTCTTTGGGGGGAACCAATGATCTACCAGTGATCTACCACAGAGGTCCAGTGATCTACCGGTAGATCACGATCTACCTGTTGGACCTGCCTGAAATACAGTATTTACTCGAGTCTTATGCACCATTGAACCTAATGCACACCTCAGCATTCAGAACCTTAAAACAAAAAAAAAGTATTTGCTGGCAAATGTAAATGTGCCATTGAATGTAATGCACACCTTAATTTTCGCAATGTAATTTGGCCAAAAAAGGTGAGCATTAGATTTGGGTAAATACGGTAATCCTGGGCACTGTGATTCACCTCTCAAAGTTACAGTTCCCAGCAACCCATAACAAACTACAATGCCCAGAAATAATCTGGGTTTTACTTGCTATTCAGACTCCAATATTATTTACCAGGTAGAACACAGTTTTCTTTGTTGGCTGTTCATGCTATCACTTTCTGTACTCTACAAGAAGAGGCATCATCTTTCAGAAGTAGAACACAGACCTGATGTGACTTCAGTACAAATGAGCCACCTGATGGGAAATACCGTATTTTTCGCCCTATAGGACGCACTTTTTCCTCTCCAAAAATGAAGGGGAAATGTGTGTGCGTCCTATGGGGCGAATGCAGGCTTCAGGAAGCTATGCGCAACCCTTGGGAGACCGGCGCGACTTCCCGCCGGGCTCCCTAGGCTTGCGGATAGCAGCCTGTTCTGGGGGCTGGGGTCGGGGGAAGCTCGGGCTTGAGGGGGGGAAATTCCCCCCCTTTATTCCCCCCCCCCAAAAAAAACTAGGTGCGCCCTATGGGGGCAAAAAATACGGTAAGTATGTTCCTCTCTCTGTGTGTAAAAAACTAAAGGGTATTCACACAGTGAAATCAAGGACCACTCCTGTATATTCTTGGTGCTAAGTAAACAAGCACCTGCTTGGTTTTGATCATGAGACTGCAGCCAAAAGGTTTCTCCTTTCACAGGGTCTTGTTTTTAACTTGGAAGGGTGACTTGCAAAATTCTCTGTCTCCCCCAAAGAGATTGAATATATACCGGAAGCCAGCCAGACCCGAATGGTTTGAACAACAGTCACGCTGAGCTCACAGCACAGGCTTTTTTACTATTCTGCTTATTAGGACTCCATGGAAGACCAAAAACAAATAGAGCGATTTGTATTAATTCATTTTTTGGGGCCAGTGCAGCCAATTAGAGCAGAGCAAGTCCTTACTCTGGCCTTACCAGCTGCCTGTTGTTAAAGGTCCTAAGTGCATACTTCCTGTCAACAATGACGGGGTTACTGTCTGCTTGACTATAATCAATGGATAATGCAATAAGAAACTGATTTACGTTTCCGCCCTGAGGCGGAATGGGATTGTATGATCTGCAGGGTGCTATTACTATTGAGGGAACAGAATCCTTCAAGGAATAGAACAGCTGGCGGCAAAGTTCAGTTTGGCATATCAGACAGGCAGTAGCCGGGTGGAGCACTGCTGTGTAAAGAGCAAAAATGAAAACAGACTAGGTAAGCGTTGATGTTAAATATATGTCTGACGGGAGAAGCTGCTTTTGTGGGTGCATCTTAGAACGTCTTCTAGTAGGTTGGAAGTTTCTGAGGATTTCAATTTTGAAAGAGACTTTGTCTGGCATTGTTTGTGGTAATAGATCCATTTCTGTGCCACACAGATAAGACCACACACTCATGAAATGCATCAGCTAATCTGAACTTGACTACTATATGCACCTTGTGTACTCGGTCACTATTAAAGAATTCTAGTGATTTTATTATGAAAATGCTTTCAGAGGGACCCCTTCCTACACACCCATCTTTTACTACTGTTAATCATTTTGGTTATGATGAATGTGAGCGTGTGGCTTAGAGAGTGACCCTGTGCACGTTTACTTGGAAGCAAGTCTCACTGTGGATGAGGTTTATTCCCTAGTAAGTGTACTTAGGAGTGAAGTCCAATGGTCCAGACGTGTAAAAGAGATAATTATTCATTCAGAGATCATCACGTGCTATTTGTGTAGAGCTGAGTTAGAATTTGCATATGTGCCATGTCTCCTTGAAATAAATTATGGGATGCTGCTACAGCTCCATAGAATATTGTGGAACAGCCCTTTTTCATGCACCCCTGTGGTATGTCTTCCAGTGTTTTAGAATATTGATCTGGCTACTTTTAACTCAATGGATAAACCTCCGTCCAAATACTACTGGAGGTATAGCTTGAGGCCTCTGAACACAGGATATATAGGAGATGATTGGAGGTGGGGGAAGAGGTGCTCATGAAAAATGTATTCCTGATACAGCATACATCTCTCCAGTTTATCAGTAACTACACTTATGTATGTTTATAACATGCTTTTGCTTGCCTTAAGGAAAACACAGTTAAAACTATAGACACTAACGCTTTTGAGGCAGGATGTTCTCCATATCAGATCAGAATTAAGTGAATACTAACAGGACAATCCAATGCATGTTTATTAAGAGTTAAGTCTCAGTGTGTTCAGTGGAGCTTCCTTCCAGGTTAAGTATGCATGGGATTGTCGCCTTAATCTATACTGTATATTATCTCAGGCCTTTGGCCTTTTAAACCGTGGGGTTATTGTTTTTGTTTGTTGTTATGAGATGTATTTTTGTGTTTTTATATTGAAAACCACCCAGTGATCTTAATAATAATTGTATACGAACAAAATTTCATAATTTAATTCTCATGCAATATCTAGGCTTCATTTATTTATTTTGACTCACCATGATATTCGACAATCAAAATAGCTGAGGGTGAAGACAGGCATTCTAGAGACTCAGCTATGCTAGTAAAGAAACAGCGATTTGTATTTTCTATAAACATGCAACACCAGATGGCGCCAGAGAGCAGGAAGTTTTAAAACACAATTTTCTATAGAGATTTTTTTTCTTTTGCTGTAACAATCTAATTCCGGCATAGGCAAACTCAGCCCTCCAAATGTTTTGGGACTACAACTCCCATCATCCCTGAACACTGGTCCGGTAAGCTAGGGATAATGGGAGTTGTTGTCCCAAAACATCTGGAGGGCCGAGTTTGCCAATGCCTGATCTAATTTATGACTTATTTATAGCATTCCCCCCTGTGTCTAGATCCACCCTAAGTGTGGTAACAAATACATGAAAAGACTTGGTGCATTTCAAGTCACGTGCTTGCAAGGTGGAGGGAATGTGCTGAAGCACCCTCCGTTACCCTTTAAAACGACTTGTCTATACCCCTTAAAATTGTGCAGCTTGACTGAACTATACGGAATAGCGATAATATAAAATTACCCCATTTGTTGGTTACGTTATTTTGTTAGTTCCCTGGAATATCTTGTGTGTCTGTGTGTTTACGGGAATGAGGAAGTAAAAGTGAAAGAGAGAGATGGCACATGAGACACACGGTGATAGGGTTAGAATGAGTGTGTTAAGGACCAAAAGTTCATCCATATCTCTTTTGCTTTCATTCTGAATCTTCAGCAAACCTGCTTTCCAGTTATGTTCTGCATCCTTGATGAGCAGTGGCGTAGCGTGGGGGGTGCAGGGGGGGCCGGCCGCACCGGGCGCAACATCTGGGGGGGGCGCGCTCGCACTCGCAGCTCTCTGCCCCTACCTGGCTCACTCACTCTCTCTCACTGCAGTGCTGGCTGTGTGAATCCGATCCGAGCCGCTGGGTCGCCGCCCACTGTGGAGGGGGTGGGTGCCAGGCGTGCGGTGCGGAGAGAGAGCGAGGGACTATCTGGGGGAGGGACAGTGCAGCGGCCGCCCTGCGCAGCGCTGAGCGCGGGAGAGAACCACACCAGACCAGACCAGGCAGCAGCAAGAAGAAGCTGGCAGCGGCGGCAGGTTAGGGGTTAGGGAGCGCAAATTACTTGCCTTGCCCCGGGTGCTGACAACCCACGCTACGCCGCTGTTGATGAGAACGACATGCTTGTTGAAACAAAAGGCGAGGTTGTCATGATGCAATGAGAGAACGGGCACGGGAACTCTGCAGCTTTCTGTTAGAGCTGCTGACCTAGCTCTGCAGCAATAATGGTTGGACAGTGATTGTTATGTTCCATTGGCCATAAAGACACTCCCCCTGCTCTCAGATACTTGATCTGGAATTTGGAATAGGAGCTCTCTTTCCTGCATACTCTGTTTTATCTGCGACAAAAAAAAGTTCCGCCTTCCTTGTTGGGCTGCAAAGCAAAGTAAACTTCCCTATTTGAAGCTGCCTCTTCCTTTCCCGCCCTGACCCTTTGAAATAATACTCTGAACAGCTAGAAGGCAACACGGCGCTGAAGTTGGTTCCTCATTCAGTTTTTTGACAGAATTACAAGCCTGGTAGATGAAGGGAACGCAGTGGATGTAGCCTACCTTGATTTCAGCAAGGCATTTGACAAGGTGCCCCATGATATTCTTGTAAAGAAGCTGGTAAAATGCGGTCTTGACTATGCTACCACTCAGTGGATTTGTAACTGGCTGACTGACCGAACCCAAAGGGTGCTCATCAATGGTTCCTCTTCATCCTGGAGAAGAGTGACTAGTGGGGTGCCACAGGGTTCTGCCTTGGGCCCGGTCTTATTCAACATCTTTATCAACGACTTGGATGATGGACTCAAGGGCATCCTGATCAAATTTGCAGATGAACCAAACTGGGAGGGGTGGCTAACACCGCAGAGGACAGGATCACACTTCAAAACGACCTTGACAGATTAGAGAACTGGGCAAAAACAAACAAGATGAATTTTAACAGGGAGAAATGTAAAGTATTGCACTTGGGCAAAAAAATGAGAGGCACAAATACAAGATGGGTGACACCTGGCTTGAGAGCAGTACATGTGAAAAGGATCTAGGAGTCTTGGTTGACCACAAACTTGACATGAGCCAATAGTGTGACGCGGCAGCTAAAAAAGCCAATGCAATTCTGGGCTGCGTCAATAGGAGTATAGCATCTAGATCAAGGGAAGTAATAGTGCCACTGTATTCTGCTCTGGTCAGACCTCACCTGGAGTACTGTGTCCAGTTCTGGGCACCACAGTTCAAGAAGGACACTGACAAACTGGAACGTGTCCAGAGGAGGGCAACCAAAATGGTCAAAGGCCTGGAAACGATGCCTTATGAGGAACGGCTAAGGGAGCTGGGCATGTTTAGCCTGGAGAAGAGGAGGTTAAGGGGTGATATGATAGCCATGTTCAAATATATAAAAGGATGTCACATAGAGGAGGGAGAAAGGTTGTTTTCTGCTGCTCCAGAGAAGCGGACACGGAGCAATGGATCCAAACTACAAGAAAGAAGATTCCACCTAAACATTAGGAAGAACTTCCTGACAGTAAGAGCTGTTTGACAGTGGAATTTGCTGCCAAGGAGTGTGGTGGAGTCTCCTTCTTTGGAGGTCTTTAAGCAGAGGCTTGACAACCATATGTCAGGAGTGCTCTGATGGTGTTTCCTGCTTGGCAGGGGGTTGGACTCGATGGCCCTTGTGGTCTCTTCCAACTCTATGATTCTATGATTCCTTCCTTGCATGAACTTGCCGAACACAGCTCAAGTCAGAAAAGTTTAAAAGATAAGGATTCTATGTTCCTGAACCCCAGAATGAGCTTTGGTCTACCCCATATCATATTTTGTTTATTTCATAAAAATTACCGGTATACATGGCTTGACTGGGGGGGGGGACCCCTTTGAGTGGTTAACAAAACTAATAAAACAAAACAAAACAAAAAAAACATCTATTTAAAACATAGTAATCTAAGCAGGTGTTTCCACTGCTCTCTAGTAGCCTTATGCAGCCCATTGTCTCTTCTTTCTTTTGCCTCTGGAAGAAATAAGGGGAACGCAGGTCTTAACTTAAGCAGCTGGTATGCAGAATCAATCACCAGTACTGGGGCATTGATACCCAGGCATAATGGCTGGTATTTAATGCTACTGCTACTCAGATTAGACCTACTGAAGTTAATGGACACGCCTAACCTAGGTTCATTGGGCGTGGTTCACCTAAGTAGCTCTGCCAATTTGGAATCTTAGGTGAAAAGTTAGTACGTTGATTTCAGTGAACTTAGGCACATAAATATGATCAGGCAGCTTTTTAAGGCAGGAATTATATTGATGCAATCATGGATAAGCTACAGCTGTGAACTTTTCTGGCCCGGTAGCTGTTAAAGGCACAGACCCAGTGTGAGGAGAAGGTATTTTCCCATCTGAGTGGTGTAGTCAGCTTCAGATGCTGAGTTGTGTACATTTGTTGATTGTGTGGAATAGAAAACGTGAATCGTTTTCAAATTGTACAGTCCAGGGAATGTCAATTTTATATTTGCCCTTCAGTGCAAAATCTGATTTAAGGGCCGCCTTTGCATTATACATTTTAAACAGTACCGGGCCACTTTAAACAGTCATGGTTCCCCTCAAAGGATCCTGGGAGCTGTAGTTTGTTAAAGGTGCAGAAAGTTGTGAGGAGACCCCTGTTCCCCTCATGGATCTACAATTCTCAGAGTGGCTGAACAGTCAGTCCCAAGGAATTCTGGAGATTGTAACTGTGTGAGGGGAACTGGGGACTCAGAAACCACAGCTGCCAGGATTCTTTGAGGGAAGCCATGTATGCTTAAAGTGGTATGATACTGCTTTAAATGTGTTGATGTGCAGATGGGACCTAAGACTCAACATCCTCCCTGTGAATGCTGCTGGGATTTATACCGATAGCTTCCAGGGAAGGAGGACAAGGCAGGCATTCTTTGCCCTAGCAATTGATCATCATGGACAAACAGCAAGCTGTCCAGCGTTGTAGCTGCAATTGAAGAAAGTGTTGCTGGTCAGACAAAACAAGTTAAACCAGTTGACTGATCTAGTCTGGGAAATCGTACATTCCTAAAAAAACCTACAGCTTGTGTGTTCGAGGCTTCTGGTCTTGAAACCCCACTGGAAGAAAAAAACCAGAAAGAAGCAGTTTCTGAGGAGAAACACGAGCAGGGGAAAGGTTGAATGCCCACTTTCCTGTGTGCCTTTGCTTTGTAAAGATTTGGTGGCTGGTCTGCTGCTGTCTTCTGTATGGTTTGTCTGGCCTGGACCTTGACTAATATTCTTGGCAATGTGGCCTCTTGGTAACTGACTTTAAGAAGAGTACTTCTTGGGTGGCAGCAGACTCAGCTTTGAACACTGTATTTTCCCACCTCATCCCTGTTTCATTGACTGCTTTTTAGGACTTTTGTACCTCTGGTTCATTCAAGACTCTGTGCGAGAACCAGTTATGGGTGGGGGTAAGTATTTGATTCTATTTATGTTGGAAAGGGTTGTTTTGAAGTTGAACCAGTAAAGAATAGGTGAAATGACTATCTTGTGCTGGAATTATCACCATCATCATTATTGCAAGGTTTGAAACCCCACCAGTTGTTCTGCAGGCATGGTCATTCGGAGTAAATATTGGTTTATGAAGAGAGTAGTGACAGTTGGTGGGAACTGTGCCGAAAGAATAAAAGAAATATTAAATATTAATTGCTTTGTTATATTAATTGCTAGTCATAAGGTTAGTCTGTCTTTGTACAAGGAAATCACTTGGAGTTTTAGTATGTTACGGGGCTGGTAGGAGAGGACTCAGACTATTGTAGTAGTAGCAGCAGTAGTAGTAGTAATTTATACCCCGCCCATTTGGCTGGGTTTCCCATCCACTCTGGGCGGCTCCCAACAGAATATTAAAAACACGATAAAACATCAAACATTAAAAACTTCCCTAAACAGGGCTGCCTTCAGGTGTCTTCTAAAAGTCAGATAGTTGTTTATTTCCTTGACATCTGGTGAGAGGGCATTCCACAGGGTGGGCACCACTACTGAGAAGACCCTTTGCCTGGTTCTATTCTAGAATATGTGGAGAGGGGATGTGTCTGTCGTCAGTAGCAATTTTCCCATCTCCAAGGAATATCAGGACTGGAGTACATTATAGGAAGCCTCAGGTGTCACTCTTGCTTCTGGTGACAGGAGGGGAAAGAATGGCAGTGTATAGACCATCTCGGTTGTGAGTCTTAGAAGATCTCCCTGCCTTGCAGGCCTTTTCCCGCCTGGCCTGATCTTAATTTTAGATCTCCTTTTGATTTATGTTGAAATTGTTCAATTGGGTTGTGTACTTTTTGATGTTTTAGTTATTGTTTATGGCTACTTTTGTTATATTTGTAATTATGTGATTTCCCCCCGTGTTGTAAGCCACCTTGAGCATGGAAAGGCGGCATACAAATAAAATGATGTCTGTTTGTACAGTGGAATAGAATGGAGATACTGGGGTGTGTTGGACTTAAATTTCTTCATTGTGTCTCAGTTCTTCATGCTACCACTGCCTCTTTTTCCCCCTTCGCCTAATTATTTTTTAAAAACATGTGCTTAAGCCCTTTCAGATTTAAATCCAAGCCACACAACAAATACAGTTCTCAGATACCATAGTGGAACATACCGTACTCTTTTCTTCAGATATGTGTCCATCAGTCACACTTTTAGCACTCTGCTCTGAATTTCTGTTGGTAGACTTCCTACCACAGCATTGACAACGGCTACGTCAGAGAAGGGCCATGTTGTCAGGGGTATATAGAGGTCCTGGAAGTGTGCTTTAAGGGTGAGGAATGGGCTCAAAGGGGTCAGGTTGTGATGAATGATGCCTGCTTTTCAGGTGCAATTCCGCATCTTGAATAAAAAAAAGCATCTAAGAACACAGCAAAGTAAAAAATTATAGAACACCAATTAGCCATGATTACAACAGTAGGGTGTTTTATTTTATTTTTTGTTTAGCCTGATCACCTTGTGGGAGAGCTCCTTTCCTCCACACTTGCAGGGCCCATGGGCTGCAAATGCTAAAGATTAAAAATAAAATAAACAGTGGTAAGCAGAAGATGGATTATGGTGCCTAGTGAGATTCTTGCAAAGAATGCAGGACTAGAATCTGATCCTGATTCAAAAAAGCACTTCTTATGCAAGAACATGGGTGCATACATAGGATTACTTTATGATTTAATTATACTTTATATATTAACAGACCGCTCTCTTGCGCCATGAATTATAAACCCACCAATAGACCCTAAAGTCATCCCACACTCCTGTCATACAAGCCAACTCAGCTACAAACTTGCTTCATTTTGTCCATGACAGTGCACCCACTTCAATTGGTGATTCTTTGTCAGCTCTGTTTTCTTTGTAAATGAAAACGGGCAGTCAAGAGATTCTCCTTTCCTATCTTCTTGTTGACAAGGGGGCCAACAAAGGAAGAAGCTCACCATGTCTCTCTCTACTAGATGAAGTGGATGGTTGGTGCCCACTCTTTCCTGTGTGCTCATTGCATTCAAGTGCGCAGTAAGAATAAGGTACTATTTAATTCCAGCCGAAAACAGCATAGAAATGACGTCTCCAGCGTTTTCTAGGTGCATACACAAAAAAGACTCTGCACACAGTGTTCTCAAGAAAGTAATGTGTTCATTGTCATTGGGAAACTTCTTGATTTCTGAGAACTTCAGAAGGACAAGTGTCTAGTTCAAACTGTTCTTTATTGGGAATAGCAATTCCAGTTACATTAACTCAAAAACTACCCAGTGGAAAAGCTCATGGGTCTAGGATGATTTGTAGGTGATTGACGTAAGTAAAGACCTTGGTCACCATCCTCTCAGCTCTTTATAAACATCACTGTGAGTGCACATATTCATTTCAGCATTACACTGAGTTGTTTCGGCATAGGAGTAACTACTAGGTTATTGAAATATGTAGTCCTCGCTTGTGGAATTGCCAAATAGTTAGCAGCTTCTAACTTGCCGTAATTTCAACATGCAGTTACATGCAGATGCAACATAGCTCTGTTTCTTTGCAAAGAAAAAAATATATATACAGACACAGTTCAGTCAATATTAATATCACCCAAGTTGTAGATATCTACTAGTCATTATTTTGCTCTTACTCTCAGTGTGCTATATGGACATGATCCAGCCAAAGTTAGACACTTGCAAGTCTTATTTGTTCAAATGCATGCCACCTTGAGCTCCTTATAGGAAAAGTGGGATATAAATGTGGTAATTGATGATGATGATGAATGTAGTTTTCATTAAGTTGGAGGCTGCTGCCAGTGAGGATGGAGTATAGTGCTATATAGATATGTGGTCTCTCATGTGGATCCAGAATTGGTCTCCACAGTCACTTACGGACTCATTGTTAAAACCGTGTTTATGGAAGACAATCTTGCTCGGCTACGAGTGATTGCCAAAGAAAGAAGAAATATACAAACAATTTTTTACAGCCTCAAGTACACATGTGCTGTTATGTCAAGTTTATGAAACTGAATGATTACAGTTTTCAGTTTCATAACGCGGCAAATTTGGTTTTTCCCAGCTCAGTGTCACTGACATACCATAGTCTTGCACAATAATCATTTGACCAAACTTTCCTCAGACCAACCTACTTCACTTTAGGCTTAAAAGAAGGAGGGAACCACATTGAAACCTCTTTTTGTCTTTGTATGTAAAATTCTGCTTGTTTATTTTCTAGGTCGCAATTCACAATAAAATCAAAGGAAGGACAGAACTACAAGACAACCAACACAAGAGGTAAGCACATATTAAGCTGCCTTATACTAAGTCAGACCATTGGTCAATCCCGTTCAGTATTATCTACACTGACTGGCAGTGACTCTCCAGGGTTTTAGGTAGGCATCTTTTCCTGCCGAACCAAGGACAAAATCTTGGGATCTCCTCATGAGTAGATGTGCATAAGATTGTGCTGCGCAGTTGCAGTCCTTCACACTTCTCTGGGAGTACCGGTAAGTCCTGTTGAACTCAGTGGGACTTGTTTCTGAGTTGCATAGGATCCAACTTTTAGCCCTGTTTTAAGCAGAGTTTGCTTTCTCTGTTGCTTCATTTACAACATTTAGGATGAATGTTACTGCGAAAGCAGCTTTGGGACCCCAAAATTGGTTGAACTTGGGTTTTTTTGTCATAGTAAAATATTTAGAGGCTGTGGTTGTTATTTGAGAGAGCAGTAACTTACAGTATTGCCCCATTTCACACAAGACTGTGGCTTTTAGCACAAACAAGCAAATGTGGTTTTCCAGAGAGAAGGTTGTTGCTGCTGTGGAATTTAACAGCTGGGTGACTGACTGTGTGTTTGTTTGTTTGTTTGTTTGTTTGTGTTTGTGTGTGTGTAAGGGATATAGACATTTTTTGTTTTCTTATCAGGCCTTCAGTGTCTTGAATCACTGCCTGGTACTCAACTGTTGAATGGCACAACTTTTCTCTTAACTGTAATACCATGGCAGAAAGTACTTTCCTACTAAATTAAAAGTTTCCCCCATTGAGAACCAGTGTGGTGTGGTGGTTAGAACAGGGATGGGGAACCCAAGGCCCTCCAAGTGTTGTTGGGTTCCATTTCCCATCAGGCATAGCCAGTATGGCCAAAAGCCAAGGATGAGGGGAGCTGTCACCTAGCCACATCCCCAGGTTAGAGTATAAGACTAGGATAGGCAGACCAGGGTTCAAATCCCCACTCATCCATTAAAATTCCCTGAGTGTCCTTGGGCAAGTCACTGCCACCCTTTTTGTCCCCTATTTGCTCCAGAGAGTTTGAGGAACCAACAGAAATAGATTTGAGGGCATGGGGATGGGGAGAGCGAGAGGAAGTTCCATTGCACAAGTGGAAGCCATCCTTGCACTAATGGGATGGCTTCATTGGATACAACCCTAAATGTCTGTCAAAAAGTGATTAAGTGCAGGAACTTTGCCAGGAAAAAAAAAGTGACAATCTAATTTGTGACGTTTAGGATTGATTTTTGTTTCTTTCTTTCATATATATTAAGATTTTCTGATTAGTAAAATTAGCACGTGCAGTGGTCTCTGCAATTCTATTTATGAAATGTGTGCTAGAGGTGGTTGTTTGCGGCTGGATGTGGAAGAGCAAATAGACTGGCAGCTCACCTAGTGTGAGAGGAAACTGTACTAATACATGTATTCAGTGACTAGCCCTTTTCCTTGTGAGACAAAAGAAGAAATGAAACTTCTTTCAACATCAGTGTTTCCTAATGCAGTTCCTCCAACATTGCTACTTATAGTTTGAAGGAACTCCCAATTTAAACAAGCTACTGCTAGAGGGGAATAATTTGGGTAAGCAAAACATAAGACATGAGCGATGAGGAAGTAAAAGAACCCAGTAGAGTGGGGCTTTGTGAACCCTCAGCATATAATGACTGCATAGCTGTGAGAGGATTTCTGGAGGCTTCTACACAAAGCCGGCTCAAGATATTTTGCCTTAAGCAAAGAACTAAATGGTGCCCCTCCATTCCATGTACCAAAGACAGCCAGAGTGATGGTTCAATCTTACTTCTATTCAGGCAATTAGGCAGCATCCTCCAAAGCTGCCCCACTCTGTATACTGGTAAGGCCAGCAGGACAGAGACGCTAGGACAAAGACAGCTATTACACAATACTATGAATTTCAGTGACCTAGCTTTATTCTGGCTGTTGCATATTGCCTGGACAAAGTTCCTCTTCTACCTTTTTTTGTTTTTGGAAGTAATAGCTAAAATTAGGGTGTCTGACATCCCATTTGTGTTAAGGTAAAAAAAAAAGGTAAAGGACCCCTGGACGGTTAAGTGCAGTCAAAGGCGACTATGGGGTTGTGGCGCTCATCTCGCTTTCAGGCTGATGGAACCGGCATTTCCGGGTCATGTGGTCAGCATGACTATACCACTACTGGCACACAGAACACCATGATGGAAACCAGAGTGCATGGAAATGCTGTTTACCTTCCTGGCGCAGCAGTACCTATTTATCTACTTGCATAGGTGTGCTTTTGAACTGCTAGGTTGGCAGGAGCTAGGACAGAGCAACGGGAGCTCACTCTGTTATGGGGATTCGAACTGCCGACCTTCCCATCGGCAAGCCCAAGAGTCTCAGTGGTTTAGACCACAGTGCCACTTGCGTCCCTATATCCCGTTTGTGTAGCAGATGTCCATTCACACAAATGGTGCTTCTCCTTCCTGACTTTATCCACATTAGTGTTGGGGGACCCTCTGGAACAAAATGGGGGCACATGGGCTGCAGGGGAAGAGAGGAAGGTTGCATCAACTTCAGTGATGTAAGATACAGTGGTGCCTCGCAAGACGAAATTAATCCGTTCCGCAAGAGTCTTCGTCTAGCGGTTTTTTCGTCTTGCGAAGCAAGCCCATTGACGGATTAGCGCTATTAGCGCTATCAGCTGTAGCGGCTATTAAAGGCTTAAAGGCTTAGGGATTAGCTGCTAAAAGGCTATTAAAGGCTATTAAAGGCTTAGCAGATTAGATAAAGGGGAAAAGCGAAAAAAATCTCTAGACTCGCAAGGTATTTTCGTCTTGCGAAGCAAGCCCATAGGGGAATTCGTCCTGCGAAGCAACTTCAAAACGGAAAACCCTTTCGTCTAGCGGTTTTTCCGTCTTGCGAGGCATTCGTCTTGCGGGGCACCACTGTATTGCCCTGGAACTTCTGAAATTTTAACAATGAAGGTCTCTTTTAAAATTTGCTAGTACTGCACTAGCAGAAACACATGAAGGTGGCATGTGAGGCTATGTGAATGACTAATTTTCTCTATGGGATTTGTGGTTGGTTGACAGCAAGTAACCTCAGCAACTGCAGTGGAAAACACACTGGCATTTATAGCCAGAGCTGCCAAAGCAAATAGATGGAAAATAGAAGCTATTGGAAAAACAAATTATTTGAAGCCATATTTTAAACGGTGCAGACTAATTTTTCATTTAATTAAATATGAGGAATTGCCAGGCTGGATTTCCAAAATGTATCGGGTCTTGCACCAACAACACTGGCTTTCAGTTTGTTTCTAGGTACAATGCAAGGTGCTGTTTGTTACCTCAAAATCCCTTAGTTTTTTGTGGCCAGGGTATCTGAAAGACTGCCTCCTCCTTGTGAACCTGCCTGTAATGTAAGATCAGATTCATAGGCCCTGATGTATGTCCTATCTCTATGAGAAGCTAGGTTTATGGGGAAATTGGGCAGGTCCTTTGGGCAGCATCCCATTATGGAATTCCCTCACTCGGAAAGCGAGACAAGACTAGCTTCATCTTCATTTAGTTTTCAGAAAGCCATTAAATCTTCTTAGTACCACATGGCTTTCAGATTATTATAAACATAATCAACTTTTCTGTTGTTTTTTAAATGTTTGTTATAATACTGCTTTAAAGTTTTGAGGTAAAAGTTTATAAATCTAAGTCACCATCTTCCATATTAAACCGCTCCTGCTTTAAAATCAGTAGATGAGGCCCTCCTGATGGTTCCTTCTCAGGATGAGGTACATGATGTGCCCCCCCGAAAAGGGCCTTTTCAGTGGTGACTCCTCATATATGGAACTCCCTCCCTACTGTGGTATGTCTGGCCCCATTTCTTTATAGTTTTAGGTGGTTATTGAACACAAAGCTTTTTAGGCTGGTATTTGGAGGAGGACAGACCTGATTGCTGTTGCTGCTATTAGTAACTGTTTTAGTGATTTGTTATTGTGTTTTATGGATTTATAAAATATGCATTTGCTCATTGTAAACCAACTTGTGCCTTGTGCATAGAGTGGTATATAAATTATATTGTTTAATTAATTGTTGCCTTGGGGGCCCATTTTTGCCCAAAGTGCGGTTCATAAATATTTTTTACAATAAGCTAAAAAAATTAAATTGGGTATTGATGGGGACTAGAAACATGCCAAGTCTAAATACGACACTGAATTCAGTGGAAGTATCACTGCTATATGCCAAGTCATTTAATCTTCCTTTCTCTCCTCTCTATGATACTTCAAAGAAAGAGGAACTGAGGTCTCCAGTCTTGATAGCGAGCTTGTAGGATGGCAGTTGATGCTGGCAAGTGATAATAACATGCAGTTATATGATGGACTACAATCTGATCAAAGTGCCATTTATGTGAATAATATATCTTCCTGTTTCCCATCAGTAAAAAGAAAGACGTCTTTAACCCTCAGGGTGTCTCAGTCATAAACCAGAGAAAAGACTGCTGCTCTTTGTCAAGTAGAGTTCCAGATATATTCTCCTTTATCCTTTTTAGAAAATTGAAACAACTATGAGGTCCGATTTTAGTTCTTGATGTACCGTATAGCTGAGCTTCAGTGCTTAAAAAGAGTAAAGTGGAAGTTTCTGCTTGTTTGATGCAGATAATGCATATTTCTTCCGGCCTGTTTCAGTGAGGCAACGTTGGCTTTGAAACCACGTACTTTCTTAGATCGTAAGAGCTGTGTCTGTTCTTAAGTAACAACAGTAGACACAGTTCTTATTGGTGGATGTGTGTTCTTATTGGTGGATGTCTTCACACAGAATGAAACTGAGTGTATGACTTTCTACGCTTCCTACTGTGGCGTGGGAGGAAATGGAGGCAGAGACCGAAAGGTTACTTATCACAACTCAGAAAGCATGTACTGTGGCTGTGTACAGAAGGCAGTTGGTAGTGGAATCAAGGCATCTTATATATATATAAGTTCTTCACATCATCTACACAGTGTTGTCCTAATGCAAATGACAGCCTGCCCTTCCCACCCCCGTTCAATTTGGATTTTCCAGATGCATGGATGGTGAGGGAATGGGTGAGTGGGGAATAAATCCAACCTAAAATTGTAAGTTAGCCAACTGTGGACATACTGGAGCACATTGTGTGGGAGTTTTTTTAACATGTGGTGATGTTTTGCTGGGTGCCATCTATTATGACACATCCTGCTTCCGCTAGTCAGGTGCTCCTTTATGGGCTGCTGGTGGAGTCCACATGACACACAGATTTCTTTTGTGTGGTATTTTTGACCCACTGTTTTCTGCAAGTCTGGTATATAGGAAACTTGTATCTCAGAAAACTTGGCCATGTGCACAAGACACAGTGCAAATACATCCCATCAGGTACCACACACTCAAATGGATGGGAATCATAGGGATGCAGTTAATTTGCTAGTGTGTTGACAAATGTGTGCAAAAGCACAGAAGAGTCAGATCTCTGTGACCCACATGGTGAAGGTGTGGGAGCCACATGGTGAACTGGTGAAGGGAAATGCTTTGCAGTTAAACCTGAACATGATAGCAAGCACTTGCTTACCTAGGGAAATTTTCTTAGCCCTGTAGGAGTGCAGGACCTTTGCATGCATCACAGGTGTGGGGGTAAAATAAAGAGGGGAAGGCATCTTCTCATAGCACTGAGTCAGGTGAAAGGATGGGAGAAACCTGCTGATAAATGATTCAGTCTGTTCTTGTCAGGAGGACTAAAGGATATGTGCTCTGTTTGGGATCTGAGAGTGCTTTCTCAGAGGTCTTTCCACTCAGTCTGTCCATTCAGCACATGGGGATATGCAGTACTAATTTCCAACATGAATATGAATATGAATTTGTTTTATTTGTGCAGAGAATTTATGTTGCACCCCTATTGGTGTAACTCTCAAGGCAGCTGAATGCATAATCAAAGAGAGGGCGATAAATTTGTTTTGAACCAGCCACCAGTGTAACAGAGGTCTCCACATGCTCTAGAGAAATGACAACTCAGTAACTGTGAAAGAGGGCCGGGTACATTTCCGTTTGCTGTCACAATGGTCAGAGTGTGATAAAAGAGTGTGGTTTCCTCTTAAGCATGTGAGAGCTGATGGGAACACTGTGCTGGCAGGGACAAGCTTCTGAGTTCAGGGTTCAGCCTCTGAAGAGTATATACACTCTGGCATCTTCCTCCACTTGCTCAGGCTTTCCCTATTGCTCAGGCCTTCCCTAGACCAGTCAAGTATGGAGGCTGACAGAGAGACACCGGTGGGGGAAACCACTGGGAAAGACAACAAAAAAGTATGTAGTCTTTTCTTTCACTTTAGAATGTTCTTTAGTGGCTTGTTGCAGCTCTTGCTTTTCAATTTCCTCCCTTTCATGTTCTGCTTCAACCTGCTGAGATACTGAAACCTTTGGGGGTGCTTTAGATCCCATTCTTAAATTTCTTAATACATTTCTTCTAAAGAGCTTTTTTAGATTCACAACCATCCGTTAGGGTAGGTTAGGCTGAGAGGCCATGAGCTACTTAATGAGGATTTTCGACCTGGATTTGTTACATCAAGCCCAGTACTCTAGCTACTGATTCTTACCTTGAGGTCTAGCTTTTACCCACTTTTTGCAGGGCAGGGGATGAGATGCCCTGGCAGTTGCAGTCTTGGAAAAGAATAGTGTGCAGACCACATGAGCCAGATTGTAGAGGAACATCTAAGGGCTTTTTGCTTCCTGATATTTGTCAAGTCCTTGCATAACATTTGGTGTAACTTGTTAATTTTGCACGTGCAAAATCAGCTAGCGTTAAATACTTCCTGGTGGGTTAGTTGATGAAGAAATGGCCCTGACAAATAATATGTCCACTGACCATAGACAATCATGCCACGTTTTCTTGCAGTAGCTATCCAGGGCTTAACAAGTAGCTAGTCTCTGTTCATCAAGCAATTTATGACTTGTTGATCTGATCCAGTATCCTTTCCCTCCTGTGGTCATTTCTGATGCCTTGCAAGATAGGAATTGGGAGGAGAATACTATTTTTTTTTTAATGATATTTATTGAGAATTTAAAATTACAGAAAGAGAAAGGAAAAAACAAGAAAAAAGAAAAGGAAAAAAGGTAGACAAAAAGAGAGATTAAACAATATAAGTCAATAAAAACAAAAGTCAAAAAAACAAAAACAAAGCACACAATACATCAGAATCAAAAAACAAAAATAAACAAAAAATTTAAAAGCAAATCCAATATTCCCAAATCTTTATCTTTCATTAACTTGTTTCATCGACCTCCTCACACCTCCCTTTTTTGTATTCTAGTTATTAATTATCTCAGCAAATCCTTTCCATCTTTCACAATATTCTGTCATTAAATTATCTTAATCTATTTTAACCTTATCTTACCATAAAAAACCCTAAAGCTTAAAACTTAAATCTTATTTATACCTAATTTTTTTTAACAAAACATATTTATACATAATTCTTTTTAACATTTCTACTAAAGCCAAATAGTTTCATTCCAACATTTTTCTAATACTCATTAATTTTACAATGATTTTCTAAATGAATTTTTAAAACTTTCTTCCAATCTTCATCAGTCATCTCTTCTTCCTGGTCTCGGGTTTTGTCAGTCCTTTCTGTCCCATCCATCTAGTCCATCAACCTGGTGACCTTTTATCTGAGGCTCTTAAGTCTTTTCCATGTCCCTTCTGCAGGTCTTCTTCATGTTTATACCTGCACTTTACTTTATCTTCTGCTGATCTTATTCTTAATTTCCTTCCTTTCTCTTGGGGAAACTCCAACTTGACAATATCTTTGTCCCTTCTCGACAAGTCAGCCCATTCTCCATAGTCGACACTGAAATCCAAAAGATATTTGAAGGCATGTTTCAAAGTCCCTCCAAGGTTAAGGACCCCCACAACTCCAAACTCCCCCTGGCCCAAAGCCAGATCCGAAAAGTCAAAACATCCCTGCATAGGGGGATCTATCCAACTTCCCATCTCCAGACCAAACAGTACTCCATCTCTCCAAATCTGACTTTCTCCAGGTTCAGTCGTCAAAAACAGCAACTTATGTTCCTGCAAGGCCGCAGCTCTCTCCATTTCTGGTACTTGAGGTTCAGCAACTACCTCCTCGTTTATCTTCTTCACCACTTGCTCTGTCAAAGCACATTCCTGGATTGATTCCTGAGTGGTTTCTATATAAGTATTCACTGTTTGTCCAAAATTTCCAACTGCAACAGTCATCAAATCCATCTTCTCATGTAGCTGTTCCAGTAAAGCACTTGTCTTGCAAAAAGCAAGCACTAAAGCTTCTTCTGGGCACATTCTTGTTCAAGGTCGGTGTCTAATTCCCACGATCTTTTATCTCTACAGCTGTAGAATTCCCCAGATCGACTCCAGCAACAGTATCACAAGCTCCCTCTAGAGGAAACAATTTCTATTTGTATCCGTCTTTTTAAAAGCAGATCTAGCAACAAAGTTCCTTTCGTTTTCCAGATATTTTGTTCCTTTTAAGTGCAAAAGGGAACATTGGAATCAATATGTTTCTCTTTTTTTAACTATCTGTCAAAAACGTTTTATCCACAGTCAATGAACTTCCCCAAAGTGTCTGTCTCTGACACCCCGCTCCCAGGATCAAGACGGTGGAAATTTATCTTTCTTTACTCTCTCTTCTGCAGGTTTAAACAGTCTAAAAAGATTCCCCCCTCTTCTCCTGCTTCCAAGGGGGGTTTAGTGATTTTAACTGATGGAAATTTAGTTCTTTACAAATGACTTTCCAGACTCTAGCTTGCAATGTCTTTGCTTCAATCTATTTACAAAAGCAGAAGGCGGACTTCCTGTTTAGACCTTCCCACTTCGGTGCCAAATTAAAAAGTTTCTTAATCCAATTTTCCGTTCTACTCACGGGCAGTTGTTTAAAATCCAATTGTCCACAGGAAAAAGTCAGTGCTCTCCGGCAACAGCAATGCGGCTTCACTGGGAGGAGAATACTATTGATGCAAACCTGCCTTTTAAATTCCTAATCAGAAAACAAAGACTCATCGGAGCAAGTCTTGTTCTTGCTGTGCTGTAAAACTCCTTTCCACTTCCTCACCCAGCCTGTACTAACTAGTTACGGCTGTGGTTATGGCATGGTATGGTTCTCTTATTTCTAAAAGAAAGAAAGCACAACTTGCGAGTCAGCAAGCAGCAACTCACAACCCTTTTTATAGTGGTGTTTGTTTTTACAATGTGGAAAATGTCTGACAGGGATCTTAAAATAAATAAATCCATATTTTAAAAAACCAAATGAACACTCAAACCTGGAAAATGTAGAGAGCACACAGCAAAGCTGCTAAAAATAACACACATACCTCTTTGCCTCTAAGACCAGAAGCAGAAGTCAAGGCATCAACATCTCTAGAACCTGGGTAGGCAAACTAAGGCCCGGGGCCGGATCCAGCCCAATCGCCTTCTCAATCCGGCCCACAGACGGTCTGGAAATCAGCATGTTTTTACATGAGTAGAATGTGTCCTTTTATTTAAAATGCATCTCTGGGTTATTTGTGGGGCATAGGAATTCGTTCATTTTTTATCCCCAAAATATATTCCGGCCCACCAGAAGGTCTGAGGGACAATGGATCGGCCCCCTGCTGAAAAAGTTTGCTGACTCCTGATCTAGAATGTTTCGTAATATGTAGCATTGTCTGAAAGCCATTGCGGTTGACTCTCTCTTTTCTTCTTCTTTGGCTTTATTGAAAAAAAGATTAATTAGGAAAGGTATTAGATCTTCCTAATAAAGCAGAATGATATATATTTTTTTAAGAAAAAATTCTTGGTTTTGCTTATGTATATGTTGCTGACTTTGATAATGATTTTGTGTGTGTGTGTTCTGTGTTAGGTTTAAAGTTGTAATAAAGTTTTAAAAAACACATGGAAGGTCATGATCACTCATGGTGGGTGGAACATACAGGACAGAATTAGGAAGAAACATTGGCACATGTCCTTGTTGCCTTCCAGGGCAGTGCTCATGATGGCCTGATTTTGTGTTGAGGGGGTATTGATTGCAACCAACCACAAGCTGCAAATGGGGGGTGGATGGGTATGCACCACATTCTCCCCTACCCTCAGTTTTACCTGATCTTCACCCTTCCCTGTGAAGCATTTTTCTCCTGACTACCAGGACAACTCTAGTGAAGCTAGCATGCTTATGTTAGCTACAGACTACAGTGGTACCTCGGGTTACAAACCCTTCGGGTTACAGACTCTGCTAACTCAGAAGTAATACCTTGGGTTAAGAACTTTACCTCAGGATGAGAACAGAAATCGCGCGCTGGCGGCAGCGGGAGGCCCCATTAGCTAAAGTGGTACCTCAGGTTAAGAATGGTTTCAGGTTAAGAACAGACCTCCAAAACGAATTAAGTTCATAACCAGAGGTACCAATGTATTGTGGGAGTAATGGTGGTGTGTGGAATTGGTTCCTTCTACTTTCCTTGCGCAGGACCATTATTCTATACATACAGTACCTGCAGTGTTATCTGCAAACTGGGAGGGTGGGTAGCTGTTAGCTGTAGTTAGTAGTGATGAATTGTCAAGGCAGCCAAACCATTTTCTTCCTGGAACACACGTTGGGAGCACTGCGTACTCTTGCTTTTCAAACCAGGTTCACAGACTTACTAGTGCATCTTTTTAATACTCCTCATCAACTTGTCTGGGCTCTTAAGAATTCACATATATAATGCCAGCATTTATTGCTCACTTTCTCCAGCTGGTGATTCCTCAGGCTGAGGACAACCTCCCAGCAGTTTTCTTGTGCAGTACATTTGCTGGGCAGACAGTCAGAAAAGCCTCATCTTCAGTTTTCTGTCTCTTGTGTAAAGTACACAGCAGACCTATAAAAGGAAATCATTTCATTTTCAAGCTACTGTTCCCAGTCTTTTTACCATAGTAATTTGTCAGTAGTTAAGGTTGCTCCAGGTTTCCTTCTGTTGTGCCCAATCCCTGTAAGATTGCTTGCAATAAACATTAATGCCAATAACCCATTGTGTTTAATAAAGAAAGGGTTGTTGTAGTTTTGGTTGTTGTTTACATTATACTGTGAAATCATGTGAATATTACAGAGGAGTAGAGCTGTTTTTTGTAAGAAAATGTAAACATTTAGGGTAGTATCCAATGAAGTCGTTCCATGAGTTCAAAGACTTCTCCCTGCGTAGCCCCTGGACCCTCCCCATAGCTGCTCCAGAGGGTTGGGGGAAACCCCATAACAGCTTAAAGGGGTGCATAAGGAGAGGGAAGGAAAGTGCCATTGTGCATCCAGAAGTCTGTGTTCGAATGGAATTGCTTCATTGCATGCTGCCCTTAATTCACGAGACAAATAGCGGAATTGTTACTGGCTGTTCTTTTATTCTAAAAGTTCTTGAGATGTATGTCTACCTGAGAACCTAGATGCCCTGCAGGCTTGCTCCATATTTTGGGAAATGCTCTGTGTACTTGGTGTTGGGGAAAGGACTCCACTTGTACTTTAAGGCACCCACATCTCTATAGAATGTTTTGTATTTATTTAGCATTGTTTGAGTGTTAAAAAGGAGAGTACAGTGGTACCTCGGGTTAAGTACTTAATTTGTTCCTAAAACTGTTCTTAACCTGAAGCACCACTTTAGCTAATAGGGCCTCCCGCTGCCACTGCTGCGCCGCCAGAGCACAATTTCTGTTCTCATCCTGAAGCACTATTTCTGGGTTAGCAGAGTCTGTAACCTGAAGCGTATGTAACCTGAAGCGTATGTAACCTGAGGTACCACTGTAATTGCATTCTGCTTTTCTTCCCCCTCTGTCTTTATTGAAAATAAGATTTATTTGGGAAGGTAGACGACTTTTAAATATGGCATAATGACTTTTTAAAAAACTTGCTTTTGCTTATGTATATATTTCTGATTTTGATGATGTTTTTGTGTTAGTTTTAAAGTTACAATGTGGTAAGCATTTGTGGTAATGCATTTGCCCCATTTTGGGACCCCTCCTGATCCATTCTGCTGAGTAAGACCCTGCATTCCTGCCCCAAAGTTTTACTTTGACAGCACCACTGATTACAGCTTGTCAATGAAAGTCTTTTTCTTTTGTTTTCCCCAGATGGACCTGTCTCATAAATTCTCTAAGAGAGAGGTAAGAATCTATTCATTCCTAATAGTATACAATCACAGAGCCTTGGTGGATCATGCCAAAGGACCACTTGTTCAGCAGCTTTATTTCCAACAATGGGCACCCGGGAGGCTGTGCACACACCATGTGTTTAAAGTGCATTACTTCCCCCAAAGAATCCTGGCAACTGTAGTTTGTTTAAGTTGCTGGGAATTGTAGCTCTGTGAAGTGGAAACTAGTTTCCAAGATCCTTTGGCCGGAGGAATGTGCTTTAAAAGTATGGTCCATATGTAGATGCCTCTGGAAAACATTCAAAGAAGGGTTTGTAGGTGTCCTGACACCTGCTATTCAGAGACTGTCTTGCCTGTGCTCTGAACCTAGAAGCTTCATTTAGCCATCACAGCTTATAGCCATTAACACATATTCCTCCATGGATTTGTCTAATCCCTTTTAAGGCCATTTAGTTCATTGACTGCCTCCACACCCTCAGGCAATGAATTCCATAAGGTAATGATGCATTCTGTGAAATAGTACTTTCCCTTTTTTGTGTGTGTGTCTGGGTTATACAGCCAGATTCAGTGGGTGAGCTCGAATATTATGTACTGTTTTTAGAAAAAGGGACAGATTTGTTATCTCCAATCATTATGCCTAGGTATCTAGCTGTTGTGAAGTTGTTGTTGTTGTTGTTAATTACCCACCCATCACTGTAAGGCCCTCAAGCTGGTTACAACAATTTAACATACAGTTTAAAACAGTTTTAAAACTTACAAAAAAAAATAAATAGAAAAAGATGGGTGGGTCCTAAAAATGTATATCTCAAGTGTCAGAAGCAGAGATGAAGAGGTGTATTTCAGCATGAAATAAAGCGTGAAACCAGGGTGGATTTGATTTAAATCAAAAGGATTTAAATCAGGATTTAAATCAGGATTTAAATCACTAGTCAGTAAGACTTGATTTAAATCACTAGTCAGTAGGACTTGATTTAAATCATTTTTTTACAGAAAGACTAATTCTTGCTGGTATAATCTTAATGTTTACAACCAAATGAAGGTTTCATTTTTGGAATAATAAATTTAGTTTTTATTTACAGTTTTTACAGTTATAGAAAAAATAACTGATTTGGTTATACTATTACAAATACATTAACAGATAATTATGAAATTATTATGAGGCTTAATAAATTAACTATTTATATTTGGACAACTTTTCTACTGTACTTTAATGGAAGGAGAAAAATAATCATTTCCTTAATAATAATTTAAACAATTTATTTAACTAAAACAATAACATTATAGCATATGTATCCATGTTCGTTAACTGCTGTGGTTAAACATTTTTTTTTTTAAAAAAAACTTAGACTGAAAAACTTAAAACCAATCCTTATATCCTGATGAATAGCCTTTGGACTATAATGTAACTAAAATAGAAAGCTATCTTTAGAAAGATTTTCCCTCCAAAAGCATTTTATTTTAAAAATTCGATTTAAATAAAAAATCCATTTTAAAAAAAATTATTGATTTTTTTATCCACCCTGTGTGAAACACACCCACACCATGCCATACAGCCTGGAGCTGTTTCCTGTGCAGAGTTCCTAGTTTGTTGTGGCAGACTGTCAACTTCACTGTGTTAGGTTGGTTAGTGTGACTGTAACTCCTGATCATCGTTGCTGCTTTGCTCCATCTTCCCATCTTCTTGGCAAGCCCAGAGCTCAGGAAACAAGTCATCCAAAGCAGCAGGGGAGCTGTCCATCTATAGAGACTCTCTAGCTGGACAGCTCCCATCACAGACAACAGACAGAAGATGAGTCACAGCAACTGCTGGGCACCAGCTGGGCAGCTTTATAGCTGATTCTACTTCTCCAACCCCAAACAGGAGCAGCAGCAGCAGGGCGCTGATCCAGAGCACATATTGTTTCTGGCTTCCTTCTCCCTAGTAGCACCAAGAGAAGGGAGGCATTGTGTTGTCAGATATATGCTGCACTTTGCACTTTCTGGGCTGGTTCTTTACGCAGATCTGCTGCTGTTTCTGCTCCTGGGGGATTTTGAGGATCTAGCATTGGAGAGTAGGGCCAGTCATGGTGTATTAGGTTCTTTCTGACTGGGGCAGCTTTCTGGGTGATGATCTCGATAGGTGCTAGGGGCACCATTGGAATCTCCCTCCTCCAAGGTCCTGTTGGCATCAGTCTGCCTTGAGACACAATAGGCGTGCCTCTAGAGCTGAAGTCAAAGTGCTGTGTTAGTCTAAAAGGAAGGGAGTTGGTCATGGCAGGTTGGAAGGGGGTTCTGCCATGTGATAATTGGTTTGAATCAGATGGCCTTGTGGCTACTTCCACTTCTCTGGTTCTACATCATGAAATCCAGCCCTGAGATATGTTAAAATGGATTATTAGTATGAAAAACCCTTCCCTTATGAACAACAACCTTATTCTGTTCAAGGTTCCCTTTGGTTAACCAATCCACAATAAAGTAAGAATGCAGGGACAGTAACCCAGAAGACTTTGGCTTTGTTTTGATCTGTTTCTAATGTGCTGTTGCAGCGCACCCTGCTATATGAAGAGGTCCTCTACACCATTCTCCATCGCTTGGGCAAACCAGAACTTAGCCATGTTGCTGATCCAGAAGAGCTGTACACATATGTGCAGAAGGTCAGATGAAAGCCAAGTCCATCTTGTCTCATTAATATCCAGCCTAAAGTCTGGCATCCATCTCTGTTTGGGGTTGTGTTCTTGCCTTGCCCATTTATTTTCCTCCCACTGCAAGAAATGACTGTCTCAGTTTTGTTAATATCCCTACCACCATCACACCCACAAGACATCCCAAATGACATCTTGAGGAAAGTGCTTATTCTCTGCTATATGGAGTCCATTTGTCAGAGAAGAACTGCAGGCAAGTAATGGTGACAGTAGAAGCCAACAGACAAAACTTTACTTGCTAGGCTTCATTCCTTAAGAAGGCCTGATGTTTGAGAGGCCACCTGAAATTGCCTTTTTCAGAAAGCTAGTGGCTAGGCTTAGGATGTTCTGCGGTAGATAATTTTGGTACAACTTGCCTTAGAAAATAAACAGTGGAAAAATGTTCTGTCTGCACCATATTCTGTGTCCTGTCCCAGCCCGCATTAATATTTATTTAAAGTTGGTGCCACGTGAAAGATGTACTAACCTTTCCTCAGCATCCCTTTTCTATATCTGGGTATTATTGCCTCTTCCACCATCAGGGTTCCTTTCTCCTCTCTTCCTTTTAATTTCATAATTTGACATTGTGGATACCCATCCCTTTTCAAGGTGGCTTGCACAATTCCTTGCTACTTCCCACTCCCACAGAGAGTTATGGTCCCCCTTATGTTTTGCAATAAAGGTGATATTCAAACAAGCAATTGGTCTCTACTGGGATGAGTGTCTGTTTGGGCACAGAATTGATGCTGTTTGAAAGACAGCCTGTAAAGCTGACCCAAATAGCCTGCTGATCCAATGATCAGGAAAGATGTACGTAAGGAGAATGTGCAAGCAGCTATCCTGAGACATCAAGAGACAATGAAAACTGAAGCCCTAAGAACTGTAACAAATTGTTCTTCTTTTAAGCCAAGCATGGGGAACCTGTTGCCCTCCAGTTATTGTTGGGACTCTAGTTCCTATCAGCTCCTGCCAGCATCGCCAGTTGTCAGGGGTGATGGGAATTGTAGTCTGGAGAGCTATCAGTTCCTCAGCTCTATTTTATGTGTAGGTAATCTAAAATAATCTGTGTCAAGGCTATAAGGGATTACTCTTAGCATGCCTGCTCGATGCTGTTTCCCTTCACTGAGCTCAAGGTGATGGAACTTGCCCCACTTCATGCAGTATTATAAAAACAAGTAGGTCTCTAATTGTTTCTTTTCCAATATCTCAACCAGGCCTTCAATATGGATCCAGAAGAGCATAATATTCTACTACAGAGGGTCAAAGAGCTAGAGGTAAAGTCTAAGGGGAGGGGAACTCAGACCTTCTCTTTATCTGGGCCTCATAACTCTCTCCAGACCCCACCTTCTCCCTAGCCATGCCCCTCACCAGCTCTGCTTCACACACACCATGAGTGTTTTTCCTAACTGCTTGCACTTGCTTGTTCTCTGGCAGAATGACAAACATGGCACAGGTGTTACAGGTCACTGCAGCAGCTCCCTTGCTCCCCCATTCTCTGGTCCTATGCACACCAAGAGACAGAACTCTGGGCCTTCCCCTTAAACTACCCCACTAAATGCCCTTGCAAATGCCCCTGTTTGTGAGGTCTGGTTGTAAGCTCCCAGGATCTGCAATGAGCGAAGTTTGACTGCTGCTGGTTGCTAACTCCTCCCTCAGCCTGGCTTCCTCTCAGTTGTAACTCCTCCCCCTCAGATCCTGTGTTCCCACAGAGCCATCAGCCACACACACACCCCCCTCAGCCTCCAAAAGCTCACTCTTCAGTCTCCTCCAGCAATCCTTGTTCCTGTTTGCGAGGTCTGTTCGCAAACTCCCAGGATCTGCTCTGTGGATCTGTTCTGTGCTCTTTTTGAAGGATTGAATGACTCACAAGTTAAATGTATTCTTTCTATTTCTTCTTCAGAAACCAATTTTTTGTCTTAAAGCAACTGTGAAGCAAGCCAGGGGCATTCTGGGTAAAGATGTCAGTGGTGAGTGGACAACTCAAAGGGACTTTTGAACCTAAAAATATGGTTCCTCCTTCAGCTCAGGATGGGCTTCTCCCTGTAAAACACTGAGAACATGAGGACATTTTCCAACTCCCATCCTGCTGGTGGTGATGGGGCCTTAACATATAAATCCCTGTACGTTTCAATCCCTGTACGTTTCAATAGCTACTTCTGTGCTTGCAGGATTCAGCGACCCATACTGCCTCCTAGGGATAGAAGAGAAAACTCGGGACTCTTCCACCAGTGGTGGCTCCCGTCAAGAGAACAAAAAGCGATCAAAGGCTGTGGTGAAGAATCTGCTCCCTGAAGACCAGACTCACCGCACCCAAATCATCAGTCAGACTCTAAATCCTGTGTGGAATGAAACCTTTATCCTGTACGTCTTGCTTCCTTAAGAGTGTGTGTTTTGCTTCTGACAATTTGGGGTGCTTCCTCTTCCCAGTCCTTGCAGGAACCACAGGCAAGAACCAGATCTCCAAATCTGCCTCTTCTGTGTATGTAAGCATCGCCCATGAAAGTAGTAAGGGGGTTGGCAGCTGGCGAAAGGAGTAGTTATGCAGGTTATCCTTATTGGAGAAGTGATTCTCTAGTAGTTTGACGTTTTGCAGCATGGTTTCAGACCACTGCCATGAGATCCAGACTAATATTCAGTAGGGTGGCAAACCCAGAGAAAGTGGTTTGTTGCCCTGTGAGAAGATCTGCTGCTGTTTGGGTTGAGGGTGACTCAGATAGATGAATATATATAGCTGTCTGAAAATCCAGGACAATTCTAAAAATAATGCCTATAATCAGCTGGTTGTCATAATGAGGTAGGCTTGTTTACATATGGCTGTTATGGGGGTTGTTTTGCTTTCATGGTGTAATGTATTTATATTCATGTTTTCAAATGTGTTATGTAGGTTTGCATGGGGACTTTCAGGTAGCAAGTGGCTAACAAGCCTAAGATATAAATAAATCCTTATGCATAGTGTGCCCTTCGCCATATGTTCACAAGGCAGAAATGCATCATGTAAAAATAGTAAAATAAACAGTGAACGCTATAAAATGTCAAAAGAATAAAACAAAACATCAGCGGGGTATAAAAGCAGGTGATTAAAATTATCAGGGTGGTTCCCAACATCAGCAGTTTCCAAAGTTCTGGGGAAGGAGGTACCTCTTTAGTTTCTGGTGGAAAATTAGCAATGCATAAACAGCAACAAGACCGAAAATATGAAAGTAGTGCTGTATTGCACTCTCTAAGAGCACATAAATCAAAATATAAATAAAGTTACATATTGCACTGTGTTGCTTAATTGTATCAGAAGGCAGAACCCTGGTTGAAAGTTCGCTTTGACTAAATCGATGTTTCCCAAACTTAGGTCTCCAGCTGTTTTTGGACCACAACTCCCATCATCCCTAGCTAGCAGGACCAGTGGTCAGGAACTGATAGGAACTATAGTCCCAAAACAGCTAGAAACCTAGGTTAGAGAAACACTGGACTTAAATGGTCCTTTTACATCCCATCTATTTAATTATCTGGCATCCCTGGGAAGAGTGACAATACCACATTCTCCAGAAGGAAACGTACCCAAGTCCTTCATTTGCATTACTGGCTGATAGAAGCTCTTTTGCCTGTGCAGCTGCTTATTCTTTGGTATATTGTTAGCTGTAATCATAGTTTGCTTTAATTGCAACATTATTTATTTTTGGTTATATATGGGCCACTTTTCAGTTTCTTGGAGGAAAGGTGAGATAAAAATGGAGTGAATTTTCAACTGCATATTCATTGCATTAATAAAATGTTCCAATTTTACCTTCTAGGGAGTTTAAAGATATAGAGAATGCCTGGTTACATCTAGACATGTGGTAAGTAGGGTTGGGTGTTATTCCTCACAGCACTTGTACCCTTTGTGACATTTGAATTGTATGGCTTCAAAGATCTCTGTGGAGTTGGTCAGGCCTAACATTGCACCCTCACAGAAATATACCACTCTGCTAATGTCAGTCCATCTGTCCAGAATACTAAATTGTCTTTTGGCTGACACTCTTCTCATTTTGTTTCCATCTCTTTCTCTGTTTCGCTTGTACATCTTTAAATCTGTTTCTTGTAGGGACTCGGATGATGATGTCGAAACTGTGCGCCACAAACTGGGAGAGTTGACAGACCTCCATGGCCTGAAGAGGTTTGTACTAACCATGGGCCATTTCACGTTAATGTAGGGTCATCCAGAGAGGCTATTGGACAAGCAAGAAAAGGCATTTAAAGAACAAAATGGAACAATATTCTGTGCTCTTCTGTACAAGAGAAGTCTCCCCTTGCCATTTCACCCTCTCTGGTTTGCTTTTTCCTCTCCAGGATTTTTAAGGAAGCTCGCAAGGACAAAGGGCAGGATGACTTTCTGGGGAATGTGGTACTTCGCCTGCAGGTGAGGAAGGGAAGAGCGAATTTTCATGGCAATGTTTTACCTGTTGGCATCCTGGTCTTCCTTGAGCCATGGTTAATCCTCACAAATAATTCACATGTCATAAAGTGGTTAACCAAAACTTTGAGTTAGGGAGGTGGGATTCTCTATGTGTCTCCTGCAAATGCGCATGTGAGATTGTTTGGCATGTGGCTCCCAGAGGGTTGGTTAAGGATAAGTGTGGCTGTCAATCAAAGAAGTTTAATTATCCCTGCTTTAGATAAAGAAAGCCGTCTTGGTTCATTATTATTTTTTAAATCCAGTGTGGTCCAGGGAAGATGGGACCTGTGTGGCAGCTGGCATGGTATGTGCCACTAAAAGAGATCCAGATTCCAGAGTTGGTCTTTGTTGTCACTCCAACCTCACTGATTGGAGGGAGCAGGTTCAAATCTGTAATTTACCAAACTGTAACCATAGCAACAAATTGATTAAACGCTGCGGTCATGTTGAAAATGCGTGTTCTGCAATCAGAATTGCTTTGTTGTGTTTTTCAAAAAATACATTTATTTAATTTTTCACAATGTATCAAAGGCTATAATCCAAACCCCCTCTGTTTTGGGCATGGGGCGTATGTGTTGGCTTCTGCCCACAGAGTGACAGCTCCCTGTTTCACCCACCCAACGCGTGGGTAGAAGTGCCACTGGCAGGGTCCCTGCCACAACATCCTGCAGCAAGCCCTGAAATGGAGGATAGTTGAGCCAGTCTGAGATCTGCTGGATCCTGAGCTGAGCCTATTTCTCTCCCGTGAGGGCATTGTGCCCAATCTTGGCCCAATCCCTCTGCCAATTTCAGGCTGGTGCAGCAGCCATTTACCAGGGTTTGGATGGCAGCCTAACACAATTCAGTGGTGATGCCTCTAATTCACCTGCCAGAACTATCCTAACCTCTCTTTTCATCATCTGCTTTCTCTCTTTGTTTGGACAGGACCTGCACAGCAGAGACGACCGCTGGTGCAGGCTGGAACCTCGCACAGAAACCTACCCCAACCGAGGACATTGCCACCTGCAGTTCCTTTTTATGCATAAGAGGGTAAGGGAGTGGCACCTTACCCTTTAGAGGGTGATATGAAGCCAGCTGGGGAGGGGACTCTGAACTATGTGCTATGGTCTTCAATGGTTAGGTTGGCATGGCATCAAAGTGCAAGGCTTTTTCTCCTGTGTTGTCACCTCCTGCTGGAGGTTTGCTTGACCCAGTCTTTGGTTACCTTCCCAAAGGCGGTAAAGACTTTACCCTTTCAAATGACATTCAGATGTTCTGAAACTGTGTTGTTTTGCTGCTATGGCTTATTATAGCTCTATTGGGAATTGGTCTTTTACTAGTATGGGCATTGTCTCATATATTTCTACCCTGCCTTGGTTATACGTCTCGGAGGAAGGTAAATGAGATATAAGAGACACTTTGTCAAGTGTTCTAATATGGGTCAATGTTAGATCAGCAATCCCCAGTATTGTGGGAGAGTGTGTGTGCAACTGAGCCAGCTCTGTCGTTAGGCAGAGTAAGGTGCCTGCCTCAGGCAGCTGATTTTTGATGTCATGAAAGGACAGCAAATGCTTATTTATTGAATTTAGTAATGTATTTTTTTACTGCCCTCTGTGAGGGGAAAACTACAGTTCCTAGGATTATTTTGGGGAAGCCGTGTGCTTTAAACATAATGCTTGCCTGGAGGAACAATCTTCCCCCACCGTGTGCTGTTTCAGGGGTTATTCTGAACCCCTTCCAGTCAATTGAGGAAGGCAGAAGGCATGTAGGATGGAGGAGAGGAGGGAAGCCCTCATTTCACTAGCAGAAGTCTTTGTGTGGGCTTCCACTGGTGGGGCCTAGTTAGCTGATTCCAGTCTGTGGTACATATGCAGAGAACACCCTCTTCTAGTGCTTTCTAAAAGCTGGATGCCTGACATTGTTTTGTTTCTAGAGAGCCACCTCAGCCAGCAAGACACAACCGAGCTATACAGTCCACCGGCACCTTCTTCAGCAGATGGTTTCTTATGAGCTTCTTCAGCACCAGGTAAATGATGGACTTGACTTGGTTACTCCCTGTTTCCTTCCATCTAGTTCAATAATCTAATCTAGGTAAGTGGCGCTAAATGGAAACTGAGCCTCAGCAGAAAGAAGCACAAAGCAAGAATCTCACAGAGCAACTGGTTGCTAGAGCTTCTCAAAGCAGTCATAATGTCAACATGACTGCTACAGTCTCCTTCCTTTCCCTTGCAGGTGGGCAGCACTTCCTGGAATGGGGAGTTGAGCAAACATGCCAGTACAATCTTGTATCTGCATGCTACACAAAAAGATATTTCAGACTTCCACCAGGTTATGGCGTGAGTATCTCCTGCACTCCTCCACCCGAGGCAGCAGCATATTGCCATGTGGAAGTTACTTCAGCAATCAAATGGCATTAGGAGTTAGGACTGTCATTATTTTCGGGTGGGATTCAATCGCATTCCAGCAAATTCGGGTTATAGCTGGTTGGGAGGTCTTGCTTAGTAAGTCTGCTTCCCCCAGAAGATTGGATTTTTCCCCCCTGATGTGAACCAAGTTCACGAAGGAAATGCACTGGAGGGTGTGGGATAACACTGGCTTTGATGCAACCTCATCTAACCTCCTCACAGACAAACCAGAAGAAATGCTCATTAAGTAGGCAATGTCCTCTAATCTCTCTGCAAACAAATTGAGATGGATGCTCAATAAAAGAAGTCATCTAGTAGTGCCTTTAGTCACAGATGCCTTCTGCTGATTCCTCTGTCAGTCCTAGAATCCCATTCATGAGTTTGATTCATTTCCATATACTATGCACGCATTGTGACCCCACCCCTCCTTGAATAGACCTTTCCAGAGATATTTACTATTGACAGAAGAGCTGTCTCCTCTCCCATCACTTAGCAGTCTCAAATAACCAGTTTCAGTTTCTTCAACCTGGAGGTGGCACAGTGGGTCAGTGCTTGTGGCTGTCAACCAGAAGGTTGATGGTTCAAGTCCACTCAGGGACAGCTATGGACAGGGTTCCTGCATTGCAGGGGGTTGGACTAGATGACCCCCAGGATCCCTTCCAACTCTATGATAATTCTACAAAAATCTAAATTCCACCCCCGAGAGACATTAAGAAAACCAATCCCCCGTTTTCTGCAAAGAGACGTAACCTGCATAATTGCATCCTGGCTAAGGAATGTGATCATTTTTTTAAAAAAAGGCGGAATCTGCAGTTCTTTGTTGGGTTGATTTTTTATATTCCTATTCCTTTTGAAGTGACTATTGCTCCTTCCCACTAATTTTGTGGGACATTTATCCTCATCGTTTCAGTGCTTATTGTGTGACTTCTCCCTCCTTGACACAGGCACTGGCTGGCTTACAGCAAGCTCTACCAGAACTTGGAGTTTGACAGCAGCTGCCTGCTCCACCAGATCACCAGCATAGAGTACCAGTGGGTGGAAGGTCGATTAAGACAGGAGCAGGTAAGAAAGAGACCTGGAATTACAAGCGCTCGTAGAGTAGAATATGCCCGTCCAGCCGGAGACAGCCTTTGAACCATGTTTAACCTAAAAGGAGTTCCTGCTAAGTCCCCCATGTGGACTGATGCTGCAACACTTATGTACATGAATACTTAAGCATGCAAAAATGGCCACTACAGTCATACCTCATGTTACGCTTGCTTCAGGTTGAGCGTTTTCAGGTTGTGTCCCGTGGTGACCCGGAAGTACCGGAAAGGATTACTTCTGGGTTTCGCCTCTCGTGGATGCGCAAAATGATGTCATGCGCAGAAGCGGTGAATCATGACCCGCACATGCACAGACGCGGGTTGCATTCTGCTCATGTTGTGAACGGGCCTGCGGAACGGATCCCGTTCGCAACCAGAGGTACCACTGTACTCGGCACCTCTCAGTGCTGTGGTTGCCCTTTACCAGGTTTTTCTACTTTCTTGTGTCTTTTGGTTCTGCTTTTGGGTCATTTTGGAAGATCTGTATGACTCTCGTTACCGACAGAGGAGGAGGAAGGGTTGGGGGTGAAACCGGCTTTGAGGTGTAAACTGCTTTGAGGTTTTGTGAGCTGCTTTGAGGAGTTTTAAATGTCTGACATTTTAATATGTTTTTATATTTTTTGTGGAAGCCACACAGAGTTGATGGGTGGGGTGTAAATAATAACATTATTTAAATTAGTCAATCCTGAGTGCTTTCTTTTCTCAACACAGCCTTTGATCCTTCTTGGGTGACTGAGGGGGTGGGTCACTTCTCTCAAAAGGTACTTCTCACTAGGTCTGATATATATATATATATATATATATATATATATATATACACACACACACACAAATGAATAAATATTTGTTGCTTTCCTCAGAATGTAGAACTAGCCGACTCCTTTCAGTCCTTGCTGTCTTATGGGATTTCTCTCATCCGGAAGTACCAGATTGTCTTTCCACTTTCTGCTCCTAATTCTACAAAGAAGCTACAATCCCTGCTCAGGTGAGCTGTCACAAAGCTTCCCTATGAAAAGGGACCACAATCAGCCCTCCCCACACCTTGGCTTAGGAGAAAAGAGGCAGAGCTGTGTATCATATCTGCATACTGATGACACGTCAGTCCAAGCCTACAGAGGATTTCTCCTTTTGCATTTGTATAGATGCTAAAAACCTTGAGGGATAAGATAGAACACTGAAGGACCAAAAGGATGGAGTGTAACAGATTACCCAGTGTCATCTTCTGGAATCGCCCTTCCAGAAGCGACCAGCACCACTGTAACCCCATTCGTCAAACTCCCAACCAAAGGTGGTCTTGAAGGGTACTAGGGTTGATGGTGTGGAAAGCCATTAAGAGCCTTGCTAGAAGAGAGATTGCAACTCATGTGTGATAATAATAATAAATTTTTATTTGTATCCCGTCCTCCCCTGCCAAAGCCGGGCTCAGAGTAGCTAACAAGTAAAAATAGCACAATGTACATAAAACCACATAGTCAATGAATTAAAATACATTCTAAAATCAATTCAGAATCAAATTAATGCAACCATTGGGTTAGAGTTCTATGAGGATTACAGAAGAAGAGAGGATGTCAGACTGTGCCTTGGCCAAAGGCCTGGCGGAACAACTCCATCTTGCAGGCCCTGCAAAAAAATGTCAAGTCCCGCAGGGCCCTAGTCTCTTCTGACAGAGCGTTCCACCAGATTGGAGCCACAGCGGAAAAAGCCCTGGCTCTGGTTGAGGCAGCCTAACCTCCCTGTGGCCCAGGATCTCCAAGATGTTTTTATTTGAAGACTGTAAGGTCCTCTGTGGGACATACCAGGAGAGGCGGTCCCGTAGGTACGAGGGTCCTAGGCTGTAGGAAAATAAACCCCAAACCTTTATTCAAATAGCATTAAACTTCATCAATGCTTTTTTTCATTGCCACACAGACTCTTGGTGCAGATGTGTAAAATGAAAGCCTTCAGAGAACTTTGTACAGAGACCCCCGACCTTCAGGAAATGGTGACAGAGGCACTCAAGGTACATGGCCACTGGGCCTTTCCCCCCAAGCTCGCATTGAGATATTGAGGGCTTCTATATTCCTTCCTTCAGTGTGGAGCTGGAGCTGGAAAATGGTTAGTCTAATCCTGTTTTCCAAAACTGACCAGCAGTGCTGGGCTTTGGGTTGTCTGTGACTGCCACTCTAGAGAAATCCATGCTTCAACTTTTCTTCAGAAAGTCTGTTGAGCAAGTAGCATTTCCTAGAAGGCTCAAAAGATCAGTCTATGATCCCAGAAACCTTCTCCCTGTCTTGTGTGATCTTTGAGTATCTGGCACAGTGTAGCTTCCAACCATGGCCCCAGATAATACATTGTTCAGATGTGACTAATCCCTGACTTCACATCTGAATGTGGACTTTTAATGGGCTTGGAAGCATGTGGTGGAATGTGACTGTAGTACTCTTCATTCCTTGTCCTGTTTTCTCAGACTGGAACAGCAGAGTGGTTTCAGATGAAGAAGCAACACCTGAAGCCAATGGTAAAGGTAAGTGTGTGTGTGTGTGTGTGTGTGTGTGTGTGTGTGTTTTAGTTGGACAGAGCTTACACTGAGAGCATGTTGCTGGGTTGTTGAAGTCTGCATCTCATAGATTCTGGGATGGATGAAAGTAGGCAATGCTTCACACATTGCATTTCTTGTCCATATGGATAGACCCTGGATAGAACCAAATGAGCACTCATTTGTAGTTAAACGTAACCCAGGCAATTTCAGATAAGGCCACCAGCGCCTTCCTTAATCATTAGCTGGCAAGTGGCAGAGGTGAAATGGGGGGTGGGGAGATGTTGGTGATATGGCATACTGGCACTTACCGCCTCAAAAAAAGCACTGCCTGTTCCCTTCTCCATTCCTTTTGCAGACTATGGAGGAGTGCGGGAAGGCCCTGGTCACTCTTCTTCTGGAGGTGAATGCAGATCTCCAGCGGAGCCACAAAACCTATAACAAATATTTCACCAAGTAAGTCTCTGGAAGACATTTTTATGTTCCCTGTTCGGTCTCTCCGCTCAAGAAATATGTCCCAAAATCTTTACTCAGCAACAGAAGGTCCAAGCGGTTGAGACCAAGCATAGCAGAATCTTACCCTAATGTTATAGTTGCCCGTTCTTCCCAGGAGAATTAACTGTTGTTTATTTTAAATATTACTTTACTTAAATACACACACACACACACACACACACACACACACACACACTTATGTATGCATGTATCGCCTGACTAGTTATCATGAAGTCAGAAAGAAAAGTTTTACCGTCAAATTTAAATCTGGTTAGGCATTCAAATTGACTTATTTTGTACCACTCCCCGGCCTAGAAATTTAATCTTTTGATGTTGTTTAAATCTCTCACATCTGCAATTCCTCAGAGATTTCTGACATTTTTAGCTACTGTTTTTGGAAACTTTTGAGGACAGGGCCTCTCCTTATCCTTCCTCAAAATGGACACAGGAACTTAAGAAGAGCCTCCTGGTCAGGCCCATGCCCCATAAAGTCCAGCATCCTGTTTCCACAGCAGCCAAGCAGATGCCTATAGGAAACACACAAGCAGGACCCCCGAGCACAAGAACCCTTTCCCAGTTTCCAGCAACTGTTGGCAACTCTCAGCATGAATTACTCTGTGTAACCTGCTTGCCTTTTGGTTGACAGTTCTGGGGGCCCAGCTTGATTGGTACTGAAAGGGGCTGGATCTGGCTCTGGGCCTCTAGCTGCAGGTTCCTTATTACCGGGCCTGAAAGGATTCAGTAATACAGTGTCTTGGCACATTTTTGACCACCTGTTTTTTCCTCCTCCTCCTCCTCCTGTGTAGCACTGTCAGAGTGGACCTCTTCTCAATTGCGTATCTTGAAATGCAGGCGCAGGTGAGTAGCTGCTTTGTGGGTCAGCTGCAAAGAGGACTCCAGTTCTTTTATGTGCCACAGCAGTGGTGGAAGTGACTGGGGAGAGGATGAAGCAGTGGCTGCCTCAATTTTTATTTTTATTTTTTGTCATAAGCAAGAACTCTGGGCTTTGTCTGCTAGTTCCAGTGGGTGGTGAGATTCACCTGAGTCTTATTCACGATGAAGCTTCACTTGCCCTGAACCAGCTATGTTCATGTTTCATCTCAGGACTGGTTCACAGGTCCATTTCATCTTGGTTTTGAATCAGTGTGTGTGCCAACCATCCCTGTGAGTACATGCAGTCCAGCTCAGGTGCTAAGAGACCTTGCATGTTTTTGGTGTGAGTTTCTGGGCATAGCTTCTCTTGAGTGTTTTGATGTTGTAGATGCTCTGGGAACATATTTACACCATCAGTCATTACACACTGATTCAAAATGGGGTGGGGTGTTTTTTTTCCCAGGGTGTTTTTTTTAATGTAAACCCTTTTTTTGCAAATAAGCCCTGAGATAGGTCATGTGGCAGATCCATTCAGGATTAATGTGCCACAAATGTGTGCAATCCTTCAGGTTCTTCTCTAGATGGAAATCCTCTGTGGTTATCCTTTCACTTCATGTGCCTATTGAAGGTTTAGGGCGTTGGGTGGAGTGCCCTGGTTAGCCTATGAAAGAGCCTTTTTGCATGTTTGGGACAATGGCATCAATTAAAAAAGAAGGCATACATACATCCTCTTTGTAGACTGAGAACCCTAGCCATTATGGACCCAATTTTCTGCATCGTAGAGGTTGGAAAATGTGGGGAGAGAAACACTGGCCCCAGTATGACTCCGTCCTTGCCACCCTCACTTACCTGGCAGTGACGGCCTTAATTCCCAGGCAGCTGATGGGTGGTGGAGGAGCAACAGCTACAATAATAGCAAACCATGCAGGGCTTGCATCTGAGCAGGATGCATATTGTGACAGTCCTGACCAAGCTTCCTCAACCTCGGCCCTCCAGATGTTTTGAGACTACAGTTCCCATCATCCCTGACCGCTGGTCCTGCTAGCTAGGGACCATGGGAGTTGTAGGCCAAAAACATCTGGAGGGCCGAGTTTGAGGAAGCCTGGTCCTGACCGTGCTCCTTAGGGCTGGGATTTTCCAGTATCTAGTGACCAGTTTTGTTGTAGGCCAGCTGAATTTTTAAAATAATAGTTTTCAAAGGCTACCCAAAGCACAGCTTATCAAATGAGTCTTCCCTGAGTCAATAGGAATGGCTGTTTGCCCTCTGGATTACAGGGCCTGCTGCATGCTCACCGGTTCTCATTGGCCCACTCTAGTTTTTGTTGCCATTCTAGGTTTCCCATTATGTCAAGGAGCAGCTGAGAAAGATTGACAGTGGCATGTCCCAGCTCACAGCAGAGAGTCTTTTCCAGCTCTATCTCAGCCTGCAAGAACTATATCGCATGAAGGACCTTGTGTGCAACAGGTGCTGACCTCTTTGAAGGTCAAAGCTTTTGCTTTCAGCCTTGGGTCTGTTCTTATGGCCACCACATGGAGGCTCCTTATCCATTTCACTAGAGTGTGGCCATTTCTGAGTGTGTGTGTGTGTGTGTGTGCATTCTTGTGTGCTTATAGTGTTATGAGTTTGGGGCGGGAGCAGGCTGCATGTGAGGTCGTCCCAACCCCTGAATCCAGCAAGTGTTTTAAAAAAAATAAGCCAGGCTATCTTACTGTGTGGGCCGCGGGTTGCACTGTTGGTTAAACCACAGAGCCTAGGACTTGCCAATCAGAAGGTTGGCGGTTCGAATCCGCACAACAGGGTGAGCTCCCGTTGCTCTGTCCCAGCTCCTGCCAACCTAGCAGTTCGAAAGCACGTCAAAGTGCAAGTAAATAAATAGGTACCATTCCGGCGGGAAGGTAAATGGTGTTTCCGTGTGCTGCTCTGGTTCACCAGAAGCGGCTTAGTCATGCTGGCCACATGACCCAGAAGCTGTACGCCGGCTCCCTGGCCAATAAAGCAAGATGAGCGCCGCAACCCCAGAGTCGGTCACAACTGGACCTAATGGTCAGGGGTCCCTTTACCTTTACCTTATCTTACTGTGTGTTGAAGTGATTGCCTGGGTGATGGGCCATTAAAGGAAACAAAGGAAAGGGGGCTCTATGTGAGATAGCAAAATAGCAAATGGGTGGGGCTCCTCCCTCCTCCCTCCCTCAACTCAGAGATAGTTAGAAGGACAAAGCCTGAGTTTAGAGTTGAAAGTGGCAGTGATGTAACCTAGAAGTAAAGCAAACAGCTGGAGAGGGAGTTAGAGCAGCACCCTGAGAGCAGTGTTTGATATCTGTTTGAATCCAAGGCTTGTAGCTATTGGGAGAAACAAGATCCTTTTGGGGCATTAATGCTGCAACCCCCTCCATCATAGGCTCGGGTTGTATATATGTGCAAATAAACCATAGATCATAAAGACACCAGTCTCCGCTGTGCCTCATCAACATGATGGTATTGCAGCAGTAAAGCTGCCAGTACATTTGCAAAGCTATGCAGGGTCCAGTATGGTTTCAAAACGAAACACGAACACTGCAACCTCTGGAATCCTGCACCGCTTGGAGATTGGAAGTGGTGTGTAACAATGCACAAGGAAGGGCCTGTTGGGACAGACTTGCTATTGTTGCCCCTGACCGGGATGACTAATCCGTGGAGCAAATTCAGGCAGAAATTTAGCACAAGTTAGATGACTTTGTTTCAGTTACTGAATCTGCCAGGTTAAGTAGGTTCTGGTTTTGTATCTTTTCTTTCCAGGGAAGGTCCTCTTGAACTGACAAACTACCACCAGTGGTTCAAGGAAGCCATCCCCAAGTGGCTTCAGAAGGCATACACCATAGCCTTAGAAAGGACTCAGAGAGCTATCCAGGTAGACCAGGTAATGAATGGATCCCCATCCACAGAAGGGTCAATTATTATTGCTTTCAGCCTTATGGCATTCACATAAACAGGTGACTTTTGCCAATAGAAATGGTGACCGTTCTGGTGAGATGCAACGCGGGATTAAATCCCAAAAAGAACAATGTGTGCAAAATCATCATCATCATTATTAGGTTGAAGACACATTTAAGCAGTGCTTTTTTTCCTTAAAAAAAATGAGAGAGGTACTCTCATTTTCCTACTCATGTTGAAATACTACCTCTCAATGAGGCCAAACTTAGATTCACAAAATGTTTAGGGATATGCATACCCCTGCGCCACCCCCCCAGCAGAAAAAAAGCAGTGCATTTAAGTAAGCAGGTTTTTTTTTTTTAATACCCCCTCCAAAGTCCTAATAGCTACCGTACTTCCACTGGACCAACATCACTGAAGTAAGTGGAGCATTCTAAATTAAGTGATCGGAGGAACAGCCAGCCAGGTGTGAAAATCCCCTTTTGTTCTAGAGATTCAGGCTCCAAATTAACTGAAGCACTCAACCAATCTGCACTTGATTATTTATGCTGTTTCCCTTCTTTTGTTTTTCTTCAGCTGACACCATTAGGAGAGCTGAATAAGCACAGCACATCCACGGTGGACTTATCAACTTGCTATGCTCAGATGGTAAAGACCTGGCAGCAACTGGACTGGCCGGATCCTGAAGAGGCCTTCATGATCATGGTGAAATTTGTTGAGGTGTGTATACAGTAGGGATGGGCTGTGTTTTACTTTCATCTGTGATCCATTTATAAGTCTTTTCACTCTTGTTTCCACATTAATCTGTGAATTTGTGCAGAAATCCTTACAAAAGTAGCATTTAAATACCCATGTATTTTTTTAAAAAAAGAAATTTCAAAATTTTAAAATGCGTTGTTTTTCAATATACTGTACATACGTCTAAATATATTTTGATACAGCTTTTCGATTGGAGAACTGTGTCATAACATTCAGGAAGTGCAAGAGCTGATGGAGCTTCACATTAGCCCTGGAGGTGTAGTATAGAGCCAGATGTTGCATTTTAGTAACACTGAGATCCAGTGTGATGCACAGAAACAAATCCTACGAATGTTGGGGAAGATCCACCCCACTGTAAACGACTTTGTACATGAATCTGGCACTTGAAACTTTTAAGATGCTGGAAACAAGGAGGCCAGCTGGCTGAGAACCTATAGTCCCCAAAGAGGCATAAACAGATGAGACCCAAAAACAATCAAGCAGGTCAAGAGCAGCTGAAACAACAAAAAGTCCAGTGCTTTGCGCTTGCACCTGGTCTCACAGTTTTTTACACTTGCTCTTTCATTATACTCTGAGAAGTAGTACTGTACTTCAGAAAAGAAGTAATACATAATTCCAACGGAAAAAAAGAACCCACCTTAATTTGGGATGGAGGATCGGAATATTTGTTTGTTAATTACTATTATTTCTTAAATACAGTGGTACCTTGGGTTAAGAACCTAATTCGTTCTGGAGGTCCGTTCTTAACCTGAAACTGTTCTTAACCTGAGCTACCACTTTAGCTAATGGGGCCTCCCACTGCCGCCACGCCGTCAGAGCACGATTTCTGTTCTCATCCTGAAGGAAAGTTCTTAACCCAAGGTACTATTTCTGGGTTAACAGAGTCTGTAACCTGAAGCGTCTGTAACCTAAAGCGTCTGTAACCCAAGGTACCACTGTATATTTCTTGCCCGCTTGCCACCCCTTTGATCCCTAATGACCCGAATTACCCCTCAGACCAGATGTATTTCATTCTTACGATGCTCTTATTGTCTGATGAAGGAATCGCCTCTGCCTACGCCTTCCCACATCCTTGTAGGAAGCAGTGAAATCCAAGCAGTGAACTGATGCATTGGGAGTCTTTACCTCCATAGAGTACAATATCCTCAAGCTTCTTCCTTTTTTGACTTCTTAGGACATATGTAAAATTGCTCTGATGTACTGCCGACTGATCAAGACAAGGGCAGAAGAATTGTCATCAAAGAAACACAAAGAGGGAGAAGCGGCAAACAGGGTGAGCGATGAAGCCAGTTTCTGACAAAGGGCGTTGTTCAAGTAGGCTTTTGGGAGGTGGAGAAGTCCCGCTAAAATATACTTGGAGTTGAGTGTGGATTTCATGCTCTTTATTCAGCTCATAGTAGTGAGGAATGCCAGTTTCCCCGAAATGTCTGCTTTATATACATTATTTACACAATGGGCCCCACGTGATTGGCTAATTATGGGATTCTCCTGTAGGCCAATCAGGTTGCGGATTCACTTCCACCTGGAGTTGGATTGGGTGGCTCCTGCGGACGAATCAGACTGCTGCATTCTGAATCCTATTGTTCTAGGTCCAATCAGACTGCTGCATTTTGGATCCTATTCAGTACATAACACCTGCCAACTCTTGAGGCTACAGAATTCTGCCATTCTGCTTCACAGGCAGTTGGAATGCATCAGTTTCTTGCTTTATTTCTCCCCCCGCCAGCTCTGCGTTGTGGTGAACAACATCGAGCAGCTCCGCATGATGATCCTGAAGCTGCCGTCCCAGCTGGACTGGGCGCGCCTGGAGCAGAAGACGGGAGCGGTCATTGCGCCAGAGCAGATCCAGCACACCTTGCACCACCAGCTTCAGGCTACCGTCACTTGCCTCAACAACGAGATCCGTGGTGTGGTGCAGACCCTGGCAAGCAAAGTAACCCGGCAGCCTTGGCTTTGCTCTTGATAAGATCAATCTGGCAGGGAAAGGTCTGGGAGGGGCATGGTTGGAAATGGCAGAATGGGGCCAACACGAGACAGTCCGTGTTTTGCAGCCCGTGGTTATGGCTCCCTAAGATAAACCTGTGTGCATTCTGCATTTCTGTACAAGAGCCATACTGAGAACGCAGGATTTTGTAGGGGCCATACAACTCAGCATCTCAAGAAACCCAAGATTTGTATGAAAACATTAACATTTTTTTAAAAAATCTTACGAAAATTTCACACACTGCTCTGCGTGAAATTTCAGAAGCCAGAGCAGAAGACGAGAGGGGGGAACCTTCATAGGAAGCTGCCTTTATACGAGACTCAGACCAAATAGCCTATATTGTTCAAGATTGTTTACATTAACTAGCAGCAGCTATCCAGCATTTCCCACCTGAACTTTTTATTCATGCAAAGCAAATGCTTTGTCAGTGAGTTTTGCCCTTCAGTGCCCCCTCCCCGTAGTTCCTTGTCTAAGGCAGCAGAAATGTTGTAAAAACTAGCAAATAGACACACCATTGGCAGAGGTGGTTCCAAGATTGAGGTTGAAGAAGGGTGCTCAGTGGCTGCTGCTGCTGCTGTTGTTCTTGGTCCCCATTCTCCGCTTGCTGTTCTTCCTCATCTCTTCCTCCACTGTAGAAAAAATATTTTATATCGGAATGTAATGGCAGCCTTCTATACCTGACTAATGCAGTGATTACTAAGATAATGTATGTGAACTGCTTTGAGCACTTACAAAGCATCTTTCCTCAAGTAGCAGTAAGCACATGCATTTTTATTTTGACAGCTGCATGCTGGAATTGCCAGACACATCCAGGAGCTGTACACCTGCAGCGCTTCCAGGGACCCAGAAGATGTGAGTCTTGGAATGCCGAAACAAACCGTTTTTTCTAGGCTACATGCTGTTGTGCTAAACGTGCCTCTTTTGCCCTATCCATGTCTCGTACGCTGCCTTAGCTAGTCCTACATTCAAAAGAAGCCACAACCGAAACTAGTAATGTACTAGTAATGCCCCTGGTTTTAACTCTCGGCCTTGAACTGTAATATCTATGCCTTCTGGAGCTTAGGGCTGTTTGACTTTCCAGCAGATAGTTTGGCTTTGGAGCAATATGTTAGATCTCTGTAGAGGAGGTGCAGGGAGGTGTTCAGGAGCCGCAAAGGAAGGTGGCAATGGGGCGGCTTGAGTCACTTCTGAACTTACTGAGATGAATGAGAGTATGTAAGTTCATGTCAAAAAAAGCAAGCAATCACGGCGACAACCACCTTGGTTCCACAGCTGTTACTACCATCACTTTATTGTTACTACTATTGTGTTACTACTACTAACAATATAGAATTAGCTTTGAGAACTCCTCCACAGAGCTAAGAGATGTTGATATTTTCTTTTTTTTATCATCTTCCAGGACTATCTAAAGTCTTTTTTTTGTATATAATTTTATTAAATTTTCTGTTTTACAATTTAAAATATTCATTATTACATCCTTAAGCTATCAAGGACTTCCCTTCTTCTCTTTCCATGGTTCATTTTACATATCATAAATCCCTGTATATTTTACAAAAACTATACCATTCAGTATTCCATTATTGCGATGTTGATATTATCCTTTATGATTTGTTGCTTTCTTTAAAAAAAACAAAAACCAGTCATAAATAGGTTGCTGTGAATTATACCGGAGACAAAAATCTGTCTCATATTTTCCTCTGCTCAGTTTGTAGGGTGAACTCCTCTGCAGTGTTGCAATATTCGCTGGAGGATCATTACCACAACACGTTTTATTTCTTTGATAAAATTTCTAGACAGCTTAATGTTAGGGGGGGTGGGAATAAAAAAATTAACAATTGCATAAAAATACTAAGATCATAAAAACAAACAATAAAATACAATATTAGGACAATGCAGGAGTGCAGAATCCAGTCTTAAGAGTCAGGAAAAGCCTGAGCAAAGAGATACATTTTCAGGCAGCACATAATGCAGGTGTAACTGATGACACCGTGAATCTCAGAGGGATGCGTGGTCCAAACTGCAGGGGCATCATCCCCCATTTTGTCTTTTATCTTCCCTGCTTTGGACTAGGTTCGGTTGGAGAGGGAGTCCAACAATCTTCTGCCTCTATATGTTATAAACCACATATAAAGGTAAAGGTAAAGGTAAAGGTACCCCTGCCCGTAGAGGCCAGTCGTGACCGACTCTGGGGTTGCATGCTCATCTTGCTTAAGAGGCCAGGAGCCGGCGCTGTCCGAAGACACTTTCGGGTCACGTGGCCAGTGTGAGGAAGCTGCTTTGGCGAGCCAGCACCAGCACAGAGCACAGAAACGCTGTTACCTTCCCGCTATAAAGCGGTCCCTATTTATCTACTTTCACTTAGGGGTGCTTTCGAACTGCTAGGTGGGCAGGAGCTGGGACCAAACGACGGGAGCTCACCCCGCTGCGGGGATTCGAACCGCCGACCATACGATCGGCAAGTCCTAGGCACTGAGGTTTTACCCACAGCGCCACCCGCGTCCCTTAAACCACATATAGAGGATATTAAAAGTGTTATCAGTATGAGACACAGAGGAGTGTAATTTTCAAAAAGCACGTTTCTTTACCCTACACGTTGCCTCTTATTCATGCAATGTACACCTGTTAGCGTTGTATATTTCAGGTGGCGGCTACACTGGCACACACAGACTGTGTGCGTAAGTGTGCTGACCAGCTAGCACATAGGGTAAAAGCCTTTGAAATGTTATGCTGGCCATGTTGAGCAGCACCAGAGGAAGTCATTTTTACTTTCCTTGTATGGAGGCCTCTGAAATGTTCAATATAGACTCCACAGTGCTCTTCCCTTTCTCTCTGATTTCTCTAAACTTTTTCTCCCTGCCACCCTAGTGCATCACCCCTTTAATGCTATTTTTGGAATGTGAGCTCCAGTATCTAAGTGGGAACCTGGTCCAAGAGAACTTCAACAGGTGAGCTAGAAGCCTGACATTGCTAGGATCCGCCCCCCCCCCATCATCATTTTATAGTAGCAATTATAGTAGTCTGTGGCCCTATGTTCTCCAGAAGAGGGATTTTCTCCCTCCCAGAAATTCTGCAACTCCTTGGGAATAGCAAAGGCTGAAGGAAGACAAGAGAGCTTAATGCTACTGGGAGATGAGTGAGGGGCATCCGACAGGTAAAAGGCCCAGGGTGCCAGAAGTTCAGAAGATTTGCCATGGTGTCAGTGTGAAGAATACATGGGTGAACCACAGCAGCATGCCAGGATCCGTAGACAAGGAGATCCACTGCTTAGTTTCTACATTAAGAACACACAATCCCAGTGTTTCCCTGCTGGGTTTTGAAGCTCTCCAAATGCAGATTTACTAGTTATGGCTATGGGGGGGGGGGCTGGTCACTCTGCACATGCTCAGAGACATTCGATTCTTTCTTTATTTTGACTTCCTTGGGCCCCAGTGTTGAATCCCTAGCAAATCGGCAAGATGTTTGAGAAGGGATCAATCAGACACAGGGTCTTTAGAGGCCTCCCAACTGTCTTCTTCTTCTGAACTGTTTTTGGAAACCATTATGGTTGAAAAGAGGTGCATAAATATTCTTACGTAAATAAAATGAAATATTGGAGCTCCTTTGAATGCTAGTGGGACTCTCCAATGCTATGTTAAAACTTTATTTTGCCAATTTATTTCTGGGTCTAGGACTGCCTGTGATGAGTCTACTGTTGTGCTTTTTTAAAAATAAAAAAATCCCCCCTTCACCCATAGTTCACCTTATTCCCCCACAGAATCTAGTTGGAAGTTGCTAAATGAAACCTCTGGGAATAAGGGAGTTAGTAAGATGCCCCTGGCTTTCTTTCTTTTTCTTTCTACGGGACCGCCTCTCCTGGTATGCCCTGCAGAGGACATTAAGGTCCACAAATGATAACATTTTGGAGGTCCCAAGTCACAAGGTGGTTAGATTGGTCTCAACTAGGACCAGGCCCTTTTCAGTACTGGCCTCCTGACTTGGTGGAACGCTCTGTCACAAGAGACTAGGGCCCTGTGGGACTTGACATCTTTCCGCAGGGCCTGCAAGACAGAGCTGTTCTGCCTGGCCTTTGGTTTGAACTCAGTCTGACCCTTATGTTTCCCTCCTCTTATGGTTTTGATCTATGGGCTACTTTTAAAATGAGGCTGCATTTTAAATTGCATTTTAACCTGTATTTTAACTTGGTCCCCCCCCCCCATTATGTTTTTACTGTAATTTTTACTGGTGTTAGCCACCCTGAGCCCGGCTCTGGCTGGGGAGGGCAGGGTATGCATAAAATTATTATCATTATTATTATTATTGTTATTATTATTATTATTATTATTGTTATTATCATCCCAGAGTCTAACGGATTCTGCTGGTATCCAATGGCAACCTACCGTAGTTTCTATCTCTGCTTTCTCTCCCCTCCAAACAGCCTCTTGGAGCTGCTGTGGAATCACACTCTGGACATGCTAAATGGGGCTGCTAAACAGCAACTTGGCAACCTGGCATACTTCAAGAAATTGCAGTGTGCCCTCAAGGTACTTAGACATGTGGAATAGAATGTAGGATGGAGCATCTGACTTTCTTTGTTGGGCTTTAACAATGGAGCATTCACCCTTTTCGTTCTTCTTCTCTCCCCCCCTCCCCATTCCATAGAACTTGGAGCGGTGTTTTCATGGAGAGGGCTGTGGTCTGCCAGAGGACACCCTCCACAATGCAACATTTACAGTAAGATGCTACAAGCCCAATTGAGCTCTCTGGCGCATTGGGAGTGGGGCGAGGGATTCCTCCACCATGAACAGGCCAATCAATCTAGGGACTCAGCTACACTCGTCAATTATATCATTATGATTGTGTGACACCAGATGGCGCTCTAGAGCAATGGGATTTTCCATCAAGAGCTTTTATAACGTGTTTTTCTATAGCACTTTTAAAAAACTCGATATAGATCCAGCCTAGGCATTCACAAAACATCACCTAAGAATGGTGGTCTTGCAGATCACCAATGATGGGGTCCTTAGAACAAGTGGGCCTCCCGTCTTACTTCCTGTTTGCATTACCTGTTTCAAATTTAATTTGTCTTGCATAATCTGTCAATTGGGGGTGGGTTAAGAATTGCTTAATATCCCACTAGTACAATTTCTGCTCAAACCCACTTGTCCCCTAGGCTCTGGAAGAAGAACTGGACCTCTGCTCTTCCACCAGCAGAAAACTTATCCAGAAGTACTTCAGCGCCCGAATCCAGCAGCAGGTGTGTGACTTCAGTGGGCTCTGGCTCCTGTTTACGAAGAAGACTGCATCTCCTTGTTCGTTCTTCCTTGTGCTGAATTATATTGTTACATCTTATTTTCTTACGTTATTTGTGGCTAAGATCATCACTGTTGATTTACAGCAGGGATGTGAGACCTGTGTTCTTGTAGACAAATTAACAGAGAATTAGGTTATGTTCTGCTCATACTGTTGGAGGCAGTACACCTCTGAATACTAGTGGCTCGAAAGAGGAGGAGGGGAGGGAGTTGTTGTGCTCAGGTCCAACTTTCGGGCTTCTCATCGACCCCTGATTGGCCCCTGTGAGGACAGGATGCTGCCCCAGATGGGGCAATAGCCCGATCTAGCAGGCTCTTACATTTTGTAGCCCAACAGTTCTTATTAGATCACAGATCCCATCCTACCTGATTATTGGCCATGCTGTCTGGGGCTGATGGGTCACACTCCAAAAACATCTGAAGGGGCCATGGATTTCCCATCCCTAATTTGCCGGATGGAACTTGAAGTGATGTTTATCACCGTTTATTACTATGGTATAGGGAGACCAGGACCATTAATTGCTGGCAAACAGACTAGGGCATTTGAAATGCATCCTGACTTCTCTGGTTGTTCTTATTTCTTAGACAGAGGCTAGCCCTGAAAAATACGGGGCTGTGACCATCAAGGCCCTTTACCGCCACTCGGAACAAAAGCTGCGCGTCGAGGTGCTCAACGCTGTCAACCTCCTTCCCCTGGACTCCAATGGTGAGAGAGCCCTCGAGCCAAAGGAACGTGTCTCATTCTCCTTATTAGTGCAGGCGCGTGAATCTGGAATGCTGTGTACGGTTCTGGCTGCCTTTTCTCAAAAAGGAGTTGGAAAAAGTTCAGAAATGGTCGATCAGAATGATGATAACAAGGGAGAGTGATTCACTTCCCTTATGAAGCAAAGTTGCAACATTTGGGAGTTTTAAGTTTAGAGAAAATGTGGTCGCAAAGGCACCATTGGAGGCAGCAAGGCTTCTGAATAGCAGTTGCTGGAAACCACGGGAGGGGAGAGTGCTCTTGCGCTCATGTTCCCATGGGCAACTGTTCAGCCACTGTGAGAACAGAATGCCAGACTAGAAAACTGAAAAATACAGGTTGGTGTTTGATGCCGACGATAGAGTATAGATGTTGCAGAAAACATTCATGTGTGAGCAGCACTGATCCCATCTGGGAGTCCCCTTCAAATCTGAAAGGCAATTGCAATTGCTGGTAGTGTGGATAAATACTTTAATATTTGAAGGGAGAAGGGGCTGAGCAGTCTGTAGGAACTACAGTGCAGTTCATTCACATTTCCAGAGGAGGTAGTTGTTGTCTCACTTAAGTGCTCTTGACTCTGTGCAAAAATCACAGCGGAGAACATTGAGCATTTACACACTTGGCTCTTTTAAGAACACAATGTGAGCTCTGCATGCTTGGGACCTGGAATGGATAAATAAAGATTTTAGTAAAACTGAGCCAAGGAAAGAAATGGATGGACCTGCTCCAGAGAGTTGCTGCATCAGGAAGGTGCCCTTTGCTTAGCGGCAGAGACAAACCTTTTATGCAGAAGATCCCAGGTTCAATCTCTGGTACCTCCAGACAGCTTAAAAATATTTCAAGTAGCAGGCTAGGAAAGACGCCAAGTTGGAGAGCCACCACTGCCCCATCAGACTCCACAGCATTGGGCTTGTTGTTGTTGTTTAGTCATTTAGTCGTGTCCGACTCTTCGTGATGCCATGGACCAGAGCACGCCAGGCACTCCTGTCTTCCACTGCCTCCTGCAGTTTGGTCAAACTCATGCTTGTAGCTTCGAGAACACTGTCCAACCATCTTGTCCTCTGTCATCCCCTCCTCCTTGTGCCCTCAATCTTTCCCAACATCAGGGTCTTTTCTAGGGAGTGTTCTCTTCTCATGAGGTGGCCAAAGTATTGGAGCCTCAGCTTCATCATCTGTCCTTCCAGTGAGCACTCAGGGCTGTTTTCCTTAAAAATGAATAAGTTTGATCTTCTTGCAGTCCATGGGACTCTCAAGAGTCTCCTCCAGCACCATAGATAGACCCAATGCACTGACTCATTAAAAAGGCAGTTTCTCTCTTTCAACCTAGAAGGCTGAAACTTAACTCTCAGCAGCCGTAGGGGGCTTGCTTGCTAGAAGGTCTTTGATGGGTCAATAATACTTGGCATCCGTTCACAATTTATTAAAAGAAAGTACTAGCAAACATCCTACGGTGGGGAAGGGGGTGAACTAAGATAAAGACTCTTAAAATTGCAGGACACCACCAGGTGCCAAGTGAATGCAACTTATGCTTGGGGGTTTGTTAGAGGAACAGATGCCCCAGGACAGACTTGCAGTTTGCTAATGATTACTTGCTTCTTCTTCCAATCCCCCTCATCCCCAGGCTTAAGCGACCCCTTCATCCAGCTGACCCTGGAGCCACGGCACGAGTTCCCCGAGGTTATGACACGGACGACCCAGTGCATAAAGAACAATCTCCACCCCCTCTTTGATGAAGTATTTGAATTGTATGTATTATTATTATTATTTATTGAATTTCTATACCACCCTATGCCCAGAGATCTCAGGGCGATTCACGGAATAAAATCAAAATATAAAACCACAGAATAAAAACAACAACCCAATAGCTACCCTTCTCTCCTGCCCTGCAGACCCTTGCCATGGGTGGTTTTTTTTAAAAGCCAGGCAGCACCCACGGGTCTCAAACCGCTGGAAGCGATTATGGGATTCAAGCAATGTGTTGGTCCATGGAACCACTGGGCTAAGATGGCTCAACCCTTGCCATGGTTGACACAGCTTGATAAGTAGCATGAGATGGTGAAGGCTGGTCCATTACAGCAAGTGGGACCCTGCCCCACCAAGCTCAGTCTGCCCTCAGCCAGTGTCCACTTGCCCATCTCCTTACTTACAACCAGTCCAGGGAGTTGAGGCCCTGGCTGTCAGCTTCCTCCTCCTGAGCCTCAGTATCGCCCTTGTAGAACTCAGCAGCAGGTGGGTGGGGGAACAACACTGAAATTACCGTATTTTTCCATGTATAAGACGGGTTTTTTCCTTAAAAATAATGTCAAAAATAAGGGGGTGTCTTATGCACGGATACATCTCCCCCCATTTTCTTAAATCTGAGTCCTCAAAAATGGGGGGTGTCTTATACATGGGGGCGTCTTATAGACGGAAAAATATGGTAAGTCAGCTAGGCCTGTCCTTGTCTCTGTTTCCCCCTATTGTTGGCTGTTCTGCCTTCTGCCCTAACAGTCCCTCTGGACTCCAGCCGCTACTGCCCACGAGTGTTACCAATTATTTCTGTTCGTCCGTTCCCACTGGTTGGTATGGTTTGAAACACAGAGAAATCATTCATCTGGTACTTTTTGCGTGCGCTCGGAGGTGGTGCTTCTTCCCCTCGGTTTGAGGTGCCTGCAAAACGGGGTCACTCAACTCAGGCCGTCCCCATGCTCATTTCCTTTTACAGTTTGGTCCCTCCAGAAAAATGCCAGCAGGACGGGACGTGCCTGCTGCTCACCGTGTTTGACTACGACACCTTAGGAGCCAATGATCTGGAGGGAGAAGCATTCTTCCCCCTCTGCAAGGTGTTGGGGCTGAATGAGGACGAGGAAGCCATCAACCCTTCTAGGGTGCCGCAGACCCGATTGTCCTTGACTCATCCCGGAACTGCTGGTGAGCTCGTTACTTATACATTCCCAGCTTCACTTGTCCTTCTCCTTTTTGGCCAGCTAAACCTGTAGCCTCTTAGTGGGCGGGGTCATGGGCTTCTAGGCACACCCCCCTAGAAAATACAGGTGGGGCTCTTTTGTTCCAGACCAAGTACTAGGCTGTATATTGAAATGCTCAGCATTTTAGTCCTGTGATTTTGGCTTGTATCCTGCGTAGGGCTAAGTTAACATTCTGTGAAGTGCTCCCTAACTCTATCCTGGGGCTTCCTGCAGCAGGGAGTTTGCGGTGGGGCGAGAGGGGTGGGAAAGTCCCATTGTGCAAGTGGGATGCTGACGGGGATGCTGTCTTTTGCTGTTGAGTTGGTGGTAAATTATATCTGCACAAACACAGTTATGTACTACTAATCTAATGAAGCCAATTTAAAGAGTTTACAAAAATTCAAGCTGATGCAACTGATGAGTCTTCCAGGCTTCTCTGCTGACCAAGGAAAGGGAAAGATTTTGTTGTCCCTTGTGGGCCCCATCTGACCATACATTTAAACCCTTTAAACAGTCATGGCTTCTTCCAAAGAATCATGGGAGCTGTAGTTTGTTAAGGGTGCTTAAAGTTATTATGGAACACCTATTTGCCCCCACAGAGTTGCAACTTCCAGAATGGTTGAACCATTGATCCTTCTTCTCAGAGAACTCTGGGAGTAGTAGCTTTCTGAGGGGAGTAGGGGTCTCTTAGCAACTCTTGGCACACATAACAAACTACAGTTCCCAGGATTCTTTGAGGAAGACCATGGCTTCTTAAAGTGGTATGATACTGTTTTAAATGTGTAGTGTAGGTGTGGTAGTGGTGCTGGGAATTAAGAGTTCTGCTGCCTGCATTTCAATCCCTTCCCACTGGGAGCTTAGGGGGAATTGTCAGTATTCCTCCAGCCATTTCAGCATTAGCAATTTAACTAAAAACTAGAAGGCTGGTTTCATAACTTGTCTTCTAAGTTTGGAACCTAGGATATTATGGAACATAGCAGGCTTAGTATGAGAGCCGGGCCCTGGAGGCACCTATACATATGAAGGTTTTGGAACCTGGGCTTCGATCTGTTACTGGAGCCATTTTTTCACTTCACTGATTCCAGAGAGCTGGTCGTGGCTTCTGTTCTACTGCTTCATTTCAGAGACAGAGAGAGTGTAGGGATGGCTTATTTTCATACGATGGCTCCTTGTATAATATGGGTGGAAAGTTAGGGCTTTGTGGCAAACAGGCTGATAATGGGTAATGTTTGATGGGCAAATATCTGCAGAAAGGGCAGGAAAAGCCAAGCAGGAACAAAGGACTGACTGTACTTAGGACCAAGTGCTTTTAAGGGCTCATCTACATGTCTGCTTGTCCCGTAGCTAGAAAGCACAGGTCCAAGTGGTTTTCCATTTGCCCTACTTTGTTCCTGGGGAAAATGTGCTCTTTAGCTTTAAATTGGAGCAAACGTCAATCCAGAAAAAACACCTGATTGATGCTTGCTCCAATTGAGAACAAAAGATCAGGTTTCCCCCAGGGGAATGCAGAGGGGAAAGCAGAAGTCTGGATGAGCCCTAAGTGTGTCCATAGCAAATGGGATGATTATTGGTTTGAGAGTAGCATAGAGGCAGGCTTCTTCACCAGCGGCACCAGTGTTGAGAAATTGCTTCCCTGCTTCCTCAATAAGAGCATTCCCCCTGCTCTTGATGACGCAACCATTTAGGCAGGCATTCCCCTGAACTTGAACTTTCTGATACAGTAAATCCACAACTTAGATATATTTAACTTGTGAGCATTCAGCTTTGCACTCTTGGCAAAAAAAGTTTAAAAAAAAAAAAAGACCGAGGAAAAAGACTTTGGCAATGTCCCCCCCTGCCATTGCACACAATGTGTTTTGACTATACACAAGTTTGTTATCAGGCACTATCCCCAGAACAAAACCCAGGTGTAAGTGGTGGGTTGTTTTTTTTTAAAAAAAACTGTTTAAATTGTTTTTTAACTGGCTTGTTTAATTGTGTATGTTTTTAATGCTTTGGAATGGTTTTTATTGTGTGTTTTAATAATCTGTTAATTTCATAATTGATTTTATACTTGTAAACGGCTTCAAAGCCCTTTTTGCATACAAGTGGCATCTTAAATAAATACGCAATGTGAGGCATTTTCCAAAAGTGAGGCAAGGTGAAGAGATTGTTTTTAGATTGCAGGTTGCTGTCCTTTTTTTCACCGTAGCTTCTACACTGCCCCCTTCCTAGGGACGCTGGACTGCACCCACTAGACTGCTGCTGGATTTACCTAAGCATCATAGGAGCAGCGTTAGCAGTTGACTCTTAACTAGAGATCTCCTGCTTTTCCTTCCAACAGCTCAAAAGGCAATGGACAGTAACACAACCCACCACACCCAAACTCCATTCTCCTTTTAATAAGATTCCCTCTTCCTCACTGCTTGGAAAGCTGCTTCCATAGCAACCTCCATTGGGAACAGCGTTTTGACTCACTAAAGGGAGCTACAAGAGGTGCTTGGAGCTAGAACAGGAAATGGAAACAGCTGTTTTTCAATTAGCCTTGTTCTTCATGGGGCACACACATCATTCACATAGTATCCATTAGCTGCATCCATTAGCTTGTTACCCCTTGGCGATGTCCTGCAGTTTTCCATCAGGTATCTCTGGGCTTCTCTGCTTTAGGATGTTTTGAGATATATGCAATGGGTAACTTTTTGAGGGGCCAGGATTCTTGGCTTTGGCCTAGAAGAAGCTTAAGTCTTAGTTGTTGCCTAGCTTTTGTGATGTCTGTCTGCAGGAAACTGGGTTTGTGTTCAACGTCAAGAGACGTTTAGTTGTAGGAGCAGTCTGCTTGATTCCACATCTCACTGACTGCATGCCACCTCTCCCACTCTGCCCCAGGTGCAGAAATCTTGAAGCTGCTGGAGACCCGCAAAGGAGACAAGGAAGCCCAGGCGTTTGTGAAGCTCCGCAGACAACGAGCAAAGCAATCCAAGGAGTCTGAGCGACAGCAGGAGCAACAATAGGGGCTGCAACAGAAGGGACTGAGCTGAAAAGGTGCAGCAGGCAGGGCCTGTGCTGCCATGGCGACAGCAAATACACCATGGAGAGCAGGAAGCCCTTCTTCCACTCCAGCTTTTTCTGCTGGTGCATTGGATGCCAGAGGGACATGTGGCATTCTAGCCTGGCCATAGCAGACCCTGGGGCTCTTTTGTCAGTGCATGCTGAAGAGCAAGCTGTGCCTGGATGAATGTTTGATCTATTTCCATTCAAGAGGCGACAGGAAAGGGTTGTGTCACCCACTCCCAGCCCCATTCATCCGTTCTTCATCTGCAGTAAGGACTTCCCTTATTTTATTTTAAGAAAAATGGAAAACGTGGTACTATTTGATTTTCATACTGCAGGCAAAGGGATGCTGTGAGCAAACACATGCGCACAATTGGCACGCATGCGTGCACACGAGGACTGAGGAAGAGCCTGTTTGGCCGGCAAAGCTTGTAATGTGCCCCTTGTGGATTTCCCCCAGGAAATGCTTTACTCTGTTCGCCAGATGGCATGGAAAGCAGGCAGCCTGGTACACCAGAAAGCCAAAGGGTGGGGTGGGGGTGGGAGAGCAGCTTTTGGTGAGTTAAAAAAAACAAACACCCCAGACCTGCGATCACTAATCTCTGCTACAGGAACTGGCACTTCCTTCTGATTTAAGCATCACTGTCTTAAAAAGGAATTAAATGGAAGAGCCGCTGGCTGTACGCTGTGATGGATAATAATAATAATAATAATAATAATTTATTACGGCCGTAGGCCCATACAGATAAAAACAAGACGTAAATAACAGCCTGTGCACATGGGAAAAAAAACAGCCGCTAAAACAATACTATAACAATAAGCTACTATAAGATGGAATGGCATACTACGCCTTAATTAGCTTGTGGTGCTCCTTGGCGACGCTTTTGGGTAAGGACAGCGACCAGGAACCTAGCCACTTTCAGGGTCGTATGGGCATCCTTATCCTGCAAGATTTGGGCAAGGTGGAATTTTGGTGGAGTACCCTCTAATTTCTGTATGATTGATCCCAACAAGTTTGCCCGTGGCACCTTAAATAAGGGGCAAGTGAACATAATGTGCTGAAGCGACTCCGGCATCTCCTTATCACATTCGCACATGGCGGAGGTTTGGCCCTTTGAGAATCTATGTCTCAGGACATTGGAGGGAAAAACATTAAACCTCGCTTTGGTGAAGGCCAGCCTATGGGCAACAGTCGAAAGGGAGGAGAGGTATGATGGAACGCAATAAGTTAAAGTGATACCAATGTTCTGGGGCGAACAAACACCTCCCCCCAGCATATAATTTTGCTGTAAATCGATGTCATCCAGTCTTTGGCGGATCAGTCTTTGAGCAGTGATTTGATCTAGTTTTAGGGAATCTAAGGGAGAGATTCCATAGCTCAGGAGTTTGGCATGAATTCTACTGGTCCAAAGGCTGGGGAATTCATCTCGCCATAAGCATTGGGCAAGGTAATGGTCTGGTAATCTATGCCACAATGATAACCAATAATTGAAGACTTGCTTCCACAGGCAGGTTTCTAAGGATGCGATCCTCAATTCTAAACGCATGGCTGCGTTGCTTACGCACAGGGGAGCATTAGGAGCCGACGTAGGAATTGGTTTTGCAAAGTCTCAAGAGGAGCAAGGTCTGTCATCACGACCCAGAGCGGGGCAGCATAAGCAAGCACGGGAACCACTTTTGCCTTGAACACCTTTAGGGCCGAGGGAACATGCAAAGCTCCATCCGAAAAGAAAAATCGGAGGAGCGCATATGACAGAGTTTTGGCCTTATTAAGTAGGTGTTGAATATGTGCTTTCCACCCCAAATTGTATTGAAAAATAACTCCTAGGTATTGAAATTTTAGGACTTGCTCTATTTTTGCTCCACCAAGCTTCCATTCGTATAATCTCCGACTTCTGGCGAAAATCAGAATCTTAGATTTAGCATGATTGATGGTTAATTGGTTGAGTTGACAATACGTGGCAAAGATCTTCAGAGCTCTGGTTAGTCCAACACGTGTATAAGATAGAATTACCGCGTCGTCCGCATATAAAAGGAGTGGACAGCGGTAATCCGCTAGTCTAGGCGCATGTGTACTTGGAGATGAGTTGACTAGGGGTGCTCGCATGTCGCTGATGAATAGATTGAATAGGCAGGGGGCCAATATACATCCTTGGCGCACTCCCTTGTTTATTGGTATCGAATTTGTGAGGTCGCCCGCAGGAGTAAGTCTCACTCTGGCAAGGGTACCTTCGTGGAGCTGACTTATAAGCCATAAGAGCCTTCTATCGATGCCCTGTTTCGCAAGTTTCTCCCAAAGAATATTTCTAGGAACGCTGTCGAAGGCTGCCTTAAGATCTAAGAAGGCAGCACACAGATAGCCCCGGGGAGGGGGGAGTACTTCCGTGCCAGATGGTAAAGAACTATCGCATGATCAGTTGTAGAGCGTTTAATTCTGAACCCTGCTTGTTCGTGGCCAATCTGGTTAGTCTCATCTACCCATCGCGATAGTTTCGTCAGCAAAAAGCTGGCATAAATTTTCCCTATGATCGAAAGGAGGCTGATGTTACGGTAATTTTCCGGCTCCATTGGAGAAGCTTTTTATGAATTGGAACTATAATGGCCTCCTTCCATATTTTGGGGATGATACCAGAAGCGTTGATTGCGTCGAAGGTTTTGGCCAAGATGCCAGCCCACCATTTTGGGTGTAGTTTGATGGCTTCAGCAGGGATCAGGTCGGGCCCTGGGGCTTTGCCCAATTTCAGCTGGGCTATTAGCTTGGCTATTTCGTCAGGATCGGTGGGAGGCCAAATAGGTAGGTGGGAGAACAGATGCATCAGATGGTCGGAGGGAGCATCTGCCTGTGAGAAACATTTCTTCAGGAACAATTCCCATGTCGGTGCAGGGATGACTGCCCTTGGGTATTTCCTCACCCTTCTGTTAATCAGAGACCAGAATTCCCTGGATCTATGTGATTTTGAAGCAGTAATCAAGGCCTGCCAGCGATTATGTTGCCACTCACGTTTGGCAATTTTCTGCGTGCGTTTATAAACTTGCTTGGCTTGTGCATAACTAGCTGGCAGAGTAGATGCATCGGAGGTCTTATATACATTATATATAGCACGAAGGCGCTGTCTTGCTTGTTTGCACTGAGAGTTATACCAGGGTACTCCGTAAGTATACTAGTTTAGATTTTATAGTTTGGGTGGTTACCTGAAGAAGGACGTAAGGTCCGTCGTATGATGGTGGAAGCGTTTCAACACTTTGCTATGCTCATCTGAGGCAGAGCCTATGTAGGGATGGGGCCCGAGGATTTCTTTTGAAAGAATTCCTGATACCTTTGAGCCTGGGTCTCCGACCATTTGATTCCTCTTACTTGAAGAGATACGTTGGTTACCATCTGGGTCGCATGTCTATAGGTCTCCAACTGCCAATTCAGGGAAAGCTTGGCTACAAGGGGAAGATGATCACTAGATTGTACATTCTCGATCTTAAAGGAGGAAATACACTTAAGTAGATCACTGGAGACCAGCAGGTAATCGAGGACGCTGTTTGATTTAACACTCAGGTGAGTGAAATCCCCTGGAATATCAGGGAGGCATGTGCCATTTAGGGGGACCAGATTTAAACGGATGGCCATTTGGTAGAGGAATACTCCAGCCTCATTAACTCGTTGGTCTTTAGAAGTTCTCCTCATGATATGTTCCAGATCATAATTATCAAGGTTTGGGGTAACCCACCATTTGGCTTTGGTCAGCGAGTCCCAATTTGCTGCTGTGCGGGCATTAAAATCGCCACCTATTATGGCCGGGGTGTTAGGAAACTTGACATAGCATGAGAGCAAATGCTCTTCTAGCGAGCCCCATTTAGAGCCCAGTTCAGAGGAAGAACCCCGGGTGGCAAGTAAACATTTGTAACTAGAAGTGAGATCTTTTCCCCGCAATCAGCCCGGTAAGAGCGTAAGGAGGCAAGGCCTGTACTAGAGTAAATTTAGAATGTAAGTTGAGGGAGATGCCTATTATTAGGCCCCCTTTAGGGCGGCCTCCTTTCAGGGAGGGGCAGGCAGGGAGTTCTAGAAGCTCAAAGCCATTTAGATCAATTCTCTCTACTTCCCACGATTCTTGGAACAAGATGATATGAAACAGGTTAATATACTCCAAGACTTCTGGGTCAAGTTTTTCCCCTCCAGCCCGCAATGTTCCAACTGAGGACTGATAGGGGGAGTTCCTGTTGTAACCAGTTCGTTGTCATTTCGGGGAGGGATGGGAGTCCTTTGGAGGGAAGGCAGACCCCACAAAAAGTCAGTTATTTTACTTTGCATAGCAGGCACCTGCTGAAGGTACCTAGTCTTGAAGTTGGTAGTGAGGTATTCTGACTGGGGCGACAAAACGGGTCTCCCACTGGCTAACCCAAGAGCGGACACTTCAGTGGGAAACTCCATAGGATTTGCTGGGACTGCCCCATCGCAAGGTCTAAAGATCGCCGATGAAACCATTTGGTTTATATGTCCGGTCGGGTCTTCAATCAAATCCGGGCCATTTTTTGATGTAGGTGGGACACTCCCTGACCTAATGCTGGCAAAGGTACAGGGGATGTTCGGCGTACTGGTACCGTATGTATGTCGGGTCTATGCTGCTCAGGGGAGTATGAGGACTCCAGTTCCGGCATTGATGGATTAGATGGTAAGGAGTTGTTTTGGTGGAAGGAACTCTGGGTTACACTCCTCAGCGGGGGACTCTTGGAGGGCGAGTCAAAATTTATCAAGAGTTGGGATGAGGGGCCAGCTTGAGGGGCAAAACCTGGTTCTACCAAGCATCGGTGGGTTTTGCCCACGAGTGGGGAGGCATGGGTTTAGGAGCTGGACTAAGGTATGGAAGACTTCCTGCTCCCTTAAACCACGACTCCGAAAAGCTGGCGGAGTTATCCTGAAGAGTGGGCAGGACTTTTCCGTTCTTCTGGACGTGTATGAGCTGATGATTAAGTACTTCTAGTCTATCAATTATTTCTTGTTGTTCTCTCGGTGGAAGGTCGCCAAAAGTGGCTAAAAGCTCTCTTTCCTCCGGCGGGGTCAGAGAATTACTTGCGCCAGTGGGTTTCTTTAGAGCTCGTGGGGACGTAGGGTGAGTCCAGTTTCGGTGCGGATGGATATCCTCCAGAAGAGGAGGCTCGATGTCCCGAGGTACTCCCGACCTCTCCGACAGAGTCCACTCCGTACCGTGACCAGCAAGTAGGAGGGGGTGGATCATGCTATCCATAAAAACTCTTGTTGGGATGATATCGTACCTTGCCAAGAGTGGTTTCTGCCTGATGATAGCTGAAGGGATCCTTGGAGAGTAAAACGCAAGCATCACTTTCTGTTGCCCGAGGTGCTGGTTCAAAGGTAATACTGCAATGAGATCACATTGTGAGATTTCTATGTTTAGGAGATTGTTTAGGTGCTTTTTAACCCCACTCAGAGTACGCCACCTTGGTGACCCTGCCCCGATGTTTAGGCAGATTTTCTTAGGTTGCAGGGACAATGCTTGATGTTTCAGTGCAGGATTTGGTTTATATTTAGGGATCACACTTCTTTTTTTAGTAGAAGGCAAGGACCTCTGGCACTTCAATTCCCCCGTATCTACAGTTGATTCTATGCCCACTCACAGTTGATTCTATGCCCACTCATCTCCAGGGCACAATTCTGATTATCACAAAGAAGGCACAGATGTTGCTGGGGAGTGGAAACTCTTGCGATTTAAAGCAGGGGAGGCTTTAATTGAAAAGAAAAGCTGCATATTCTATGAACAGTGCTGTTGTTGTTTATACCTGTAAGCTGTGCTTGGCTTTGATGGATTTTTGGGAGCATAAGACTGCAGTCACCACCACCACGGTTAGAATTTCACCTCCATTTCGGCAGAAAGGCTTGTGAAGTGTTACTGTGAACCCTGACCTACAGGTAAATCTAGAGACAGCCTAATGTAAGCTTTGATCATAGCACTGCAGGAAGCATTCGCTCAATTTCTGAGCATTTGTGTCTTGTTCCCCCCACCCCACTCCTTTGCAGTCAGGTGTTTCCGCTGCCAGGTCTTTAAAGTAAGGATGGGGACCCTGGACCCCAATTCCCATAGCGTTTTCCATGCTGGCTGCAAGTTGGGAGTCTGACATCTGGAGGGCCACAGGTTCCATCCCCATTCCTGCTCTACAACTTAAGTTTTCCTGTTTTTCCTAAAGCCTAGAGCAGATCGTTGTCAGTGTGGTGGTGGTAGATTTAGCCAAGGTTTCTGTGCAAGGGGAAATTTGCTCAGTAGACTGTAGTTCTCAGCTGGTTTCCTCTCCCATCAAGAGGAATGGCTTTCCTGTAAGTGAAAAGGACAACTAAAGGATTATGTGAGGCTAAGGCATGCTATTTCTGTCACATTAGCAGCTAAAGGCTAAAGGCTGTGAAAGAAACCAGGCCAGGCTCTTGTTTAGTTTGGGCGGGGTGAGCTCTGAGCAAGCAAAAGCCTTTTCTATTTTTACAACTGTGTGTATGTGCATACATTCCTGAGGGGAGAGCTGAGTGGACAGGCTCTTGTGGAGGCATTTTTGAGCATCTTAAATATGTAGTGCTTTAATGCCTTTCACTTACTACACAATCTTTGCACAGAAAACCCAAGCATCCTCTATATAGAGCACAGCTGCTGGATGTCTTATCTACTAACCCCGCCCCCCCCCCCCAAAATCAAGATTTTTTTGAAGCTAAACGGTGTGTTTTCCTCCAGTGTACCTCAGGAGACTTATTGGCATACTATACACCACTTATTCTATAATGTGTTCCAGTTTAAATTGGTGAATACAGTGTAAGAAGGGAACAGTAGCATTCCGTGGCACTGGCAGCAGGGAGGGAAACGGAGTATGAAGTAATCTCATTTCCTTTTGTAAAGGCCTGTAGAAAGCAACCTCTGCAGAGGCAGCTAGGGTAGTTGCAGAAGGAAGGGATGTAGCATAAGTCCTGCATTGATTCAAAGCAAGAGCGTCCTCCTTTAAGCATCCTGGTACCAAAAATGGCCAACCAGATGTTTTGCACAGCCCATAGCAGGGTGTGAAAGCAACGGCTGTTCCTTAATGTTTGCCTCCCCCTCCAATTCTGCAAATGGAAGTGTAACTAAGAAGTGTGGCAGTGCAACATAATGTGGCACTTCTGTTCAGTGTTCCAGTTACTCCATTCCCTCCCCTGACTGCCCCACCCCAACCATTCACTCTTTTAAAACCATTTCAAGCCCACTGGAACATGCTCAGTCTTCATTGGCCTTTATTGATCCACCCTGCATTTGGAGTGTTGTTGCTGTGGTGGTGGAGACACTTGTGCCCAATTCCAGTCTTAGAATTCCAGTCTATGAGCTGCTCTCACTTTTGTCCCTGGGAACATTTAAAATAATTACTCAGGGTGGAACCAGCAATTGGATAACCCAGATAATCAGGTTTCCTTTTGTGTGTGTGTCGCCAAATCCCTATTTCATGGAGATTGTGCAGGTTTGTGACTGTATGAATAAAAAATTGAGAGGACAGTATACTACTTCTGAACCTGGGAGTTTTGTTTAGCCATCATAGACATCATGACTACAGTGCCTGCTGCTAAACATGGCCTCCATAAATTGGACTAGGCCTGCATTAGAACCATTCAACCAAAGGGTCAGCACATTTTATGGCTCAAGTGCCATAAATCATGTGCTGTAGGTAGGGCTGGGCAACATCAGCTTTTCAAAATTGCGCTATATCGCCAGCCAAACATCGTGGTGATATACCGAGATGCTGAAAAAGCAAGCTGCATTGGCCTCTGCCCGTGAGGCACCTGGTGAAAGTGCCCCAGCTCTCACCTTGAGAACTGATGCGGTTTCACCCAGACACTCATGGGCTGGGACAACACAGCTTGTTTGTGCAGCTCAGCTGGGGCTTGGGAAGGTTTCCCCCTCCCCAGCTGAGACAGCCCCTGCGCTCCTGCCGCTCACAGGTGAATGGGCAGAGCATCGTCAGCTGAGGCAAGGACAGCTATAAACTCCTCAGTCAAGCAGTTTAAAGATGTAGAGGGAGGAACAAGCTGTATCGGCGCCTCGCCAATACAGCTTGTTTCTCCCTCTGCATTGTATGAGGGCAGAGTGCAATGGCGGTTCCACTCAGCAGTATATCGCTGGTGAAACCACCACCGCTTCTGAGTCCCTCTGCTAAGCAGCGCCCACTGGACGAACTCTTGACTCCCTCCAGCAGATGCTGCTAGCAGAGGGACTCAGGTGCGGTGGCAGTTTCACCAGCGATATACCGCTCAGTGGAACCGACATCGCGGTCTGCTCCTCATATATCGCCCAGGCCTAGCTATAGGAAGTCCTGTTGGCTGTTGTGAATCTATTCCTTTATCAGTTTCAGTGGGTAACCTGAGCTCCAGTACAGTATGAAAGGGAGAGGGGAGGAAATGCTCACTCTAACCTTCTACCCATTGCACCCTTTGATATCCTATTTTCTCCATGTCATCTCTCTCCTTATGTTAATAACACCAAACACTTTAGCCTTTCTTAATTGGGAAGGCGTTTTCATTGCACTTCTCTGCCTCTTTTCTAGCTTTGTGATGTCCTTGTTGAGTTGGCATGACCAGAACATGCATGTAGTAGTCTAGAGGTGGTTGCCCCTTGGTTTTAAGAAGGACATTATTATATTGGCCGTTTTCAGTCCATTTCCAAACTGGGCCCAGCATGGAATCTTCATTCCTACACAGCAATGCCATTTTGATTGTGCCATCCATTATGACGGCAAGTTTGAGTCCCAGGTCAGTTTAGAATTCTATCAGTTTATATGTGAAGTTATTTTTTTGCCTCATTGTGCACTACTTTACATTTACTTTTGATTTCATATTCCATTCTGTTGGTTATGAAATACGTAGTAGAAAGGCCAGTTTGGGGCATCTCACACTTGTCACCTCCCTGCAAAATTGTTATTGTCCACAGACTTGACCTCCAGAACACTTATGACTAAATGAAGTAGCAGCACTCCCATCACAGGTCTTTGGTATGGCATAGTACTTACCTCCTTCTCCTCCTGTGATAACAGTCTCTTCTTTCTACCTGCGGAGTCCTGTTCGTCAACCAAATCTTGATCCAAAAGAGGATCTGTCATTTTATCCCAAGAAAACTAAGTTCAGGCAGAGGCCTTAGGGAAGTTATGTCACCAAAAGTAAATGATGCCTATAAGATCACTTCTCTACCTATTTGGTTAACCCCCAGGTGCTTATTAAAATGTTAGGGAAGCAAAACTTCAACTTGTACAAGCCATGCTTGTGCTACCTATATAAAGTGTCTTGTTCTACATCAGGGTTGGGGAACCTGTGGCCATCAGCTTCTGCTTGACTCTAACTCCCCATTAGTCCCTGGCTGTATTGCCAACAGTCAGGGATGATGGGAGTTGTATTCCAGCGACACCTGGAGGGTCACAGAGAGGAGTGTGTGTAAAAATAATTTACAGTGCAAAGGTATAATTTATATAAGCTGCCCCACCCTCTATTTAGTGTTTATCGTCACCCCACGAAGGGAATGACAGCCCTCAGACTGAAAATGGTTCTTCACCCGTTACAGAGACAAGGCATAGAAAGCACATGTGCATAGTAATTAACATATGTGTAGATCACAGCATGTGCTGGTCTTACAAGTAAATAAGTCACTAGCTAGCTAGCCTCCGCTGCAGCAGCTTCTATGTAGTGATGTCATGAAATGTGGATTGATCTTTCTGCCTCATCTAATTAAGAGTAGTTGAGTGTCTGGTTGAATCTTTATTTTTCCAGAAAGGCTTGCCTGTGGGAACTACTTTTCTAGTTCAGTGATTGACCAAAGAACCTACATTCTAGCACTGAGAAGCTGTTGGTGTGTCCCATCTCTCTCCAGCCTGCACCCACTACTTATTCCTAATCATTCACACTTTGGGGCTGTGTTTACCCAGCCAAAGGAGAACACTAGTAAGCGAGCACAGGGGATGGGATAGAATCACTATGGAGACACAATTACAAAAACAAGACAGCTTGGACAGATAGCAAACACAGATACCATTATGCTAGGGGGTGTCAATGTGGTGACTTACAGAGGTTGCTGAACCATCCCTACTACTGGTTATGTTGACTGGGGTCGATAGGAATTGGAGGGCACCATGTTGGCTACCACTACAAATGGGAGATAGCTACATAATAGTTCAGACAAAGTTAATCATGCAAAATGTTCCACTGAAATCAATGGGGCAATTTGGGCTAAGCAACCACTGGGTCTCAATTCAATCAATAATAACATATCCTGCTGATTTCAGTGGGTCTTAAGGCTGATTAAATAGCTGGATTAGCATTATTAAATTTCCACAAATTTTTTCCCCATGGTCCAAGCCCAGAATTCTCAAATTTGCTCACTTTATTCTGGATTCAAGATTTTGGGAGGCCAATTACAAAACGTCCTTGTTTCTCTCTCTCTCATGTTAATGGAAAGAAAGAGGAGACAAGACACTGCTGCACACAAATTTTGAAGTGAGAAGAGTATACAGAGATCTCTGGGTTAGGAGTTCTAAGTAAAGAGATAAGCTTTCCCCATTTCCAGTTGGGTCCTTAAAAAGCCAACTGAGGAAAAGTTCCCATTCAAAAGCAGATTCTCCCCAGATCTAGAACTTTGTTTCCATGGAATCCAAGATGCTGTTGCAGGTGGTGTGTTGGGAGATATTCCAAGATACTTCATGGTTGAGAATAAGGACTTTCTTTTAAGCACTGTCTTTATAGCTTAAAGGATCTTTCACAAAACCCTGAAATTGTATTGTATCTTGAGCAGTATGAGGGATATATTTATATAAAATACAGTAAGTTGAGTGGGTTCTATCTTTGCAGCCCTCTAGTTCACAGGCTACTGTTTCTATACAACCAACTGGAAGGTGAAAAAAGATGTGATTGTGCAGCATTCCTGGCCTACAATCTACAAAGAATCTACAAAGAAGCACAAGTTCCATGAGAGCAAAGGGATCGTGTTCATTTTACCATGGTGCAGCTGCTTCATATACCTGCTATTGACTTCATGGAGCTTGAACAGGAGACCTTCCTAGTGGAATGTTAGGCAGCCCCCCCACCTTAACCTCTCTAGCTTTCGAGTAGAGATCAAAGGTACTAAGAAAATTCACATGGACACCACATATACACTCTAAAACACACATACATATGCACACACAAAACTGCTGCCTTTTTTTTTTCTTAGCAAAAAAATAAAAAAATTTATTGTCTTCTAGAAAATCCATCCTGCCCTTGGAAATTGTGACACAAGATTGCATTTTTTTAAGCTCCACATGCAAATCCACTTTGCCAAGAAAGAGTGTCTAAAACCAGGTTTCTGGACAGCCAAACACACATATATACAGAATACGAGAAAGAACAACAGCTGAAATCACAGTTCCGCATTACAGTCTATAATAATGGAATCAAACACCACATTGTACACACCACCTATTACCTTTTGGCTGACTTCTACACAGACTTGAGCAGCTCTCTGTCCCAGCCACCCTCCACCCTCCCCTGCCTAGGAAAATCCAAGGAGAGAGACTGGTTCAGAATTGCCACCATAAATACTGTAGTGTGTAATTTTAAGAATTTATATAGAATGTATTTATATATTTTTTTTCCTTTCAAACATTGGAAGCTACAGAGTGGGGAAGCCCCATAGAGATCTTTTGATCCACAGTCACCAATTTGCAGGAATACTTCACTTATAATACTTTTCGCCAGCAACATCTACTTTCTGGTTGCATTGCTCTAAAGGCTGATATAATCCCGGAGGGGAATCAAAAGGAGGGAAAAATGAGAACCCCCCCCCCCCCAGACTGGTAATAAATACTTTTCCCTTTTGGGGACGGAACCAATATGGGAAAGTCCTGTCTGTCTAGTGGGACAGCACTAAACTGTTGAGTCCTTTATGTCCTTCCATGCTAAGGAAGGAAATTCTCTTCATTTGTCTGAGCTGTGCAGCCCTTGAAGTGGCTCAGGTTAAGCTTGGAGACTTATGGAAAGTTAAAAAGAAAAAGGAATTTTCCTGTGAAGAATTCTGTGGGGTCTCTGGCTCTGTTTACATGTGATGCTAAGTGATGGTTTAGCATTAGAAGGACAAGCTGAAGGAAACCTTGGGTATGTTTGCTCTGCTTGCCACCTCCAGCACTGCAACGAGGAGGAAACTGGAACCTTTTGCTTGAACATTACAGCCAAACCGTAAAGTGCGGTTAATTGTATCTATGGTTATGGGGGTGGAGAGAGGCAGCTTTATAAACCATGGTTTGAAGTTGCTTTCACTATCTGTAGTTAAGATTAAATGCAGTTTATCCAGATTTAAATGTCACAAGAATCTGTGGTTAGTCTAAAATGGAAGTGAAAGCTTGCAAAGTCCTCTGTGTGAATGCACCAGAGACTGCAGGGCTGCAGCTTAGCCTTGTAACACTGAGCCATCACTTAAGTGTTACGTGCAAACACAGACCCTGTGTGCTGCATATAGGCAATTCCCCACAATAAATTGTTAGGTGCCGTTTTCCCCTCTGCTGAAGTTGGGCAGTAGAGAAGCGTAGCCCAGCACCTCTGAGCTGTAGGATTACTAGGTCATCTGCCCGAATGTGTGGAAATTCCTCAGCCCCACAAAGCCAATTGTTTTAAAAGAAGCATATACAGGTTAATTCTTAACACTTACTTCTCTACTAATTCTTCAGCTACCTGATAGTTCTCTGCTGCTAATCAAGGTAAGTCTACCAGCCTTTTTGAATACTCTGGTTTTTGCAACCACAATATTCCCTTGGCTGGTAAAATTAGTTATATTAGGAGGTCCTCCCCAAACTTTTGGAATGACCCCCCCCCCAATAGGCCTTGGCATAGAGGCCAGAGAGGGAATACAAGAGGCATTCTGCTCAGAAGTGTGTGAACTTTCACAATCCAAGCACATCTCCTTGGGCTGTCCATTTAGGATGATTTACTCTAGCACCAAATAATAGCTTTAGCATCAGGCAAAACCCAATCACATAATCCCATTGGCCTAAAAAAAAACCCCAGTGCTGAGCAGGTACTATTCAAATCAGCAACTACTAGCTCAATCAAGATTTGCTTTCGGTTAAAAAAAAATATGCATCTTTCCTCTCATTCATGGTTCATCCCACCCTATCCCGGTAAACAAAAAATTCCTATGCAGAAACTTAACCCAAAGTTACAAAACAGATTGGTTTTGCTTTTCCATTTGGTACCTAACAAACGCATTCACATTTCAGGTATTTCATTTCAATATTAAAATTCATAGAAATCTAGGCTTTCTTTTTTCTAAAAAAAGTGCGTCTTAAAAGAGCTAAAGAATGGGATAGAGAAGCGTGGGCTTCTACGATTCCCAGGTGTGGATAAAACCAGCCTGCTGCTATGTCCTCGTGCCTATGCATTATACTGACAGAGACGAGGTAGAGGAAAAAGCATAATTGGATGGGGAGCAGTCCGGAATTTGTGGGGTTGGGAGATTTATTTATTTTTTAAATCCCATTTTGGATTCTTTGGTCCTTCACAATAGAACAGACAGATTGGGCTGTGGCACTAAATGTAAACAGGCTTTTGCCTCTGGTATAATTTCTCCCCTGCACTGCACCAGCAAAGCAATTTGCCTAGGGGGTGTTGTGGGGAGTGGGAAAGAGGAATCTGATAACCAGCAAGATTCTATAGAGTTGCCAGGCCTTAAAAACAGGACAAAGAAACTACCTCTAAGTTACGCTTGAGGGGACCAGTGACACATCTAACACCCTCTGTAGGATTCTGTTGGAGTTACACAAAGCTGTGGCAATTCAGGACTAAACAAATCGCCCCCCACAAAATCATCGTCTCACTATGGACAATCACATAGAAAGGCAGAGGAAGCAATAAAACACAATGTTTACAAAACTAAGTGTTACAAACCAGTTACCACCAAAGAGCCTGAAAATGGCTGCAATTCTGTATAAACACTGTAGACCCGATTCAAAGAGTTTATTTCCTATGATCTTTAAGTTAGTTACCAAAATAGTTTAGTACATTTTATTTCCAGCAGAGTATTATTACTCCCCCATAATTTAAATTTGTGTGTGTATGTTTTAAAAATGTTCACATATTTTAAACAAACAAGCTTTCCTTAAGACTGAGGCATGTTTGCTGGCCTTGGAGACCAGGTAAGCCCCATGGCACAGACATTCAAAGGCTACAACCAAAAACGAACACAACCACAAGAGTCAGCCAGCAGCGTCTCTCCATACAAAAAAGAAAAGAAAGAAGCCAATTAGGTGTTCTTTTAAAAAAACACAACAGATACTAGTACAATATACACATTGAAAAAAAGCAGTTTTACCAAACATAAAAGTTAATTAAAAAAAAAAATCCTAAACAGAGCTGCACTTTGAGATCATCTGGGAATGCATATTAGCCCCCCAAATATGGGAGGGTGGAATTGTGGAAGCAAATCTAATGATGTACTTGCATTAAATATGAAAATACTCCAGAGGAAAAACCTGACAGTGAGTAGCTGGATTACCCTTATGAAAAAGAATGATAACTTAGAGTTTCCAGTGCTTTTCCAGGTTGGGGAAAGGTGGGTCAACTACTGCAAATGAAGCAGAGACTGGTGAGCAAGGGAGTGAGATTATAAATCTAAATATTACACTTTTACATGTTAAACAAACTCCCCAGTTCAAAATGACAGATTAGAGTCCTTCTGGACTGGACCGTTGCTTTTTGTTGCCTACAGGCTGTTGCAATGTCTGAACAAGTCAAAACAAACTGCAGTGGGAGTTCTACCACTCAGGAACTGCAGGACGACACATTTACTGGATACAAGCTTAACACAAAAAATATTCCAAACCACAAATTTCAATGAAAGTCAGTTGGATTTAGGCCCCAATATATATTCCTGGAAGCCTACCACACATAATCAAAGGTTAACACATAATCAGTGAGTTAACACCATTTGTAAAGCACTCTGGGAAGCGTGCAAATTTAATCTCAATGGAAATTATTAGTGGAGGCTGCAATCCTAAACACATTTACTAGGGGGCAAACCCCATTGCATTCAATGGTGCTTACTTCTGAGTAAACATGCTTAGGATTGCACTGTAAGTTTCTTTTTTAATAGGTGTAGTTAAGTTCTGCTCAGAGCTTGGAAACCTTATTCATTCTGGCCCACAAAAGCACAAGAAATAAATTAATGATCGCTCCGATAATCCAGCTGCTGGTTGCTTGGGACCCAAAAAGATTTCTGTCTATTTGTATAAAAAGCCTAACCTATGAAATGTATCCCTCAAGGCTAGATGCACTGTGCCCAGTAAGAGATGGGCAATATAAATAGTAGTCAATGCTGTCCATGACAAATGGTTCTGGTCTAAGTAGTTCTCTAGCAAGTGCACACCCAATATTAAGGAGGAATGCATTTATAGACTCAGACTTTATGGTCGTTTTGGGAGAATATTCTCCATCTTCATGGAAGTTGTCTACTGCAGGTACCCAGACAAATAAGGGCATTTGCAGCTACACTAAGGTGACCCAGAGTTAACAGAGATGCTAACCCAAAGGAACAACTAGACTATCTTTCGTAAGAATGAGCAGAGCAGTAGAAAGGGCACGTCTGCATGGGAGCGTCTCTCATTTTTGGCTTGGTGCTTTTAATGCCAAAGCAGAAGGGCAGGAGGATCAGGCCCCCACCAACTCCAGAATTACTCTCTGGGCTGTGCAAAAGTGTATCACATACATGCCTGATGAATGTTCCCATCTGTTGGGGACCAGTCCCAAGCCTCTGGGCTACAAAGATTCGACTGCACACAATTCAAATGGACCAAACACAACTGATCCCAGATGCAGCCTAAGACTATAGAAAGCCTTGGGTGTCCCCAGATCATCTATAGCTAAACAGAGATCACAACCAACGATATCCTCCTGCAAAGAAGACAGGCGAGCTTCACCGGAAACCTAAACTAGTGAGGAGTAAGATAGAAGAGTAAGAAGGTTTCCCTAGTCAGAAAGAAAAGGAATGTATTTGAGAAGTGAAACACTGTGGACTCTGGGCAACCCCATCTTTTCTTGCCTACGAACAGCGCTTTAAGTATGGCCTCGTGGCATTCACTATAAATCAGAAGAATGTGAAGCGGATTAGGAACGTAACTCCACTTGACACCTAAGCAGCTAGCTAATCTTTCAAAAGAGGATATTCCAATATCTTGGATTCTCTGTTTGCCTGCTCCCAGTTCTGCATTTTGTGAATCTATTTCTTCCCACTGGAAACATTTTCATATTGGGGTCCCTGAACATTTGCAAAATTCTGTTTGTGTCCCATGGCTGTGAATTTAAAATTATTTCTTCCTCACAATATCTCCGCTATTACTTTGCAGAAATTACATCTGAAGGAAATCCATGCTTCAATTCAGTATGCAACTCCAAATTTTTGGCAGCAAGATAGAAACACACAGTGTTAACTTCTGAAAATGTCCCCCGTTCCTCTATCACATTCTACATTCCCCAAGTTCATGGTGGTGCACCACAACTTACTGTATGCTAGCAACACAAAGTGCTGTCCAGGGCAAACAGATGAGCTTGCTCTGTTAAAAAACCTGAATGATTTTTTCTTAACACTCATAGCAAAAAACCAACCCTTGTCTGAACTATAGGGTGGATATGTTACACCACGACGCTGGTAACAGTACCATTCGTGGTATGGGAACAGCAGCGGAAGAGACATATTGTTTCTACCCATCAGGAAGTACCAAGTATTAGGTTTAGGGTGAGTAACACGGCATCAGCTGACCAAATGTAGACCAACTGAACATTGTACCCTCTAGCCAGATACTTGACCAATACCCCATTTCTGCAGTCCCAGGCAGGCAGACAAAAACAGGAAACTGATTTAGTCCCAAAGGGCCACCCTACCTAACTGGTGGGTCACAAGTTATGCAAGCCTGTATTAGGCAGACTAAAAAAGTTTAAAAGGTTCCATCTACCTCCATTTAATTATCAATGAAAACAAAGCCTAGGAAGAATACCCCCGCCCTAACCTCCAGCAAGCAACCAGAAAAGACACAGGCTTTTCCAAAGAGGGTCTTCATCATTTCACACTTCCACCTCTACCTGCCACCTAGAATGCCTTCCATTTGCATTACCCACAGCTCTGAAGCACATCCTAATTGCCAAGAGAATACAGACCAACAAATCTGACTTTTCCTCTTTACGAAGTTCCACTGATAAGTAATGCCTTTGAGTAAAACTATTGTGACTACTGGCCTGCCATCACTGGTTTGTTTGAAATTTTGCTCCTTTTGTTGCTTTGGTAGAAACCTACAAGTGTGTAAAAAGACTTTTAAAAAGCGAATGCTTGTTTTTCAAACAGATATCCAAAGATCCTCACCCATACTGAAGGCCAACAAGAGTTCTGAATGCCTGAAGCTCTCAACGGGGAAGAACTGCAAAGGGGATTCTCTTGTTGTTAGGCTAAGAGCATGTCAGCTGCTTTAAAAAGATGAAAATGATGATGAAGTAAGAGCCAAGAGAAGGAGGACAAAGACATGATCAGAAATTTGATTTCCGTGTCTCTTCTCCCCACAGATCCAGTCCTCACCCTGGAAAGCACTTGCAAGCCCCTCTTCCCCTTCCCTCTAAATCTTTATTCAGAAGACTAAAAAGGGGTTACATCCTAAATAGGAAAGGGGGAGGGGAAAGAGAGGAAACAAACTCTGCAAACTGCCCTTTGATCTACATAAAAACAGCCATAAAAGTCCCTAAGCAGTTAGACTTAGCAGGACTGGGGAGGGGGGAAACCTTTAAATGGGAGATGCAAAGTATTAAAAAGTGCTCTGCAACTAATTTTTGTTTTTATGTATATATATATATATATATATATTCATATATATATATTCATATTATATTTATATATATATATATATATAAAGTTAAAAAGTTCTATGTGTGATATGCTAAACCAAATGTCCTAGTAGGGTCACGACTGGAGAGTGTGTGGCCTGTTGGGATGGCAGATGGGGCATTCGCCCTCCTCAGCACACGTTTCACACAGCACAGTGTGTTGGCACGGGAGTACCACCCGGTTCTCTTCCTGGCACTTGAGGCATTTCACCGACTGCATCTGAAACACTGCCTGGAAAGAAAGAAATGGGGGGCAAAACCAAAGGGGTTGTCAGCAAAACAAAACAGAGCCCTGGTACACTCATGAGGCAGCCATTAAAAGGTCAGAGATATTCACAAGGAGTAGACAAGGGAGAATCCACAGACATTTTCAGGAGGGCGGTGGAAGAAACTGGAGTACAAAAGAGGCGGAGGAGTCCTTTGCCTCTCTCTCTGCAGCCGCCTCCCTGTTCCTATGCCTGACCTGGCTTACCTCCCCACATCCCTCTCGCCTCTTCCCGTCACCTGTTCTGAAAGTTCCTTTGGGCAGACAGCATGCAAAATGACATAGATGGCAGCCGTGCCTCGTGAACTTGGCATATATCGAACTCCTGGCAGTGACTCCTCCGGCCTGCTGACTCTGTTAAGTCACTGAAGGAAGTGGCTTAGGCTGCAGCCAGGACCCAAGATGCACAGGATACAGCTGTTACTCCTCTTGCCTAGCAAGCAGCTCTATGGAATGTGTGGGCAAGAGGACCCCGCCCCCCACCAAATTGTCTGTGTTCATTCCCGCAGCAAATTCAATCCCACCCACCCCACCCCCATCTCACATGGAAATGTGTATATGCAGCTCTTGTGCAGTATAGGTTTTGTGGGGGAAACAAGATGACATTTTGACTCTCCCCCCACAAGATCAATGCTATGGGACCATAAATGTTTTTAAGGCAGTGTCAAGTTAGGTACTACCAAATAAAATCCCTTTCCATCTTCCTTCAACCACCCGGAAACACGGGGAGTCTGTGTGTGCCATTTCAGCACATTCTACAGGCCCAAGTCATTACATGGGAGCCCAATGTGGGATTTGCTTTCAGGTACCAGACATACCATACTCTGATCCAGAGGGAAATGCCCTTTCCTATTGTCATGTTATAAGCCTTGCCTGCTAGCTGAGAGCATTCTAGTATAAAACTGCACCCCCTCATCCAAGAAAGAATGGGACATTTCATGGTTGCCAAGTCTATAGGGTTCAAAATGTACCATGGATTAAAAATGCAAACTTCACAGTTGCTGCTTTTATTAAGGATTCAAAAAGGAAGCTAAGTTAATTGTGGGACAAGACTTCTCACTCAGACCTACCTTATCAACTCTTTCCAGGTTGGCACGCAGCTGTTTTTGGAGATTATAGAGTGTGGAGAGGGAGAGGGTCTCTACATCAGAGAGCGAACGCAGGAACTGGGGATCCTGGCCAGTGTGGATCCTCTCCACTTCCTCCTGGAGTTTCTTCACTTGCAGCTCCAAGGCCTCCCTCTGCTCCCGGGCTAGCTCACATTCTATGGTTGCCGTGTTGGCACGATCATTAGCTTCCTCAGCTTCCTTTTTCCAAGCATCACAGGCCTGTGTATCCCAAAGGAAAAGTCATTTGTAATTTGGGAAACAGTGTGGGGGTGGGGTGGGAGAGGAGGATGTGAAGTGAATTCTCTCATCTCCTCACTTGGCTTCACTCCACAGCTTGAACAGTTTCCCCAGCATTCTATTTAAAGGCTTTGTATATGGAGCAGATTTCTTGTATCTATACAAACTCCTGAAATCAGTGTGAGACAAAATGTGGCAAATTTCCCAAGCAAACATTGTGCGCACGGTACTGGCAAAAGGTGTACACACACATTGGATCCTAGAGTGTTTATCTTCTCAAAAATATATTCACATGGCAAGAAGGTTCCATGTATCTATTTTGGTGGTGATGGGGGAGGAATTGGTATTTTATTACTGTAAGCATAATAAAGCAGTTAAAATAAAGTAGTAGTAGTTGTGTACTTATATAGATTATTTTAGTAAATTGTTCCCCCGAAGCCTGAAAGGCAGCCTTCTCCAGCTCTGGGCTGTTCTTTCCATTCTTCCCTTGCGGCACAATAATTGCCCAGACAGATTTTTGGGAACACACCCCTGAGCTAATGAGATCCTTTCAATCCGCACACACAGAAGTGACACAAAGGTTTTCTAGCCCAGGCATCCACATTTTACCGTAACTCCTCTATAGGTTATTTTAGCTAAATGGCTTTGACATGAGAACAGGAAAAAAAAACAAAGTGCCTTAAAGTGGAGCATCCTGCCTGCCCAGCTCTTATGGACTGGCTGGATACTGAAGAGTGGTGGGTGGCACCAGCTGGGAAACCCCCAAAGGAACCCCCAGGGCAAGAAAGCTCACAGCCAGGGGATTGGTGGTGGGACAACAATGTATGGTCAGAGGGAGAAGCAGGAGCAAACTGGGAGGAGGAGGAGGTGTTGGAAGCTGAAGAGGCCACAGGGTTTAGTGAGCAGGAATAGGCTGTGGCAGAGAGCACTCCAGAAGCAGAGGCAGAAGCAGAGTGGGGTCAAGAGGCAGAGTAGGGGCAGGCTGCAGAAGCCAGGGAGTCTTCCTCTCCTACTGCAACCAGCTCCCATCCCTGATGGTCTCCCAGACAACACAGAGAAATGAAGAGCGCAGAGCAATGAGATACAAGGTGGAAGAGCCTTAGGCTGCTGGGGAAGGAACCGGAGGAGGAGCCTTAGAGAGCAGAGGGAAGGCAGGGACCTTCAGTCCTCACAACTGCCTCATTAGGGCAAGACCTACTGGGAAGGGTTGCTGTGGTCACTAGGACTGAGCTGTTTTGTTTCTTTGAATAAAGAATTAACTTCACTGGCATCGGGTGCTTTATTGTTTTATTGCTGACCTATGCCTGACTCCAGCGCCTAACACCAGCTCAGGGAACAATTTACTAAATGCAATCCATCTGTCTCAATCTAGTTACGGGAACAGTTTAGCAAAAAGCATATATTCACACCCACCCTAGTCTTGTTAGCCAACCTGGCCAGAGCAGGGTGGAAACGTACATCCCCAGAGGGAGAACATTTACAAAGCATCTTGAATGCAGAAGGAGGGGCTTACCATTCTTTCAGTGCACAGCTACTAACCTCAAAATAATTAGAGCATTACTACAAAAAGGTGAGGAGCATATCAATTTTCAGGGGATACATAAATCAAAAAGATTGGGACAATTGGAAAGGTGTGCTCAAATACAACTGGAAAAAAGCCAATACTCCTAGAGGAACACTAGCAACCTTGGCATGAACATTTTCAAATCCTATTACAATTTGCAACCTACTCCTCAGCGTATCTAAGGTATCAATTGGTTTCTTTCTCCATTGATAAGAGCTAAAAAACAACAACAAACAAAACCCCCGTGTCTGCTGTGAAGGAACTATGTTACAGTATAACACACACCAAATCTGACTTTGTATATTATTTTTGGACCCTCAAACTATTTATTCAGCTGTTAGGTGGATGCTTTTGCCCATTAGTATCCTGGCAAACCACTCTCACTCACCCCTCCCAGCGGACGCTACCTGTTTGGCTTGTTTCCAAGATTCTTCCCACTGCTTTATTGTGCTGTTAGCTTCATCCAATTCCTGCCGCAGCCTGGCCAGCTCAGCAGCACCTGGACCCGACAGAAATGCAGGCGAGGTACTGGGTGAAAAACTTCCAGAAGCAAAGTGCTCCCATATGCTGCTGTTCATCCCATTTAAACCTGTTTCATGCAGACAGGAAGGGGGAAAATGTTACGTCACATATATTCCTGGATTACCCCTTTCCTTGCCTGGCACTGTTTTGGAAAGGGAATGAAATGGTTCAATATTTCACAGGGCATTGATTCATTTGGGGTTTTCTAGGGAGGGACATTCATGTACCTGCAGTACCTGTTTGTCACTCCGGCTTACACAGAAGAAATGGCAACACGGTAAATATTCTCTACATTTAAAAAATATGACACATGGCATGCTGGTTCCAAGAGTGCTCCTGAGCACTTTGTACTGCATCTAACCTATAACTGCTGTGCTGAGAGATACAGGCTTAGATGCACCACACAGGGAAGATCTCCACATGAGACATTGGCCACAGCACAACTAAAACAGATATGCTAGCAACGGCCAGTATAAGCAGAGGCCTGGTTAAACAGCAAAACCTGTGTGTGGATTGTTTTTAAAAAGCCCTTAGCCATTAATCTTGTAACTTCATTAATCAATCTAATTAGATCTTATCCCAAACATTGTTGCAATTCACACTTCTACTTTAGAAAGGCACTCAGATTTGTCTCTAATATTACACCATTTTGTTTTGATCAGAATTAGAACCGTTTTAACAAACCAAACCCATATGTGATTTGAATACTTTAGTATAAGAATCTACAATTGCAATACTTAAGATCTATTAACCACGTGAAGTTCTTCAGTACAAACCAGCACTAAGCCATTTTTAGTGTCCAAATCTGTGCCTTTGCTGATCTTACTCAGAAGTTCATCTGAGGAAAACCAGCTCACTTCACATCAGAACAACTGGCCCTCAGATTTTGTTTTATTTATTTTTTAGAATAAGGCAGTGTTTAATACTAAGGGAAATAAAGCTCACTGCACAGCTTACATTTTTATGAGAGTGCTTAAAAATGTAGTGTGCAATGAACATGTGCTTGCAAAAACACCTGTATAACACCAGGGGCAGGGATTGGCTGAGGTTCCCAGCTGAGTCTACACCTGAAGGCAAAACTGCTTTTTCTGCTCCAAATAATGCAAAATGGCTTGCCATCCCAAACCAGGTGGGAATAAATTGGATACAGTTTCTTCTGCTGCTGTTTTCTGCCAGAGCTCACACATACAAAGGGTAGGTTGCAAATAGATCCACAGAGTCTGTGGCGCAACAGAGAGTGCTCTCCAGTAGTGCTCCATGTGATGGGGTGGAGCTGTGGAGCTGCTCCTTTTGGATAGGGCTGAAGTCAGCCTGCGTGGCAGCACTGGCAGAGCCAGTCGAATGCTCCTGCTGGTGTGCTTGCACAGCCTCAACCTATCCCAGCCCCTCGCAGGCAGCAACACTGGTGCCAGAAGTGTGCCCTTGCAGCACCACCCCACCCCACCCGACACACCACTACTGCTGCTCTTATTCTGTCATAACAAATGATGTATTCTTGTAAACCACTTAGAGGGCTTACTGCAATCAAATGGCATGTCAATTTTGTTAAATAGATAAAATAAAGTGTATTTCCTACAAAAATATGCTCTGGTAGAATAAGCTGCAGTAGAAAAATATCTCCAATACTATTCTAGGTTTTTTTATTAAAGCTTTCTTCTTGACACTGAATTACCCATCACAGTTTAGTTTTTCCTGTGGAACTAAGGCACTGCTCACCACACTGATTTATTAAGCAGCATGGCTAGTGTGAGCTCATCCTGATTCCAGTCATAGCCGTGTTATAAATTAGGTCACAGCAGAGGAACCAGGTCAAGGGCACATGCTACTGCAGAAGATGATATAAACAATAAAAATACTCTATCACTTATAAAAGCTAACTCTGCTTCTTAAAATGTCATATGTTTTGCTTTATTTAAAGACCCTGGCTTGCTATTGTGTTACTGTTGTCTATGTATGCATGCTATTTTTATGCAGGAATACATTTTATTACACAAGTAAAAAATATATAGCAAAACTGCTTATTGAAAACACATTTTCAACTGATAGCCAGCCTAATGAGCGTCAATAATGCAGATGCCCGTGGTTTGGCTTACAATTAGGCCACGATCTGAATTGAGTCTACACATGCACAAGATGCTTATTGTAAAATTAGTATAATTTTAATTTTTTGTAAACTACTCTTGATAGTAGTTGAAGGGCAGGGTAAATAAAATCAAACATGTACACATTTACCACTTGCAATATAATGCACCAAGCGGATGGTTATACAGATGATAGACAAAACGTGATTAAACACATAAAAACAAGTACCTAGTTCTTAATTCTTCCCACATACTTCCTGCACACTGTTTTGTCATTTACCTCCTCTCTCTACTTCTCTCCTGTGTGTCCTGCCTAGACTTTAAGCCTCTTTACCAGAGACAGGCACACTTCTATACTGTACCGTCCATAGGACATTCAGCAAATGCCAAGTGTTGAATTTTCTGAGGTGCTTCCATTTGTAGATACTATAGCTACCCCCCAGGCTGTAAAGATTCATTTGTATAATCATGTCTTCTTAACTGGAGTCAATGCTTAACCATTGAACCTGATTTTAATGCCAGAATCCAGCCCAGGAAGATTCTAAGTAACAATAAAGGAATGCTTCTCCTCTTGCCTTCCTATTACCATGGCAAAAATTGATGTAATTGTCCTCAACAGAGCTCGACCAGTCAAGGCGAGGCTGCTGCTTCAGGTGGCAGAAGTCCCCCTAGAGTGCCCTGTCTGCCCTGTTGCCTCTGTGCAATCAACACTGAAAGGGGCATGATCTTGCCCCAAATCAGCGCCAACGGTGGTGCCACTTTTCTGCCAAAGGTGGTAGTGGTCAGAGCAGCAGCAGGGCAAAGAGATACTTCCCATTTCACCTCAAATGGTGAAATGGAACACACCACCCCTGGTTCTAAAGCGGGCCAAATGTTCCTTTAAACAGACAGTATGGGGTGGATTGTCTTGAAAATGGAAAGTATCCTGGAACCCAGTCTGATTAATCTTTGCAGTTAGAGATCCAGTTGTGGGGCTGTGTAATGGTAATGGAAGGAACTTTGAGCAAACTCAAAGGTCCTCCCATCACTGCACAGCTTTCATGATTTAAAGGAGCATCATTCAAGTTAGGTCTGTTACACATCGAACTGAGCCCTTTCTATACTTTGAATGTCAAGGGTGACTGACATCCAACCAACACATTCAATCAGTGCAAGGATTTCTGCTTACACAATGAGACGTCCCCTGTCTCTCTGCTCCCTAAATCTACTCTGGAGGGTTGAGGAAACCCCTAGAACAGATTTAGGGAACAAAGGGGGTGGGGAGAAGTCGCATTGTACAAGTGAAAATGTTTTGGATACAACCCCAGGAGTATTTTGGAAACTGTTTAGGAAGAGATAAAATATTTAGCTTCTGGTAGGCTTGCAAGTATCTGATTTTCAGAGCTCATGTCTGTTAGCTATTACTGACCAGGTATGACTAAGAGGTCTAAACCTGAAAAAGTCAACTATTCCAAGTGCATCAGAAGCTCATTGCTAATGGTATCACATATTTGAACCTTTTTCTATGATTGTTAATACTTTATAACGCAGGAGTGTCTTGCCCAGTGGGATGGAGCCACGGCAGCCTCTGAGCAGCAGAGTCAGTGCTGTTTGCCAGGAGAAGTGAGGTGGTAGTAAGATTTGTGCAGACAAATTGGTTGGGCCAAACCAGTGCTCCTGCTGGTGTGTTCACACAGCCCTGACTTCACCACTTCACCTCTACCCTTCCCTCTCCTGGTAAACAGAAGCAACTCTGTTGATGAGACGCTACTGCTGTGGTTAATACATGCTTATCCATCTATTGAGCTACTGTTGAGACTATTTGCCTCCTTCTCTTAGCTGCAGAAAGTCTACCTTCTGTGAATTTAACTCTTGGGTCATCCTTACACATTTGGAATTTGCTTAACTTTTCCTAATGTGTTTTGCTACATTTGCTCTTTGTTGTATGGGTATCCCAAACTATTTTAACTCATCTGTTGTTTGGTTATTTTGTGCGGGGAAATTCTTTCTGAGATGTCCTTAGGCTTAGTGAATTCTTCCTCATCTGATAGGCATTGGGCACAAGATATGTTAGGTGGCAACACAAAATGAGGACATTTAAATGAAAGCTAAGATAAAAGGAAAATACTTACATGGTATAGACAGGTATGTACATGTTCACATGCACACTCTCACATACGCACTGGGCATTTACCTAATGATCCATGAGAAGCTGATGTCCCCAGGAATGTGTTTTCTGATTGGCTTAAGTGTCCCTGGGGCTGATGGAGGAAATGCGATGATAAGCTGACCGGTGGAGAAGGAGAGGCAGAGTGAAAGGAGGCAGAACTTCCAAGGGACCCAGGGATATTTACAGGAGCAGAACTTTGCAGCAAACTCCCACCTGGACAAAGAACACACAGAAAGGATGGGAATGTAGAAGCCATGAGTTATGAGTGGAAGCACAGCACAGGAATTTGAACAGCAGGTGTTTGCTTCACTCTCTGCACCAGTAAAGGACGGGGGAGTCCGGGGTTTTTCTCCACTTTCCATCCCTCTTTACCTTCAGAAAGAGCATTAGGAGAACTTTTCCTCTGGCCGAGGAAGGTACAGTAGCAACTTTCTTGGGTGTTAACTGTGCAAAATAGGACGTATGGACAGTGTCAGCTGTACTCCAGCATACAAGGGGGTCATTTAAGAGTTTAAGGGACTGTCAAGAGAGACATTTAGACAGCTTTTTTCATCTGTCTCTCCACAATGACAATACACTAATTCATATTATGCATGTTTAAACTAAATTGCTTTTGCACTATCTCCACTGTTTATTAGTGCAAGAGGCTGCATTTCTCTAAAACAAAGAAGTGGCCAGCAATGGTGATAATGGGCATCTTTAAGACTCTTTTCACAGGAACAAAAAAACATGTGTCCATCATATCACATGGATTAAGCAACTACATTTCCAAGGGCTATTGTACTAGTTAAAAATATATTTCCCCATCACATTACATATCCTGCCAAAAATATTTCTGTAAGTTCAAATCCCTCCCCCACCCCAATATTAGGGATGAAAGTTATGTTCTTAATATCACTTAAGCAACAGCAAATGGGGCCGTTTCTCAATATTCAAAGTCAAGGGAGAAGCCACAAATTCAATGGGGCAAATGACAACCTTCATTTTTAATACACCTGTAAAAAACTATACTCTTCAGTAAAAAGATGTCTGAGAAGATCAGATCATTAAATTTCAACACCATAATTATTTCTGCTAGATCTACAGGAAAGAGAATGGGGGAAATCACCTCCCAATTTGAACAACAGAGGAGCTCAGAGGAATCCAACTCAGTAGCATGGGATTTGCTAATGTTCTCAGAATAATAAGAATCTCAGGTTTCATTCTTTGAAAACTCAAGTTTTTACCCCTCATGTTTATAAAGCTTGAAAATGCACAGCAGCACCTGTTCAGAAATTAGATTCAGAAATTAGAGTGCTTCTAGGATGGCCAAGGGAGGGACTCTTACATTCCATAGAACTCTCCATCCTCCTTCTAACCTAGGCAGAGTTACAATAGAAGTAACCAAGGTATTATTCTAAGTCGACTCAGGAGGACTGTGATACAAGGTGCTGCCCACAAAACTAGAGTCCTCAATCAGTTTACTGATAATCTGAGGAGCACAGTCTTTGCAACCATCATTAAAAGGGCAGTTACCTTCACGGGAACCAACACTGTGTCTACGTTGCATGAAAAGCCTTATTTGGACCCTATTTTGACTCCTATCTTGAATTGTGATGTCTGCACCGTAAACAGCACCCACTTCCAAATTGTTTTAGCCAGAATAAGCATAGGCACAATACCAGTGCAGAATTGTCTCATGCTGAATTCTACCTCTTTGGTTTTTGTGAAAGCAGACTTGATCACTTGGGTATGTGGAAAATCATTCTGATTTGTGCTACTGCTCAAATCTGAACCAATACTGAGGGTAGGATGTGGTGAAATAGAATTGTGTATTGATGGAAGGCCATTGCGGAGCATTCTGCAATGGTCTGCAACATACAACAACTGGCACCATGGAGGATCAGGTTTAAGCTGATGGCTATGCCATTCAGAGACAGAGTTCAGACAGCATGAGCGGAAATAGCGAGTCACGCACCGACCAATTTGCATGTGGCTTAGTTCACAAAAAAACAACAACCTGTGTAAATGCATTATGGGATTCTTACAATAGGGGACCAAGGTTGTAAGGACTATTTTCACCTGAACAACCAGACACACACACAAAATGGACGCTGGTTTGAAATGACCACATACAAATGATGAGATACATATGCGGTAGTTTGTCAATGTGTGGCGATAATGTCTTGCCATGGTCCTGTGACAGCAGAACAGTGAAAACAATCCAATTTGTTTCTCATTATTTTAAAATGACTTCCCGCCCCCCTCCGTGAAATGTTCATGTCATAATTTCATAAACATGTTTAGTGTGTCAAATAAGCCATGTCAATTTCATAAACATAACTGGGACATCTGAAACCAGTGGAATAAATTTCCAATCTGCTAGTCAATGAGAGCCCTTTTGCTCCAAGGTCTCCCATTGGCTGCAAACCAACATATAATGTTAGGACTGGTTTTGAGAGCTTGTTAGGCTGCTTCAGCCAGCTGATGGGGCGAACCCTGCTTGGCAGAAGATCAAAGAAAGCTCTGTTGCTTTCATGTACCTATCATGATGCCACTCGTGTGGGGCACCGAGCTGCTGTCAAATGTCTTCTCCAGGGCAGCCACTCCGAATTCGTTCAGGTCCAGGTCATCCAAGGCAGACTCTGCCAGACAGAGGCACCAATTATATAATACAAAAAGGACCAACAACTTCAAGGGATAGGGAAGCCCAAAGAGCCTACATGCAGAGATGACACTGCTCTGGACAGGAGGATCTATAGGGCCCTGCTCCCCACTGTACAATACTGCCATTAGTCAACAGTTGTCTAAACAAGGCAGCTTTTCATATCACTTTCTATTGTTTTTGAGCCCTAAAAGCTTTCAGCATCAGATTCTTTCCCACAGATTGACACCAGAAATAAACAGCAATGCAAAACAGATCATCCAGTGACACCTGCTGTACAGCTTGACTTTGGGAAGAAATACATCCAAGGACAGCTTGAATGAAGGGTGCCCATCCCAGTCACCTAGTAACCTGGGTATCCATGATGCATGGTGATTGGAATTTCCCTCTTTTAGGAATTCCACAGTGGAGCAGTGACTTGGGTTGCAATTCAGTGGAGGAGGAGATGGGCAGTAGGAATGAGGTGCAGGTATGGCAGTGGAAAGAAGGGGGTCGAGTGCAGCAGTCAGGTGAGGGGCATCGGGGAAAGGGGATGGATTAGCATACCCTAGGAAGCAGGCTATAGCCAGCAGTGTCCCAACAATGGATCAGCGATACATAGCATGGGCATTGCCAGTTGGGATGAGATGAAGCAAGCCTCCACAGGTTCTTCCCAAGTGTCATTTCTAGCCAATTTACTATGTCCAGCAAATATGCCCCATTAACGTTGTCTCTCAAAGAAAAGTATGGCATGTGTTATATTCATGATATTCATGTTACTTCAGAAATGGGGACCATAAAATAGATCACAGTTTTCTGTATAGAAATGGTTGCTCCCCAGCCCCTTTTTCCTCCAAAGCCTGTATTGTGGTTTGGCGTTTTTCCAAAAGGTTGCTTTTCGAGCCTTTCACAAAAAAAGACTGCAATTCCCCACAGGATGCCTATTAAAATGTGTAACAAGAGCCTGTTTGGGGCTAAAGAAGTTGCCCTTCCTGTCCTCCACCACACTACTGCAAACTTTTCATTTCAAAGCCAGGAATTCTCTTTTGGTTTTTTATCATTCCAGGCAGAAGTGGCTGGGGCAGGGTCACTCTGTTGCCCTTCTGGGAGCAACATCAGTGTTGCCTTCTGGGATGGGCAGGGTAGCAGTGAGGTTGGGGTTGGAAGGGTGAACTGGCAGAGCCAATCCGAGCCCTGATCCTGCTCCATGCTGCCCCTGCACCATCCCAGTAAGCAGCAATGGTGCTCCTCCTGGGAGGGTGGCAGCACAGCACTGTTATAGAACGTTAACCATTAGCAATCATCATAAGATATCTGGACAATGAGAGGCCAACATGAAGCAACACTATATATCCTCCGTTTAGAAATAATAAAAAATAATAAAGTTGTGCCTGAGGAGAAAATAAAAAGGGAAATGCCTGCTCTGCACAATATGTGCTATTAATCTCCTTGGGAAATCAGAAGATTAAAACACGGTGACATGCCACACCCTTGAAGGGAAGTATAAACAAGGTCCTTTTAAATCTTCACCTAAGGCACAGACTGGCTATGGACTTCTGCTTGATGTGTACAGATCAGAGTTTCATCCTTGTAATATTTATGAAAACAGTTGCTCAACCACAAATTACACCTGTCACATGAATTAAATAGAGTCCTGGACTGGCCCAATACAGTAGCACTTTGGGCCAAATTTGTGATCTGTAAATTTAGCAAGCATAGAGTAAGATGAAGGATAGCAAACAAGACATCAATTTCACTACACAAAAAATTCAGAGCAATCATAATATCCAATTCACCATATTGACACATTTTTATATAATTCAGAGCTGAAATTATGATGCATGGAAGACTGTGTATGTCATATTAGCCGCCTCTAAAAGAAAGATGGGATTCTGCAAAACTCCCCAGGTATCTAGATCTACAACATGCTCCTATTTCCCAGGCTGATTATATTCCCTTTCAGAGCTGGCCCCCATGAGTATAGGCAGTATTACCTATCACAGACTCCACTGTGTCACTGGTCGGGTAGAATGGAAGGGCATTTGCATTCATGCCAGGGACACTGCTTGTGCCTGCTGGACTTGGCGGTGTTGCTGCCAAACTAGAAGTGATACTAGAAGAGATGCTAGATGTCAGTGGGCTGCCAACAGGAAGAATCCCCAATATATCCTGAAAGAGGGAAACATATATTTAAACACTGAATAATTCACTCTCAGCATGCAATTTAAAAAGTGTATGAGCAAATCCCTAGCTCTGGGGGTGCCAACATGGTGCTCATGTGCACAACAGAACTCTTGAGGACTTTCCCTGGTGCCCATAAAGCCTCCTCTCCTACTTACCCTTCCATCATGAGATGGAGAGGGTGGTAACTTTTGCTGCCCCCCTCCCAAAAAAGTAAATAGTTCTGAAGGAGGAAGTTGAAAGAATGGCACCCTTTCCTGCTTTCTCTTCCAGCTCTATCTACTTTTCAAGACTCACGAGTAGAATCTGAGCCTTGAAAAGCACATAACAGGCTCTCTTCCTCATTTCCCTTGGGAAAGAGAACTCTCTCTCTCTATATATATATATAATTTATACCAGATACTTCTATATCAACATACATTCAGGGCAATTCACAGTAGTTTTCATATACAACGCAATGTCAAAACAAATGTATGCTACAGTTATGAAGGACAACTTTGATTCTTTTAGAACACATCTCATACATTATCAGCGGCATCATATAATCATAATTGTGTGCAATTTTATCAGAATAAGGATCAATGAGCTGTACTAAACCCTTTCTTTAATTATCTCTGCAGCTGAATTCATATTTAGATTTCTAATTTGGATGCTCCTCTACATGCACAGCCTCAGCATTTGCACATACCTGAATATACATTTGTTAGAGACTATTAAAAAAAAAAAACTCTTAGGAAAATACCACCACCCACCCATACATCATCCAGCATCCACAAGTAGGCTTGGAAGCTATGGATGAGATGGCATAAACACACAGGAATAGTCTAGGGCCAACTTGGGGTAACATACCTGTTTTGGTTGTAACAGAGGCTGTTCTTGGGTTCTATGTTCCAAGGAATGGGATTTAATCTTTGCCTGCTGCAGTAAACAGAACAAAAAGAAAGACGAGTGGAGGGGGAGTATACAAATGTGAAATTGCTGACTTCAAGCATTTGAGAGGGCTATGGGATTCTAACAAAACTTTCTCTATTTGGCTGCTCCCAGAAAGTTCAGAGCCCATTAGACAAGGAAAAAAGTATTAGACAATAAATGGTGGTGGTAGTGGGGATTCCCAGCACATATGGTACTGATAACCTGGATGTAAATCCAATTGAAATAAATGAAATAAACTTTCCAAGTTTTAAACATGCATATGATTGCCCTGTAATCTTTGTACTCCACTGTGATCTTTCTGTACTCATGTGGTGAGATTAACAATGAAAAGAAAGTGTGGAATGTTTTCTTAATCTATGTCTGGTAAAGAAAAAAATGGGCATTTAAGGAAAAGTTGGTAAGAAAAATCCTACTCCATAAATACTCCAGAATAAATGTTAAAGTCCCAGTTATGCTGGTCTGCGACTATAATAAAATTTGTTGTTGCTGTTAAATTCCCAGTGGCTTCTCTGCAAGCATGAGTTTATTTTATATCTTCATGAAAATATTCAGATATGTCCATTTTAAGTATCATTGCAGTTATATTCTAAATGCCTTTTTTCAGGGATTCAGGTAGGTAGCCGTGTTGGTCTGACGCAGTCGAAATAAATAAAAAAATAGTCCAGTAGCACCTTAGAGACCAACTAAGTTTGTTCTGGGTATAAGCTTTCATGTGCATGTACACTTCTTCAGATATTTTTTCAGGAAGAAAAATAATCCCTTTAGGCTAAAAATATACCGTGATAAGTGCAATAACACAGACAGCAAGGATATTAATTTTCTTTATGCCAAGGAACTCTTACTCGGGTCCTTGCCTGGAAAAAAATGTTTCAAGAAATGTGTCTCTAGACTAGCCCAATAGAAAGTTCCAGGTGGCTGATTTTGTGGTATGCAAAAAAATATGTAAAGTTTGCTTCAGATTCTTTCTTTGGATTACTTGATTATGTATCACAATACCAGGAGCCCTTGTGCCTTGCTTGTCTAGTGCCAATTTTGTAGCTTAGGGAAATACCAAGATGTTTCACCAACATATTGCAGTGGTTTTGGCAGTTGGTTCCAAAGCCAATATGAAACCCTTAGGTCCCCTTTCCCTGTATTCCCCACCTACCTGGCATTTGAAATTCTTTAGGTACTCTGCTCCAACCAAGTCTTCCCGCTCAAATCCTGGTGCCTTCTTGTAGCTGCTGGCTGCAGTTACTGAATCTGTGGGAAAGCCAATGCTTTCCAAACTATGGGGTTTTCCAATGGCACCAGGAGGAGACCCACATATATTAGATGGGCTTCCAAGACTGCTATTCCTACAGAGAATCTAAAGGAAGAAGGAAGAAAAAACAGCACAGGTCACAACTTGAGAGGAACTCATATAGTGTGCAGTTACAGATTCCTAGGATTGTAACATTCTGTCTTGCACTACTGCAGATGGCCTTTGATGGAAAAACCTCCAGATAACTAAGTTCTTAGCTTCAGCTAGGTCAACTGGGAACATAAATCACAAGTTTTCGTGCTTTAGCGTCTCAGAAATGCACAACCGTATCTTGATCCCAGAGACAATCTCATATTCTTCTCACTCAGCTCACAAGTTCTTCATGCTCTCTCAAGTGAGATTTAGAAACCAGCACAGCCAACATAATCCCATAGCAGAATACATATTTCTAGTGCAAAACCTTGTTGCTTCTTCAGAATCCTAAAATTCTATGCTTCAAGTTTAAAAGAAAAAAAGTATTAAAAATGTGAAGTCAGTCCATGCTTCAGAAAACAGAGGTGGTTGGGAAGTGGTTCATAGTGATCATAGTGCTGAATATTTTCACTCAGTGCAGCTTCTTACTCTTATTCCCATAACCCAAATTCTTTGTTTCAGTTTTCCTACATATTTACAGCCCCATATGAACCACGTGTTCCATTCTTCCTTGACCTAAACTGATAAATATTTTTTAATGTTTTCATTTATTAAAATATTTACACCCTACCTTTCCGTAGAAAAATGCTTAAGGCAGCTTACAAGTACAGAATTGAAAGCATCTTAAAACTTTTTTTGAAATGTTTGATTGCATCACTCTTATTGGGGGCTTCCCACCCTTCCCTGTCATAAACAACTATGGTTAATGGACCCATCACAACAATGAGAAAAATGAGAGTTCTTTAGTATTTATGCACAACTGGGACGGAGAACTTCCAAATTATCAGAAGCCACTCAGCTTTGTTTTTTACATATGCAGCCATTCAAGATTGCTTTGTTAAAGAACCATGGACAAAAGAAAAGGAGAGTATCTTCAGGACAAAATGTTTAATAGCCGAGTGCTTTGCCAGGAATTCTGTACTTGAGTTGCTAGGACATGTTTATGTGCATATTCATAATCATAAGGACTAGAAACTTTTAGGGAATCTAAATTATGTGCCCAACGCCATACTCTGACCGTAAGGACATTGGAAGAGCCTGCTGGATCAGGTCAATGGTCCATTTGGCACAACATCCTGCTCTCACAGTGGACAACCAGATGCCCGTGGGAAGCCTGCAAGCAGGATATGAGCACAACAGTATTCTGCCTATCTGCAATTCCCAGCAACTGGTATTTGGAAGCATACTGTCTCCCAACAGTGGAGGTATAACAAGCCATGTTGGCTGGGAGCTACTGATCTGCAAACATACAGGACTGTGGCATACATAACAACTGTTTCGAAATGTAAAACAGATGAGGCTTGAATTAAGGAAGAGGGGACTCTTGGGAGCCTCTTACAATGACAATTTTCATTCAACCAGCACAGGTTCTCTAATGCTCTCTCTCCCCAGTTAGAGTAGATACTTACTGTAGTAGAAGTGGGGCTAGTTGGCAGAGTTCCTGGTTTATTCCATACCTACAGTCAAAGACAAAGACATAACACAGAATATGTGGGATGAGCAATTTATTTAGCTTTAATCAGTCATACGTAATAGGCATAATTAAAACATCATTCACTCGGCTTGCAGCCTACATACACAGCTGAGCAGGCTGAAGTAACAACAGACAAAGGGTGCTTCAGTATGACAAAAGCAGGTGGATTTGGAAGGAGACATTACAATTTGCTCGCCAAAAGGTGAGAGTGTGAGCTTGCCACTAGACAGCAGGATGTCTACTTCTAAACAGTGACTTGATATGATTCACTAGAAATATGCAAGACTCTCCCAAGGGATAACTACAGCTTAATTTTAGCTTAACATGAAAACAGAGGGCAACTACCCCAGGTTAAATTCTTCAAACATATCATAGTACACAAACTCCAAGGCTGTATTCCCAAACATTTAGTTAGGAGCAGCTGCCACTATTCACAAGGTAAGCAATTCAGATGAGACCTATACAAGAGAGCTCAGCACCCACAACAAGAGACTGAACTTTCCCTTTTATGCTTGGAGCACTTTATTCAAGAGGAGAAAAGCAAAACCATGCAAACATTTTAATGATTTGAATAGGTGTTCTAGAAGCAGTCATTTTCAGATGAAGAAAGAGTACTTCCCAAATGGGACAAATTCTAAGCAGGGAGCATTACAACAGTATTAAATTTCACAGAAAAGCCTTGGGCTGCTCCATATGGCAGCTTGAAAATGACTTCCAAGTAAATTTAAAGCAGCTCAGCTTGTCTAATCCAGTTTGAAAGTGGCAGTTGTGATTTAAACCCATGCCACTATGTTCCTTCAAAATCTCAGCTCACAGATGGAAACCTGTTTTGCATCCCAGTGCTCTGCCAACCCCCACAAATTCAAAGTAAATTTTATGGGGAAAATATAGGCACCATTTCCTTAACGCAATGTAATTGAGTCCGAGGGGTCAGCTTCTTCTTCTAGAAGCCATTCATATTTAGAGAAGTCTGCAGTAAAAACCTACAAAGTGAAGAACTTTCAAAATTTCTACGTACATTGCTAAGGTCTGGGGCTTGTGGACTAGAAGGGCTAACGGGAACAGAATCGCCTGCTGCCGAGGGCATATACATTACAGGGCCTGTTTGTGTAGGACTGGAAACAGAGGATGTTGATTGTAACTCTTCATTAAGTGGAGGTTCTGTAAGAAATGCAAAACAAAAACATGACACAATGTATGCAGAAAAATGAAAATGGATCTTATGGCTCTCCTAAGTGCAGAGGTTCCATAGATCCGTATCTATTTGCAGCAATCCTCATACCAGCACAGAAATAACAGAAAGTTTTCATAAGACAAAGTTGATAAATGTTTGGTTTGTTGCCTTGAGTGTCTTAGCTTTTCCTAAAATTATAAATTACACTCTTAAAGCAATGACAGATGTAACTATTCATTCAAAAGACCTACTGAATCAGGGTTTCCACCTCTAATGTTCAATGATGGCTAAGAATACCTTGACGGTGATGACTAACACTCCAATTCTAAGGATATTTACTAGGTAAGCAAGCTTACAATTTCAATGATGTTTTCTTTCGTATGCTTGCTTAGAATCATAGCCTGAAGAACGTAAGACTATAACAACAACCCTCTTGGATCAGACCAACTGTTTACACAGTCTAGCATTCTATTTCCAACTATGTCCAACCATATACTTCTGGAAAGCCCAGGTGTGAGGCATGGCTGTAGCCAGGGAGCCGGGGGGGCGGCTGTCCCACCCAAAGTAAGTAAATAAATAAATAAAAACAATTGTGTTGCAGATAACTTGGTTCTGCCCCCCCCGCAACATAAAGTCTGCCTCCCTGAAATAAATCCTGGCTACGCCCATGATGTGATGCCTAAAGGCAATAGCCCTTTCCCAGTTGTTATCCCTCTGTTTTGGAATGGAGACAGAAAGACCTTAGTATACTGATTTGATTTCAGAACACTAGAATTGATTTTTTTACGTACGGAAAGATCCCATGTTCCCAATAGAGCAAACTAGACAATTCATATGGCAGAATATGTTATGTATGGAGAAACAAGAGCTGTTAACAGTTGTTCTGAATCTGCGTGGCAAGCCCACCCTGAAATGTCTGGGGCACCTGGAAGGGAAAGAATATGAAGTAGATCCAGTCTTCAGCTCAGCAGACAAGATCTGGGTGGGGTTAGGGTTAGGGTTAGGGTTGAATGGAGAGGACCTTCACTGATTCAGACTGGATTTGTGGAGGTGGCTTCACCTTCATTCCTCCAAAGTGATTTGCAGAGGGTGGGTAGTTCAAAAACCATTTCAGCTTTCTTCTTACATATTTCAGGTTAGGGCAAGACACTGCTTGTTTCACTTTTAATGCCAGTATTGAGCTACAGCAGGGGTGGTGAATCTGTGCCCCACTAGACGTGGTTGAATAACAACTCCCATCATTCACAACCACTGACCAGGCTGGGAGTTGAAGTCCAACAGCACCTGGGGAGTCACAGATCCCCCCCATCCATACTCACCAGTGCCTTGCTGAAGAGGAAAATCCTATCACTGCTCCTCCCTCTATGAAATATGTCTTGATCAAGTGTCCAAAAATTCTTGCCCATCATTTCTAAGACTCCAACCAAGTGATCTGTGCCACATTGATCTGGCTTCTTAAAAAGAAATCTCAAAAGCAGAAAACTCCTTCATGAAAGGATCAGGTCAAATACTACAACAGATGAGTTCTTTCCTTCGCTCCGCAGAAAGAAATTGTGTGTTCACAGCCTCAGGCAGGCAAATTACAAACCAGCAGCCCAAAATGCCCACAGCAAAACTTAAAACTGTACAATACCTTGAGTGGCCACTGGGTGTCACTTAATTTTGAGGAAATGCAATTAGAGCGCACACCATCTGGTGGCTAAAGCGTCTTTTCCAAAGTAAAAGATACAACACACAAAATAAAATCCACTGGAATATTTATTTTTGAATTCTTTCCCATGACTTGCTGAGGGGAGGGGCGTAATTTGTTTTGAATTTTGCTTGATCCAGCAAATGAAGTCCCACTTTGAACCCAGGATGACACTTCTCTCACAGCTTACACTTTATTGCTAGATAAAGATAAGACCACCTACGTTCTACATGTGCAAAGGCACAGAAGGGTCCTCGGGGGCAGCTGCCAGACTGTTGCATGTCATTACATTTTGTTGATTTGTAGATCTGGGGGGAGGAAGCACAAAATGTGATGCAAGTGAGCACACATAGTTATCTATAATGATTTTTTTTAAAAAAATAGAACTATACCAAGAAATGCAACTGAGTTTGATGTGCCTCAGTTATGCTTTACATATAACTCTGATCCCAAATTATATTTGACATTCACAGAATTACTTTTAGCATTATTACCATTGATAATTAATACAGTTGATTAGAACTTCATCACAATATTTTGCACGTCTACTCAAAAGTTTGGGTGGATTTACTCCCATATAAGTGTGTATAGGACTGCAGCTTTAATGACTCTTGGAACTTACTGAATGATGGTCCTGTGCATACACTGGCTCTATCTAAGGATCCAGAATCAGATCACATGGAAACATTTGAGCAAAAGAAGTGTATAGTATCCATTCAGGAGAAGTGTTTCCATGTGTATATGGATCCATGGGAATCACTCCCAAATCCCCTACCACCCAATGCTGCCAGAACAGCAGTCTCTGGGGAAAGAGGAAAGGAACCATAGTTGAACTGCTTTAACTATGTTTAACTAGAGTTTGAAAGGATCCTGCTGATAGACAGGGCAGCCATGTCCCAACAGTAACATCAAATGTTGTTAGAAAACACATGGTCTTCTTATGATAAGGGTTGTGTACACTAAGACTAACTCTGCTGTCCTTGTATGCACAGGAGGAAGGTGTCAGTTCCCAAATTCATCACACCTTCTGTTCCAACTTTGAAAGCCTTCATGACATTTAGTTCCCCATCACTGTTCTGACTTTGCTCTGAATACCTTATAAGACAGTAAAAATTCTTTTTTCGCATTTTGGACGAATTATGTCTCAAATTCAGAAAAACAAGACAAGGAGTCAGCCTAACCCTTCAGGGTACTACTTAGATCTCATGCACCTCCCTCAGCCTCTTGTGTCTTCTAGGCTTCCACTCCATATTTTCTCACTCTCCTACATCCAACCATCAAGCCCCATTTGGCCCCTCACCTTGGTTCCTGCAGCCCCTGCCAGCTGTACTCTCAATGTCCAAGGAAACATTCTTCCCAGCATGTCTAGATGGCAATAGGAGCACTTATGGGTGAAGAATCCAAGATCTCAAGCAATTTCAGCTCCTCAGGACCCCTTGGATTCTTTCTCTTCCAGTGTTCTTATTGTACTTTTTATTAGAAGTGTTACTGTTTATCAGCACATATAAACCCTGGAGCCCCTCCATTTATCTAGCCAGGCAGCCAACAGGAAGGGTTGCTCACTGTACCTCTGGATGAAATTGTTGTTCTGTGCGGGTGTGACAGTACTGGCATGCATCTCCATTGTCACACTTACTGGGATCTCCCCACTCATCTCCATGTTTCACACTGGGGCATGGGGATGACCTGCATAAAGAAGGCAGCAATGGTATAGAATAAGTAACCCAATTCCAACTCGGTACCATCAAATAAACTTATCTCATTGTCCCAAACAGGGATGCCCAGTCTACTGCTTCCAGGTATCCCTGCCACTTACTTCTGCACATTGAATACCTTAGCTACCTGCAATGTAGCTTTTCCCAAGGCAGTGAAAGGTTTTACTTCATTATGCAGAGCTAAATACATATGATTTCAGGTCACATTGAATTAGGACAGAAGCTGGTGGGTTTCAAGACTGTCGTCTTCTTCGGCCCCCACAGAAGAGGAAAGCACACAACAGCAGGAGACAAGGTAACAAACTGAGCAACACTTGAAATACAGTTTGAACATGAAGTGTGGGAGTTTAATGGAAACCTGTATCTCAGAGAGATACCTTTTCACATGGCCTTTCTATCTGAAGTATTAAGTCTCAATGTGTAACACAATTTTCACAAGGAAGGACTTTAAAACTAGAGATTCCCACTCTGAAAACTGTGCTAGCACTATGTTGCTATAAAGCAAATTCTATGTTGCTATAAAGCAAAAGATACAGAGTCTAATAGACATGATACATAAGGAAAAAGGAAGGAAGAGAACAGCAGTAGAATTCCGGCACCAGTTTTTGAAGTTATATCGTCTCAACAAGTACTACCTTTAAGCACTACTACTAATATTATTAACAACAACAGTAACTTGCTCCAAAGTGGTGAATGGCATATTAATACAACAAAAAATGAAGTATGATAAAAGGCGATAAATTAATCAAACAAAACGATGTAAGACAAGAAAATCACAACAGAGAAAAATAAAAGAGCAAAACTTTCTAAGCTAGAAGATTAAAAAGTGTTCTCATCACCCATATTATATATTATATTATATTGCTTATAACCCACATTTTTAGTATCTAGATGCTTGAACAGTGAGAAATAGCAAAATAGCTTACCCCAGCTACAAAAATTAAGGGTGCTCTCACCATTCTGAACACTCAGAGGTTGCATAAAAACAAGTAACCAGTGTTAAGAAACTGCCCCAAAACATTTTCTTAAATATAAAAATTAGGATCACTTTCAGTATTAACAGTTGCCAAAAGTATACACACAACCCAGCAGCCCTTATTCCTCTCAAAAACAATATCTGAACTAATCCTTAGAGCGTAACTTTGAAGGAAATGTATTGCTTTCAACTGGACTAATGCAGGGGTGGAGAACCTTTTCCAGTCTTTTCCAGCTGCATTTCCTCCTGGGCAACTTTCTGAGGTTTCCATGCTAGTTGTGTAGGCAGAAGCAAAAAGTGGGTAGTTCAATGGATGTGACTTACCTTTGTGCAGTAGGCTATATTCCAGCCATGCAAAAGTCAGAGATGGCTATACACCTACATGCATTTCTCAATCTATGCAAGTAGGAGGCATTATCACAGCTCTAGGACACATTCCAGCAAGGCAAAAGCACTCGAGGAAGGTGCAAAGCAGGGCCATTGAGGGGTGCCTGAAATAGGGTAACAGGGAGAGTCCTGAGGGTTGGGACAGAGAGGCCTGGAGGGTCACATTTGGTGCTTGCACCTGCGGTTCTCACCCCTGGACTTGAGAACTGCAACCTTGAACACACAGTAGTATTTGATTGGGACCCACTTGTAATAAACAGAACCATTTGTTTTACTACAATCCATGTTTTAACAAAGGAAGTAATCACATAAATGGGTTCAATAGGTTTGAAGAAAACTCAAAACTACTGGTCCCTTCCAAAACACCAGATCTTGAGGCACTGTACCTGTATTTGTGTTTCCTGGGGCTCCTTCTTCTATCTTTGCTATTATGGTAGTAAGGGCAGGCATAACCCTGGCGACAGAGACGTGGGGGCTTCTTACATTGTTCTGTTTTGTAGTTTCCCAAAACATATGTTGTGTCTGTGAAGACAGGTGTGGCTGGTTAATTCACGGTGACAAGCATATTGCTTCCTACATGAAGAACCTTGTGATAGGAGGAGCGGGCAGTCCAAGAACAATGGACAGCCCTATGTAAGACCCTAAGGAACTCACCTTGCCACCTTGGCTCTTCACTGAGTATTTTCTCTATCATAGCATGGCTAGCGGCAACTGCAGACTGACCCTCTATGCCACCCTCTGATGTAGTCTGACCATTCTGCAAAGCTTCCATGGCCTGAAGCTCCCTTAGGGAACAGAGTTAAATGAACAATAGGCAGGCAGAGAAGATTCAGAGAAAGAGATGTGTGTCTACCAGATAGGAGTTGCCACAATGCAGGAATTCCCATACATTTATTCTTTATTTCTTTTTTTGCTAAGCCCACTTTTAGAGATTCAGGATTTGTATGAGCACTCTGTCCTCCTGCTATTTAGGAGAAAACTCCTACAAGACTTATTGCAGCCCATTTTCCACTGTTGTTCTATTAATCCCCTATACAACACACACACTTATTTGCACGCAGGGGCATGGTGCTTCATGAAGAAGGTAAAATAAGATCCTGGTTGAATCTCAACTGGTGTGCCTCCAGCAAGTTAATATAGCATAATTCATCCTCCCCACCTCCCAAAACAAACTCAAGTAAACTCCTAGCATGCTTCACATATTCCCTTTCGATAGCCATAACATAAATAGAACAAATACAATGTCTATTTCCTAAACTTAAGTATTTTCATCTTACAGAACTATTGGAAAGAATACCTTAGGTCTAATGTTAACATCTCTTTAAACATGCTCTCCCATACATTTAATGAAATGATATTTACCTCTAAGGACTGAAAGAGACACTTGGTTGCAGACTCAGGGCTGGGAACCCCAGTCAGTAACACACAACTACACATCAGCTGGGGGAGGGCGTGATCTGCAGGGAAGAAGCAGCAGGCAGGGGAAGGGTAATTAATCCTTCCCCTACTGCCACTTTCCCACTGCAACTCCCTCCCTAGTCATGGGACTCAGATATGCATCTGCTGCATTGTGGGACAAAACAGATAAAGTGGTTGTAGACTATGGTGAAATGTGGATAGGAAAAAAAGGGTTTTTTCTCAGAGCATATTCCCATACCATAGCATCTTCCCTGCGAATCATGTCCTCTCCCTCTGTTTCACAGATGTATGGGGGTGACCAGAATTCCTAGACCAGTGTTTGCTGCCAATGTCCAGTTTCACCCAATCTTACATACACTTAGGCTGCTTGTGTCTATACAAATCTTGTTCTAAGAAATTAAAGTCATACCATCCCTTTCTTTAAACTGATAGGTGATTTTGACAGTCACCTGGTGGTGGAGATATGCCTGGGGGGGTATAGTTGGAGGGGGGGCAGATTTAACCTCTTCCTAGCCACCTTACTATCTTATGTCTAGTGAGGGCAATGGCTGAGGCTTAGCAATAATCTGGCTTATATTAAACCCATTCACAATAGTGGGGCTCCTGGCACCAAGATACTTGCCCAAGTCACCTTGTGATGCATAAAAAGTCACAGGAAATGGCCTTAAAGGATTGTATATAACATATTCTTTTGTGTAGGGGGGGGCAGGGGGGGAGGAAGAGAGAAAACAGAACACCATCATACTTCTGATGCTAAACACTACACATTCAGCAGCATTTTGTACTGTGATCTGTTCTATTTTGGCTTAGCAAGCATACTTCTGCAGACAAGGAACTTCATCCTCTACTAACCTGATATCATAAACTGGAGAGCGGAGGTCATGGGGCCCATGAGCAAAAGCACAGTGGAGACCGTTCTTGGTGCAGTTTCCTTTCGAGTCAGTCTCATGGATGCAGATTCCAGTTTTGTAGTAGCGCAGGTGATATCTACGTTCTGTGTCACCAGTAGTTCTATGCAGGAATGGACACCTACAGGGGAGGGGGGGAAAAGAGAGCTCGTAGAAACTCAAAGGCTGAAACATGCTGCCCAACAAGAAATTCTTTTTAGTCCTCACGGTTGTCAAATCCAGCACTTTTTCCCCATTTGTATCCTTTGTAAAATAAGGATATAAAACGAGGAAACGATCCTCAGGCCATTAATTTTAAAATAAACCTCACTAATTTCTCTAGGATTATTCCAGAGCAAAAAAACCTTTGAATTACAGCCTTCATTTGGGGGGGGGGGGGGATATACAGGTGTGGTGCAATCATAATTAATTTTTTGTTCAAGTTTCCACTGCAGCGTTTCCACATTTCTTCATGGGTTCTTCTGCATGATTTTTAAAAAGCTGAATTGTTGAAGTCTCTCCTCTCTGAAAGTGCAGGCTGGAACCTCCATCTGGTCAAGTTAGATGCAGCCTTGAGTAACTTACTCATCTCCTTCTGGACAGATCCCTGTGGTCTCATCGTATTTGGTGCAGTAAATGTCAGGACTGTAGTTAAAGGTGCCATCCCGACGGCGGATAGACCGGCGGCGACGCTGGTTGACAAAGTGCCAGTGGAAGCATGTATAGGGCCTATGCTGAGTACACTTGTGCTGTACAAAGAGTGGGCACTGCTCTGTGCGGAATTCCTTCAGGTATCTGTAAAAAGAAAGAAACTAGCCTGAGCAGAGCCCACAAGGTAGATTCAGAGGTTCCATCCCATGCACAGTCCTGTAGGTAACCCAGTCCCAAACTGATTAGGGATTTTAAGATTATCACCAGCACTTTAATTTGGGTTCAGAAACACATTGGGACAGTGCAGATGGTATAATGTAGGCGTAAAGCGCTTTAACCACCCAGCCCCAACCAACTTTTATTTGTTCCAGTTGAAGGTTCTTAACCACTTTTAAAAGCAGCCTCATGTACATTGCAGTTGTCCAGCCTAGATACTCACTTGTGCATAGATAACTGAGGCAACATCCATTCTCTCCAGGTAGAGTTTCAGCTAACAAACCAGCCAAAACTGGAAAAAGCACCCCTAGCCACGGCTGCCACCTCATCATCCCCATTTAGCATGGATTCTAGCAGTATTCACAAAATGTGAACTTGATCGTTCAGGTGAAGTGCAACCCCTTCTAGAATCAGTTACAAATTTCCATACAAAAGTGTATGTTTTTCCTTCCACAGGACCTCTGTCTTATCCGGATTAAGGTTCATCTTGTTCCCCCTCGGTTGTTCCAAACAGCCTCAACGCAGGGATTCAGGAGTTCAATAGTCTCCCTGGGATGAGGATTGTGTTAGCACCAGTCTTACTTACTTCAGGAGGGTGTTCCAAAGCCTGGGTGGCACCAGCAAAAAGCCCCTCTCCTGCAGCCTGAACTCACTATGGCTTGAATCCAAAGATGCATGTGTGTGAGTAAGGGGCGGGGGGAGCAGAATACAAGCTTTTTGAACTTTGGTGTTTCTTTAGAAATTTTAACACTCCTCTTGCTGTTATCACAGTGGCACTGGACCTGAACACACCACACTGGTATTGGATGGATCTGCTATAACTCAAAATGAGAGGCCACAAGGAGAAAATGGGAGTTGATGGAGAACAAGAAAGTGTACTAATTGGACCCAATTTAAGACAGAGCCATAGCTACCGGGGGAGGGGGGGGCTAGCCAGGTTTTTTGCCCCAGCTGAAGCCTCCAGAGAAGCACCATCGAGGCTCCCAACCTGTGTGTGTACGCATGCAAATGTGCATGGGGTGCCAAACTGGGTCTTTGACCCAGGCGAAATAAAGTTCAGTTTTGCCCCTGCTAAATGACTGTGTGGGGAAGCAAACCTTTAAGTATAATCACCCTTGTCATAACTTTGTTATTCCCCTGATGCACAGCACACTGTATGTATGCCACCTTCCTGGCTATACAGTCGTAGCTTGGATCCCAAATGCCTTAGTACTTGGACATTTTGGCTCCCAAGCGCTGCAAACCCAGAAGTGAGTGCTCCGGTTTGCGAATGTTCTTTGGAACCCAAACGTCTGACAGGGCTTCCGCTACCTCCGATTGGCTGCAGCAGCTTCCTGCAGCTAATCAGAAGCCACGCTTTGGTTTCCGAACGTTTTGGAAGTTGAACGGACTTCCGGAAAAGGTTCCATTCAACTTCCAAAACAACTTACCATAAAAAACTGAAATATAGAAGCTGCTGATTTATCTAAGGCACTGAGATAAATGTAACCAAAGCCATTTCTTTAAAACTTGGATTACAGAAGAAAACACTAAAAACGTAGCCACCACAATCAGTTCAGTTTCATTTTCTATCCTATTGGGAAAAGGGCTGCCTGCACGTTTAGAAAACTGGTTAAATATTAAATAAGATGACAGTATTTTTAGATACAGTCCTATCCAATTCTTATGCGAGCACATGCATACACATGTGCTTGTATAGGTAAATGTACTTGAACTCTCCTAAGAAAATACTGGGTCAGTTACAAAACAAAGGAACACACAAACAGAAACCCTCAAACCCCTTAAGCAGACATTCCTTCACTGCCGAATGAATGCCTGAAATTATTCACATGAAATAATTGACAGCATCTAATCCATTTCACACTATTTCAGTTGAATTATTACTTTTGGATTCTCAAGCACTGGCTATTACTATAAAAACTGTTAGCGTGGAGTGTGTGATTACTAGCACTAAAAGATTACTGTCAGAACCAATGGTACTTCAGCTACAGCTGGAGAAATTTGCTGAGAACAAGGCAGCAGATTTCTTCTTGAATGTTTGGGTCTGTACCAGAAATTGCATTATTAAACATTCACTATTGACGATAAATAATTTTATTTTAGCATGACCCCTAAAGGTATCAACTCTATGCCGATAAAAGCATACAGAATACCCCTGGGCCTTCAATGGGTAAGCATATTTAAGTTTATGGTGCAACAGCTGCTAGGACGCACTATGCCACACATTATACTGAGCTACATGCCAGCCTTTTTGCAAACACAGAATTCTTTCATTAGCAACTTCTTCCAAATAATGCAAACAATTTTTTTTATAAAAACAGCCAGCCAGCCAACAGGGCTCAGAAACCTGAATAAATCCTGTATTGTCGCCCAGAATTGAAGTTAAGTTTCAAGCAGGGTATGAAGAAAGGGTCTGCCTCTTCCAAGACAATAATGCCCACACATCACAAAGAACTCATAACCCACCTACTCTCAGCAGCCAGAAACATCATAACCAGACACTGGAGAGTCATGTCAGGAGTAAACATGGACCAATGGTACCAAATAGCATGGGAAACAGCCTTACTAGAAAAATTAACCAATAAACTGAAACTGATATGGGGACAAATAGAAGATGACGCCTTCACCCCGGTATGGCTCCCCTTTATCACATACACAGCCCAACAAGACAACGACAAGAATCCACCAACAGCATATGAATCAATTTGGCTAAGCTGATCCAAAACATCCACCCACCCCACTCACACATGAAAACAAAGTTCACCACAGCCAATCACAAATAAACAATCACACTCTAGGCCAACCCCAACCTCTCTCACCACTAAAGGAACACAAGCAAATAGCAAAGAGAACCTGCACAAGTGACGCTGACACAACCCCCCACACACATTAAGTAAAATAGAAACATTGCCACCCAACCCCAACCCCACTCACCATTCCCCCTCCACCTCTTTCCCCCTTTTCTTCCTAATGTAACACTAATGTCTCAACAAATGAAACTGATCAAGAAAATGTAACTTGAAAAAAGAGACATTGCACATACTTTTGTAAACCAAGAAATCTTTAATAAAAATACTTTTTAAAAAAAAAGGGTCTGCCACACAACTTCAGAATTCTAGATACTCCACAAAATACAATGAACGGTGAGGTGAACACTACAAGGCATGCACATGTGTGTGGTCTCCTCTCTCAAAAGGTATCAGTCTAGGACTCTGAAAAGCATCTGCTACTAGGACCTCTCTTTGTCACCACCACCTTTGAGAGGGGCAGAACAAGGAATCACATGATCCCATTGACAGCACCTGCAATTCGGAATTGCCAAGGCAGCATGACCTGTCTATAAATCCAGTTCTATTATTGGGAACTGCTTTGAGAAATATTACAGCAGAAAAGGAGTACACAAATATTGTACAAATATACACCATCATGTGTAAAGAATGCCCACATATCCATTTTACTACATGAGCACAGGCTCAAAAATAGAGTTTCCTTCCACAAACCAAGTAGTTAAGCCACATACTAAGTAGTTATCAGACATGTGTCCCAAAGGCTTCCTTGCATGAGAGAGGGCTGTTCACATAATGAGTCTTGGATTGAGTGAGAGCATGCAAAGTCAAAAAATTACTCCAGAATGGATTATTTCTTAATCACAGAAAATCTTAGGTCCACAACTTGGAGATCTGTCTTCTTAATATCTCAGACCATGCCGCTGTTATCACAAAAATACAATCAGGATCACACAGAGTCAGGATCCTAAGGAAATAAGTACATTGTTTCTACCCCAACATACATCCTAACATTTCCACTTCAGAGAACGTAATCAGTTCCTAGGTTTTACTGTGGATAACCTCAAACTGAACTAGCTAGCCCAATTTCAACATATATTTACTCAATGCATCAAGCAAGTAGAAGTGGCAGGTACAAGCCAACCAGCAGCAATTCCTCTCAGGTTCATATGGTTTTAAAGCACTGCATATTGTCTTAATCATGACAGGACCTTTTTCCTGAACAGCTATACAACTTCTTTCTGATACTACATTAATACGTCAGCAACTTAACCAAGTAGGAGAGGCACACTATTCTGCAATTATGCTACTTCCTCAAAAGCAACCCAAAGAAGCTCTATTTTTAAATGTATGTAAGAATTCCATTTATAGAACAGCACCACATTTTTTTATTCTTTTATTTTCCCTTAGTTGCTAAATTAGTCACTCACAGGCTACAAAAACTCTCTGTTGCCTCAGTTCAATAACTGTTTCTCCAGCTTTGAAAATCAGGAACATAACCCACAATGGACCCTCAGAAAATTAAGGTCATCCAAACAGCCTCTCTCTAGTCAAATGAGAGCAGGACACATAGCCCAGGACTCATCCTTTAAGTAAATCGGCAATTTGGAACAACTGATTTAGGCATTTGGAGACATAAAAAGTAAGAACCTCCAGGCCACAGCTTCCTTTGATAGCACAGACTGCTCCAAGAACACTCACCTATAGGTAAGATTACTTATATAGGGAACATTTGCAGGATCATAAATAAGGGCAGCTGAAAGTAGAGTTTAAGTAAATGTGCTTTTTTGTATACGATACTTTTGTCCAGAGAAATAAAAGTTTAACAGAACCAATTGTTAATTTACATTACACATACCTACCTACAGCAATTGCAAAGTCACATGTTGTACTCCTCTGCTTATCTCAATAAAATAGAAAATGCTGCCTAGAACCCTGTGATAGGAAGTTATTCCAAGTGTTAATTGGTTCTGAACTGATGGCCTTATCAGAAATATCCAGTAGGCTGCATAAGTCATTCATTCAAGGGCTTTTCCATTGGAAAAAGGAATCTTAAGTCTGCATATGCAAATCACCACGAATATCTGTCTGAATTTGGCTCAAATGTGTTCTGTAATTAACATGAGGCTAACCATCTGCTTGTGCATATTTGATGATCCAGTGTCTCAGTTAAGTGGAAATGCCAGTGCTGGCCAACTCTTCCGAAGTTTGGCTTGTAGCTGCTGATGCTTAAGAATCAACACCTTGGCCAAATTTAATTTTATCAAAAACTTTCACCTGCTCTGTAAAGCAGAATCAACTGCCCAAATGTCAAAGATTACTAGCTAGCTAAGACAATAAACCATACCGTATGCATGGAGTAGCAAATAGGATCTGCTAAAACCTCATGGTGAGATATCTAGAATGAACAGTAGCTGATAGACAATGGAAGCAGATGGGACCCACAATGCTTACCAAAGCATGCTAGATGTTGCAAAATGGAATTTTGGAATGCCTGGATATGTACAGCTGCTAAGAAAGTCAGGCTGGTAGACAGAAAGCATTACATTTCAGAAAGCTAATTGTTCTCCCAAATCCTCTTTCCACCAGATACCTAAAAATCTTTGTTATAAGCAAGAGACTATAGATTTTTAGGCTAAGCACCACAGCTTACTTTCTTTCTTCTTTAATAAGGCATTCCTGCATCAAATATGAAACAAGTTGTTTGTTCATTTGTGTGAGCATGAGACTCATAACCAGCAGCAATAGAAAACTACCTTATACAGAGTCAAAAAATACATTCATCTAGCTCAGCATTCTTTACACAGTCTTCCCCAATCTGGTGTCCTTGGCAGTTGTTGGACCAACTCTGGTGAGCCCTGCCATTTCTCGTTTCCCAACCAATGCTCCCCCCCCCCACACCAGTCCTCGGGGAACACGTGCCTGGTCTCTGGTGGCCCCTCTCCTTCCATGTACTCCGGTTTCCTGGAGAGTGCATCTGCCCTTACGTTTTCCCCTCCCGGCACGTATCGTATCTCGAAGAAAAACTTGGCGAACTCCTGGGACCATCTGATCTGTCTCTGGTTGAGCACTCGCGCGGTCCGCCAGTATTCCAAGTTCTTGTGGTCAGTTCGGACCTGGATCTTGTGCCGCGCCCCTATCAAGAGATGTCTCCATTGCCGGAATGCCGCATAGATCGCAAGCAGTTCTCGGTCATACACCGTGTAGTTTTGCTCCGACTTGCTCAGTTTCCTAGAGAAAAAGGCACACGGTCTCCAGTTCTCCTTGGACCCGGGTTGCAAAAGTACCGCTCCAATCGCGCGATCGGACGCATCTGTCTCCAGTCTCATGGGCTTCTCCGGATCCACGTGCAGGAGCTGCTCTTCCGAGGCGAACGCCTTCTTCAGTTTTTCAAAGGATTGTTGCGCATCCTCTGTCCATGCAAACTTCTTTTTGCTACTAAGACAATCCGTTATGGGTGCTGTCAAGTGAGCAAAGTTCTTTATGAACTTCCTGTAGAAGTTGCTGAAGCCTAGGAACCTCTGCACATCCTTTCTGTTTTTGGGGGCCTTCCATTCCAGCACTGCCTTCACCTTGCCTGGATCCATGGCCAGTTGTTTGTCTGACAACCTGTACCCCAGGAACTCGACCTCCCTGGCGTGGAATTGGCATTTTTCCAGCTTGACCCACAACTGATGCTTCTTCAATTTCTGTAGCACCTCCCTGACGTCTCTGACGTGTTGCGTTTCATTGTCCGAATAGATTAAGACGTCATCCAAAAAGGCTACGCAATTCTTGTACAGCAGGGGCCCCAACACATGGTGCATGTAGGCTTGAAAGCAGGCGGACCCCGATTGTAATCCAAATGGCATGATTAAGTACTCAAAAGCCCCCAGGGGGGTGAACATGGTCGTTTTCCATTCGTCCCCCTCCCTTATCCTAATCAGATTGTATGCCCCCCTGAGGTCCAGCTTGGTAAAAATCTTCCCCTGCCTCACACGTGTCAAAATATCGTCAATCCTGGGCATTGGGAAAGTCACGGGTTCTGACACCAGGTTTACGGCCCTGTAATCCACGACTAATCTGGGCTGATTAGTCTCTTTTTTGTCCACTGGTCTGCCCCCCACCGCCTTGGATTCCCTTATGAAACCTCTCTTCAGGTTCTTGTCAATAAACTGCCGCAACTCCTGCATCTCCCGGTCGGACATGGCATACCCACTTACCCACTGGTAACTGAGCCCCTGGAAGCAGGTTGATTTGGCAGTCAAATGGCCTGTGGGGGGGGCAGTCTGTCTGCCTCCCTTTCGCTGAAGACCTCCTTCAAATCAGCATATTGTGGTGGCACCTGCCCTTTTCCCTCCAGGGCCACCCCAGCCACCCTGGCCACAGTCATTCTTGGTTCCTTCCCTCCCAGACAGTGTTCTAAGCAGTAAGCTGACCCAAAGGTGAGCGACCGCTGATGCCATGACACCACTGGGTCATGTGTTGCCAGCCAGCTCATTCCCAGTATTATTGGGGGTCCTGTCAGCGTGGCCACGTGAAAGGCAATGGTTTCCGGGTGCCTGGAAACAGTCATCCGCATTGGCGGGGTCTGGTGTGTCACTTCCCCTCCCAGTAGTTCCCTGCCATCGATGGTGGTCACCTGCAAGGGAAAATCTAGTGGCAACAGGTGGAGCTGGTGCTCCAGAGCAAGTCTCTGCTGAAGAAATTACACGAGCTGCCAGAATCCAGCAGCCCCTCCACTTTGACTGGGTGCCCATTTGGGAGTTCTAGCACCACTTCTATGGCTATAGCTGCCTTGGGAGGGTCAGGCTGGGGCACTTCTATTGGTTGCTGGCCTGGCTGCTGCCCCTGCTGGTTGGCAGCCAGGCTTTGTCGTTTCCCTGCACTGGCCCTTCCTCCCCCTTCTCGTCGTGGCCTGCAGCCCCCATCATGCCTTGCCAGGCTTTCCATTGAGGACAGACCTTTGCAAAATGTCCTGGCCGCTGACAGAGGAAACACTTCTTGGTAGTTTTCAACTCCTTCCCCTCCCTTTTCCGGCCTTCACTAGCGTTTGAAACTTCGCGCACGCGCGCTCCATCAATTTCCATCAGCTCCGCCGCCTGGGAACGCTCCCTCGGCATCTCAGGAATGCTGTTGCCATGGAAACGTTCCCGCCCTTATCTCCCGCTTCTCCTGAGCCCGCGCTTCCTGGCGTACACCGATCACAAGCACAGTCTTTGTGAGTTCATCCATCGGCCGCGGGCGGGGCGCTCTGGACAGCTCGTCTTTCACTTCGGGGTCCAAACCCGCTTCAAACAGCATTTGTACTGGTTCAGAGTCCAGATCCCACCTGAGCTTGTGGACTAACATCGCAAAACGCGACCAGTAGTTTCTGACGGACAGGCTCCCCTGCTTGCACTCCATCAGCTCCCTCCGTGTCACGCTTTGCTCAACCTCGCTGGAGAACATTGCGTCCATTGCCTGGTAGAATTTCTTAAGATCTTTCAATGCATCATTCCCCGTTGCCATTAAGGGCCTGATCCATTCCCCCGCCCCAGCCTGCAGATGTCCAACAATGTAAGCCATCCTCTCCCCGTCATCGGCAAAGTCATTTTTCTGCAATTCCAAAGCGTATTGAATTTCCGTTCGGAAAGCATTGTAGTCTTGGGGCTTTCCACCAAACTTGTTTACCAGCCCCGGGACCTTCCTCGCTATCGGGGTGTCTCTGACCTGTGCATCCTGAGCCCGCCTCTCCTCCAGCCGCGTTGACAGGGTAGCGACATGCACCTCCAGGTCTCGGTTCCTCTCGACCAGACCTCGCACCATGGCTTCTTGCTCTGTCTCTCCAGCCGGCCCTGTTTGGCTCATCGTGCTACCTCTCCGGGGCTGCGCACAAGCAACGTCAGGGACTGACGGATTGCTGTAATGGTTCTAGGGGTTGCTCATGCGTAAGCCGGTGCTTATCTCCCCGGCGGGGTGCAAACACCTGGCTGGGTTGCCTAAGTGAACCTTTTCTGTCCGGACAGCCACTCACCCGTGGCTGACTCAATCGCTGGCAGAATCCGTCAGTGGGCGTTTCTTAAACTTCTTCCAGCAAAGAAGCTCTTTGACGCCTAGTCTCCTCCTACTCTCTCTGCGCAAAAGCCTTCTGTGCAAGGAGGGCGTGGGCAGCGGAGGACCCCTACTTTCCCCGCTGGTCCCAGGCAAGGAGTCATGGGACCGCCTCGCCGCTTCCCCCATCTGCCCCGCTTCTCCACTGGTGCTACGCTGATTCTCTTCACCAGAAGATGGGCTGCTCCTCCCGATCCCTGGACGCTCTCTGGAATCCCTCTGGCTTTTGCTCTCTCCCTCCGGCACTGATGGCAGTTCCCTGACAGAACTCAGGTACCTTAAGGGCACCCTACTCCTGAAATAATGTGTCTGACTGTTAAGATGTTTCTACTCCACTGCCCTCTGTAGAGTGCCCCACTAGGAGAGATGAGGCAGATGTCAACACAGGAGAGGGCTTTTTCATCTGTGGTGTCCTGAATGCAGAATGCATTTAAATATGCACTAGGTGTCAATGCTGCTTGCATCCAAGTGAATAAATCCAAGTGGATCATTTTCAATGTGACTGCTTTTGAATGTGCTGATCACTTGCTTTCACTTCCTTTGAATACAGCTTTGTCAATTGGTCATAAGAAATGCTTATTTTGCTTCAGTCTAACATATTCCAAGGTATAATTTCCACACACAGGTGAAAATCCAATGATTCTTGGGTTTAACTTTCAAATCATGTGGAACTCACTGGTATTGCCTTGCACTATAACATCTTCACTTCAGGAACATGTCAAACTGCAATCAAACTCTCAGTGACTCTACTTCTGGGTGTTGTTGGGGGGGAAGGGGAAGTATTGGCATTAATAATGACACTGATTAGTCCCTTAAATAACTCATTTACAAAAATTAAGGAAAGTAGCTAAACAGAAGATGAAAACATTCAGTAAGATGTTCACACAATGCCACAAATGTATAAAGCTCTCATCTAACTGCTGTCATATGTAACAACTGCCATGACATTCTGTTATTTTGTAACATTTCTTGATTCTCTATCCCCACCCAACTCTGGGAAAACACACCCACACACACCCACCCCAAAACACAGAGCGCAAAATTGTAAAATGTTTCATATGACTATGTTTCTGGGGTCTTGAGAGCCAATAAAACATTTCAAGAACTACGTATTCTTAGTGCAATTATAAAATTGCAATTCAAAATAAGCATATCCTTATATCTATTTCCAGCAGAATACTGAAGAATGCTTCCCAATGCTACAGCCAAAACTCTGTAAACAGATTCCAGGTGCCACCTCAACTCCAGGAACAGGGAAGTATGTGAGCTATTTTGTCTTAGTATAAAGCTTGTAGCCTGCAGCCAACTCCTGAATAATCACATTGACTTAATTAGATACTGCAGCCCTAGTGTGACAGATTCATAACAGAGTTAAGCCAAAGTACCTTGACTGAAAATGAAACCAAAAATGCTTCTCTGAGGGGAAAAAAATTAATTGCTAAAATCAACAGAATTTTCAGGTAACTGCCCCAAACAGGTTTCCCTATTAATCAGCAAGTTAATCAGCTCGACCATGTGTAAAAACAGGCTGCTACATTGCAAAAGTAAAACCACATCCAGCAATGGAGTAAGTTTTGCTCAGTTTGGTACAGAAACTATGCCTGAATCAGTCTGCTGTAGGTAGTCATGAGTTCTGTGTTAATAGTCCCCTGGCTAGAAGGAAACATGTTGCCAAGATCAAGATGCAAAATTCCAAAAAAGCATTACTTAGAAATCTCACTGAAATCCTTTTAACACCAACACTGTTCTATTTCCTTATAAAAATAGACCACTAGTTAAGTGTTTTGCATGGGAATACTCAAGCAAATATTTCACATGATCATTTTACTATGAAAGGAGACAAACATACCATGCCAATAACTACATTTGATCTTCAGCTTGTTCAGCACAATGAGCTTTGTTCACATGGAAATCTCACTGCTTTTCACACTTATTACTCCTTATAGTTCTCATCTTATAAACTCTTACTGTCTCTTATTCAGGCTTTCCCTTTTAATAACTGCTCTGCAGATTGCAAGTGGAAGAGCTAATGGTTGACTGATAGAATTAATATGTCATACTCATTGATTGAACTCTTGGGGTTAAATCACCTCAAGCAGACACGCCTTTGTTTATAACTTTATTGCAAATCTGTGGTGTTACAAAAAAGGAAGGCAAATTCAGGAGTGTATTATGATTCTATGATTTCACTCACTTTCTTGCCTTGTTCACACATGACTTTAAACCAGTGGCTCCCATAGTGTGCAGTACAGCCCTCTGGGGTGGGTGGGATTACCTGGGAGGGGAGCTTAGAGGCACGGGGGCAGCAGTGAGGTGCTGGAGATGTAAATAACTATATGACTTCGAAAAACTGGTGTCACTGGATCAAGTTCATCACTACTTAAACGAAATATTTTTCATTGCATTTTCAGTGAATATGCAATTAATGGTTATTGTTTTGATTTTTTTGTGTTATTGTACTCCTTAGTGGCTTGTGCAAACCACTATTCTGAATACAGTGGACGCTCGGGTTGCAAACGTGATCCATGCGGGATGCACGTTCACAACCCGCAGCGGCGCGACTGCGCAGGTTGTGATTTGGCGCTTCTGCACATGCGCGACCGCCAAAACCCAGAAGTAACCCGTTCTGGTACTTCCGGGTTTCGGCGGTCCGTAACCCGAAAAAACGCAACCTGAAGCATCTGTAACCCGAGGTATGACTGTACAGTAATGCTTTTTATACAGAAGGGTAAGGTAGGAAGCCCTAGAGTTGATTTTATGCAACCAAGGGGACGGTGGCTCGAAAAAGTTTGGGAACCACTTCTTTAAACCATAGTTGAAACTTAATTGTGGTTTAAAACCCTTGATTATTTGGAGAGAAACAAGCCAACAGCCTAACTGACAAGAGGTTAAACAGATTTTCTAGTGGTCTAGAGATAAGTACCTTGCATAGCTTCTTGCTCCTCTCCACAATTAGAAGTCTAATGAATTTTATGAGAGCATAAAATGGCAAAACTGTTCCAAATAAAAATAAAACCAGCTTTAGTCGACACAGGATTTAGGTTTCCTTTCTACACATTTTAAAATAATAATATAAGTTCTGCGAAGTATACATAGCCTTGGTGACAATGCACCAGTGCAAACTTACTTCTACATAACAGAACTGGGACACACACAAGCACAAACCATAGTTTGCCAAAAACAATTATTGGGGGGGAGGGGGGAGATGAACTATGATTTGCTTAAAATCAGGAAGGAAGTGTTGTGGCATGCAAGGGAAGGTGGGATCATGTGTGCCAGGGGCACGAGAGCAGTCTTTAGGCTTGTTTAAGTAACACCAAAACCATGGTTTAGCTTTGTATTCCAAACAGCCCAATGCCTAAACATTTTATCTTTCTCACACAGCCACAATTTCTAGATTTGTGTTTTTTAAATGGCATACAAAAACTACTTTTACATTCCAGCAACAACCCCTTCATAATTATATTCCTGCCATTCTCAATATATTCCAACATCTTATAAAAGAGAGAAAATGTTGCTACCGTTTCAAGCCCAACTACTTTAACCAGTATAAGGTGTACAGCTGGTTAAGGACACAAGAACTCTCTCTCTCTGGGTTGTTATTGTGCTTTATCCAATTATCAAAATTGGAAATTTACTTGTTTCTAATTTCCAAGATTAAAATCCCCCCTAAACTTTAAAATCTCGAAGGCTTAAGAAAATATGTATCTACCTCTAAAGAAGATACAGGTATGTTGTGGCTCCAGAAGTGGATCAGCATGTCTGAACTCAGTCATCTTAACCATGTTTCATTATGAGACAATTAGACATAAAAATGATAACTGATCATATTTAAGTGTCCCTAATATAATGTGGAAAGCAGTGTTCAAAACTCTCATTGTTCTATGCACATTTTGTGACACGGAATTTCATTAGCGTGAGCAGTTTCTGAGCTCTGAGCACAGTACTGTGCCTAAGATTTCAGATTAAAACTGTAGAGTGGAAGGAAAGGAAGACCTTTTTCTGCCTCCCTACAGAGCCTAGGGCTTGCCGATCAGAAGGTTGGCAGTTCGAATCCCTACAATGGGGTGAGCTCCCGTTGTTCGGTCTCTGCTCCTGCCCACCTAGCAGTTTGAAAGCACATCAAGTGCAAGTAGATAAATAGGTACTATTCCGGCGGGAAGGTAAACAGCGTTTCCGGGTGCTGCTCTGGTTCGCCAGAAGCGGCTTAGTCATGCTAGCCACATGACCCGGAAGCTGTACGCCGGCTCCCTCGGCCAGTAAAGCAAGATGAGCGCCGCAACCCCAGAGTCATCCGCAACCGGACCTAATGGTCAGGGGTCCCTTTACCTTTTACTTCCAGCTACTCTCTGAAGACTAGAGAAGAGACCCTCTTAAGAATATTAGGGGGGTAGGCAGGGGAAGGACTAGATCATATGAAAAATGAACATAATATTTTAGCTGTAGTTCATTAATTTTCAGCTTTGTATTCTTGTTATAAGACCCTGATGTTGGGAAAGACTGAGGGCACAAGGAGAAGGGGACGACAGAGGATGAGATGGTTGGACAGTGTTCTCGAAGCTGCCAGCATGAATTTGACCAAACTACGTGAGGCAGTGGAAGACAGGAGTGCCTGGCATGCTCTGGACCATGGGGTCACGAAGAGTTGGACACAACTAAACAACAACAATTCTTGTTATTAAAAAGTGTGCCTAGATATTCCATTGTTGCACCTATAACCTAGGTTTAAGGTGCCATTTAGCTCCTAGCTTTCATATCTCAGTTTCTAACGCTGGTGAAAAGTGGCTGTCAGTTTTTTTTCTGGGGAAGGCAGATTCAAGCAACAATAACATTTCTTCAGGGAGATATCTACAGTCATCAGCAACTTGTATAGTAACGATTATCTCAGTTATCAAAGTTTTCACTTTGCAAAGACAACTGTTTAATTCCTCACAGTAGATGAAGTCATAACACACTATTAAATACACATATTACTAATTACTTCATAAATATGCATGTAAGAGACAGTCCAGCAAGAAATTCCTTACACTTATAAGCAGACGTTAACTTATTAATAACTTCGGTACATTCAGCACACTTTAGTAACTTTTTGAGAGAAGGGCAGATTACAGTCAGCAGAACCAGAAGACACATGGTTCTCTCATTGCAAAAAAAAAAGCAAATAAATGCCAAAAATATAAGCAAATGAATGCAAATGAATGCCAAGCATTACATTCTGTGAACACAAATGTGTTTGCTGCACTAAGGCTGCAATCTTAACCCCACTTACTCCTAAGTAAGCTCACACTTACTTCAGCATAAGCTCTGATTACTATAGTAAAAGACGTGTGATCATGCAAAGAATAGACTGCATTTGAAACATCAATTTGCAAAGTCTACCAGCAAGTTTTGTCTGAGCAAATTTTTACAAGAAAACTGATTTTTAAACCTCACAGATGAGTTCAGCAAACTTTAAAATAATCAAAATGCACCCACAAGGCAAAAATGAAAAAACACACCTATGAACTGTATTCCTGGTATCATTTATTTCACCATTTGATTTTGTGTGTGTGTTACAGTCATACTTGTAAACTAGGCCTGATATTAAAATTGGTTGAGTCCCAATTGACCAGCAGAATACCCAAGCAATTTTGCAAAACAGTTATGTATCCAATTTATTTTATTGTTCAACTTTGTCTCCTAAAGCAGTGTACCACATTCTGGCTGGGAAGCCGTTAATTTCAAAACTTATTAAATAAATGAGCATTTGCATGGAGGAGGTATACTGGAGCAAGCTACAGTAGCAGGCTCTTCTGTGTTACAAGTAAGACAACTCTGCACTAACATTTGTTATCAGTTAAAACACAGTGACCGCTTGTAGCGGTATTACTAGCTCTGAAGAATTTTATTGATTTACAACATTTTTATTCCACTTCTCCATCCTTGAGACAATTCACATGTCCAATCAGAAGTATGCCCTATTGAGTTCAATGGGTTTAATCCAAGGAATGTAGGTACAGTGGTACCTCAGTTTACAAACTTAATCCGTTCCGGAATTCCGTTCTTAAACCGAAACCATTCTTAAACCGAGGCGCGCTTTACCTAATGAGGCCTCCCGCCACTGGTGCCCTTCCACCATTTGGATTCTGTTCTTAGACCAAGGTAAAGTTTGCAAACCGGGACACTACTTCCGGTTTTGCGGAGTTCGTAAACCGAATCGTTCTTAAACAGGAGTGTTCTTAAACCAAGGTACCACTGTATAGGATTGCAGCCTAAGATACATGAAGGGTTGCACTTTCTCAGTTCTAACCTGACTGTACTTCATTTCTGGCCAATTCTGTGCCATATGTTAGCTTTGCATTATACCACATACAAAAATGGAGGCTGTTTTCTAGCGTAGTACCACTGTTCCACAACACTATGCCAAGGTACTAGCATCCTTTGTGGATTTGCACCTGCAGTGCAATGTTACAGAGGTTGGTGATGTCCCCAGTGGCACATAATTCACTGTCTGGTCCAAAATACCTGCATTTGCTTAGCCAGTTATTCACAGAATTAGGTCACAAGAGAATTTACCAGGATTTCTGAATGGAGTGAAAACAATACTTTCCTCACACAATTGCCACAGAACACTAGCAGGCCATTTATTTCAGAACTCAGTATCCCTTTGACATTTTTCTACCAAAGCATTTTGTACTACAGCGACTGAGGAAAAAACACTATTTTATGCTCTCTCTTTTGTTACCATTTCCCCCCTAGAAATATAGCAATTTACTCTACATAACGTTTCTCCTGGGTTTGGCATCCTTTACTTCACAGAACACACACCACAGCTCCCCTTATTCTTGAAATGTTAACGAGGCATCTCCTGAGAGAAAGACAAACTAACCCAGTGCCAAGGAAGAACAGCAAAGAAAGTCAAAGCTCTAGCAAAGAGCAGCTTAGATTTTCTGGGATGGTCCCTTTACTCTAGAAAAGACAGTTCGAAATAAGATAAAGGATGCCTTTGTGTTTACCACAAGCCCACGGCCATTAACACGAGGTTAGTACTTGAGAAAGAAAGAAGGCGAAGATTATATATAAACATAGTAAACTAAACTACTTGTTTTTCCAACATTTGACTTCACAACCGTCCTACTTGGCGGCATGGAAAGCGGTTTACCGTTTTACTAAGCGGAAGAAGGCAGAGCCGAGATAGAGAGACACTACCAAGTACAAAACAGATGATTTGGGGAAAGGGGGTCGAGGAAGATTACAAGAGGTACCCACTAGCCCCCTAAAGTCAAAGTAAAGGAGCCATGGGGTGCGCGAGCCGCAACGCATCATGGGTATCGCGCGCCTCAGCTTGTGGGGTGTGTGTATTATGTATGTGGGGTTGTTCTTGCGCGCGCACTCGCGCGCGGGAACGGAAAAGCGCGCGGCGGCGGGGGGGTGTCAGCTCCCGCCCCGCCCCCTCCCACTCAGGCGAAATTCCACCGGCCCAGGCCGGCCACGACCGGTTCCAGCCGGTTCCGGGCGGGCGGTTGGCTTCCGTGCGCGCGAGCCGCACGCTGCCCGCTGACGTCAGGCGTGTGTGGCGCGCGGGCGGGTGCCGGGCGGAGGGGTGCGGCGGCGGCGGTCGCAGCAGCAGTAAGTGGCGGCTGCGGGTGTTCTCGCTACGTACGTGTAGTGCTGCGGCTTCTCGGGCTGCGCCTGGAGCGCGCTGGCGGGCGCCACCGGCCCGGTCGCGGGAGGCCCGGTCGCTACCGGGCCCTTCGACATGCTCCTGCCTTCCACTCCCTCCGCCGCCGCCCGCTACCACCGAGGAGGAGAGCTTTATTATTCACTCTGCGCGGTCCGCACGGAGACCGCAATGCGCAGGCGCTGCCGCCGCCATTACCGCCCCGGGTTACCCAAAGCATGCTGGGGCTTGTAGTCCCGGTGATGGCGGAAAGTTCCCCTTTTCTTCTACTGGGCTTCCGGCCAATGAAACTACAACTTCCAGGGGTGCCCTGCGCTCGCTGCCCCGGATTGTGCAACAGCGCGGGGTTTCATAGGAGTTGTAGTTCGGATGAGTTCCTCCATGGATTGCCATCAAGCGGATCTAAGCAGAAGCAGCGCTATGCAAGCCTCGAAGCGTTTTGAACAATTTAGCCGCACGTAAAACTGATACAGCCCGATCCAAACGATGTTCACTTGGAAGCAAATGTCAGCAAGCGCAGATGTAGGAATGCAGATGTAGGAGTCCGTGCACTAGTTCTTCTGGTAAAAAACTGTAGGATGTTTATGTAGTTTTAAGATGGCAAATCAGTACTGTATGCAATTCTGGTTGACAACGACAGCTTCTATAGTGAAAGAAAATCGGGGCTTTAAAACAGTTGATTAGACGAAATTCTTCTCATAGAATGTTTTGCTATCATTAGAACAGGATGAGCTATTGTCTGCTGTTGTGAGGTGTCTGAGTAAATATAATAGTTTGTCATAAACTATGCCACTTACCTATAAAATGGTTAAACCTTTACAGTAATAACTAGATATGTATAGCCATTGTTAATGCAATGACTTTATTGCACATAAATTTATTTACATAGAACATTTCAGAAGACAAGGTGCTTTACAATTCCTCTTTCAGTTGTGTAGTTGGCATGGGTCAAATCATATGCAGTACTGAGCACAGTGGTACCTCGGGTTAAGTACTTAATTCGTTCCGGAGGTCCGTTCTTAACCTGAAACTGTTCTTAACCTGAAGCACCACTTTAGCTAATGGGGCCTCCTGCTGCTGCCGCGCCGCCGGAGCACAATTTCTGTTCTCATCCTGAAGCAAAGTTCTTAACCTGAGGTAATATTTCTGGGTTAGCGGAGTCTGTAACCTGAAGCGTATGTAACCTGAAGCGTATGTAACCCGAGGTACCACTGTATCTTCCTACTTAAGTATACTTAAGTATATTATGCTGGTTTCTATGCAGCACACTGCTATGCATGTTGGCTTGAAAGTGATCCATACACTGTTTAGTGTGGCGTAAAGTTTGCATAGGACTGAAGTCTTATGCTCCCAGACTTTTACAATATTTATTCAGAAATGAAACCATTTGGACTAATTTCCAAGTAAACTTTTGGGCTGAACATGCCTTTTAAACTTTCTTTAGAAGGGTTGGAATCTCCCCCCCCAACACACACACACTTTTAGCCTCTTTATGGCAATATTTCAGGTACAATGTTTCATCCTGTTAGTGTTATATATGGTGGTGAGAGTAGGCTTTCATCTTGCTTATCCTTTAACATCTGGAGTCAAGGAGTGAACATGAGGACTGGAATACTCAGTTATTGCCCAGTTTGAAACTGGTTATGGCCAAAGACACAGCTTAATCCTATCTCCTATTGTATTTGTGATGCAAGCACAGGCTGACACCACAACATGCGAGTTCCCAGAGAGATCACAGGTGCTACATTCTTCCCTGGTTCTCCTATTGCTCCGGGCTAAGCCATGGCTTGGCCTAGCGGTGTCCTCCAAAGCCAGAACCACGGTTTGTCTAGAGCAAGACAAACCATGAGCCCAGGTTCAGACATAGTAAGCCAAACCATGGCTTAGCTGATGGTAGTATGGCAGGAGGACGACCAGGAAAGCAGCACAGCAGCCCCAATCCTCTCCAGGAACTTACACATTTACACAAAGCCATGCAAACTATGTTGGTGTGGAAATCAACTAGCACAGAAAGGTGCTTGCCCTTAAAAGCAAATGGGAAATTGCTTTGATTCAGTTCTTAAACAGGGCAAAGCTATACTGGAATTAGAAGCCAAAGATATCCTGGACTGGTGGGATACAAGGAATTGATTGCCTCTCTCCCCCATGTTATAATGCTTCTGTTATTGGTAAGGGATATGCTTCTTTGAACGTAAGCAGCAATGATAGTGCTATTTGAGTGAAAGATTGCCCTTGTGTGATGCTGGGATCTCTGAAGCAAGTCTTGTGCTATCAGCAGCAAATCATAAGTTTATGGCTGGGTGTTGGTAGAATAGTTTCATCGCAATACGATTTTCTTAGACTTATATTCTTATTGATAGGTGTGCAAGACAGACTTACTAATCTTATACAGTATGTCGAAAGGCTCCCACCTCCGCTAGTTAACTTATTTGTCTATCTCACTCTTTATGTGTATGGGTTTTATAACAAGCAAGTGGTTTTGTTAAATAAATAAATATCATAAATCTCTAGTCATTAGTCCTACACCTGCAGACTTCAATTTAGTTCATTTGATCTAATACACAAATGCTTTGAGGAACCCAATAAATCATTTATTGCATTGTTATTATCATTAAGGGGGACATACCTATGTGTCCAGTTTGTCTCATTGTAGACCGACCAAATAAGTATACCATGGCAAAGAAAAGGAGGAAAGTTAAAGGCATTCAATAGAACAATAATTAGTATTTGATTGTGCAATCAATTTATAAGCATTTAGACCTTTTTTCTAATGGGAAGGGGTGTGGCAGTGTCGTGGTGTCTGTTCTGTGAAACTATGGTGTTCTAACACCACAGTAATATATATGTTTACTCAGAAGTCCCACAAAGTTCAATAGTGTTTACGCCCAGGAAAGTGATTATAGTACATACACTACAACTAAATAAAAATAAGTACACAAAAGTATACAACTATTTTCTATGTTTGATGTTCAGTAACAAAATATAGTGCTTAAAATGAACAGCATTTGGTCACACCTGTTTGGAAATGCAAATGTTGTGCATCTTCATGCCACACGTATTAGTAGTCTTTATCACTGTAATAAAATTTCTGTGAGCCAGTGGAGGAGCAGGATTTCATAAGGTGTGCAGTATATGCCCCATTGTTTATATCTTCAATTTCATCTTGATTGCACATATAATGTAATTTCAGCACTGAGTGTGAAACAATTTTGAGATGCGTCTTCCTTTCAACAGAAATGCCCAGGCTAGTAAAGATTATGTAATTGGTTTTGCTGTATCTGAAGGCGTTTTCAAACCTTACCAACAGAGTCTGTCTTTTTTGGTACTATTACCTTATAGAACACTATGATTAGAAAGAATAATAGACTTGTCAAAATTGCATCCTGTTAAATACTAGAACTGTAGGATTAATTAATGTAATCATTAGCTATTGTGTGATCGGTAATACATGAATTTAGAGAATGCAATACCTGTGCTTTAATAGAATCAGGTATATTGCTTTTAATTAGGATGCACTTCATATATAAGATGTATAAGAAAATATGTCAATAGTTTTGTACATATCAGTAGTCTATACTTCTCATTGCATTTCACACCAGACTGCAGTATTAGGCCCTCATCCTAGAAGCTGCAGGGAGTTTGTATAAAGAAGCTAAAGTTACTTAACATAATGTGTATTTGCTAAATAGGAACTTTTCATATTTTAAATGTTTTGTTTTGTAAATATGTATATGTTACTTATTGCAGGTATTTATTTGATCATGCAAGCCAGCTAGAGTACCAAATAGAGTAATAGTTTTCCTACCAAAGTATTTGTATTTTACCCACTAAATTTGATTAAGAAATATTTGTCTTCTATATACTGTTAAATTGAAAAAAATATAAAATTTGTAACCTTAGTATATTTGAGTTATGATTATGTGAAGGGTATTTTAAAGGGGCGTTTTAATCTGTGTTCTGTGCAATATTGTTTAATAAATAATCCGTGTTCTGTGCAATATTGTTTAGAAAATAATTATTGACTTATATTTGAAGTTTCCTTTATTCGTACCACTTGGTCTGACGCTAAACAGTCAGATATATTCAAATACGACTGCAACCTTCCTACCTGGCTTTACCATTTTCCCTCCTACAATAATTTATGTGGCAGCATTTCCTTCTGTTTACCCGCCTCATTCAGCCTGGGACACTCCAAACGGACAGCTTTTCTTTCCCATTGACTTTCCATTGTGGAGCTTTGCAACAAAAAGTAGGATCCAAACTATGTTTTCTGCCGGCCAATCACAACCTTCTCCTGGGCTCCAATTCCGATTGGTCTGCTTCAGCTCACGATGTCCAATCGGAGTGCAGCTTTAGCAACCAATCGGCTGTCGAGGTTTCATCCAATCACGGCCGAGATTCGGGGAAACGGCCTTTGTGTCAGTTAACGTCACGGCGCCAACGGAGGTAGACGCCAATGGCTCCGTGCGCTGCGTGTCTGTATTGTGAGGTCATGACGTTCTCGGCCCCCTCCCTCTATAAATACAGTGTCCCCGCGCCGGGGAGGGGACAGTTGCGGGTTCGTTGGGGAAGGAGTAGGACGTGTACCTCGCGGCTGGTAGGAGCGGAAGTGTTTTTAAAGGCTCCGTTCCTGAAAGTGGTGAGTTTCGGCTTGGGGCGGCTGGAGAGGGGGGCGGTGGGTGGGGGCGGGGAAGGTGGACGTGTATTTCTCGTATTTTGGGCCGTGTTTCATGAGTGGTGGGGGAGGGGTGGTGAAGGCCGCATTGTTCCGCTTGGCCCGCGGTATGTATGGGGGGGGGAGGAATGAGATAGTCCAATAGTCGTAGTCATGGCAACGTAACTACCGGCGGGGGTGGAATGGAGCGGAATCGTGGCTTCGGTTCTACTACTACCGCGCGTGGGCGGGAGACAGCGTGACTCCTCGTTCCTGTTCCCCCGGGAATGTCCTCCGTTGGCCGCCGCGGAGGGAGCAGCGCTCTGACATCTGCTACTATTCGTCTTGCGCTGCAGTTCCTCCGAAGAGTGGCGGGGAGGGGAGGAGGTTAGTGGAAACTGGCACGAAGTGGTAGGGAAAATACTAAAGAGTTAGAAGGGAAGGTATTCCGTTGCTAACATCTCGTTTCCTTTTTGCTCTTAGTAAAAAAATAAATAAAGGGAAATGGCCCGTACCAAGCAGACTGCCCGTAAGTCCACCGGTGGCAAAGCTCCACGTAAACAGCTGGCTACCAAAGCTGCTCGGAAAAGCGCTCCCTCTACTGGTGGAGTCAAGAAACCTCATCGCTACAGGTAATTAAAGGGGGGGTGGAAATAAGAACGTATGTCTTTTTTTTTTTAACAGCAATGAGTTCCGGAAAGCAGGCCGGGGTTCATATCTACGCACTTAAGAGATGATAAGGGCTGTATTGACAGTACCTTAAAGTACAGTCTGGTTTAGGGAAGTGGTTGCCCACTCCGCAGCACACTTTGCGCCGTTTTCAGGAATGCTTTTCTGCCAGCAAGATCTGAATTTAAATATCACAGCTTGAGGCCTTGTTCACACTATTCTACTAATTTTGTAGGCCTGGTACTGTGGCGCTGCGAGAGATTCGTCGTTACCAAAAGTCCACAGAACTTTTGATTCGCAAGCTTCCGTTCCAGAGGCTGGTAAGGGAGATTGCTCAAGACTTCAAGACAGACTTGAGGTTCCAGAGTGCAGCCATTGGTGCTCTGCAGGTATGAGTGTGTTAATAGTTACTTTTAACCAGGTATGCTGTGGGGGAGTGGGGAAAAGGGCTAATTACATGTACCAGTTCATGGTTTCTAACACTGTCTGTCTTGTTTTAAAACAGGAGGCTAGTGAAGCATATCTGGTGGGTCTCTTTGAAGACACGAACCTGTGTGCCATCCATGCCAAGAGAGTCACCATCATGCCCAAAGACATCCAATTGGCTCGTAGGATACGGGGGGAGAGGGCTTAAGAGGAGGCAGTTTTTATGGTGTTTTGTAGTAAATTCTGTAAAATACTTTGGTTTCAATTTGTGACTTTTTTTTGTATGAAATTGTTTATAATATGTTACATTTGTACTTAAGTCATTCCATCTTTCACTCAGGATGAATGCTAAAAGTGACTGTTCACATAAAAACTCAGTGATGTGAGCTTTGTTGCTCAACAGTGACAAGTTGCTAATATGCAGAAGGGATGGGTGATCTTTCTTGCTTTTCATGCATGTTTCTGTATGTTAATGACTTGTTGGGTAGCTAAAATTGTAAGGTACTAGAATTGATATAAATGTGTACAGGGTCTTTTTGCAATAAAACTGGTTATAACTTGATCCAAGTGTTTAACAATTGGGGCTGTTAAGTCTGACCATACATCACTGTGATAGAATGTGGACTTTCAGAAGGGTAAAACTACAAGTCTTAACCACAGTGTAACTTACAGTTTCCTAAAAACGTAAACCTGGCAGCTATAGAATACACTATGTGCATTTATAATAGCTATTTTATATATTGTAGTGTCAACATTTTTAAATTAAATGTTTTACATTCACCCAAGGAGTCTTGTCATTGTTGTGGGGAAAGTAGTATTACTATTTTGTCTTATACTATCCCTGCTCAAATCAAGTTAAGCCTGTTCCTTGCTTGGTATGCAACTCCAATTACAGCAAAAGCTTGCTGTACTTACGTAACCTAGAGTGATTAAACGCTTGCTAATTTGGAAAATAGTTTTCCCCACTTCTAACTTATTAAATAAACAGAACACTGTCAGACTTGGTGTTTTTAGGCCTACTTTTAGTGATCAAAGTACTCAAGTGGTATAAATTTGGTCTTGAGTGTTAATACCCTATCCTTGCTGCCTTGGTTGGTTTCTTCATGTATCCTTTTTCTCTTACACTTTTGGGTTTGTTTTGAACCAGTTTGAGTGATCTCGCCATTTATATTTTGAAATGCAGCTTCCATTTCTATAACCAAAGCAGACAATCAGGCTGTAATTTTTTTGGGAGTGGAGTTAATTCTTCACCTAGGCTGCTAGTCGACAGCCCCTGGCAGCAAACAACAAAAATTAAAGGAGTAAAGGGGGTGTACCGAAAAGTGTATATACAGTGTTCTTCAGATTCTGATTTCTTTAAACAATGTAAGCACAAAACTAGTAACGTTACACACTGAAAAACTGAACTGTCATAGTAAGTTATGCTTGACTCATTACATTGAATCTGTCTCATTTTTAAATGTAGAAACTTTGGTTAATACAAATAGTATGCAAATCCATGGCTTCAGCTTGATTTTATTCCAAATTCTGAAAATGTCCGTATAAACATGAAAAGAAAACGCTTGTAAAAATTCAGTCTTCTGTTGTAGGAGGTAGCCAAAATACTATTTCCAGTGTAGAGTTTTAATCCTTTCATAGTGCCGCCTTAATCCAAGAGCAAGCCTGGCAGCGTATCACTGACTGAAACTAGGCCCTTTTGCATGCCAGTTCAGCTCCAAAAGTAGGTCATTGGCAGAAACCCAGAAGCAGAGCATCATGCATCTCAATCAGACAAACCATTCTGTGTGTTTAAATCCAGCAGCTAAAGAAACAAATGGTCATTAATCTTAAAATAATATTCCTGAAGTTGGCAGTACTTGCTGCTCTAGCCATGGTTTTGAAAGAACAGAATTTGTCTCCTAACCACTAGCATGCTAGATATTAGGTGGTTGGGATACTGACCTGGAAATCCTCATAGATCAAACAGAAGACTTCCTACTGTATTTCATACTAAACCCAAGTCCTTGAACATAATTAGAAACGCAGATATACAATTACTGCGAAGCCTAATCTTATTAGCTTTCTAAGTCTTGGAATTACTAGCTTGCAAGTACACTAAGTATGCTTCATTAACAGGCTATAGAGGCCTTGCTACTTTTTAGTTGTACACCAAAGAACAAATATCCTTACCAATTCTTCTTATTATTTCCTCACTTTCATCTTCAGTGTTTGATTCAAATACAAGACAGTCGAAGGTGCTTTGTTCCGAAGACTCAGGTGAAACCCTATACAGTATAATGTATTGAAAATTATTCTTGCCTGCATTGCCAAATCAATCAGAACAGGTTACACTAAAATACACATCCGCCTATGCGGATTTTGCAGATGTATTATTAAACAAGATTGACACAATAGTGGATTAATTCCACTTCATTAGTGATGCGTCCTGGATGTTACATTATTGTGCAACGAACTTTAAAAGCCCTGAAATATTTGTGATGAGAAGTCAGGATTTCAGAAGGAAGCTATGGCCTGTGCATAGGCAGGATCAAATATAGCCAGCTTGATACCCAACATCAGTACAAATGAATGCACAATAAAAGAACATCTGGAAGAGCCTTAAAACACAGCAGGGTAAAAGAACAAAGTGACAGAACACAAAAAGATTGGGCAAATAAATGCAGCTGACTCTGAAAGCATGTAAGAATCTGGGCTATCAGATTGGCAAAGGGAGGGAATCCCATAATGAGGTACTGATGACAACATACTGGGCAATATATTTGATATGCATGTGGCAGAATGAATCTTTGTTCATTCTGCCCCATCTTAAATTTAACACTAATCCTTTAAGCACACTGGCAAGCTGAGGTACTGCCAACACATCGCTTCTGACCTTTACAGGACCTGGGGCCTAGCTCTTCATCCAAACTTGGGGGCATATTTCATTGTGAAAGTGCTGCTGTTGTGATGCACTGGAGTCAGGCTACAGACTCAAGTAGCAAATCTGGGGTTCCCCCCCTTTATTTTGCTTCAGTTTTACAAAAGCATCAAAATTATGCTAATACATTGATGCATAAGCAAAGCCTGGTCTACCAGTGGAAGATCAATGCTCTATATATACTTCAACCTTTTCAGAGATGGCACAAACCTTTACCCCAAAGGGTGTATGGGGGGGCATATTTGTAGTACTACTGTTGGGACGCGCCTAAGATCAGGTAGTGACTGGGTAGCAGGTCTCAACCCACCAGCTGAAAGGCCAGTGATGGCTAAACTAGGCCAGGGTGAATTTCCCCCCAGACAACCCAAGGTGCCTTGGGGTATTCCAAATAGGATGGATGATTTTATCAAAAGGAGAGGCAGACGTACAATAGAGTATGTGCTCAAAAGCATGATTTACATAGGCTCGGAGTGTATAGTAAGGGATTTCAGCAGAATTGTTGGCAGGGAAAACTGAAAAGATCAACTCAAACTTCAGCCTGCTCTAAATGCATTGCTGCCACATGCAACTACACAGCCAGGGATAATAGAATCCTGGTGTAGTGTATCTCTAGGTATGTGGGTGGTGGTTATTTTTAACTCACACACTGCAGAAGGCGAAGAGATTGTTGCTGTCCAGACGCCGTCCCACACAGGAAATGTCTGTATAAGAGTAACGAAACAGAACCTGGCAACAACATTGAGTGATCTGATAAGGCAGTGGCCTAGAACTGATTATTTACAATTTTATGCTCTTTGTTTTCTAAATGCGTGTGAATGCACCATGATCCACACAATCAAATAGAGATTTTGTTGTAGATTTAAACAAATAGCTCCTCTATGTGCAACCTATCTTCCAGTAAATCACACACATTATGGGCAAGTTCTACCTAGCAGAAAGCAGCTAAATTCATTGGCCTGCATTCTATGAATAATTTTGACATAAAATATTTAAATATAGTCAGGACAAGCACAAACAGTAAAGAAAAGTACTCTAACCTTTGAAGCAGCTTTCTCTTGAACAACGACTTCTGTTTCTTTGACATCAAATAAAACCTCCTGTGAAAATATATTCAAAATGTTCGAAACAATAATGGGTAAGTAAAATGCACTGTTAATTGTCAAAACGCCTGCAACAGAAAATGAACAGATAAGGCCTGAGCATTTTGCTGGGATTTCAAGTCTTTTCCTCATTTTTGCTTCCTTCAACTTGGTGTGATTTGGGGTAGAAATAATCACAGTGATAGCCTCAAACTGATCACTTAACAGACTGCATAATTTTCACAAAATTGCCAATGTAAACATTTTTATGTACGTCAGATAAAAATAGTTGGTGTCAATTTATGCTCTCAGATTTGCCCTATTGTAGTTTATAGCACTGACTTCAGTAGCTGTATATGGATTTTTTAAAAAAACCACAAAATAGTTCTACCAATCTATACGTTTGATGTATTAATGTATTCACAAAAGAGTAATTTAAGCTCAGTCTCACCTACCCCACAGGGTTATTGTTAGGATAAAGTTTGGGGGTAGGGGAGAAAGCAGAACAATGTACACAAGCCTTGAGCTTATTAGACAAAAGAATAATTTAAACCCACTGCTTTAAATTATGTTGCTGACATGAAGCACTCACCTGGGTTGAATAAAGATGCACATGTGAGTAAGTTGCTACATTATGAGCTACCCAGAAAACAAACCAGTAGCAGCCTTGAGTGCCTTCACTGGAACAGCAATTGACTTTCTCCAGCACTGGGGAAACACAAGTCGCATGCTATGCCAGCTCATTCTGGCAACGGGGTGAAACAAATGGCCTTATTTATTTACAAAGCTCATCCACCCCATCTTTAAGAGGGAAACGCTTGGGCATTCTGAGCTGCATTGCTCAGAAAGGGGCCATGCAGCTAATTAATCTCCCTTTGGTCCATTCATGTTTTGTAAGCGTTTCCTGGTATGGTGCGATGGCGCATCCGATGGTGGTGGCATCTTGCAGGTACAACGAGCCGGATTCAGCTAAGTTAGTGTGCTAGCATAAGTCCCACTAAGCCATGGGGCCTTCCCCCCTCTTCTCTCCCCATGGGATATGGTTCCATAGGGCAAGCTGAAATGCCGATGGAACAACTGGAACAGCGCAGCATTGAATTCCTCTTGAGTACCAGCTGCTCTTGCATTGCTGCAGTGGATACTACTGTGGCTTATAATAAGGTCTCAGCGTTGTGGTCGTTTCAAACCACCTCCATCACTTGTTTGCTGGTGGGATCAGGCGTTGTTTTTTGAAAAGCTCAGTCTCAGAAACCCACAGCAGGTGAGTTGTTGTTGGCCAGGCAGACAGACTGGATGAGTCTAGAACCAAATTGTACAGAGAGAAGAGGCTGGGGCCCTGTATGTTTTCACTAAGATGGTGACACAACTTCAAACCTTTATGTCCATATTTAAATGGCAAGGACTCGTGCGCAAGTAGTAAATTGCAAACATCAGCTTCAAGCAGTTTTAAGAGTAACTGTAGGCTGGGGTGATTGTCTCATTAAGCCCCTCCCTCTCTTTTCTTTTTTGACAGCTTCATCTTCCCACATATGCAGGAGGGAGAGAGAGAAATCTATCCTGTGTGTTTAATGGACTATAACCTTGAATTTTTATTTGCCTGCATTTCTATAGTACCCCAATATAAAGCACTGTGCTCTGTCATAGAAATACAATCAAGGTGAAAAAGCATACAGTGGTACCTCGGGTTACATACGCTTCAGGTTACTCCGCTAACCCAGAAATATTACCTTGGGTTACGAACTTTGCTTCAGGATGAGAACAGAAATTGTGCTCCGGCAACGTGGCAGCAGCAGGAGGCCCCATTAGCTAAAGTGGTGCTTCAGTTTAAGAACAGTTTCAGGTTAAGAACGGACCTCCGGAACGAATTAAGTACTTAACCTGAGGTACCACTGTACAGGCAAAAATGCAATGGTCTTGGGAGCGTAGGAGAAACATGAGAAGCTCTATACCATTCTTCTTTTAAAAAATGGTGGAAAGGGGAAGGATCTCTTTAGCAGGTAGTGCATTAGAACTCAGGTCTCTCACTCCTCACAAATTGCATGCCAACCTGACAGGAAAAAAGGAGGTTGTTTAAGGAGCCAGGCTGTAAAGTATGTTGAGGAATGTGTGCTGTCTCTCCAAATCCTGACCTGCTGGTAGACTTATAAAGGTCTGCAACTAGAGATACGGCCACCATTTGGGTCTCTCTGTTGATTTTGTGGCCTTCTGGCTGGAATAAAATCAGTTTATGTACGTTTAGTGACTTGCTGCAGTGTTGTTTGAAGTGGCTACTTCTAGCTGCTGCAATTAAGTGACTGGTTAAGAAAAGTTCACTCAGGTCTCATCCAATCTGGGACAGCAGTTCTATACTCAAGGCCAGGACTAGGCCTGGTGGTAGCTGACAGTGTGGTAGGGTAGAGGAAGAGGGCACACATTAAACACATTTTGGTGGTGGGGTGCATTAACCCCCTCCCCCCGAATTTAAAGAATTTACATATCACACAAAGGTACCTCAGGAATTTTTAAAATCTGAGATAGTCAACTCTCTTTCCTCACGCACATGATTTAAGGGAGGGTTCTCAGAGCTATTTCTAAAGAAATGTGCAACCGAGCGCAGAAGGCATTACGGAAACTGCTAACATGCAGAACTGAATGCCCAAAGAAGTAAAGCCTTGTAGTAAATTAGCCGGTGCAGGCAGGGGCTGATGGGAGTGTGTAGTCTGCAGGGCAGCAAGTTGGGGGGGGGGGGGAACCATAATGAATTGTTTGTGGTGAATGTGCCAAGCTATGTGCTCCCCTCCTCCTCTTGCATTCCCTGAACCAGCCTTGCTCCTCCTGAACCATTGTTTGTAGTTTGTTTCGCTCCAACAAACCACAATCTGTAAGCCAAGGCCAAACTTTGGCAACAGGTCAAGGTTTGTGGAATGTTTGATGGAAACAGATCATGACCTCTGGGTTCAGATGCCGAACGGTAAGACAGGGATCATAGTTTGTTTTCGTCAAGCGTTTCTTGGCAGCTTTCATATGAAATTGTAATTCCTAGACTTGTAGAAGGGGGTATATATTTAGAGTATTCTTTCTCCAAAAGATCTACCAGAATTGTCATCACTATACTGCACAAATTCAGCGAATACAATTAAAGTTTCACTATTTAATAGCTTTTCAGATTCACCAAGTTTTTTGTGAATGGTACTTGTCAAAAACAATTATCTGCTTGCTGCTATTTTGTTTCTTTCCCTTCCACAACGATGACTACTGCTTAGTTGTCGCAAGCCATTAGATCAAAGGAGGAAGAAAAGAAATACTCCTTCAGTTCCAAGTAGATTCTTTATTTTTTCCTCACAGGCTATAGGAGTACAAAAGTTGGGCCTGTCTCTCATCTTGTGTTCTTGACTGGAGAAGCTCAATAATTTTTGCGTACATCCCAAATTGGAGGGCTTTTGGTTGCTAGGCAAAAGCGTCTTTTCCTTTGAGAGACCTGGTTAAAATTTGGTTAGTTTGCTGGACTAGGGCTAGAGAGATCCAAGTTCAAATCCCACTTCAGTCACGAACTTCAGTGGGTGAATTTGGGCCAGACACCATCTATTAGTCTAATGTATCACAAAGGGTTATTGAGAAGATAAAGTTTGGCGGGTGGAGAAGAGAATAGAACATTGTACACTGCCTTGGGCTTACTTGAGGAAAGATAGGGGAAGAATGAATAAAAAAAAGTAAGGTTTGACTCTCCCACCTATCAATAATTTTGCCCTCATAACCTATAATCTGATTTAGCAATTCCTCACAAAGAAAGAATGGGCAAAGAGTTATTGCGGTCAAACTCCAGTCTGCTTAAAATTAAAAAACGAACAAAAATTGAGAGGAAAAACCAGATGTATGCAAAGGCAGAAATATACAAGAATGCATCTAACAACTGTAAGCCCTACTTGTGTGCCAGTCTCCACATTTTGGAAAAATGTCTCCACATTTTGGACTGTTAAAGCAGGAAACGTACCTGTCGTGGCAAATGTTTCTCTAAAACCATAGGTATGCCTTGGTCTAACACCTCTTTGCTTCCATACTGAAAATAAGAATCGGAAAGGTGTAACAAAAATAAAAGACATAAACCAATAGCAAGGAAAGCTAAACAATCCTCCCTTCTCTGTCCAAGACCCAGTCTCACCTTTCCTACATTGACGTGGCCTAAGTACCGCAGGTTGTACAGCAGCCTGAGGAGAAAATGGTCACAATAATTAATCCACGGTGTCTATAAGTAGCTCATTCGTTTAGACCAGGGGGAGGGGATGGCAGTTCAAGTGAAACAGGCCGATACCAGAACAAAATGTACATGGTGTGCAACGATTGTGACAGGCGTGTGCACGTTTATGTGGCTGCTTTTCTCCACAATAATCAAGCGGTGATTGCACACACCAAAATGGATCTCCTCCTTCTGGGTATATAATGAGAAAAGTGCCCATTTAAACATGCACGCACTAGTCACAATTGAGATCTATATTGTTTAACCATACCAGAGTGTAAAAACGTAATGTTGGCGCTACTGGCTCTCCACGATAACTACTGGCTCTGGGCAAGAGGTCTGTGCCACAAGAACAGGCTCTAAATATGTACACAGCAACTGAAGTGGAATTCCTAAGTTGGCTTGACCTTAGAAACTGCTTTACCTCACTCCCCACTCACCTCAACTTTCACTGAAATCTTGTTTTGAATAAACATTCACAAACTTTTTATTTATAATAATCAGCTAAATAGTTTGAGGATCTATACAACTTTGTAACATGCAGAAAACAGCATTCTTAGAGAAACCAAAGACTGGAACTGAGGGAAGTCATGGGGGTGGGGGGGTTTGAGTGGGAGGGGGGAGGGAGGAAAAATGGGGAAAACAAGGATGATATGTTTTTGGATAATATGTCTTGTTATAATTTTGAATTAAATAAAAAATAAAAAAAACTTTCACTGAAATCTTATGTGCCTTCCCCTTTCAGTCCTCCTCATTCAACAGGGTACGGGGAGCTATTCTCTCTTTGGTAATATGCAGGGCTTTTTTTTTCAGCCCAAACACACTGGAACTTCATTCCAGCACCTCTCAGGTGGGCGCCATTGCCGTTATAAGAGAACAAGGGAGGTGTTCATGGTGAGTTCCAGCACCTATTTTTCCAGAAAAATAGCACTGGTAATATGGGCCTTCCAAATCTTCCTCTCAGTTTGGCGTGGGATTTTACTTTCGTGTCCCTTCATGGCCCTAGGTGGCTCAAAAGCACCCCCAGTTGTAAACATAACACTGTTTTGCTGCTGTTGTGTGTCTCTCTCACTCACGAACCACGTGGTGATCAGCCTAGAGCTGTGTGGCAGGTGAAAACAGCCCAAGGACCGTAACGTTTCCACCTTAATTACAGGCTGCATTCAGATTGAATCCATGCTGACTACCTTTATTGTTACCGATTGCCGAAAGCTGGAGCCTGCAACTGTTTTGCTGCCGCTCTGCTCCCCTGGCAGCCCCTACCTGCCCCCCTGCAAGCACCGGTCCTCTTTCTTTTCCTTGTGCGTGTGCTCATGCTGGAGCTGGAAGCTGGGGATTTTCTCCTGGAGGATTTTCAGGTAGGGGAGAAGCGGCTTGTACATCCCTCCATCGTGCCACTTCCAGCGGATCAGACGGAAGCTCAGAGGCTTGCCCTTGTACTTCTGTAGCACTGTCCCAGCCTGAAGAGAAACAGAAAGGTTGAGAGCATGGGCAAGAATTTCTAGCACTGCTTACCTGGCACTAATCCCAATCATAGAGGTTACAAGCTTTTTTCTGTGCTGTTCCCACAATACAGTGGTACCTTGGTTCTCAAACACCTTGGTACTCAAACAACTTGGAACCCAAAGTGTTTTTCGGAAGCTGAACATGCTCCATTTTGAGTGTTACACTTCTGATTTTAGTGTTACGCTTCTGATTTGAGTGCCACACTTCCGTTTTGAGTGTTACGCTGAGGTCTGTCTGTTTTTGCTATTTATTCTGCATTTTTGTAGGTCTTTTTTTTTGTGACTGTGTGGAATCCAGTTCAGCTACTGATTGATTGATTGATTGATTGATTGACTGCAGTACATTGTTTATCACTTTCATTTTATGGATCAATGGTCTTGTTAGATAGTAAAATTCATGTTAGATTGCTGTTTTAGGGGCTGTTTTTAAAAGTCTGGAACGGATTAATCCATTTTGCCTTACTTTCTATGAGAAAGTGCTCCTTGGTTTTGGAATGCTTTGGTTTTGGAACGAACTTCTGGAATGGGTTAAGTTTGAGGACCAAGGTACCACTGTACATAAAGGAGCACATCTTCATATTTTTCTCCCATAAGGAGGAACAGGTCCAATAGAGGGACTGGTACGTTCAGTCTGGGAAAGACACAATTCAGAGGCAGTATGACAGCCACCTTGAAATATCTGGAGGAGCGTCACATAGATGAAGGAGCAAAGTTATTTTCTGGTGATCTAGAAAGGCTCAAACCAGTGCCTTTAAATTACAAGAAAAAGGATTCAGGCACTAAGTTCCAGAAAGAACTTCCTGACAGCACAAGCAGTTTGTCACTAGAAGAGACTGCCTTGGCAAAGTGGAAGTTGTAACTCTGTGAGTGGTACATTACAGTGAATAGAATTCTTTAAGGGAAGGAATGTGTTTCAAATGTGCTTTAAATATATGGCGTCCACACAGCCTGACTAGACCTGTATGGGATTGCACAGTCATTAATTTCCATCTGTCAGGCAAGCCAGATCTGACACTTACATGGAAAGCATGAACAAAGCTCCCGGGATAAGATATTCTGCCCCAGCCCCCCGCCCTGACAGAAATACATGTAAGCAAACAGCTTGATTTGTTCAACTTTGCTATACTCAGAGGAAGCACAGTAAAAAAATTCTCTTGATCCAAAAAAATGCTGAAATATTTAGGTGATTGTTTTGTTTGTTTGTTTGTTTGTTTTAAAAAAACCTAATTAATTGTATTGCTAGCTATCACAAACTGTCTGAATACTGAGGTTCAAGAAAGACTGGGCAATTTGTTTATAATATTAAGCTGTGGTTTCCCCACTAGCTGCAGTAGACAAGGAGTCTATAGCTTGCCGTGGTTTCAAGCAGATTCCTATGCCTCCCCAATAGTTGTCTTGATCCCCACATTTCTCATACCTATAAACATTGTAAAAGAAAACTTTAAAAGCGAGCAAACCACTGGTATCAATTTAAGTTTCTGAAATTCTAAAGTAATTATAATAATTCTATTCATTCCTGCAGTGCAAAGCTCTATACTTTTTAGAAAGAAAGAAAGAAAGACATTTTGTTTCCCAGTCTTTCTGTATCCCTCCCACACCCTCAATTCTTCACCATGATCTCCAGGTCAAACACCAGAGCTTTAGCTCTGCACAGTTCCCATAGCAACACCACACAGCCATCTCTTCTGCTCCTTTCTCAGGATCTCAGGCAACACAGCAGCCTTAGTCCCCCGAGATCAGAGCGTTCCCTTTCACACCTGTCCATTGCATGCGTTCCTCAGTGAAGATCCATTTATCTCATCAATAACATCTCCAACCAGCACCACCTCATCCACTGCTGCCTGGCTTTGGGGGAGCACATTTACGATGAAAATCCGTCCATCCAAATATCTGTGACGAGAAGAGGGAGAGGAAGGGGTGGAGAGAGACAAGCCAAGGGCTCGCATTGAAGAGTTGAGGTACCACATACTTGAGGCAAAAGAAGGAAGATCACAGGGGAGAAAGAAATGGTGAATGTCTTTTAAAAGAGATTTCTTTCTTTCTTTTGCTCAGAATGATGGGAAAATAATAGATTCCACACCAGGGATAGGGAACTGGTGGCCTTCCTCATGTTGTTAGACTTCAACTCCCATCATCCCCGAGATCAATGGCGATGTTTGCTAGGGCTGATGGGAGTTTGAGTCCAAAAACATTTGGAGGGCCACAGAGTTCCCCATCTACTACTTGTTCATACATTCTTATTTTCTGCATCTATAGGCTGCCTTTCAGGGTTTCTCTTTTCAACGTGGTTTCTAACCACCATCACCACCACCTTTAATGTTAACCAAACTAGCACAAGCTCCCTGAAAATGAAGGGCTGCAAATGGCATGGTTTAAGATCAACCCAAACTGTGCAAGGCAACCCTCACACAAGCAGATCGCTTTGTGGATTTCTTGTCCACTCGGCTGTACTAGAATAAACCACCCACATGATCGGTTGCTTATGCAAACGGTGTCTTTGGCAAACATGAAAAATGGGTGTAGCATTTTGTGGGTCAGGCTTCACCAAAGCCCCCTTCATTAGAGGCTCATATGTAGGTGGTAAAAATATGTACTCAATCATTGGCACTGCACCTCTTCTACTTCTGCAAAATTCTACTTCTGCAAAATTATTAGGGCAAAAAGACTATTTGGCTCGGATAGCCCATGGCGTTTAAAACCAGCGGTAGGTTGCAAAAAGACAAGGCACAACGGAAATCCTTCACAAGCCAGAGCGCAGCAGCTAATTTGCACATCTGTTGTGTACCATCAAGGTAATTGCACAAGCTTCATGGATGCCAAAACTGGCAGACACATTACCATTCTTGAGAGACATCCTTTTATGAAATGCTTAAGCCTCATGGGGATGGGAATCTCAAACGTGAATGAACAAAACTTGGAGGTGGCTCCTCAAAAATAATGAATTGCTAGACGTTACTGTGTAAGCCTCCCAGCAATTGATTGTACATCACTGTTCTTTCTTTGTACGTTCCTTTTTATGAAGCATTTGTTACTAAATAATAAAAATGATTTTTTAAAAATCAAATAATTATTGGAACTCTTCTTAGTGGGTTTCTGTGGCATTTGCACTTATTCCCATCTGATTTTTTCCTTCTGCAATGCTGTTGATTGGGATTCTTGGGGGTTTACAAGCTCCTCTCAGAAGTGCTCTAAAAGGCCATGTACGGCCTGGGGACTACATGTTGCACAGTAGTAGGCTGAACTCCCTTGTCAACACTAGGATTTCTACCTTGCAGAAACCGCTAATCTTTATTGCTAGGCACAGGCTCAGGTCACGGTTTGTCAAAGCCACTGCTCTTAAGTTACAAATAACCAGGGGCGAGGGCATTCAGTCATTCTGTACGAGCATAGAATTTGCTACTGGGTACAGAATTCAGCATACTGAAAATGACAGGCTTTGTTTTTAAAATCCAAGTTTATGGTTACATTTTTAGTTTGCCTTCCCTCCAAAGAGCTTCGCAGAGAATGCATGGTTCCCTCCCTTCCTCCTCACAATAACCCTGCGAGGTAGTTTAGGTCAGGCATAGGGAAACTCGGCTCTCCATCATCCCTGACCACTGGTCCTGTTAGCTAGGGATGATGGGAGTTGTAGTCCCAAAACATCTGGAGGGCCAAGTTTGCCGATGCTTGGTTTAGGCTGAGATATAGTGACTGGCCCAAGTTTGCCCGGCAAACTTTGCAGCTGAATGTGCATTTGCACTTGAATCTCCAGCGTTTTATAGTCCAACTATCAAACCATGGCGGTTTCCCTTTGTATCCTTTTATGGCTGCAAAGATTAGCACATTTGCAAAGTCAATCAGGATCCAATATGGTTTCAAATAGGATGGGGGAAAGCGTGTTAAGATTCCATTGCAGGGGGCTGGACTAGAAGACCCTCTGGGTCGCTTCCAACTCTACAATTCTATGATTAGTCTGGATGAATGTGGGCAATGGTTGGTGAAATCTCAGAAGTCAGGCAGGGAGATGAATGGAATTTCCAGGCCTGGGAGAGGCCCTGCCCCTTGCCAGCTCCATGCTTTTAGCACAAGCAGAATACACTCCACAAAACTGTATCAGGCTGGCATTCGTTTCAGTGACCAACTCTCATTGTTCCCTATGGGCTTTATCTTACAGATCCACACCAGGCTATTTATTTAAAACAGTGGATTTTGTGCAGAGGAAGTTCAAAGCAACGTAAGGATGTGCCAGGTCTCTTACCTGAGCACCATTCCCAGCTCCCTGCAGGGGACAGTTTCGTAGGTCAGGCACACCTAGAAAGCAGTGCAGTGGTACCTCAGGTTACATACGCTTCAGGTTACAGACTCCGCTAACCCAGAAATAGTGCTTCAAGTTAAGAACTTTGCTTCAGGATGAGAACAGAAATTGTGTTCCGGCGGCACGGCAGCAGCAAGAGGCCCCATTAGTTAAAGTGGTGCTTCAGGTTAAGAACAGTTTCAGGTTAAGAACGGACCTCCAGAACAAATTAAGTACTTAACCCGAGGTACCACTGTATTTATCAGTGTGGTATCCAGCAAGCTTGAATAAATCCTCCTTCAGAGCCTTGGTGTAGATGAGAAATTTTGCTTCTTATAGGGGCATTAGCTTTAAAGGAAGGCAGTGGAAGGGCCTGAAGCCTCCAATTCTCCATTTATCCGCAAAAGGCTCATTGGGATGAAACACTGTCATGACGCTATACTGCGTGACTTCAGGGTTAGAGGCTTCTAGTGCAATCCACTTTTAGATATTCACCACATCTTAAATTAAATGATCCCTAATCTGCAGAGCAAATGATCAAAGCCCAGAGATGCTTGACTCAGACAAGCAGACCAAGCATAGTCTTGCCCTGTCTTTACTGATAAGACACAGCAAAATAATAAAAATAAAATCAGCCACAGGCCAGTGTCACAAAGCCAAGGATGGAGAATTTGTGATTCTCCAGATGCAGTTAAGACTCCAACTCCCATCAGTCCCCTGTCATTACTGCCAATAAACAGGAATAATGGGAGTTGAAGTCCATCAATACTTGGGAGTGTCACAGAGTCCCCATCGCTTCATGAGGTCAACCTGAGGCTGATTTTGGCAGTGCAGAAGTACTTCAAATAATGTACCACAGATCCTTCCCCTACCCCAAATACCACAAACGGAAAGATGCACACATATTTAAAAACAGCTTAGATTGATGCAAACTGGAATCCTTGTTCTGTGGCCTAGCTGAAGCCAGAACCCTACAGCATTTCAGTATAGCTGAAGTTGTCCAAGTACAATGATTTAAAATTCTAAGTGTAGCTGTCAATGGACTCGGGTTCAGACTCGGTTCAGAGAGACATAGAGTTCAAGTTTCTCAAATAGGACATTATTAAAAGGTTGAATGAAAGACCCATAAAGCACTTTAAAAATTCACAAAGAGCCACAAAGTGATTTAATCAAGCAGAGAAATCCCAGAGGTGTTACCATTTCCCTGCCACAAACCTCCATGCTTCTGAGACATTAAAATGTAAATAGAAAAAAACCACCACATAAACATAAAGTTCCAGTCCAGAGTAGAGGCGCCATTTTTGGCCTGTTGCTACAGGTGTGAAACAGATGGTGCCATCCCTATCTGTAAGCAGCAAGATGGGAGAATATCATGAATTGTGCAAAAGGGGGTATTGAGAGAGAGGACTAAAGCTTCTTACCGGAAGTTGCCAGCTTTCATCCAAGAAACTGGAATTCTACAAACAGAAAGAATGGCAAACTATGAGAGGTCAAGCCAGAGGTTAAAAGGAAAGATGGGAAAATACAGCTATTAATCCAGCCTTGTTCGGACTACATCTCTCGTCAGAACCAGCCAGGATGTGCTCCCTGGAGCTGCTGGGAGTTGTAAATCGAAACATCTAGAGGGTATTAAGCAGTGGAAGCTGCATGAAACTTAGGTCCCCAAATCATCAACAACTGTACCTGCAAATCTAGGGAGAAATTCATTTCTGTCACCACCAGCATCAGAGAGAGGAAAGGCTCTGGAAGGAGGAAATAAGAGAATCAAAAATTGCTGCCGGATTTCTGACCAACTTTATACATTCATTTATCGGTAAGTCAAGGGACACACTGAGAACACGAACCAAGAAATCTCAAACTTGCAATGGAAGCAAGTCTCCCTAAAGTAATATTTGAGCCTTTCAAAAATGTAATCAACACAGAACAAAGGCAAGTTTCTCAGCTGGCGCCACTCACTTGTACCTCACACAGATTGAACAGAAAATAAAATCTTTACAAATAGTAACGGTGGTTCTCACAGATCAGCTGCATCATGCCTTGGTGGGCAGGTGTGTGAGGTCACTCAGGGTGCACCAACAGGTTGAGAAGGCGAAATGGGAACTTTGCCCACAGGCTCAATCAAGCCGTATACACGAGAAGGATTCAGCAGCTGCTTACACCGTGTGGCAGTTAGAATTGTGTAGAGATCTGCAATCCCTCCATAGCTACTCTGGGAATCTAAAGAAGCAGATTGGTGGTGACTCTGGATCTAAGCACATAGCTGGAAGCTTCAGGCAGTCACCTTCCTAGGAAGCTATACATGTCACACTGTCAGCTTGTAAGTGACAACTGTGCTGCTCTGAACCACATGAATCTCCATAAATTTAAATAATTTTTTAAAAATATGAGTTGAGGCGGCGGCTGTGTGGGACTCGCATTTCCCCAAGCAATTACCTGCCTCTCCTCAGGGAAGCCTGCCTCACATCCAGGAACCACGGCAATAAAGTCTCATCGCCACTTAGCATTCATCTCCTCAAACCAGATTGTGGGGAATTCAGTGTCCAGAATTCAACTGCCTTCCAGGTGAAGTTGTTAAATGAAGCCTGACCCAGTAGCTGATCCCACAACAGTGATAAGGAAAAAGTCACTAAAAGTCACCATACAAATAGCTTTTGGGATGATATTCTAATAGAAAACAGGTAAGGAAATGCCCTTTTCTGCACTTTAATCCACAACACATTACCCTTCCCCAGAGAAAAGCACTAAAAGGAAGTATGGCTCTTTTCTCTTCTCGTTCCCAATAAGGACACTGCAACCTTGGCTATGAGCCAAACTGTAGTTGCCCTCACCTTCATGCCTCCTGGTGCCACTGAGATCTGCTTCCCATGTAATGAAGGCAAACACGAGCTTACCACTATTGTGTGCACACATGGTTAGAGACCCATGGCTAGTCCCAGCTCCCTGGGTGCTAAGAACATAAGAGCTGTTGGAAATGTGTGTTTGTCACATACAAACACAAAGATTTAAACACATACATTAGAGACCTTGACCTCTTTGGAAGGCTGTAAATAAAATGACCTAATTGAACATGGCAAAGTGTGAAGCAGACTTCTTTGTTGCTGCACATGGACAATTCTTGGTGGGAGAGGTGAAACAGAAGGGTGAAGGGGCCGGGAAAAGTCACAGATCAATCCTCAGCAATACTACAGAGCACTTACGTTTACTATTTACAACAACATGATTGAGGAAAAAGCTGAGAAGAGGAATAACGGAAGAAAAATGTGGAAACAAGACAAAAGGGAGTAACATAAAACTCAAAACAGCAGAATTCTGTAACAGATCACCCTTAATGAAGTAACAAATAAGAAGCCACAATTTTACTGAGTCCTGAAGAAGCTTCAGTTGCTTGCATTTTGAAAGGCTCATTATGGGGAAACCCGCCGGTGTTACTTAACACACACACAGACATATTTTTGGTGTAAGAATGTGCAAGCTTATGAACGGCATGAAGGCTTTCATCCTATTTTTTTAGGCCTCCAGACAGCAACGGCACAATCTCGACACGTCTGGCACTTCAGAAACCTATATAATACATTGACTAGCTGGAGGTTAAGGATGATTTTAATAACCCCAGAGTTCAAAACAGATGTTGTTACATACCACACAGATAGTGCCTCCAAGGCAATCATGAAACAGTGCATCTGCCTTGCCAGCAAAGCTTATAAAAGGACCTGACAATCTGTGAGCCCAGAAAGGAGGGTGTCACAATGAGAAAGACAAAAACCAGCCACTGATGTGGAGGGAGGACACAGCAGAATTCACTGGCAAGGGAGAGGTGGAGCTACCAGAGGCTGCATGCCTTTTCACAGGTAGAGGGCCTCAGCAGCATCCTGGATGCCACGGGTTAACAGGGCACACAAAGAATTCAAGTCTACTGCCTTAACCACCTTGTTGTTTTAAGAGATTCCACAGTGGGGCTGTGCAGAATATCGTATCTACATTGGTCCTGCAACATGCCTATCCATAGCACAAGCATGCAAGGGAGCCAAATGACCCGACTCAACAACAATGAAAAAAATCCCACGTTGTGGTGGGGAGTCCTAAACAATGTGGGACCAGCATGCTTAAGAATCTGCCTCCACCCCTCTGCTCTACTACCCACAATCTTTATAATCGACTTTGAATACTCTTATAAGGATTCCAGCTATAAACCAACCAAGGCAGGACATGCAGAGAGATGTTCTCGGCCCCTCAACTTAGGAATCCTCTTCTCCTGGAGACTCACCAAAGCCCAAGCCTGGCATCTTCTCAAACAGATGCAAGACAACTTTAATCAGGCTGACTTCTGGTGCCCACACAGGTGATAACACAGCTAGAATATTGTTGACTTTAAAAGAGTAAAGGGACCCCTGACCGTTAGGTGCAGTCGCGGACGACTCTAGGGTTGTGGCACTCATCTCGCTTTACTGGCCGAGGGAGCCGGCATACAGCTTCTGGGTCATGTGGGCAGCATGACTAAGCCGCTTCTGGCGAACCAGAGCAGCACACGGAAACGCCGTTTACCTTCCCGCCAGAGCAGTACCTATTTATCTACTTGCACTTTGACGTGCTTTCGAACTGCTAGGTTGGCAGGAGCAGGGACCGAGCAACGGGGGCTCACCCTGCCGCAGGGATTCGAACCGCCGACCACCTGATCGGCAAGCCCGAGGCTCTGTGGTTTAGACCACAGCGCCGTGTCCCTGCCCAAATAAATACAATGCTTCCTGAAGAGGCGGAAGCCCTTGAAGAAGGGGTCCTGGTAATAACCTGGTTATAAAAATCTATACATGCATCACCATTTGGAACATAACTTCCAAGCAACCCTTCTGCAAATATTATTATTATTATTATTATTATTATTATTATTAACATTTCTGAAGAAAGTCAAATATAGAGTATCTAGTCAAAGCAACATAATTAACAGAAAACTAAATATTATCTTAAAAACAGGCTGCTGAAAACCCCCGTTCTGCAAACCAAGAAATACAGACATCAAGGAATGAACAAGCTGCCCATTCAACTTGGGGGGGGGGGAGGAATGTATATTAACCCATTTTGAGCATCACTGTACTTTATTGAAACAAATATGCCCATTCACAACATTATAATTAGAAACCCTGGGTATTTTTAAAAAAACAAATGAACAACAACATTAATTGCATCCTTTTAATAATAAAATTCAGTTATTATGTAGCCAATATGCAACACATCACTGGGCAAACTAGACATGCTGGCAACAGACTTGTGTGTCAGAAAGTTTCCTGATTCCTTATAAAAACTGGAGTGGGCAATTTAAAGTGCTACACTTACTTTGCCCCTTACCTGGGCATCATTTGCCCTATACATTTAAAACAGTATCATACCACTTTAGGCTAAGGGCATTTAAACTTGTTAGGACGCTCTGGTACTAGGTTAGGACACACCTGTTTAAGATGTATGGTGAAGATGGCCCTTAACTCCAGTGCAGAATAAATTTAGACATCGAGAATGCTGCCATTGAGCTCTGGTACCTTTTCAACTTTGTACAGTGCAGAACCCAGTAATTCAAAAGCAAGACTGTTATAAAGCAAGGCACGATAAATTTCAGTAACATACTGTGCTACAACAGAATGCAAAATGACTCTCAGGGCACTTGTCATAACTTCCAGAGGCAGCCATGTTAATACATTTTGTAGCCAAGAAACAAGGCGTCTTCTAGCACCTTAAGGAGTAATACATTTAATATGGCACAAGCTTTTAGAGAGTAAGAGTCCACTTCATCAGTGTGATATCCTGCTCTCTTGCACAATGCAATGAGTGGACAGAGATGACTCTTACCAGATAAGTCTTCATTGCCTAGGATGGAGGTCATTGGATCATACCACTGAAATAAAAACAACTCTGAATAATTATAATAATTTAAATAAGTTGACCACAAAGGTACGTACGCACCAGGAACAGGAAACAATTATTAACCATCATAATATCTAGAAAGGAGCATTAATTTAGGTTTGGGATTTTAGGGTCGTCCCCCCCCCCCCCCCGTTTAGGAGCTAAGTATTACCACTAGCAGGATTACAGGAAGCTGCCTAACACTAACCCAGGCCATTGGTCCACCTCAATCGGTACTATTCACATTGACTAGCAATTGGCTCTCCAGGGGCACAGGAAGGAATATGCCACATCTACCTGTAGGTGGAACTTGAGATGTTCTGCAAGTAAAGCATATGCTTTGCCGCTGAGTTACAGCTGTTCCCCAAATGGGGCCATAGGTTTAACTGCCAAGTTATAATGAACAATTGCAGATTCTTTCTGTTAAAGAACATTAGCCCTAGACTGAGTACATTTAAAAATCAGCACTGGTTTCAAGATTATAAGCATGGCGAATACAGGAATATCCCGCAGACCAGGTCTTTAGCAAAGCACACCTACTAACTTATGTGTCCACCCGACGGAGGCCCCAAGAAAAGAGCATAACAAAGACAGGTGTCTGAGTACTCTTATTATTCAAAATAACTTCTCCTTTTAATTGCTCTGAATTACGTTATGTTCCCACCTCAAGCAGCCTGGAAGATCTGATCAACTGCTTAACAGCAACAGCTAGTAACTTCCTATTCAAAGCCAGGCGCAGGAAGTACCGCCCTCGTCCTTGTGCTGTCAGCACCTTCTCACAGGAATTAGTTTTCTCAATCATCATTGACAGGAGGGTCATGCTATAGGAAGAAAAGACTTTGTTATCACAGGGTACAGAAACAGAAACCACGGTCAAGTCACTTAAAACGGAGATGGTTATATTTCAGGGTGAAAAAATTATGCACCCCCTGCCATCCTTTCCTTGATACCCCTCAAAAGTCAGCATGAAGGATTCTGGGAATTGTGACTCCCCTGTGAAGCAGGTCAGATTCCTAATACCCCCCACTCCCACCACAGGCCAACTTGGACAGGAGAGCAGGACCACCCATATGTCAGTCATCTGGCATCATGATGATGTCAATGTGACTGAGAGCTTTTAAAGTTCAAAGACGGTCCCTGTAAAATGGAAGTCTAAAGGAAAATGGCCATTGTGTGAGACACACATTCTCTTGAACTTAAAAGAAGGTGATGCCAAAAACCAAACAACCTTATGGGTATTATTACAAAAACTATGAGCACCTCTAATTGTGGGGCGACCTCGGAGTGTAAGAAGAACCCTGCTGGATCAGGGCAAAAGCCCATCTAGTCCAGCATCCCATTTCTCAGAGTGACCAACCAGATGCCTATCGGACAACCAGACGGCCACAAACAGGATATGAACACCATAGTTACTCATTTATGGACATCAGGTTAAATAAGAAGAATTGTGAGAGGAGGATAAGAAAAAGCAGAAAATTAATAACAGCCTGTAGCTGTAATCATGCTTATACAGTGGTACCTCGGGTTAAGTACTTAATTCGTTCCGGAGGTCCATACTTAACCTGAAACTGTTCTTAACCTGAAGCACCACTTTAGATAATGGGGCCTCCTGCTGCTGCCGTGCCGCCGGAGCACAATTTCTGTTCTTATCCTGAAGTAAAGTTTTTAACCTGAAGCACTATTTCTGGGTTAGCGGAGTCTGTAACCTGAAGCGTATGTAACCTGAAGCGTATGTAACCCGAGGTACCACTGTATATAAAAAGGAAAAGCAGAAAATCAAGTTCCTCTTACATTTGCAGTATCATAAAGTACGACTACAGGCCACCCACCTGGGATGGGTTACTTGCGGAAGCTGTTCCAGCCAGTGCCAATAGTCCTTTCTCTTGAACCCCAGAACGGGCTCTGAGGAAGACAAGACGACTTTCCTTTAGGAAGAAAAGCAGCACAGCAAAGTGCTGCATCGCACAACCAAAGATTACAGACACCATTTCCTTAGCACCAGAAGGTGCTCAGTTAGAGCACATTTACACTGGACACATTCCTTGGGGGTTCAGGGCGCTGCCAGGAAGGGTCTGGTTCACTCTGTGCACGCATCAGCAATCTGTGCATGGTGAAAGGCTGGCAAGTGTGAAGTTTTCTACTGCAACACACACCAAATGCCTTTGCATCAGCAGAAACTGCAATTAGATTTTGCAACTTATGTAAATTTCTGATATCTGCAACAAGACGCGAATCCCTCTCCCACCTCGGTCTCTGTACTGCAGTGGTCGTCTGCATTGCCACTGCAAACTCCCTCATGGGACATGGCTGATCAACCCTTCAATCCTCAACAATTTTAAACAGCATTGATGGAAAGAACCCTGGAAACCCTACTTTTGGAAGGGTACTAAGACCTCTGAAATATAAAAATTGCAGGGGTCAGAGTTCTTTGGGAACAATAAAAAGTACAGTCAAACCTTGGAAGTGGAACGCAATCCGTTCCAGAAGGACAATTGACTTCCGAAATGTTCGATTCCTGAGGCGCAGGTTCTGATTGGCTCTTGCAATCGGAAGAGCCAATCGGAAGCTGCTTGTCTGCCGTGTCGGACGTTCAGCTTCCAAGGCACGTTTGAAAACTGGAACACTTACTTCCGTTGACGTTCGGGAGCCAAAATGTACGGCAATGGAGACGATCGGAAACTGAGGTGTGACCGTACAATAAAAGATTTATGAGATTAGTGGTCTTAAAAGGGCTGGAAAAATTTAAAAAATGTCTTTTCCTGGCTACAAAGGACCCCAAAGTAGCCACCAGATGAACCTCTCTGGGAACAATATTCGACTACTGAAGTGTCATCATGACCACCGCCAGCAACAAATCACACTTAGGGCCAGCATCATGGGTGGGCATGACTAAGCACTTGCCTAAGGCCCACACCTCAGGAGGGGCTCAGTGACTGGAGCCCCCGGGACCTGCTTCTCCTCTTCACCACTTATCTGCTTTTCACTCTTGCAAGAAGGTGGTGGTGAGAAGGAGGTGGAGCTGCCACTGCCTGCTTGCTCACTGGGTCTGTTTGCCATGTAAGCAGGTGGTAGCAATGATGAGGCAGAGGAAGCAACAGTAGCTGGCAACAACAGCAGGGAGGGGGCAGATAGGGGGAGAGAGTCGTGCCCTGGGGCCCCCACCAGCAGAGATGGCACTGGCTACACCTTACCTGGCAGTGAGATCAGCTTCACAGGGCTAGGGCCTCTGAAGTAAAAATCCAGGGAGATACATATAGGAGGAGGTGAACTTTCAGGTGAACTTTTACTTATTATTATTAAAAATACTTCCAGCCCACCTTTCCTTGTAAGGCTGGTCCTGTCCCACTATTGCCCCCAACTGCAGTGCAACCCGCTCCCTGCAAAGGGAAATCTCCATGCACAGTATTCAAACACTGTCCATCTTTGGTACAGAAAAAGCCACTCACGTTTTATTCCTTTGCGAAGGATCATTTCCAGGACCTCACAAAAGGACTGTAAGTGTGGGGAGGTGTCTGTGTAAGGGCTGCTGCTCCCCTGAAGGTTGAGGATACATACTGCAAGGAGAGAGAGAGAGAGAGAGAGAGAGAGAGAGAGAGAGAGAGGTTTCAAATACAGACTGGCAATAGAATGAGTTAAAATCTAATATTTGTATTTTTGCTATACTTTTCTTCTGTTAAGATATGTAAAGGTAAAGGGACCCCTGATCGTTAGGTCCAGTTGCGGACAACTCTAGGGTTGGGGTGCTCATCTTGCTTTATAGGGTTGGGGTGCTCATCTATGGATGTTGGTGATCTGACACTAAGTAAAAGCGAAACGAAAGAAGTGCCATGGTCAGATCACTTCCTGGTGCAACTGGACTTCTCTGCGACCCATCCCCTCTGCAGGGAGGTGGGACCAATTCGGATGGTCCGCCCCGCCACTTAATGGATCCAAATGGTTTCCAGAGAGTGGTAGGGGATGCTTTATCCCATGTTGATGGCCTTTCAGCCGATTCCCTGGTGGCCCGCTGGAATGTGGAGCTAACCAGGGCTATTGACTGTTTGGCTCCAAAGCGCCCTCTCCGATTGCATGGAGCCCGGACAGCCCTGTGGTTTTCCACGGATCTGAGGGCAATGAAAGAATCGTTGAGACGGCTAGAGCGCCGGTGGCAGATAACTCACTACGAATCTGACCAGACACAGGTTAGAGCTCAACGTCGAGCCTACCAAGTGGCGATAGCGACGGCGAAGAAGACTTTCTTCGCCGCATTTGCATCTGCAAATGCATATTGCATCTGCAGAAAACAGCAGCAGGAGACTTTTTCAGGTGGTTCACAATTTAGCGGAACCACCTGCGACATCTGGGCCCAGTACGGGCCACATGATCTCCTGCAATGATTTTGCAAAGTTTTTTACAGATAAAATCGCTCAGATTCGGGAAGAAGTAGACTCCACTGTGGGAGCAGGGCCAGGGCAGGAGAGTGCTAGAGTCCTGTCTAGTCAAGTTGCGTGGGATCAATTCCAACCTGTTACCTCCGAGGATGTGGACAGGCTGCTTGGACGAGTGAAGCCAACCACCTGTCTCCTGGATCCTTGCCCATCCTGGCTTATAAAAGCTAGCCGGGAAGGACTGGGCGATGGGCTTCGTGGGGTGGTGAATGCTTCCCTCCGTGAGGGAGCCTTCCCAGACCCGCTGAAAGAGGCGGTTATTAAACCGCTTCTTAAAAAACCATCTTTAGATGCGGCCACGATGGCCAATTATCGCCCAGTCTGAAATCTTCCATTCTTGGGCAAGGTGATTGAGCGAGTGGTTGCTGAACAACTCCAGGCACGCCTGGAAGAAGCGGACCATTTGGATCCCTTCCAGTCGGGATTCAGGCCTCATCATGGGACTGAAACTGCCTTGGTCGCACTGGTTGATGATCTCCAGCGGGCTAGGGACAAAGGTGAGAGCTGTTTCCTAGTTCTGCTGGATCTCTCAGTGGCGTTTCATACCATCGACCATAACATCCTTCTGGACCGTCTTGAGGGGCTGAGAGCTGGGGGCACTGTCATACAGTGGTTCCGCTCCTTCCTCCTGGGCCATGTTCAGAAAGTGGTGGTGGGGGATGAGTGTTCAGACCCCTGGGCTCTCACTTGTGGGGTGTCTCAGGGTTCTGTCCTCTCCCCCATGCTTTTCAACATTTACATTTACATGCAGCCACTGGGAGAGATCATCAGGAGGTTTGGGCTGGGTGTTCATCAGTATGCGGATGATACCCAGCTCTACCTCTCTTTTAAATCAGAACCAGTGAAGGCGGTGAAGGTCCTGTGTGAGTGTCTGGAGGCGGTTGGAGGATGGATGGCGGCTAACAGATTGAGGTTGAATCCTGACAAGACAGAAGTACTGTTTTTGGGGGACAGGAGGCGGGCAGGTGTGGAGGATTCCCTGGTCCTGAATGGGGTAACTGTGCCCCTGAAGGACCAGGTGCGCAGCCTGGGAGTCATTTTGGACTCACAGCTGTCCATGGAGGCACAGGTCAAATCTGTATCCAGGGCAGCTGTTTACCAGCTCCATCTGGTACGTAGGCTGAGACCCTATCTGCCTGCAGACTGTCTCGCCAGAGTGGTGCATGCTCTGGTTATCTCCCGCTTGGACTACTGCAATGCGCTCTACGTGGGGCTACCTTTGAAGGTGACCCGGAAACTACAACTAATCCAGAATGCGGCAGCTAGACTGGTGACTGGGAGCGGCCACCGAGACCATATAACACCGGTCTTGAAAGACCTACATTGGCTCCCAGTACGTTTCCGAGCACAATTCAAAGTGTTGGTGCTGACCTTTAAAGCCCTAAATGGCCTCGGTCCAGTATACCTGAAGGAGCGTCTCCACCCCCATCATTCTGCCCGGACACTGAGGTCCAGCTCCGAGGGCCTTCTGGCGGTTCCCTCACTGCGAGAGGCCAAGTTACAGGGAACCAGGCAGAGGGCCTTCTCGGTAGTGGCGCCCGCCCTGTGGAACGCCCTCCCATCAGATGTCAAAGTGATAAACAACTACCTGACATTTAGAAGACATCTGAAGGCAGCCCTGTTCAGGGAAGTTTTTAATATGTGACATTTTAGTGTATTTTTCATCTTTGTTGGAAGCCGCCCAGAGTGGCTGGGGAAACCCAGCCAGATGGGCGGGGTACAAATAATAAATTATTATCATTATTATTATTATTATTATTATTGGCCGAGGGAGCTGGCATACAGCTTCCAGGTCATGTGGCCAGCAGGACTAAGCCACTTCTGGCGAACCAGAGCAGTGCATGGTAACGCCGTTTACCTTCCCGTCGGAGCGGTACCTATTTATCTACTTGCACTTTGATGTGCTTTTGACCTGCTAGGTTGGCAGGAGTAGGGACTGAACAATGGGAGCTCACCCTGTCGCAGGGATTCAAACCACCGACCTTCTGATCGGCAAGCCCTAGGCTCTGTGGTTTAACCCACAGCACCACCCGCGTCCCTTCTGTTAAGATACCAAAGCCCTAATTGATAAGACTATAGTACAGAGCTTGGGAAGGTATCTTTAAGAAGGGCAGTTCCCCAATCCCACCCTCCAAAGCAAGCTATCATGCCCTGATGCTACAGAAGTCACCAACTTCCCAGCTCTCCTTTGTCTCTGGGTTGGCAACTGGAGGGGAGGGGCTAGATGGTGCACCCCACACAGCTGGAATTAGTCCAGGGCCATCTGGTTGCTGACTTCTGCAAATCTTAAACCACAAGGCTACTCCTTCCCTGATCATGGCATGTACAGAATCTCTGAGAACACAACTTTGGGTGCCAAGGCATGGTCCGAGGCACATTATGCAACCACCTTGCTAAAGCTCTCTCTTCCATTTGCCAGTTCTCAAAACTTTTGGGGAGTGGGGGTATATTTCAAATAATTTGAAAACTGGGAGGTACTGTTCCTATTTACAGAGAGGTAGCCTTCTTTATCCATTTGTAGCAGCAGAAATAGAAAAAGTTTTTGTGGCACCTTGAAGACTAAGAGATTCCAGAGTTTAACACGCACTACATCAAGACTTTCTTCTCTCTGACCTGAATCTTCCAGCATTCGACTTCCCTGAATGTCCATGAGTTCTAGTCTTATGAGAAAGAAAAATCTTTCCTGTATAGTGGTACCTCACGTTACAGACACTTCAGGTTACAGACACCGCTAACCCAGAAATAGTACCTCAGGTTAAGAACTTTGCTTCAGGATGAGAACAGAAATTGTGCGGCGACAGCCGGAGGCCCCATTAGCTAAAGTGGTACCTCAGGTTAAGAACGGACCTCCAGAACGAATTAAGTTCTTAACCCGAGGTACCACTGTATCTACTTTCTCCGTGCCATGCATAATTTTGTAAAGTTCCATGGTCTCCTACTTGCCTTTCTCTAAATTAAAAAAAAAATCCCAAATGCTGCAACTTTTCTTCACAAGGGAGCCGCTCCCCCCACGCCCCGATCGTTTTGGTAGTCCTTTTCTTAACCTTTTCCAACTCTAAAATATTCTTTTTGAGATGAGGTAACCAGAACTGTACACAGCATTCCAAATGCAGTTGTACCACATATTTGTGGTATTATATTAGCAGTTTTATTTTCAATTCCTTTCCTGCTGATCTGTGGCATGGAATTTGCCCTTTTCAAGTCTGCTGCACACTGGGCTGATGTCTTCATTGAGCTATTAACTAGTACCCCAAAGTCTCTTGTCTTGATGCATTACTGCCACTTTAGACCCCATGAGCATATATGTGAAATTAAGCCCTTTTTTTGCCCCAGAGTGCATCACTTTACACTTGTTTGCAATGAATTGCATTTGCCATTTTCCCACCCATTCACTCAGATTGGAGAGGTCCCTACAGCACAGTTAGCCCCAAGATGTTCTCCTGAACAATCCCATCTGAAATGAAAGGCAGCTCTCATCCATTTCAGAAAAACCTCCCAGTGCACACAGTGCATATCATGTTTTATTTTATGTCTGTAACCCACTTCTAGTGCTGTTGGAGCCGAAGGGCTATAAAGAACTGTTTTAAACAAATAAATAATTAAATGTGATGGAAGTGCTGAACCAAGAGCCAGCTTAAGCAAATATTGACTGTTCTTTAGGCTGCTGTACTCCACCCATTCATTCCACTTGAGGCAAATCTGAGAAAGATGTTCCCTTTCAACAAAGCTTCTCTTTTACTTGTTGGATTATCAGTGCAGTGGATCCAATACTTCACCACCACCACCACCCAGCCCATAATACGATGTTTAGGCCAATTTCCTCCCTCCTTCTACTTATATTCCACCCTACCTCTAAAGAGCTTTGGGTGGTATATGTGATTTAGCACCCCCTCCATTTTATCACAACTACCCTGCACAGAGAATAGCCCAAGGTCATTGCGTGAACTGCACGCGTGACAAAGGATTTGAACCCTGGACTCCAGAATGCCAGTCTAATGCTCTAACCATTACATGACACTGGCCATTCCTCTAAAGTTTATTTTGGAGATATCAGTTTATGCTAAACTAATATTGAGTGGAGAGGTGGACGTGCACCTAGCTGTATATAATGCAGTAAAAAAAATAAAAATAAAGCAAGAGGCGACAACATTAGGAATTAGGGTTGCCACCTGTCCTGTATAATACAGGTCCTGTATTTCGATGTAAAATGCTACATCCACAGAGAAAAATAATCTACTTTATTTTTGTATCAATGTAAGCTGCAATCATATGCATGCTTACCTGGATCAAGCCCCGCTGAACACTGTGGGAATTACTTTTGAGTAAACATGCATAGGATTGTGTTCTGTTATAGTTCCTTTTTAGTATTTTCCCACTGCAGAAAAGGTGTTATGTGGAGCTCCAGTGACTGCACACTCCCCCCCCCCGGTGAGTTGTTCCCATAATAGTATAATTTCATTATCTAGATTCTAGAACAAACATGGCAATAAGGAAGGAAGGCAGGTGTCCCTTAGTTACGTTTTTGCCTCTTTTTCTGGAATCAAAAGTGGGCATGGCAGAGTAGAAAGGATTCAAAGGCGGCGAGTGGGGAGAAATTTCTTAGTTGCATGCTGAGGACCCTCCTAATATAACAATGGAACATAAGAAGCTGCCTTATAACATTAGTCCTTCTAGCCCAATATTGTCAACACTGGCTGGCAGCTGCTCCCCAAGGTTTCCAGCAGAGGTCTTTTCCTGCACACCCTGAAGATGCTGGGGATTCAACCTGAGACTATCCTGTATGCAAAACAGATACTGTACTGAACTACAATTCTTCTCCAACACAAAAAAGGGGATTACCCCAACCTGCCTTCTGGAACCTAACTTGACATCTGTCACAATAGCATCTAAGCAGCATATATATCACTAGGTGATATCACTCTTTGAGGGAGGTTTTTCCCTTAACAATCAAGTGGAGTATAATTTCTTTTTTTAATGAAATAAAGAAGTAAGTAAATAAATAAAACCCTTTGTAAGCATTTGCTCCCAGGACAGTTACCTCATAGCTCTCGAGCTTCTATTTCCCATTTCTCCGATGCCCCATAAAGTTAGGGGGAGCACAATAATAAAGTTAGGTTATTATTGTTAGGTTAAGTTAGGTTAAGGTCCATTGTAATCACTTGAGCTTCTCAATCAATAAACACGTTTAGGATGGGGAGTTGTTACGCCTGAGTACTGATCTCTTCGCTCTGACACTTTTTTTAACACATTTGTTCCCCATGGCAACCAGGGACAAAATAAGAATATAACTCTACCTGACTCCCCATCCCTATGGAGAATCATGTGGCAGTAACTACACACCTGTATATACCCTGACTGAAAGATGCGTGTCCGGTTCTCGCACTTTTTTCCATTCAGCCAAAACCTGGCACCCCGCCCCCTCCAAAACCGCCCCTCTCTCCGCGCCTCCCCGCTTCGTCCCCTCACCTTTTAGCGTTCCCAGCAGCGGTTCTTTGGCACTCATGCTGCCCTCCTTCGCCCGCCCCAACCTTCAGCAGATGTTAACTTGGAGCAGCTTCTAGGGAACCGCCGCTTGTGTCTCCACCCAGTGGGAACAGACCTCAAGCAGCCCCTTCCGCAAACACAAGGCAGCGTTCTGGGAGAGGCCATTATCCCTGTAAGCGGGGGACGGGGGGAGAGGAAAAATAGAACGAGCAGGAAGAAGTGAACATTTTTGTGGCTTGAGGGGCGGGGGGCGGGAATCAACGGGGGAGGAACACATCGGCAGGTTTTGCAGTTGTTATGAATATTTTACCTAGACCCCGGAATAATGCTTAAATGCTGGCAACTGCTCCCCCTTCTCCCCCTTTTAGGCCATTCCGCCAGTTTTGGAACGTTGGTACTTCGCCCGCAACAAGTCCCGAACCAGAGGCGCAAAGACTTTAGCTGCTGGAAACTCAGTGTTCGCTTTCAGTGGGTTTACTTTTAGCCGAAGGAGACGGGCACTGCCGGATTTACGTATAAGCTAAACAAGTTATAGCTTACCAGAAAAATTTGAAGGAAAAAAAACCTGGATGCACATTTCCAAAATATAAGATAAAAAACAAATAAAATAAAACCTACATACAGCGACGGTGTTTTGTGTTGTGTAGGCTCCTATGATGTAAGTAAGGACCCCGCCTGCTATCCTGCTCCCTAAAATATCACTAGTTTGGTCTTTTCTTTATATAGGGTGCCTACATTCTGCATGGATTGGTTGCATGGCAACATGTGCTTTAGATACCCATAAATTACCATATAGCATATATTCAACACACAAAAACAGCAACAATTTGTTGTTGACAAAGGACAGCTGGACATACAAAGGGCTCCATAACCTTCAGTAGCTTAAGACCTCATCAAACCTAAATCCGGCCGTGAAGATGAGGCTTGTTTTCTGCCACGTATACTTACGTGGTTAGTACTGCTACCAGTCCCTTAATATCTGCTTACTCTCCCATATTTTTGCCAAACAGCTCTTTGCTTAGGCCAACTGTTTCCCATTTATAAGCGCAATCCCTAGCAAGCAACAAATTCTTGAAACAAATGTTCTGCTGCAGCGGGGATGGGGAAAGTCTGGCCCTTCAGGTGTTGAGCGGGCTCCCAACTCCCATTGGCCTCAACCAGCATGGCCTACAGCCACGGATGGTTGTAGTCTAACAACATATGGAAGGTCACAGGATTCCCAAGCGACCAATGGAGTCGGAATAAGGCTGTACCTAGGTCCCTCGTACCTAAGGGACCGCCTCTCCTGGTATGCCCCGCAGAGGACCTTAAGGTCCATAAATAACAACACTTTGAAAGTCCCGAGCCTCAAGGAGGTTAGATTGGTTTCAACTAGGGCCAGGGCCTTTTCGGCACTGGCCCTGACTTGGTGGAACGCTGTCACAAGAGACCAGGGCCCTGCAGGATTTGACATCTTTCCGCAGGGCCTGCAAGACAGAGCTGTTCCGCCTGACCTTTGGCTTAGACTCACTCTGACCCCTTATATTGTTGTTGTTTAGTCATTTAGTCGTGTCCGACTCTTCGTGACCCCATGGACCAGAGCACGCCAGGCACTCCTGTCTTCCACTGCCTCCCGCAGTTTAGTCAGACTCATGTTTGTACCTTCGAGAACACTGTCCAACCATCTCGTCTTCTGTCGTCCCCTTCTCCTTGTGCCCTCAATCTTTCCCAACATCAGGGTCTTTTCCAGGGAGTGATCCCTTATATAGGATTTGGTATATAAATTTTCCCTTGGCTTTTTTGCTGGCCCATGTAGGACCAGCATGGATAGCTGGCTCAGGTGAATATCTGATGTTTCCGTCCTTTATGGTCTTGATTTATGGGCTGCTACTAAAATGAGGCTGCATTTTAAGCTGTATTTTAATCAACTGTTTGTTTGTTGTTGTTTTCTATTACATTTTATTGTAATTTATATTTGGTGTTAGCTGCCCTGAGCCCAGCCCTGGCCGGGGAGGGTGAGGTATAAATAATTTATATTATTATTATTATTATTATTACTTTGTTTACTTTGCATCCAATGCACTCCCACCCCAGGTTTGTAAAACCTTGTACTTCACACAAACCTTGTATGGACAGTCACAATCCATATCTATCCTGCAGTTTCTTCAGAAATACTGTGTTTTGATGTGTTTTCCTACAAACCAGCTTCAGTTTTAAAACCTAAGCCTCATGAAGGCATCCATGCCCCCTTTCCACCCACTAGTGGGGGTGAGGGGGACAGACAGTATGTAACACATCCATCCATATTGATGTCTACAATGTGTAAATCAGGTTTGAAACACAGAAGGGAAATGACCTCACTGAGTTTTAAACTGGCAATGTGTACACAGCGTAAGTTGCTTATCAGGTTTGGCAAGCCTCTGCTTAACAGCTTCAGAGTACAGGTTGCATTCAGATTTAGAAATTCATTCTGAATCCAACTCTACGTACACCGTTACTAGTGAACAGATATTCCTTTTCCCTTTTGATTTGGGATTGCATCTCTGCAAGGAAAAAGCAAAACAAAATAAAACAAGATTCAATGTTATAAGCATGCAACAATGCACTCCAAGGCATACTCTGAAGAATACTGGCTTTCAATGAAGCTTCCTTCCAGTTTTGTGTGCAAAAGAAGGGTGGTAAATCTGTGACACTGCAATTGTGATAGGAATTTTGAGGTCTTAGATATACAGTGGTACCTCGGGTTACATACGCTTCAGGTTACATACGCTTCAGGTTACACACTCCACTAAGCCAGAAATAGTGCTTCAGGTTAAGAACTTTGCTTCATGATAAGAACAGAAATTGGGCTCCGGCGGCAGCAGGAGGCCCCATTAGCTAAAGTGGTGCTTCAGGTTAAGAACAGTTTCAGGTTAAGTACGGACCTCCGGAACAAATTAAGTACTTAACCCGAGGTATCACTGTATGCTAAATGTTCATTAGTGTACCAACCAAGCACTTACATAGATCAGCACAGGAAGACCGACCTGAAATCATTTTTGAATCCCAAATGCTTTCTCTTCAAGGAGGGAGGGGGGTCAGGGAGCCTTCCCATTGTCTCAGGAATTGAGTAATCAGCATTTTAATGGGTGACAGACTATCAGGAAAGGCTATCAGGAAAGGCAATCAGATAACCTGGCAGACAGGAAAAACAACACCTTTTCTGTGATGTAGATATGATGTTTGTGGGGGGTGGTCTTGGGTTACACCCCTTCTGTTTGTATGAAGGGGCGGTGTTGAGCTCCAGGGCAGGGAATTTAAAATGTCTATATAAGGTCTTGCCCCTGTGATAGGAATTTTATGGTTTTAGATATATGGCAATGTTCATAACCACACGTACATAGATCAGCACAGGAAAGCCAACCTGGAACCATTTTGATTCCTAAACTGAGCAAATGTTTCTCTGCATGGTAAAAACGGAAAAGCTTCCCCATTGTCTCTTCCTTCACAAATCCTGTCTTAATCTGTGTTTGAATAAGGGTGTGAGCCTTATCATTACAAAAGACTGCCAAGGCTCCCCAAGAAATCCAATCAAGTAACCTGCCAGACAGGAAATAAACAAAGCGACAGGAGAAAACAACATGCAAATTTCTGTTTTAGACCGCCTTATCTGAGGGGTGGTCTTAGGTTACACCCCTTCTGTGATGAATGCATAATGTTTCTGGGGGTGGTCTTGATCTAGAGGATGGGAATTTGAAAAGTCTTTATAAGCCCTTGCATAGCATTTTTGGGGGCCTCCTCTCCTCCTGCGTGTGAGGGGAGTACCCTGTTGCAACAGATCAATAAAGATCAAGCTTACTAGCTGCTTTGCTTCTCAATATTCTCTGGTTGGCCTCTGTTATTTTCTCCTACCAATAGGGAACCTATGTAAGGACTCTATATAGGCTCTTGGATACCCCATAAGGGAAAAGGGCATATTTTTATTTACAACACCCCCTTCATGGATCTTAATTCTTAATGAATTCTTAAGGAAATCAGCCCTGAGTGCACACTGGAAGGACAGATCATGAAGCTGAGGGTCCAATACTTTGGCCACCTCATAAGAAGAGAAGACTCCCTGGAAAAGACCCTGATGTTGGGAAAGATGGAGGGCACAAGAAGAAGGGGACGACAGAGGATGAGATGGTTGGACAGTGTTCTCGAAGCTACAAACATGAGTCTGTCCAAACTGCGGGAGACAGTGGAAGACAGAAGTGCCTGGCGTGCTCTGGTCCATGGGGTCAAGAAGAGCCGGACACGACTAAACGACTAAACAACAACAACAACAATAAGGCCTTGCACGCCATTGTTCTGGGTTCTTCCTTCTTTCCTGCGTGTGAGGGGAGCACCCTGCTGCAACAGATCAATAAAGATCAAGCTTACTAGCTGCTTTGCTTCTCAATATTCTCTGGTTGGCTTCTGTTATTTTCTCCTACCAATAGGGAACCTACGTAAGGACTCTATATGGGCTCTTGGATACCCCATAAGGGAAAAAGGGCACATTTTTGTTTTACAACACAATCAACCCCAGCTAGCATAGCCATTGGTCAGGGATGATGGGAGCTGGAGTCCAGAAGCATCCTGAGGACCACGCATATTCTGGCCCTGGGCTACAGGATTCCAACCTTGGTTATTTTACAGTGTTTTTAATATTTTTTCCATAAATCACCATTATGTATTTGAAGGACAGAATGTGATTTTAAGTTTCAGTTACATTTTTACCCCAAAAACTAAATAAACAAACTGAACAATTCTGGACTGGTTCATAACGCAAATATCCACTCCCCAAGGTTACCAAATTATAGAAACCTTGAGTGAGATGCTCCATATTTTCAGACCCTAGCTTAATTTTAAAAAATTAAGAAGGGGGTGGGCGGGCTGGGGGGGAAAAGACCTAATCCCACCTGCCATTGAACCTAATGTGTTTTGATTATATGCAATTTTTACTTCAGGCACTATCAACCTGAGGTAACTGCCTCCTAAATTGAGAGCTGCTTGTATAGTAACAACAGTGCATGAGAACATGCCCTGTGTAGGGAGCATTATCTCCCTAGAGTAGAGAGGGAGAAAAGGCGTGCTCTGGCATTAGAGGAAGGCCTCAGAATCAGAAGGTGTTGTTAGAGGAACCCCATGATTATGAACCCCATCTCTTAAAAACAAAATACCAAAGCCCCAGGAAGGCATTTCCTCCGTGGCCGCGAATTCTTTTTCCTTTGCTCGCTTACATGTTGGTACTCCTCCGTGAATAATAATAATAATAATAATAATAAAAAATTTTTATTTATACCCCGCCCTCCACAGCCAAGACAGGGCTCAGGGCGGCTAACAACCAATAATAAAAACAAGTTGATTAAAATACAATTTAAAAGATTAAGATGCAACATTAAAACATTAGGAGGCAGCCTCTTCACAGGAGGAGAAAGGAAAAAGACAGGAATATTGGGGTAGCTGGAGGAGAAGCCGGTGTAACAACTCAGACGTTCCTCATTGTGAGTAGCCCCGCCGCCAGCGTGGGAGAAAGACGAAGAATTTGCAGAGGCAGAGGCGGCAAGAGGCCTGGCGCCCCCTGGAGGTCAGTTGCGGCCGTCCATGGGCGGAGCAGCGGGCTCCATTTTCCCAGGACAGGAAGCGAGAGGCGAGCCGGAGAAGAGACGCGCGGAGGCGCGGGCTACGCGGAGATCGTGTTGTTGTGCAAGGTTGCAATCTTTGCCCTTCTTCCTCCCGGTTTAGGAGGCGGAGAGACCCGCTCCCTCCTGATCCTTTGCCTTCAAGCGGAGGCACTTCGGAATCTGGCCCCCGAGAGCATGGAAAGCCCAAGTGGACCCGAGCAGGGCTCGCTGCTGGCGGCCGCCCGGGGGGCTTACAGGACCTTTTTCGGAGGGCTGGATCCCCAGATCGCCGTGTCGGCTCCGGGAAGGGTGAACTTGATCGGGGAGCACACGGATTACAACCAGGGGTTCGTGCTGCCTATGGTAAGAGAGGGTGGCGCGCAGAAGGAAAGACAGACAGACAGACAGACAGACAGACAGACAGAAAGGGGCAAATACTGTGCCCGGCTGTTCCTTCTTGAATCCTACAAATCCCGGTTTTCGCTAGTCACAATTTGGCGGAAGCGGAGGAGAAGAGAGCCGTCTTTTCTGAAAGCAACGCAGCAGCCTTCCTTGACCTGGGACCGACGAAGTTGCCTCGCCTGCCCAGTACAGAATTTTTGCTAGTTGGCAGGTTCAGTTGTTGGATCCGTCTGCAGAGGCCCCCAGCACAACCTCTCCAAAATATGTTTGATCCCCATGGGCGTAGCCGGGGGGAGGAGCTTTAAAACAATAGAAATACTTAACTGATCAATCACATCGGTTCTGCCCTCCTCTAACGAAAGTCCTGTCGTCGTCGTCCCCCCCGTCAAAAATCCTGGCTACGCCCGCATGTTTGATCCTATTAATTAATCACAGTTTCAGCGTGGGGAGAGATGGCTCTCTGAAGCCACTGCCCAAAGGTACGCAAATTCAGTCCAAAAAGCAAGAAACAAAAATACGAAGCTTCGCTTCAGTACCTGTTCCTTCAGGTTATTGTACCACTTGGGCTCATTCGCTTGGTCTGCTGTGAGTAGGACCTTGCACGGAATATAAAGGGTAAAGGGACCCCTGACCATTAGGTCCAGTCGTGACCGACTCTGGGGTCTGTGGTTTAACCCACAGTGCCACCCGCGTCCCACCGCACAGAATATAACCCATAGGATAAGTTAAATTTAGAGGCAAAAATACATTTGTTGGAAGATGGATACCAGTCCAGATAACAATCTTCACTCCTTGAGCTCTACTGCAGGGGAAGTTATACTTGAGTAGAGACTCAAGCTGCACTTCAAGTCATTTTGGCTCCAATTGCAAGCCTTTCTAGGAATGACCTTTGGAGTCGGCATCCCATCATGGGGAAGCGATGTGCCTCTGAATATACTGAGGGAGGAGAGACAAACAACCAACAGAAAAAGGGTTATTGGCCTCAAACTTTCGTTTATGGGCTTGCTGGCTTGCATCTGGCTGCTGTTGTGAGAAGTAGGATGCTGAACCTTTGGTTCCTCCCCAGTTTGGTTCCTCTTATATTCAAAGGGACCTCTCGTGTGCCTTTTAAAGAAAATATTGTTTATTTCCAATTTGCCCCCACCCCACAAAAAATTACTAACCTGTAAACCTACCTCATTACTTCAAGAACTGAAACAATCCCAACTATTCTGAAGCAGCAATATTTTTATTTTGCATACTACACAGCCGAGAGAGAGAAAATAAGCATTTTTACCCCACATCAGCCACAAAAGGCTTCCAGATCAGCTTATGGTCAGTAATAAGACAAATCATCACAAGAAAAAACCTTAAATGTTTTAAAATCGGCTGCCTCTTTTCCACACACTTTTCAGCATTGTCAGTTTGCCCAGAAATCAAGCACATAGCTTAACGTGCAATATCTACCTCTATTCAGATTATATGTAGCCAAACTCTTAACTTTGTTTACGTAGAGCACTTCCTATCCCCAAACCTCCAAACATTATCCCTGTTGAAATAGATTGCTGTGTATGTGTGTGAGAGATATCCAGAACATATAAGATGAATAACAGAGTCGGACACGACTAAATGACTAACCAACAACAAAGGCTGTACTCTATTAATTGTAAAGGTACATAGTTTTCCTCTGACCTGACTGACCACTGCTGCTGGACCTCGCCTGGATAAACTGCAGAGATTCCATGGACTAGGAAATGAAGTAGAAGAAAGTGCATTAAAGGGAAGGAGGAAATAGCAGCTCTTTAGGACCCAGGGATTTCTAACTCCTAATGTTGAAACAAATCACTCTTCAGTCACAACTCTGACTTCACTTGTTGGCTAAAAAATGGCTTTTAAAACCCCCTGCAAGAGCAGTTAGCCTGGTTCATCTGTCAGCATGTTTTGCTTCCAGTCTTTCTAAGCTGAGAGTTTGAGCTTTTCAGGCAGGGCTCCATGGATAACCCGGCCTTGTTTACAAGTCAGTAGAGCAAATCCACTGACTACATTTGATAGGTAAGCCCCATTTTAGCACCATGTTGCTATGAAGTGAGTATTAACTTAAAACAAATATTCTTATTGACTAAAGTTATGGCATTGGGAACGTCTCTGTGTTCCAACATTCCTATGCCTGTTCCTGTTCTCCCATCTGCTCCCTGTTATCTGTACTCATTTCTAACCATACAAAACACCATTTGGTAGGTGGTTTGCATAACCCTTGTTCCTGTTTGGTATCATGAGGGATTCAGTCATTGTCTCTTCCTTCAGGCCTTGCAGATGGGAACCATGGTGGTTGGGAGCCCGAGAGAAGATGGAATCATATCCATAGTCACAACCACACAGGGAGCAGACGAACCTAAAAAGGTGACATTTCCAGTTCCCATGGAAGGTGCCATCTTGGAGCCAGGAGAACCTCGCTGGGCAAACTATGTCAAAGGGGTCATTCAGCATTATCAGGGTAAGATCTAGACTCAGCTAGCAATTGAGGCGGATGTGCTGTTTGGGATGGAGACAGCCCTGTTAAAGTTTGTGGGTCGTAATGGTGCCCACATGCTTCCACTCGCGCGCTGCCACTCTTCTCAGTTGCCAGGTAATAGCAGAGTTCACACGCGGCATAAAATGGCTTGTCTGTGTCGACATGGTATCTTCAGTAACTCAGCTCGACACCAGTGTTTCTAATCTATCACTCTTTATTTAGAAGCATAACAAACAGAAAAGAAAACCTACAGAATCTAGCTGCATGTTCACAGCTTTCTGTCTCTAACAAAAATGAAACTACATTGCTCACATTCTCAGACAGACTGTTCTCCAGAGAGAGCTCAGCCCCCACAGAGCACAGATCAAAGGAAAATGCCTGGATCATGTGGGCAGTGCACCCAGTGAATCAAGAACGCTTCCTGGAGTGTTAACTCTTGACTGTCCAGAACCACAACAAGCCCACAATGACATCACCTGCTGGAGATGAAAACAATCCCCCTACCCCCAAAAACCAACCACAACAACATGTGGATGGTAGACGTGTCAGTGATGATGAGAGTGAGGTGGAATCAGCACACAGATTTAAAATGCTGTGAAAATGCTTTAAAAAAAAAAAGTTTTGAAAAATACATTGAATTTTCATGGCTCACTTTCGCCATCTAGTGTCACATTTGTATATTGCACTTTACAACACATTTAAAACGTTTTATTTGCAGCTGTGTAGCTGAGTGGGGAATGTCCAGTTCAGAATACACTATCCTAAGATGTTTATGGTACCATGGAAGTTTCTCCAAAAGCCAGCCTTCCCCTACCTGGTGCCCTGCAGATTTTCTTGGGTTACAGCACCTGTGATCATGGATGCTTTAGTTGAGATTCCTGCGTTGCATGGGGTAGTGCTTAAGTAACAGAGAGAAAAAGAAGGGTGTACATCTCCACTGAAGCCCTAATAGCAGTTTTGGAAGGAAATATCCTTAATTCCAACTCAGCAGCCATGGAGAGATGCTACTACCGCTCAGTGCTGTGTATATACAAAAGGATTTTGTCATAATTTAATTGCTTTCAATAATTTCATACAGTGATATCTCGGGTTAAGAACTTAATTCGTTCTGGAGGTCCGTTCTTAACCTGAAACTGTTCTTAACCTGAAGCACCACTTTAGCTGCGCCGCCGCTGCACAATTTCTGTTCTCATCCTGAAGCAAAGTTCTTAACCCGAGGTACTATTTCTGGGTTAGCGGAGTCTGTAACCTGAAGCATATGTAACCTGAAGCTTATGTAACCCGAGGTACCACTTTATTGCAATAATATAATATTTTTAAATAATTCCATACTGTTAGAGGACACTCTTTTGCGCCTGGCTCTGCTTTGTGGACCTCAGAATTCCAGGAAAAAATCAAAACAGAACCCACAAACCAGAAGTCTGCTCACTCATGTCTTATATTATGCAGCAGGATATTTTCTTCAGTGGTGCCAGGAACAGATCTGTGTTGAAGCTTTTTGAAAACGGACCTAGTGGCATGCAGGGTTTTTCACTGAAGCCGAGGCCTTATTAGCACTATGCATTTAAAGCAATTCTTTGAAGACCTAGCTTCCCCCAAAGAATCCTGGGAACTGTAGTTTGTTAAGGGTACTGAGAGTGGTTAGGAAACCCCTATTCCGCTCACAAAGCTACAATTCTCAAAGAGGTTTAACAGTCATTCCCTCTTCCCAGGGAACTCTAGGAATCACAGCTCTGCTAAAGGGGGATGGGGTCTCCTAGTGACTCACAATCCCCTTAAATGTGTAGTGCGGATGAGAACCGAATCATGCATTTCTAATTGTCTAGGTTTTACACAGGCAGCCTTATAAAGAAGTTTCCTTCTCAGTCTCATGAAGATAATCCAGTTCTTCAAAGTGGCATATCATGGTCAGGCCTGTAATTTGAGTATCTATGCCTACCTGAACTATTTTAAAATCTTTTGTGTGCCATCTTGTTTAAAATATTTTGTTCTCTCCCTGTTGCTTTGCTATCCCTTTATAGCTGGCCCTCTCCCAGGCTTCAATGCAGTCATAGCCAGCAATGTTCCACTCGGTGGCGGTCTGTCAAGTTCAGCTTCCTTGGAAGTGGCAACATACACATTTCTGCAGCAGTTGTGCCCAGGTAGGAAACAAAACTGGTTTTAGTCTAGAACTTAAATACAAAAAATCCAGGGTCTTTTACTATCTACCATTTTAGCTAAGGGGAACTAGTTGGAGCATAGCGGAACAAAGCTCAGTGATAGAACACAGGCTTCATTGTCCCCTCAAATTAATACATGGACTTGTTTCGATTAACTTCTGCAGAATAATTTATGGTACTTAAGTTAAAAACAGAAAGAAAAAGAGGTAATAATGAACTAATAAGGAGACAGTTTACCAAAAACAAAAAAGAACCATGTTGAGAATGAAGGAAGTCAATTAGCAGAAAAGAAGAACTGAAATAATTGTGTGTGTGTGTATTATTGATTATTTGTTTTGTATAAGTTTTCATTATGTCTTATTTATATTTTGTTGTTTGTTTTTCTTTTGATTCTGTACTATTATCTTCATATTTAGTTTGACAAATGTGTGTGTATGTGTTGTAAATAAACTCAATAATAATATTTAAAAAAAAGAACACAGGCTTCGCATGCAGAAAGTCTTTGGTCCAGTTCCTGGGATCCTGAAGTCAGCAATACTGACTTAGAACGACAAGCAGTCTGACCTGGTAAAAGGCAACTTGCTATGTTCCTTTATTTCACGCATCTCTTTTGCTGCTGTTGGGAAATGATGAATTAGTTCAACATTTGGTTTAATCTAACCAGATCTAGCCTAATCTAGCCTTCATTCAGTTCTGGAAGTTAAGTATAGTTTAGGAATAGCCTAAAACAGTAATATGGAGCCTGTGGACCTCCAGATGTCATTGGACTCCCATCATTCCCAACTAAGTTGGCCAGTGGTTAAGGATGCTGCTGCTGCTGCTGCTGCTGCTAATAATAATAATAATAATTTATTTATACCCCTGCCCATCTGGCCGGGCTTCCCCAGCCACTCTGGGCGGCTTCCAACAAAATATTAAAATACTGTAATACATCAAACATTAAAAGCTTCCCTGATGGGATTTGTAATCCAACAACACTTGAAGGGCTGCAGGTCCCCCAGCCCTGACATGATGCCAAAAGGTGGCGCTCTGTCCATTGCACAGAAGTACTAATCTGCCTGTGAATGTCTCTCCTTTTCGTTAACACAGACGATGGGGATCCTGTAACTAAGGCCTTAGTATGCCAGAAAGCGGAGCACACCTTTGCAATGATGCCTTGTGGTATCATGGACCAGTTCATCTCTGTGATGGGGAAGGAGGGCCATGCCTTGCTGATAGACTGCAGGTCAGGACATTGCAATAGCGCTAGAGGAAATGTAAGCATACATCTCTCTGTCCGCCATGTGATACCCAAAATCTTCCTGACAGACAGATGGCAACAGCAACAAAGCATATAGTGTATGAGTCAACTTGGGGTGTTGGGAAAGCATTGCTAGGGCATGGTGAGTGGTTGTGGGAAGAGTTAACCCCATTCTGGAGCTGTGGCCCTTATCTGAATGGGGACACCCCCAAAGCTGCTATTGGCTACATTCTTAAGGGATGGGAGAACCAGCCATGGATCTTTTGCTATCTTGCCTAGTTTAGGCACAAAATACTCAGAAAAAGAGATGCTCAGCTGTCAAGAGGGGTCTCTACCCTAAAATGTACGTAACCTAAAACCTTCCTGCGTAATGGAAAGCTAAAAGGAGAAAAGTGTTCCCCTTGAATGTAGTGAGCTGTAAAAACATTCACATACACATAGAAGCTTTGAAATGCAGGATGCAGGTTTAAAAAGCTCCCTGCAGCTTTTACCTTGTTGTGCTGTCTGATTTCCAGGTCACTGGAGACTTCCCTGGTGCCTTTGGCTGACCCAGACGTAGTTGTACTCATCACCAACTCCAATGTGCGGCACACCTTGACAGGAAGTGAATATCCCACCCGTCGGCGCCAGTGTGAAGAGGCAGCGAAGGTGCTTGGCAAGGGAAGCCTGAGAGAAGCCACTATGGCAGACTTAGAGGGTACGTATTGTTAAAATACAGAAGTCTGTCTGTCTGTCTGTCTGTCTGTCTCTCTCTCTCTCTCTGTGTGTGTAGGGGACATAATGGGTCCCTGCCTTCAAAATTTCTTGAAATAACACACCTCTATCCCTGAGCACGTAAAAGTGCAAGTAGATAAAAGTTCGAAAGCACATCAAAGTGCAAGTAGATAAATAGGTACCACTCCGTCGGGAACGTAAACGGCGTTTCTGTGCACTGCTCTGGCTCGCCAGGAGCGGCTTAGTCATGCTGGCCACGTGACCCGGAAGCTGTACACCGGCTCCTTCGGCCAGTGAAGTAAGATGAGCGCTGCAACCCCAGTCCGCGACTGGACCTAATGGTCAGGGCTCCCTTTACCTTTACCTATCCCTGAGCAAAGGGGAATGGACAACAGGGGGGCAGTGATCTTGATGGGTCCTTGAGAACATAGTCATGCAGAAGGTGCCAGAATTTTTGAGTTGTATCCAGGAAAATAATGGTGCAAGCAGAACAACTTTTGCTGGCAGAGCAGAACTTCTCCTACCTCTCTTGAAACCCCAGCTCGCCCCAGATCTGTTCTGGGGGTTCCCCCAATGGTTCGGAGCAGATTTGGGCAGTGCAAAAAAAAAGAGAGGGAAAGTTCCATTGCACAAGTGGAAGTTGTTCCACTCATTCAACAACTTTGTTGGATTTTTCACTAAGCTGCTGTTTTTCTTATTAAAAGACAGACGGAGGAGAAAGTATAAATGTTCATAAATTGCAATGTACAGTGGTACCTCGGGTTAAGTACTTAATTCGTTCCGGAAGTCCGTTCTTAACCTGAAGCACCACTTTAGCTAATGGGGCCTCCTGCTGCTGCCGTGCCGCTGGAGCACGATTTCTGTTCTCATCCTGAAGCAAAGTTCTTAACCTGAGGTACTATTTCTGGGTTAGCGGAGTCTGTAACCTGAAGCGTATGTAACCTGAGGTATGAGGTACCACTGTAATTAAGAATAATTGTATATTTAAGACGCGTGTAACTCATAGTTTCTTTAAATACTAAAATATTCTCAAAAAGAGAGAGGATGGTGGCTTTCAAATGTTCCACATTCTCAGATATTTTGTTGGGGCTGGTCTGCTCATATCTTTGTAGTTTATATGCGTTATATATCTAGCAATTCCGCATAGAAAATGCTTATTTGCTTTGTTCCCTGGCTAAAAGGAACTTTTCCGTTATCTTTTCAAACATTGCATGAAACCAGAGTTTATTGTACTGCATCTCTATTTTTGCCTTTTCCAGGGTTTTCTAGGAACGTATAATTATGAGTCCCACTGCCATGAATAGAAAACCCATCAGCACCTCACTTTTTAAAGATTTTTCTTCATCCCAAATGTAATACGGATTGCTTATTAACAGTGTTAATTTCCGTGCTGCTTTTGCTGAAGCATTGAATGGTCTGAAACTTTGCTTCTAATTCTCCAACCTAGCCTACCTGTCTGAACATTGATATTTTTCCCCTCCCCGTTTTTCATTTTTTGCAGCTTCTAAGGCCTTGCTAAGTGAGTTGGTGTACCGGCGAGCCAGACATGTCATTGGGGAAATCGAACGCACCTCCCGAGCTGCAGAGGCACTGCAGTCCAAGGACTATAAGAGATTTGGGCAACTGATGGTGGAGAGTCACAATTCCTTGCGGTAGGCTGTTACCCAAAAGATTACACAAAGGATTCCCACCCCCCGTTGTGCTCAGGTTCTCTTGTGGGTTTCCCTGGTTGACCACTGTGATAACAGAGTGCCTTGGGCTTGATGCAGCAGGGCTGTTCTTAGTTTCGTTTTGGTGTTCTTGATTTTTCAAAAATAAAAGTTACAGAATAAGAGTCATTTTAAACATGATCCTAGATTTCAGCATGTAGGTCTGCCCTGCATACATGCAATTTCGCATTACACACACATGCCTACAAGCCACAAATGACTCCAGCTACCTGGCACATGCATGCTCAGTGCTGTAAATGTGTGTAGAGTGGTCCTATGTGGAAGGGACTTCTGTGTAGGAATTTTTCTGTGTGCGAAGCAGTGTTAACACTGTGACTAAGTATAATGACTGTAGTGTTGTGAAACCTGATTCTGAAACCCTCCTGAGCCATGAAGCTCACCGGCTGGCCTGGGGAAAGCCTCTACATCTCAAGGCCATACCAGATAATTGATTCAGGATCCATCTGTCAATACAGTGGTGCCTCGCAAGACGAAATTAATCCGTTCCGCGAGAGTCTTCGTCTAGCGGTTTTTTTGTCTTGCGAAGCAACCCTATTAGCGGCTTAACGGATTAGCGCTATTAGCGGTTTAGCGGCTATTAAAGGCTTAAAGGCTTAGGGATTAGCTGCTAAAAGGCTATTAAAGGCTATTAAAGGCTTAGCAGATTAGATAAAGGGGGAAAGCGAAAAAAATCTCTAGACTCGCAAGACATTTTCGTCTTGCGAAGCAAGCCCATAGGGAAATTCGTCCTGCGAAGCAACTCAAAAACGGAAAACCCTTTCGTCTAGCGGGTTTTCCGTCTTGCGAGGCATTCGTCTTGCGGGGCACCACTGTAGAATACTTCTGGAGGATATTGCATTTTTTTCTGTACGTAAACTACGTTGGATTGTCGCTTCATGCAGAACCTTGTTTCAGTATACTCCTAAGAAGTTTTTTGTGTACTTCCCTCCCCCAATACAACACTTCCACCATCAGACACCTGTATTGTATATGGAGCAAAAAGTAGCCATAGCCTGTAGACAACCATACACATCATGGCAAACCCAGGCTCGCAGTCACATAACATGGGGAAAAGGGCTCTGATTTGGAGAGTTGCCTACCATGTAATCCAGGTATTAACAAGCACCTATTGAACAGCGCCTGTGACATCATAGTTTAGCTTCCTGCCCAGCTTGTCATTTTTAAACCATTTTTGAAGGATGACCTGTATTTGCCCCCCTCCCAGCTTATTTCAGTAATTCTTTGGAAGAATGCTGCCCACGGATGTCCATCCAGGTTCCAACAATCACCCCCCGCTTTTGTTTGGCAATAATAGCCTTCACATCTGGGGGGACTGACTCACTGTTTTTCCCTGCAGAGATGACTATGACGTCAGCTGCCCAGAATTAGATGAACTGGTGTCTTTTGCTTTGGAGATCCCCGGAGTTTACGGCAGCAGAATGACTGGTGGGGGATTTGGAGGCTGCACTGTTACTCTGCTTGAATCTGGCGTAGCAGAAAAAGTCCAGAAGCATATCAAGGTATGTGACATAGACACAGAACAGTGGGCAGTCTTCAGGCTGATCAGAGCTCCTGGAACGCTGGGGTCTCCCAGCCAGGCATGCAAAACAATGTCTCAGTGGGACTGACGTAGAATTCACTGGAAAAACAACAACAACCTGCTTCGTTTTCCTGCAAGCAGTTCAGCCGTCTAATCTAGGGGAAGGAGAGCTCTTTGCTGTCGCTGTTAGTAAACCATTTGGACCCTTCTGATGTATTGCATGTTACCTGGAGATCTGCCAACAGATCTCCAACAGATCCCTGTGCTGCTCTGCCCTTATCTACAAAACACAGACAAGTGCTTCCTGATCCTATAGTATGCTAAGCCTCATCTGTACAGTCATACCTCAGGTTACAGATGCTTCAGTTTGCATTTTTTCGGGTTACGGATCCGCCAAAACCCAGAAGTACCGGAACGGGTTACTTTTGGGTTTCGGCGGTTGCACATGCGCAGAAGCGCCGAATCGCAACCCACGCGTGCACAGATGCGGCGCTGCAGGTTGCGAACATGCCTCCTGCACGGATCACGTTCGCAACCCGCATGTCCACTGTATTTTCTGCCTATCTTTGATCTGACCTGGGAGTACCTTTGAGCTGGACTGCAGTTACCCTTGCAATTGTGTCGGTTCCACAGTTAAACACAACATAATGAAAGAGAGAAGCTTCTTAGCATTGCATTCCATATATAGTCAAAAGTAGTTGCGATGGTAACAGTTGTCATGTATTGAAAAAGACAGAACTGCACCAAATATAGGGTGGTGTGTGCCTTTAACGTAAAAAAAAAAAGATATGGAACTTAATTTGTTTTTAAGGGGTGGAATATGCTGGTGAATAGTGCCAATCTTCCCACAGTTGTTTCTCTTAAAGCACTGTTTCCCCCCTTGGCTGAGCTTAAATACTGGAAATCACTTTGTGTGCAGGGCCGGCCCTACCATTAGACAGGTTGAGGTGTCTTGTGTCAGGTAGATGGCGGTGTCCCCTAAGTTAGCATGCTATATTCTGGGAGATGGTAGAGGATGCTGACCTTTCCCTAGTGTTGATGTAAGGTTCAATTGCTAATCTGGTTAGTTTGTGTGTGTTCCATTTGGTCCTCTCCCCCAAAATAGCTTGGGGGAATTTCCTAGTGCTCTGCAAGAGTTGGGCAATCACCCCTCATCTGCACATCTTTTTATTTTTATTTTTTAAAATCTCACCTCTAGCCTACTTCTTCTTTCTTTACCATAAGGGCACTTCTGTGGCCAAAAACATACAACTGCCCTTTGGCTATGCTGTAGTTTTATGAAAAGGTGTGGAATTGCATCATTATAGAGTTCCATACTGCCATCCGCCCTTGAGGACTTTTTGTTTTGACGTGTTTTGTACTCACTGCTTATTTCAGACAGTTGCAACTCCTGACCTTTTTTTTTTTTAATCAATTAGGGAAAATACAGCAGGACAGCCACCTTCTATTTGACACAGCCTTCTGATGGAGCCAGAGTGCATCCTCTGCAATGATCCAACTCCCAATCCCAACCCTGACAGAGCAAGGGTTTTCTGTTGCTCTGGTACCGACAACACACAGCACTGCAAAGGTCAGAGCAGGCTTCCCTGATCCATGTGCCTGAGACTCCAGTCAAAGACTTCCAAATTCTGATAAAAACTTGAACTCTTTCTTGTCTCTCTCTCTCTCTCTTAAATCTGGTTTTTACATGTAGAACCTTCCAGTCTGCTCTACTGAACAGAGGTCTCTTCTCCTGACTGTTTTACATTACAATTTGTGGCAGGGAATCTGTTCTTCATGTGAGGCCAGAACAGGCCTATTTTGCTGTGCTGTTTTGTGTTGGAAAAGAGTTGAGGATAGTCAATACAGCCGTCGTCCTTCCTCTACTTCTGGTTCCTGACATAAAACAAATAGTATGATTAACTGAATTTCCCTGATGATTGATTGATTGATTGGTTGGTAGGTAGTTCGTTCAGCCTCTTCTTTGTAAACTAAAGTAATATAAGAAGCCTCAAGAACAAGAGTCCTTCATTTATACCTCACAATGTGGCAAGTTATTCATCTTCCAACCTAAATACCACAGATGGAATCCAGTGTTGAATGAGCAAATTTATGATTATGTGGTTTTTTTGAAGTTACCTGTGATTTTACTACAAGGAAGAGCTACCTTAATTATTAGAAACTCTGCAATCCTCTGCATGTCTTCTCAGAATTAAGTTCCACTAACTTGATGGAGGCTCAGTGACTGTTCTGCTTTCAAAATACAGTGGTACCTCAGAAGTCGAACAGAATCCATTACAGAAGTCCGTTCGACTTCCAAAACATTCAGAAACAAAGGCATGGCTTCCGATTGGCTGCAGAAAGCTCCTGCAGCCAATCAGAAGCCGCGTTGGACGTTCGGGTTCCAAAGAACACTCACTTCCGGGTTTGCGGCGTTCGGAAGCCAAATCTTCGAGTCGTAAGGCATTCGTCAGCCAAGGTACTACTGTACAGTAAAAGTGCCCAGGCTAATTACACTTTTAGAACTTCGTGGGTTCTATAACTTGGTGCATTCTATAGTGATACAAATAACCCTGTCACACAGCACAGTTCAGCTGCTTTGGCTGTCCATAGGACTGGGAACAGCAGTATGCAATGCCATTCCATCTATGGCCAGTTCCCTCTCCTGCCATAGCACTATCCCTTATGATTCCAAAAACATCCACTGTCATTTAAGCTGCATCAAAACTTCACATCAAGGACATGTAGCTGGGACTGTCAGAATCTTTTTGTAATGAATCTATAATATGTATTGCAGTTGCAAAACCTGGGGAGGGTTATTTTTCCCCCCCTGAAGCAAAAATGTGACCTTTCCCAGTGGGCTGTGATTTTTATAGGCTGTTATCAAATTAGCTTTGAAACCTGTGCCGTTCGGCTCAAGTCTTCCATTCTTAGACCTTTTCAGCATTTAAGTGATTTTTTTGTTTTTGTTTTTCAGCTACGCTAGAATTTTATGCAATATTTTGGTTCTTGAGCCTGATCCTATTGAAATTAATGTGTGTAGGCCTGCCTAATTTTATATAGGAGTGCAGCCCTACTCTCTCATTAACACCCACAGCTGCTAGCCGCTTTCACATCAGACACACTTGGAAATAAAAAGCCTTCTGCGATCGTAGAGGAAAAATGTTTAATAAGTGCAATAGAAAGCCATCTGGTCCTGAATGCCAGTTGTCAAAACACTGCATATGTATTAAATGCCACCAATCCCTGCAAGCCAGAATGTGGCTATGAAATGTAATTTACATTCTATTGTGGTTCTTCTGTTAGGTGAGTGTGAAAGCATACAATCCCTTTCAAAACTTGTGTTAAAACTGCTATGCTGCTGAATTCTGGCCCATCAAACACCTTTAATGGGCTCTTTGGTTAATATTAAAGCCTGTGGTGCTCTCTTAGTGAAAAGAACTCGTAAGAAGCTTCAAGAGCCTGTGACCAAAGTGACTTTGCAAAACGATGTAATGCAAGAACTGGAGATACGGCCATTTCTAATAACATACTCTGCTTGGGTCTGAATACAAAGAAGCCATGAAATAGCACATTTTATTGGCTTTCTCTAGCATCCCATGAAAAGAAACCCCTTTGGGGGCAGAAGGTCCAGTGACTCCCCTGTTGTAACTCCCCCTGTTGCGGTGAATGGGTCAGTAGGAAAACCCAACATTAGATTACAAGGGACCTGACTTGTTATATTGGGACAGAAAGTTGAAGGCGCCATCTACCTGAGCTTCTAAAACTATGCTGCAGCAGCAGCCCTGAATTCTTTTTGTGTTCTCTCTTGTTTAGTTAAGTAAAAAATTATCTGCAGTTGATCCTCTGCTGCTAGCACAGATATTTATCTAGGGTCCTGGGGCAAGGCTGGCCAAAATAGAAGCGAAGGGCAACAGCTACCTGTTCTCGCTGTGATGAAACTCACAAATCAATGGTTTACAAACTTCCTGCCTTCAGGGAATTTTGTGAGCAAACAAGTCAGTGTGGCAAACAACATACATCCTCCATAGAACCACAACACATTGCAGAAGATTCTGAGGCATGTTGATGGTTTGGTGCACACTGGCAATGCTGGTCCCTTTGTGTGAGAACCGGCACTATCAAGTGAGCTGGCTGTCTTTTAGGGGAACTTGCTTGCATGACTGAAGAATTCATGGGTAGACTTCTGACAGTTTCCTGGAACATGGTTTGACAACCACAGCATTGTGGGAGCAACCATGCAAAATGTCAAATAATGGTGATAGGTCGATACTCTTCCAATGATGTACTAAACAGTGTGAGAAATCATCACACTGATAGGAATCAAAGTAACTTGCCTGCTCAAGTCATTTCTCTCCAGCTTCCTCATGCCTTTTTAGCAAGGAGTAAAATGTTGGTACAATCAGATTGTGTGAGTTGTCTGTCTTCTTTGTCAAATCTGCATATGTATAAATAAAGACCAACAAACAAGCAAAAAGCTTTCACTCCCACCCCTTTCTAAGGAAGGTGAAGTGAGTGTAAACAAAGGCAGGTCTGTGGTTATACAACAACTGTCTCTAGTCAGAATTCCATGTATTCAGTTCCTACCTTGATTCTGCCTTTAGTTACCTACTGGTAGTCATCCCCCACCCCTGTTGATATACCCTCAGGTCATTCTGCAAAAGCCACTGCTTCTACAGTTCAAGCTGTGCCTACACATGCAGCAAAAGGTAGTGGTAGCACCATCACAGTTGCACTGCCTTGTGGGTACTGTAGTGTTGTTGACTACAGTATCAATGCAGTGTGGCTGAATGAAAGTACATGGTGCAAAAATATGTGATGCCTGTGTTACACAGGCTCTGAAGGATTAATTGCACGTGCACTGCCATTAAATCCTGGCCACTGGCGAAGAGGCAGGAAGGGTAGCATTGCAGTGAACTGGACTAATTGCCCTTCCAACCCTGATTCTAAGGGCAATCTGAAATCACTGAAGTTTGCTATGTCCAGACACCGAAATGGGCCAATGATGTAAATCAGCATGCTATGCTTGAGCTACTGATATGGGCCAGTGAGCCACCACTGCCAAAATGGGGAGTGAGGAAGGACTGTAGGTGGAACTCAGCAACAACTCTTAATGTTGTTGGTTTTGGTTATTCAGTACGAAAGGATATCATTCCAGGGGGTTCTTCCAGCAAAGGCATTAATGGATTATAAAGCCGTGCCAAATATTTATTTTCTATGGTAAGGAGCAGAGGTTTAGCGCCTGGATTTTGGCTCCTTATTACATCTAGGATAAAGGACCCTTTGTAGAACAAAAAATAGTCATATAATATTTTAAGTAAGATTGTGCATCGTATTTTAAGGAGCACTGTATTGTCGGTGATGCTATGCAACTTAAGGTACTAAGCAGTTCCTACAGGACCACACCTAAGCAGCAGGGGTGTCTACACACCAATGTAGGAAGAATAAGGACAATTCCTCTTCTGTGCTGCACTTACAAAGGAGGAGGACAAAGTTGCAATTCCGTTCCTCCCCTGGAGGTCTGGCATGCCATTTGTTGATGGGGTGGGAGTGTGGGGACAGAATGACTTAGGAACAGATCAAAACGAAACAAGCAGCAAAAGTGAAAAAGGTTTGGTGAGAGGTGGGGATTTAAAAAGCAAATTCAGTTGTGTGTAGTTAAATCTTCCAGCGTGTGATATCGGAAAGCAGCCAAGCGAAGCATGGAAAGAGTCAGGAGCTCGACTCAAAATGGAACTAACCAATAGCCCTTCACAGCCAAGCATCTTGCTAAAAAACTCTTTTCGGCATGTCTTTAGGGTGCCACCTGGAGTGCATGCAGCCTCCACTCGCGGGTATCTCAAAGCAGCATCCAGTATTTTCATTAGAGTTGAAGCAATGCAGCGGGCACCATGAGCCTCAGTCCAGGAACTGATCACAGAGCAGGCCTGCTTGAGGTCACCAGCTATTGAAATCCAAGTGTCCCTTGGGCAGTTTGCTTCCTGACTCAAGCTTCATAGAACTGCCTCTCTGTCTGTCTGGAGAATGTCCCGCTGCTGTTAGACATCATGGTTCTGGTGACAAATTCATTGGTGACCTGCTTGGTGAGGGTGCCGCCACTCTCCACTCGCTGAGTGGTCAGCAGCATGCCATCTGGAACAAAGGGACGAAACAAAGATTGCGTCAGCAGCTCAAGGGTCTGTCTGTGTGAACATGTGCACATGTGGTCATATGAACAGACCTGTAGAGACGAAATCTGTTTAGCAGGGTTAGAGGTGAAGTGCTCAGTGGTGTGTGGGCTTATACAGGGATGCTTGTGTGTTTTGGGCCAGAAGCTGGGGATTCTGAAGCTGCAATTGCCACCTGGGCAGATGTTTTTCCACCTGAGATGAAATACAAGATGAAACTCCCCCCCCCCCCCAAATCTGACTAGGAGGGCAGTTGAATCTTGCTTCAGCACCGCTGATGGGACAACAATCTTCATCATACCTGAGGGAAGCGTACTAGCTGAGGAGGTGCTAAGGAGAAGGGGGATACCTGAGGCACCTGCCCCGCTTTGCTTAATGGTAGGGCTTGCCCCAACTGCCACGTAAAGGTTCTGCAAACACTTGATGTCAGAATGGAATGAGATTTAAATGTGGTTAATTTCAGTCAGGCATCCTTTTTGGCCTCTTTTGTACTGAGAAGGTAGTCCTAGCTGCATTCACATGAACTAAGACAAACTAGGTGTTTCTATAGGGCTTAAATATAGACAGAGCTATTCCTGTACTGTGCACAGATGACTGGCAGGAGTGGATTCTCTACAACATGCACCACGCCTGGAGATGCCAGAGATTGAACGAGGGACTTCCTCCATGCAAAGCCACTGAGCTACGACCACTTCCAACGCATGTTTTGCCTGCTCTAGAATGGATCCTGGATTGCTGCCCATTTATGTTACCCCACAGAATTTGTTGAGATCCAAACCCAGCCCCCATTCCCACAGTGCTTCTTTCTTACCTGCGTATAAAGGATCCAGTGGGGAGTGAGTGATGTTGGTTTGGGTCCTGTATTCTGTGGGGAGATTGTAGACCTCCTCTCTGGTGAATTGCTGTGTTCCAAACTGAGAAAAGGCCCCTGAACCAAAAAGGGTATATTAGTTTACTTGTATCTCAGGGTCTGCTTAGTAAGAGGAATTTTTTTGTACCTTTTAATTTAAATACAAGGCACCAGAGAGCCTGACACATATGCACCACCTCCTTGACCAAACCAGAAAGGAAATTATAAGGCTGCTTATGTTCACACTGGGGTATTCAGGTGACAGGTGAGATAACAGCTCTGGTGTTGCAAGCATTTTAAAATTTACCTCATCCTACACAAATACCTTTGGTTTGTAGAGTTATATCCCAACCTTTCCCCCTCAGGAGCTCAAGATACATGGTACTCCCAAAGACCCTGAATTTATCCACATATTAACCTGGTGAGGTAGAAGTTAGGCTAACAGACGTTGTTTGGTCCAAGGTTACCCAGTGAGCTTCACAGCTAAGTGGGGATTTAAACTCGCCGTCCCCCCCAGGTGCTAGTCTGACACACTAACCATTACCCCACATTGGCACATCACACTGCACAACACAACACACACAGACACACAGGAGCCACATCATCAAGTTTATCTCTCATGTTTCTTCCCTTGAGCTGTTTGCTGTGCAATAATTTACATGGAGGGGCCTCAGCAGAACCTCCAATGCTCTGATCAGCATGGCCTATGTGCAGGAATGCTCTTTCCTACCTATTCCTTTTCATGACTGCACCAGTCTCTCCATGCTCAGATGTGGCACAAACTGATTATTATTTATTTAACATTGTTTTTAAAAATTCTATCCTGTCCTTCCTCCCCCGAAGAGCCCAATTATACCTAAGTTATTACTGTCTCCGGGGTGGGGGTGCGTACCTGCATCTTGAGATTCAATAGTGATAATTCCTTCCCTTTCAGGCCCAAAGCCTTGTGTGGTCTTTGCTTGGACTTTAAACTTATATGGAACATTTTCACTCAAGTAAGGTACTGTCAGCGTGGTCTCTAGGTTGTCTCCCTCCACGTAGATATTCCTGGGTTCCCCTGTGGATCAGAAACAAGAAGAACAGGTAGAACCTAGAGAATAAGTAATAAAAGTTCCTATCAGAGGCACCTATCTACCTTATCTGCTCCTTTGTCATGCCGGTAGCCTTAATTCAGTAGCCCCTGCAGACGTCTGATGCCCATACAGAGCCTGGCACCGGCAGGGGCTGCCCTCTTCTGTGAGTCAGGAAATGCAGTGGGAGTTCCACAACTGAACTGCATTTCCCTCCCAATCAGAACTTTCACATACCTCCACCATGCAGCATCTCACAGGTGACCATATAGCCCAGAATTAACCCATTGGGTTGGCGGGGTCTGTCCCAGCTCAGCTGAAGAGAGTCTGGACTCAGGGCCGTGAACACCAGAGGCCCCGGGGCACTGGGAGTGCTCAGAGTGAACGGTGATCCTACAACCGCAAGAACAAAAAAAAATGGTCACCGTCCCACGGAAGAAAGCAAAGCGGACGAGCAGGCAAAGACTGACACATGTGCAATCTTACATTTGATTTATGTCCCTAATTAAAAAAAACTAAACCTCACAACACCTTAACTTTTTTGGAAAGTGAAGGACCATAATGCATAGTTCCCATGATAAGTACAATTCTTCTTAGCTCAAAACCAATGTCAAAGAAAACCAAAATTTCTGTAGGGGCAGTTTTGCATACCGGCAACTCATAATAGCTGAGTGAGCTCATTTCATCATGGTTAGTAAACCATGAAGGCCACATTACCTGGGACAGGACTCAGAGGGCTGCGCGGGTCCACTTGTGACTCAATAGTTATCACGCCTTCTCTCTCTGGACCCCATCCTTCATCACTTTGCGCCTTCACTTTGAAGACATAGGAGTGGTTGGGCAGTAGGTCATCCACCACTACGGAGTTCTGATGAGGGTTGGGAATAGTAAGTCTCTGGATCTCTCCTAGGGAACAGGAAGACACCACTGTCACTTATCACATTCTGCTGTGCCAAAACCTGCAGTTTTCACTGGCAAACTGATAACTACTGCGGGAAAGGCAGTCTCTTTGAGGTCACACTAATGAGGGCTGCTACCCAGAAGATGCACTCCATGCATGCAACTTCAGTGTAGAAAATTGTGAGAGTCCTCCCACGTAAAGTTCTTTGTACAGGATGAATGCACACATGTCTGCTCTGTTGAAGGGCTGTCCATTCATCTGTATGACATCAGGGAAAAATAAAAGCCATGGGTGCTGCCAGTTTTTTTGACTGGGAATCAAAAGTGCCCTATTTATTTTGAACTGAGTGTTCTTCATCAGAGGCAGAATCTACATGCTGTCCCTTGTTCCAGCCAAGCAAATGCCTCATAATAGATTTTGAGTGATCTGTTAGAAGGCATTAATTTTTCTGGTGTAGGGAAGACCATGAAGATGAGAGGTAGCCCGTGCTGCGGAAGAGGCTCCCTGTAGCTAAGGAAAAAAGGGACACAGCAAACTGTCTGCTCTTGCAGCACATCCACAGGACAAAAAAATCAGGATGGGCTCTTAAACTGCATGTCCTGTCAATGGATTATTGGATGTCATATTTTTATACACACACACACACACACACACACACACACACACACACAGTGGTACCTCGGGTTAAGTACTTAATTCGTTCCGGAGGTCTGTTCTTAACCTGAAACTGTTCTTAACCTGAAGCACCACTTTAGCTAATGGGGCCTCCCGCTGCTGCCAGAGTACGATTTCTGTTCTCATCCTGAAGCAAAGTTCTTAACCCGAAGTAATATTTCTGGGTTAGCGGAGTCTGTAACCTGAAGCGTATGTAACCTGAAGTGTATGCAACCCGAGGTACCACTGTATACAGCTGAGTGCTCTTTGCTGGGCAGAAATAACACTAAGCGGTTGTTGACTACAACTCCCATCAGCCCCAGCCAGCATGGCAAGTAGTCAAGGAGGATGGGAGTTGTAGTCCTAAAACATTTGGAGGGCGCCAGTTGGGGAAGGCTGTAGCCAAAAAACTAGGAGCATGAAAATGGTGTGTTGTTTCTTCACACTGAGCAGGGAATAACATCTTTCTGATTTTTAATTCCAAGGTACACTCTGTACACTGGTCACCTGATAATATGATCTTATGAATGAAACACACACACACACACACAACCCTCAGCCCTACATGATCAGCAGAGGGGCCTTCACTGACCTCCGTTGAGGAGCTGGTACTGTACGCTGTATCCTTGCACTTCTTTATCGCATTGTGGCTCCTGCCAGCTGACCTTCAGGGAGGTAGGCCCCAGGGCAGAGAAGACTAAGCGCGTAGGCGTGTCAGGAACACCCAGCTGCATCCTGGAATCTGAGGCAGAAAATCACAGGTTCGGATCTGAAGGCAGGGAAAGGCCTTGCCCACAAATTGGAAAAGCTCCTTACGTGTCCCAGGAGAACAAGCAGAATGTCCCCTCATCAAATAAAGGGCTTGTAGTCAGGCCTACTGAGAATCTGGCTAGGACTTCAGATGCTGAGGTAAAGCAGCTAGCTGAATGGAAGTATAAGGCTGTGCACACACCATACATTTGAAGCACTTTCCCCCTCAAATAATTGTAGTTTACACTATATAGAACTAAAATTTCCAGCGCCCTTAACAAATCACAGTTCCCAAGATTCTTATTTTTGTGGGGAGGGGGAAGCTGCAGCTTGAGGGCCCTCTGTCAAAGAATGAAGTTGATTTAATTAAGCAGAAAAAAAGAGGGAAGGAGATCTGATTTTCTCCTGCCCCCCAAACCTGGATCCCCCCAGGCACAGCAAGGTCCCGTGCAGAGGCCAGGTTAAGCTCACTCACCCTGAAGCACTGTGTCCAGGTTGCTCAGTGCCTCACGGACATCTTCGGAGTGAGTGCGGCCCCTGGCCTTCTGGGGGACAGCATAATGTACCCTGGGCTGTGTGCCTTGCCCTGACATGCCTGCACAGAGAAACAAAATCAGTGCTATCAACACAAAGGCTTGGGCATGGCAGGGGTGACTTAATGATGCCCTGAATCCCTTATCTAGCCCAACGAAAGAATTATGAGCAAATGTTGCAGAGACGGTTAACTAAGCAACTGGTGACAA